CCTTCACACACACACATTACCTATTCTCCGTCCAGCGCGCTATAACTCCCTGCCCTCATTGCTTCGACGCGCGCGCGCTTGTCCCCTCCGTCCACTCAAACACACACACATCCCGCGCCCAACACATCCAGCTCGCGCGCTGACGTCCCACCATGGCACCAGGAGGGCCGCGCGCGCGCCCCTCCCAACCTCAACCGGGATATCCGGCTCGCCCGCCCAACTCTGGTACTCGCAACGAGGTGTTTGAGAACATCTTTGGCCGCCCCTCTGGCGCTCACCACCTCGGTGGCCCCCCCGGCCACCCGGGCATGGGAAGGCCGTCAGGTTATCCCAGCGGTTACAACGCCCCAATGATGAACCCAGCGCAACCTGGCTTTCCTCCTGCAAATCCCAATCCCGCTGTTCCAAGCTTCCCACCAGGCCAGTTTGCGCAGGGCATGGCCGCACGCCCGCCATATCCTCAGCAGCAGGGACAACATCGGCCTCCGCACCGACAAGTTTCACACCGCTCCATGCACGACCGATACTCGCAACAAGGTCCACCTCAGCCATCGCCGTACGATGGCGTCGCCATGTATGACTCGCCGCAGAACGGGTTCGGCCCCACGTTGGTCCCGTCGCGTGCCGCCCCAAGCGCTTACCAGGTATGTGTCTCTGTGTTGTGAACCGCGCGCGTGAACGCAAATTGACCCGTGCGCAGGGGGAGCCTCCAGTTCAACTTCAACAGGCAAGTGTACCCACTAGACGCCACTCGCTCGTTCAAAACCAGCGCCCACCAGTCCCCCCACCAGGTGGAGGCTTTGACCAGCAGCCAAGGCCCAACGGCGGCGCTCAGTACAATGGTTATGGCAGGCCTGAGAGGCCCGAGCGATTGCCTCACATCTCGTCGTCCCGCGAAGAGGTGGGATTCACCCCGATGCCCGTCCCACAAGTCCCCCAACCGCGCAGCGTGTCTGCTACATCAGGTTCCAGTTCCGCAACGGTCACTAATGTACCTCCGCGCTCTCTCTCGCTACACCACCAGACCGGCCCGGGCAGGATAAGCGTAAAGATACCTTCGCCGACGCTCGGCGGATCCACACTCTTACCTTTCCCGGAGGCCCCTGGGTCTGACTTGCGCGCCCCATCGCCGCCACCAGACTACCAGCGCGCAATGAGCGCTGTCGACCTCAACAGCGACCGTGGGACGCCCTATGGCGACATGTCCGGCTTGCCGCGCAATTCTGGTGGGCCGCGGGAATCATCGGGCACCGATGACTATTTTAGTAGTGGTGAGTTCCTGCGCCTTGTGCGCGCTCGCCCCCGCGCGGCGCGCACGCGACGCTCTCACACACACACACATCGCGTCACTGTGACACCATGTGCTGATCCAAGGAAATGACTACCCCCCACGTCCATCGGGATCTAGACACATGTCGTCCTCGAGCACAGCCTCAGCTCCGCGCTCGATGCACATGCGCCAGCCATCTGACTCGTCGATCTCCAGCTCGGTATACACTCAGAGAGTGGCGTGAGTTTTTCTGCACAGTGACACGACGCCGCCTCCACCTCGAATCACACGTTCACACGACATGACGCTAACTTTCGCAGTCCCTTTTCACAGATCAACAATTTTGATGTCCCAGATTCGCCGTTGCAGTCGCCGTCAACACCAACGGGATCAGACAACGGCTACGGCAGTTTCCACAGACTGTCCGTTCGCAAGTCGATGGAGTCTACCCACTCTCTTCCCCTGCCCGGCTCTGCCACCGACTCGCCTTTGCCCCCTGGAGCCGCCTCATCTGTTTATGATCATCGCGCCCTCTCGTTCTCTGGGAGCGGCGTGAATCGACGCGACATTGTCAGCGCCGTGCGCTCGTCCACGTCAACAGTCGACTCTAATTCCCGGACAAGGTCAGGCATGTACGGCAGCGAGATATCACCCATCACGTCGCGCTCGCTGGTACGGCACCAGTCTGTGCCGCGGAAGGCAGTGCTCACCGGCAATGTCACGCCGGCATTGCTGTCCAACGTCGCCGAGGCGTTCCGTCAACTTATCCACCCACACGAGATCATCAAGGATGGCATCGCTTACAAGGACGCCTTCGACGGTCGCCTCGCAGTCTCCGTCATCGCGCAGATCATCAAGACGCCAGACCGCAATGTAGCTCTTCTGCTCGGCCGAGCTCTCGACGCGCAAAAGTTCTTCCACGACGTCACCTATGCCCACCGTCTGCGCGACACAGACAAGGAGGTGTACCAGTTCAAGGAGCGCTTAGTCGCGCCATTCATGAACGACTCTGCCGTCATGGACAGCCCCTCGTCGGACCACTTGGGGCTGGCCACTCGCCCACCTTCGCAAGGTAGTGGCACGATACGAAATCCGTACCGCCAGAACATACTCGACTCGCCCGTGCAGGCGTCTGACTCGCAGAACTCGCTGTTCGGCAGCGGCTCCACACCCAAGCCTGGTCTGGCTGTTTCCGGGGCGGCCATTGGAGACGACAGCGACGACGACGATCTGCCGAACGGTGTCTTCACACTCCTCACCGATTGTTACTCGCCAACATGTTCGCGCGAGCAGCTGTGTTACTCGATCAACTGTCCCCGCCGGCTGGAGCAGATGAAGCGCCTCAACGTCAAGTCGGCCCACCCCGGTCTGCAGCGCAAGATCCAGGAGGAGACTGTGCTCGACGACGTAAAGGAGACGGGAACCCTGTGGATCCACTCGGTGTCGCAGGAGATTCTTGACAGTGTCGACGACCGTGAGAAGAAGCGCCAAGAGGCTATCAACGAAGTCATTTACACCGAGCGTGACTTTGTGCGTGGTCTCGAGTACATGCGCGACTGCTGGGTCAAGCCATTGAGGACAGAGGACGTTCTTCCGCTGTCGGAGCGAGAAGAGTTCATCAGACAAGTTTTCTGGAATTTCCTCGACGTGCTCAAGGTCAACCACGTACTTGCCGAGCGCCTGACCAAACGACAAAAGCAGCAGCCCGTGGTGCAGTCGATCGGCGACATCTTCCTCGAGTGCGTGCCGCGGTTCGAGCCATTTGTTGTGTACGGCGCACACCAGCTATTTGGCAAGTACGAGTTTGAGAAGCAGAAGACTTCGAACCCGGCTTTCCAGAAGTTTGTGGACGAGACGGAACGCAAACCCGAGTCACACAAGCTCGAACTGAACGGTTACCTCACCAAGCCGACAACACGTCTTGGACGTTATCCGCTCCTGCTCGAGGCGGTCCTCAAATACACGCCTGATGACCACCCCGACAAGACGGACTTACCCGAGGTTGTCAAAATGATCCGCTCGTTCCTGGCCAAGGTTAACGAGGAGAGTGGCAAGTCGGAGAACATTTTCGAGTTGGCACAGCTTGAGTCCCAGCTCGTGTTCCGGCCCCAGGAGAACATTGTGAGTGCGACAATGTAGTACGAGGTTGACATGGCAGGACCTGCGTCTGCGCGACAAGAACCGAGAATTGATCCACAAGGGTCCGATGAAGCGCCGCGGCGGCACGCAGGGCGAGAACGCCGATTTGCTAGCGTTCCTGTTTGACCATGCGTTCTTGCTCGTCAAGTCCAAGTGGATCAACAAGACGTCAGAGCAATACAAAGTGTACCGGCGACCGATTCCGCTCGAGTTGCTGGTGCTCCAGACGCCCGAGGACAATTACAACTCTACGAAGCTTTCGACGACCGGTCGCGCGAAGCTCATCGCGCGGGCTGGCAGCAAAGCGACCCCGTCGCAGCCAGCACATGTGCCACCTAAACCAGAAAGCAAGCATGGCTTCTCGGTCACGATCACTCACCTCGGCCGCAAGGGTTACCAGCTGCAGCTATGGGTGGACACGTACGTGAGCCGCAAGAAGTGGGTCGAGAGCATCGAGAAGCAGCAGCAGGCCATCCGCGATCGCTCCACTATTTTCCACAGCGAGACTATCACCGAGGGCTTCTTCCAGGGATTGCGTCGAATCAACTGCCTCAGCCCGTACGACAACGGAAACCGCATGATTTACGGTACCGACGAGGGTGTTTACTTCTCCAATCTCCGCGACCCCAACTTGCGCGAGCCCGTCAAGGTCATCAACATGACAGACGTGACGCAGGTCGACGTCATTGAGGAGCTGCAGCTGCTGATCGTCCTGCACGAGCGCTCAGTGACGACGTTCCCCCTCGACTGTTTGGATCCTAATGACCCGAATGAGGCGTTGAGGCGGGGCAAGCGTATCTCAAGTCACACCAGCTTCTTCAAGTCGGGCATCTGCCTCGGGCGCACCTTGGTCGCCGTTGTCAAGAGCAGCCCGCTCAGCAGTACGATCAAGGTACTCGAGCCAGTGGATCGGGATCAGTCGATGCGTGGCAAGAAGCCGCACCGCGGCTTTATGGGCCGCCTGAACAACTCTCAGGACACCCTCAAGGTGTTCAAGGAGTTCTACATCCCGCTTGAAAGCTTTTCCGTCTACTTCCTCAAGACGAAGCTGTGCGTCGGGTGTCAGAAGGGCTTCGAGATCGTCGACCTCGAGACACTGGACATGCAGTCGCTGCTCGACCCATCCGATCCTTCGCTTGACTTTGTCCTCAAGCGCGACGGCGTGCGACCCATGGCCATCTACCGCATCGAGGGTGACTTTTTGCTGTGCTACGACGAGTTTGCCTTCTATGTCAACAAGAATGGTTGGCGTGCGCGTCCCAAGTGGGCGATTATCTGGGAGGGTTCTCCAACGTCGTTTGGTGAGTACAGCTCGTGGTTGCTTCGTACTAACCCCAGCTCTGCAGTACCCCTACGTCATCGCATTCGAGCCAACGTTCATCGAAGTGCGGTCCGTCGAGTCTGGCCACCTCGTCCAGATCATCCCAGGCTCCAACATCTCCTGCCTGTTCGCCGACATGCCGCCCTCGACCGTCAACGCACCCATGCCCATGCTCCAGAATCGGCAACCCATGTACCCGCACCCTCAGCAGGGCATGTATCGTCCTCCGATGGGCGGCAGCTATGGGCAGCCCCAGCCGCAGCCCCAAGGGCCGTATGCGTACCCGCAGAACTTCCAGCAGCCACTGCGCCCGCACATGCCCCAGCAATATGGCATGCCGCCACAGCCTATGGCGCCATACCGCAACTTCCTGTACCGCCCGCAGGTCATCTTCGGGAGCGAGGACGGCCACGTCCAGTTCCTCAAGCTTCCGCCGCCACGGGCGGGCCGAAGATCGTCGGATTCGCGCAGCGTGCATTCTATGCGATGAGCGCAGCGAGACACACGCCACCTGTGGTAGTGCTGCCGCCATGGTAGAGTCAAACGGGCTCCCACCACACCGCCACCAGTCAGGAGGCATTCATGCGAGACGGGGACGAATACAAGTCCGGGAAGTAGACACCACATAATGACCGTGACGGCCAGCAGCGCACGACGCTGGCGGCGGATAGAAGCCCACGTTCGTTCATGTCCGTGATGTTGGGTTTGATTGTAGCATCAGTCATGGAATACTACGAGCACCGGGGGTGAGCAGAGCGAAGCGAGCGGCGAGCGGCGAGCGGCGAGCGGCGACTGGAGCGATGAGAGAGCGGAGAACAACAGCATGGGATGCTTGTAAAGTCGTCCGCACGTCTCGGCCCACCTCGGCGATTTGCCACCGCCACGTCATGACGCGTGTCCAACCTCCACATCTCATCTCCCCTTTCTCCTTCTTCTTCATCCACCCCCTCTCCCATGCCATACTAACATGCCCGTCCCCCGCCTCGCAGCGTACGGCCTCATCTCCACCGCCTTGGCCGGCGCCGTCGTCGGCGGCGCCATCACCACACGCCCCAACTTCTATGCCGCCGCGGTGTCAGTTGGGCGCAGCGGAGGAAGTCTAATGGTAAGTGACGATGGGCTCGTCGTGTGAGCACTCTTATCCACATCTCGAGCCCATTTACCTCCTTCTACTGCCCTCGCGCGCTCTGTGAGTCTCTTTACTCATACCAGGTCCTCGCCAACTTCTGCCTCTTCATCGGCGTCATCCTCGGCGTAGGCTTCAAGCACCTTTTCTTCGGCGACCTCCGTCCCATCGAGTATGAACACATGTTCGAGCGCCTCTGGATATTCCTCACCGAGTCTCTCCTTGCCCTCACAATATTCCGGGACGACTTCAGCGCCTCCTTTCTGGCCCTCTACTCGGCGCTCGTCTTCCTCAAGTGCTTCCACTGGATCTCGGCCGACCGCGTCGACTACATTGACCAGGTGCCCCCGCCTGGTCCGCCGGCATGGTTCCACGTACGCCTCGGCGCCGTGTTGGCGCTCCTGACGACATTCGACGTCCTGCTGTTTCTGTACTCGATGGAGCACGTCATGGTGATGGGCGTCAGCGCCATGGTGCTGTTTGCCAGCGAGTTCGCCATCCTCGTTGCCGCTATTTCGGGGACGTGGGCGCGGTACGCCGTCGGAGTGGCGGATCTCCACCGGGCGAGGGGGCGCGCGGACGCTCCTCCCTGGGAGGAGAAGAGCATGTATCTCTTCTACATTGATCTCGCAGTTGGTGCGTTCTACTCCAGGCGTCGCTGACTCAGATTTCGCCAAGCTCCTCACGTACCTTGCCTTTTTCATTGTCATCTTCCTCAACTATGGACTTCCCGTCCACATCCTCCGCGACGTGTACATGACACTCCGCTCGTTTCTGGCACGCGGCGCCGACTTGGTGCGGTACCGCCGCGCCACGCGCAACATGGATGAGCTATATCCCGACGCGACGGCGGATGAACTCGCCCGCCTAGGCGACCACACCTGCATCATCTGCCGTGAGGAGATGGTGGCGGAACAGCCAGCGAACGCAGAGGGGCCGAACGAGACGCCCAAAAAGCTGGCTTGCGGCCACGTCTTTCACTTCCACTGCCTACGATCGTGGCTCGAAAGGCAGCAGATCTGCCCAACGTGCCGCCGCGACGTTCTCGCCCCGACGCGCACCACCCCTCCCCCGCCGCCGCCGGTGCCCGCACCAGTGCCGCAAGACGACGTGGGTCTGCCAGAGAACGATGCCGACCGCATGCGCTCCGCCTTTGAAGAATACTTCAGGCTTCCCGGCGTCAACGGCGACGCGCCGGCTCATGTCCCGCCGCATCGCCCCCCGCGCACCGCATCAGCCCCGCCAGAGACGGACAGCGACGACGCGCGCCTCCAGCGCGGAATCTGGGGCGCGCCCATCGTGCCGGGCCGTTTCGCTCCGCCTCCCCTAGGCGCGGCGCCCTCTGAGAGAGCGCGCAGTGGCCCAAGTGGGGCCGTGACGCCGGCCGCGTCCCAAGCGCCCATCGTCTTTTCGTCAACAGGCTCGCCGCGCGTCCCTACCCCGCCTCGGCATCAAGTCGATAACGACGACGACGACGATGTGCCACTTCGCGAGGCGGCGGCTGCTGCAGCTCTGCGCCGCTTCAATGCTGGCACGAGTGCTTCCTCATCTAAACCTGACAAGGGCAAGGGACGCGCGGTCGACCCCGACGCGTTCGACGCGCCAGCGACCCACCGCATCCTGCTCACGCCGCACGCCCTACCTCCCCCGCACACGGGTGTGGCGCGCACGCCCGAGGCGGCGCGCGTGGCACTAGATGCGCGCCTCAAGGCGCTCCGGGACGTGGACGACGTCGTGTGGTCCCTCGTGGGCGAGCTCAGCCGCCTGCGGAGTGCGTGGGAGGCGGAGGACGAGCCGGAGCGCGAGCACCGAGAGGCACGGGGGGAGGGGAGCGAGTCGCCGCTGTTCGGAAGAAGCGAGGCGGGGCCTAGTACATAGCACATGCATAGAGTGGCCGTTTGCTGAGCAGGTACGCTTGGGGCACAAGGATGGTGCGCCCATGCGACCGTGAGGTGATGGATTTCGAGGGGCATGGGGCTGGGGCGCGGCTGCTGGTTGACAGCAGTCCATGCAATCGAGTGCCGGTACTCATCCCAACGGACTGTGATATGGCGGTTCATGTTGAAACGCAGCTGGTATAAGCCGTCGTGATGGCGCCACAGTTGCCGAGCCACTGTTATCATGCGGCAGCCATCACCTGATCTTCACGCAATACATCTCTTTCTTGCCCTCGCTCCAGAAGACATGGGTAAAACCCCCCTTGCATGAAGCTGTCCAAAACCTCCGCATCTCATCGGTGAAGACAGAGGCCACAGAGCACTCTTTGGCATAGGCCGAGTGCGCACACGTATACTGGTTAAGCTCTCCCAAGCTTGACGGGTAGACCTCGGCTCGACAGTAATCGAAGGTGGTCTGTTCGACAGTTCAGAAGTGCAACGGAAACACTTGTTGGGCTTGTACACAAGACTAACTACGAGGTGCTCCATCATTGCGCCGGCCCATCCCTGCGCTTTCCGCGCTGTTCGTGGCAAGGTCTGGGGGAGCATCCGCGGTATGGCGGGAAGGACGTGGCGACCCGAGCAACGCAACAGCAAATGCATACAAGTCTCTATGAATGAAGGGTCCATGCTCTATCTCCAGTGTCACCTCTCTCTGTCATTGCCTCACGATGCGCGAGTTTCCAAGATAACTCGCGGCCCGCCGGTCATCGGCCCCCAGACGCGCATACTCGAGCACCATGCGCAGCATGTACGCCTGCATGTCCTCCCACCGCCAATGTGTGCGCGTGAACTGTACCGCGGCCTGGGCGATCTCGCGGGCCGCGGCATCGCCTACGTCTGCGCCTTCCGAGTCAGGCGAGCCTGCGAAATACGACATGACATCGTACAGATCGCTGTAGTCGGCCTGGACGGGCTGGTGTGAGTCATGTGCGCCTCGACTCCACGCTTTTCCTCAACGTCAACTCACCACATAGTGCACCCATGGCGTCAGCCAGTCGGTCATCCACTCGGGATAAATCGTCGTTTTGATGACCATGCTACCACTGGACAGGAGGCGGTGGAAGCGCGAGCTCCACCCGTTTCCGTCCGTGTCGATGACATAGGCGTACTTCTTCGCTTCTTCGGGTTTGACGTGCTCCTTGAACGCGATCTCGGCCCGCATCTCCTCACACGTCCCGTCTTCGTCGCACTGCGACACCTTGCCCGCCAATCCGACGTCGAGGTACTTCTCGCTGAGCTCGGCCTGGGCGAACGTGCGCTGTTCCCACCCACCGCCTGCGGCGCGCACCCACACCCGCGCATCCCCGCTCGCATTGTTCGCGAAGAGATGCAGGCGTGGCCGGTGCGAGTGCCGCCAGTTGTACGTCTCCCGGTTCGCCTGTTTCGCCGAGTAGTGGTCGCCGGTCATGGAGCCGCGCCAGAACACCTTGCGCACCGTCTTGTCCGCCCACTCGGACGAGGTCCGCATCCCCTCGGGGCTTGTGGCATTCGCGACACCCCCGAGCGGCGTCAGCACCATGTCGCTGCACTGTGCGAGCTTGCTCTGCTGGAACAGCGGGCGGAGGTTGCAGTGGCGTCGGAAATGCCAGCTCATTGCGCCGTGGAGGTCGAGCAGCTCGGGCGCGTGGCAGAAGTTCATCTTCGGCCGGGGGTCATACACGAACGTCGCTGATGTCAGGCTCTGTAGAAGCGGTGACTTACTCTGCTCATCGGCGAATTGGGCGGCATACGGCATAGGCGCGGACACGTTGCCGGCGCGCACGGCCGCTTGGGCGCGCCGCGCCGGCGAGTCGGCGGGACACACGACGAGAAGGCCAAGCCCGTAGTCTCTGGCGTTTTCGAGGCGCCTGAGCTCTTCCGTGTCGATCAGCGTGCCGGCCGCCGCGTGGTCGAGGAGTGCGTGCCGCAGCTCGTCGTTGAGGATATGGCTACCTTGGTCGTGGTTCGAGATGACGAGGCGGACGTCCGAGTCGAGATACTGCCCGAGCGGCGCGAGCAAGTTGTGGTGCTGCTGTGCACGCGCGCCATGTCCCATGTCGCCCGTTACGGACGAGCCGTTCGGGCCGAGCGTAATCGTGCTGGTGTCAGCGACGCCTCGTTTCCGCCAGGCTCTGGTCCCGGGATGGGCGAAGATGGAATCAAATTCTGCCACCAGCAGGTATTACTAGGCTTTTGAAGATATCGGATATATACTCCCGCTGACCGCGGGTTAAAGAGTCGACAACATCTGCCCCCGTGGCCTGGACTGACGCGTGTCCGATGATAATGACATCATCTCCCCTCCTGCCATCCGTCGGGTCGCGGCGTCGCACTTTCTTGGCTCTTGGCTCTTTCTCATCGAGTGCCGCAGTTGATCCGCAGCGCCGCAGCATCCCGCTCAACTCGGTCGTCCTTTTGTTCTCCCGCGCTCTCCGCCTACTCCGCTCTCCCCCACCCGCCGAGCGCTCATCACGCGACGTTGTACACCCGTGCGGGGCCTCGTCGCGCAGTCGTCTATCCGCGTCTGTGAAACGTCATTGCCAGTCTCATTTTCTGGTGAAAATAGCCCGTGTCAACCCAACATATGCCAACATCCTCCTCCACTCGTCACTACTTTCATCCTGCATCCTGCTTGTTTCTCTCTCTTGATTCTCACCATTCAACGATCAAGGCCAGAGTCACAGAGCTCTTGACTATCACCACCACGCATCCAACTCCGTCTCATCTGGCCTTGCTGGCCTTGATCATTCACACCCCTCGGCCCCCTCCCTCCCTTTACCACCCACTCGTCCACCACCACCATGTTGTCCCAGCCCGTATCTCCATTGCCACCACAACACCACCCCAACCCCATGGCCGAAGAGGACACCGCAAAAATCCTCGGCAAGATCATCAACGATGAGATCAATATGGACAAGGACTTCACCTTCCTAGCCGACAAGGAACTCTCCAATACCGACCAACAAGCTTCTGTAGCCATCCCAGATACCGGCCTCAAGAAGAACCTCCGTACATCACCCACTACCGCCAACGGACACTCCAATGGCCATCGCACCCCATACCACCGCGCCCCGCCCTCCGACGTGAGCTCACTGCGCAGCGAAGACGCCGTGACTGCCGAAGACGGAGGCAGCATCCACAATGTCGTCATCGACTTGGGCGACGACGGGCCTGATTCGGTACCTCGCATCTTGACAGACGGCAAGGAACGCCCGGCAGACGTCGACATGGGGCATGCCACACATCTCCAGGCCGTCCGGCACGGGGTGGAGCACCGGTTTGTGCCAGGCTCTCCGAGGGGCGACGACAGAGTCCACGAACACGATCTGCCAAGGGGGCCTAGAGGCGATGCTCTCGACCGTCAGACGTCCGACAGCCAGCAGGAGGGGCCCACAGGTCAGGGCGCGGGTCAGCATGAGGAGCGCCTCAGCAACAGTCTTGTCGAGGGGCAGCATGACGACTACACCTACCGACGCAGCCAGGAGTTCAACGACGGTCAGCCCAAGGCGTTCATGCACACCGACGTCGCTCCTCGTGAAGTCGACGAGCTTGGCCGCGAGACTGTCGCTATTCCCGGTGTCCACCCGCAGGAGCCACCGGGACCGCAGAACAACATCGAGCTCACCCCTCGCATTGTGCACCTACAGGTAGGCTGACCCCTGTGTCGCGCTGACAGTCAGTTTCACAACGTCGAGAACGACCTGGGCCAAAAGGCCAAACAGGGGCTCGTCGTTTCCCCTTATGGGGAGCGCGAGTTCGTCGAGACGCCTATCAGTGGCATCCTGGAGACCCCGGACGGCGAGAAGCGTGAGCCGATAAATCAGTCCGAGCTGGACATGGAGTTCGCTGCGCATGGGATAGGCCGTATCCCTCCCAACGTTGGCGACCGCGCCGATCGCAAGTGGGATGACCAGGGTTGGGAGGACGTCGACGAACCATCACAAGACGGCGGGCAGTGGCGCACAGCCGCTGGCGCCAAGGTCGGTGAATCAAGTACAACACACCATCACCCGAAGAAGCCTAGAATGCGGAAGCGATTCACCGCAAACGGGCACTCTACGCCACACGTGCATACACCAGGGGACGTCTCCTCGTCGACGCATACCGAGAAACGCCATGGCGGTACCGGTCTCAAGCTCATGAACCAGTTCCGCCGCGGTGGCAAGAACAGCCACATTAAGCCTGCCAAGGTCGACGTTGGCGCGCCATCAATGACGAATGAGATGCTCGCGGGGCAGCTGCCGGTGATGATCCTCAAGACGTGGCTGGACCGCGATGACGAAGGTCACCGCGCCGTCCCCGTTCTTCTCGGCAACCTCCGCTTCCGCATCGGCGACTCGGTGAGCATTCGCAACAGCGGCCGCAACACCGGCAAGGAGCTGTATAAGATCGAGTGCGAGTACGGTGACGGCGCTATCAAGTGGGTTGTGTACCGCGACGTGCGCGACTTCCTGTCACTCCACACACACTACAAGACTGCCAATCTGGGCCACCGCGTTACCCGCAGCAACGTGCGACATGTTGACATTCCCGATTTCCCACGTAATGGTGAGCTTGTTCGCGAGAGGTTTGCTAACTCTAGCTCTACCATACTGGGCACGCGATACACAGACGGCACTCAAGAAGGCGGCTGAGGAGGTTCAAGACGCTGAACGGTCTATGCGGCACTCTGAGAAGGACAAGCACCCGCAGCCACGCAGACAGGACTCGGGGCCTGTCATTCGCGATTTGCTGCAGCAGTATCTCATCGACCTCATCCGCGCGGTCATGTTCCGCCCCGAGTCGACGCGTCTGTGCATCTTCTTCGAGCTATCAGCACTGACTGTCGCTCTCGCACCCCGTGGCGGCTTCCAGGGCAAGGCTGGCTTCCTCAAGCTGCCTTCAACTCAGGTCAGCCGGAAAAGCAACCAGCCCGGCCTGCTTCCGAGCAAGTGGAAGATCAGCCGCACACCAAAGTGGTTCATCGTCCGCGAGTCGTACTGCGTCGCGACCGATGGTCCCGCCGAGACGGACATCTACGATGTCTTCCTGATTGACACCGATTTCACCATTGAGCGGCCGAAACGCGCTTACCGCAAGGGCCTGCATCTGCTCTCCCACAAGTCGTGCGTCGGCAGCCCCTGTTTCACTGACAGCTCCAGCAAGAGTGAGATTCCGGGTGAGGATCCCGAGGCTCACGAGGCGCACGACGAGAGCGGGAGTAACAAGAATGCGTCGCAGCACACGTTCTACATCTCCAATGCCCAGCGCCGCTTGAGGTTGCAGGCGAAGAATGCTGTGAGTTGGCCTAGCGACGCCACAACTGACACCAGCGCGCGATGCACCAGTTCATCGTCTCGATGGAGCGTGTCGCTATGCAGTGTATATGGGCGGGGCGGAACCGCTTCGACTCGTTCGCGCCTATCCGTGTAAACGTGGCTGCGCAGTGGATGGTCGATGGCCGCGACTACTTCTGGAACCTTAGTCGCGCGATCAACATGGCCAAGTCACGCATCTACATCCACGACTGGTGGATCTCGCCCGAGCTCTACCTCCGCCGGCCAGGTGATGAGAGATATCGACTCGACAACCTGCTCAAACGCAAGGCTGAGGAAGGCGTGCGTATCTTCATCATCATTTACAACGAGGTGTTGGCCAAGGCCACGCCCGTTGCGAGCCAGTACGTCAAGCAGACGCTCACGGGCCTGCACCCCAACATTATGATGCAGCGCTCGCCCTCGCATCTGCCCAACGGGACATTCTACTGGTCACACCACGAAAAGCTCTGCGTGATTGACGAGACGATCGCGTTCATGGGCGGTCTCGACCTATGCTACGGCCGCTGGGACACGAGCCAGCATATCCTCACCGACGAGGACTTTACCGCGGATACTGGACCCAACGCCCCCGTCTGGCGCGGCAAGGACTATGCAAACGAGCGCGTCGCCGAGTTCAGCGACCTCGAGAAGCCGTTCGAGGATTCGATCGACCGCCACAAGACGCCGCGCATGCCGTGGCACGACGTGGGTTTGTCGCTCGTCGGACAGCCGGCACGCGACCTCTGCCGCCACTTCATCCAGCGGTGGAACTACCTGCTCCGCATCAAGAATCACACGCGCAAGATGCCGTTCCTTCTCCCGCCTGCGGACTTCACCGAGCGCGAGCTCAAGGATCTCGGCCTGCAGGGCACGTGCGAGGTGCAGATCTGCCGCTCCGTCGGCCCGTGGTCGATGGGCACCATGTCCAAGATCGAGCACTCGGTGCAGAATGCCTATGTGAAGTGTAAGTCTTACAGCTCGTTTGTGACTGACACCCAGCCATCCAGCTGTCCGAACACTTTGTGTACATCGAGAATCAATTCTTCATCACGTCGACGATCGTGGATGGCACACCCATCGAGAACCGCATCGGCGATGCTCTCGTCCAGCGCATTATCCGCGCACACCGCGCAGGCGAGAGGTGGCGTGCCTGTGTTGTCATCCCACTCCTGCCTGGTTACACCCACCCCGTCGACGCGAGCGAGGCGAGCTCGGTCCGCCTCATTCTCGAGTGCCAGAACCGCACAATCTGCCGTGGCACACACTCGATTTTCTCGCGGCTCAGGAAGGAGGGGATCAACCCCGACGACTACATCAGCTTCTTCTCGCTGCGCGGCTGGGGCAAGTTCGAGTCGGGCGCCCTCACTACCGAGCAGGTGTACATCCACGGCAAGACGATGATCGTCGACGACCGCCTCGTACTATGCGGCTCGGCCAATATCAACGAGCGGTCGCAGCGCGGTGACCGCGACTCGGAGCTGATCTCGGTTGTGCGTGACACGGACATGATCGACGGCACCATGGCCGGAAAGCCGTTCAAGGTCGGGCGGTACGCGCATACGCTGCGTATGCGGCTCATGCGCGAGCATATTGGCGTCGACGTCGACGCGATCGAGGAGGACGAGCTCATGCTCCGCAAGCCGGTGGCTGATGTTGAGGACGTCGCGCTCTGGGACCCAGACAACGAGCAGGACGAGCGTAAGATGGGCCGTGGCATCTCGCGGATCAAGAAGAGCACGGCCGGCAGTAGACTAAAGATGACTGTGTCGACGGCCGTGCGCGGCATCACCAAGGGTGTGGGGGAAAACATCCGGAATGACGTGCACAAGACCGCCGAGAAGCTCAAGCATCCTGTCGCCGCCGCTCAGGGCGAGCTTCTCAAGAACACCCATGTTGGAGAGCACGACGGCCCAGGCGGCGGCCCCACCGGCGACACGAGTGAGCGGCAGGACGTCGGCCTCGACGGCAAGGTCATCCAGGGCTTTGCATCCTCTGTCGTGCCCACGCTTGAGGAGCGTGCAATTGCTGCCCGCCGACCGACCGAGCAGACGGAGCACGGCAAGCCATTGCAGGACATGGCAGACGAGGGAGAAGGCCCAGAAGAGGCCGAGGTGCACCCCCAGGACGAGAAGGCTGTGAACGAGCAGCCGCGCACTGAGATGTACGGCGAGCCGGCAAACGCGATTGAGGGCGACCACGACGTGCCGCGCGACGAGCCGACCATGGCCGAGGACCACGAGGCAGTCAAGGCGCGCGGCGTGCTGCGGAAACACTTGAACGCCAAACCCGGCATGGGGCCGTGGAACATGCCGACGCCGACGCCCAAGATTGACGCCAACAGATTCCACGACCCGCTGGACGACACCTTCTGGAACGACATGTGGGTCGCGACTGCGGTCCACAACACGCAAATCTTCCGCAAGGTGTTCCGCTGCATCCCAGACGACCTCGTGACAACGTGGGCGCAGTACAAGGCGTTCGCGAACCACATGGACAAGTTTGGGCGGACGGAGATCGCGCCGCCGGACGCGAGTGGCTCGGGCACCAAGGTGACGCACGACCAGGGCGGCGACGGCGGCGGCACAGTGGGCCCCGTGGGCCAGGACGCGCCGGACAGCGGCAAGGCGATGGACGGGAGCACGCAGGGGCGGTGGGGCGCGACGGCGCCGCCGAGCAACCTTGCCGAGGCGGGCAACGCCGTGCTCTCGGCGGTGGGCAGCGTCACTGGCGACCGCAAGTCTGTGGGCGGCAAGAGCGTGGGCAGCGATGCTACCGCGGGCGCAGCTGGAGCTGGTGCCAGCGGCCCCGGCCCCAAAGGCTCGCCGAAGGTGGATCAAAAGGAGGCGGGGGAGCGCAAGCCGAGCGGGGAGAACGATGCATGGGAGCAGTGGGAGATGGAGGAGATGGAGGCGCTGCTGAACGAGACGCGCGGCCACTTGGTAGTGTACCCCACGCGGTTCTTGGAGGCCGAGGATATGGCGAACAACTTCCTGTTCAACGTGAGTTGGCGCGCGTCATGATGTAGCTAACAGCCAGCAAGAGCGCATCCTGCCGCTCCTCATCTACAACTAGGTTTATCTCGGAGATTGGCATCTTGACCGACCTTGACATACCGCCCATCACGATTCCCGGCTATGTATATTGTGCGGACATGGCCGGTGCGGAGTGAGATGGCGAGATACCGAGTCCGCGGCCGGCGGCTGACATAAGGCATGGGAGGCAGGTGGGCAGTTCCTGAGGCGGGGGGCCTATCTGACCGGGACTGGCGAGTGGTCGTGTGCGAGGTGTGCCGGATGGCCGGAAACACGATAAGAACAGCCGGCTTGGCCGTGCAGTGACCCAGTGTCACGTACTGTACATCGACTCAGTGGGACCTGCTGGCGGCCAAGAGGCGGGGGATGTGCACTGCCCCCGCTGTGAATGGCTGCATGAATACGAGCTGCCCCACCGACGTGCTGGCAAGAAACTGGAGCTCGGCGGGGCTGATGGGGGGGGCAGCGGGGGGAGAGCGGATGAGATGGACGCGAGCAAACCTTTCTGCCGCCGCTTTCTGCCACCGCCACGCTCCACATGCCTAGGGCACAGGGCAGGCACAGGGCATCTCTGAGCCTGACACACTCTACCCCCGATTGTCCGACGACGAGAGCATTAGTAAGAGTCACAAATAGCATTAGGAGATGATTAGACTCCGTGTCCGGCCAATGGGGGCCGTGCCAGGCTCATCCCCGGTAGTGCAGGCCGATGCATCAGCCGAGAGCGGGCCTTCCTCGTGCTTGCTCTGGATTCAACTCATCTCCCCATCTCATTCAGCTCGAAGCTCGCAAGACCACCTCGCAATACCTCCTCGCTGTCTCGTAGTCTCCGCTCGCTCTCTTTGTGCTACTCGGCGCTCGATCCTCCATCTCCATCGCTCGCTGCTCATCCCCCCCAGCGGAGAAGTCCTTATCCGCCCGAGCCCAATCTCGTCCCACTCGCGCCGCCAGATCCCGCCTCGAGCCTCGCCTCGAACACTCTAGTCGCGGTGAGTACCACTGGCCCGAGCGCGAGCGCCAAAAGTCGCACGACTGATATCAGCCACCAGCCGACGGAGCGGAGACGGAGTATCCCATTGCGCATCCCCGGCCGTCCCGCTTGGCCCCGACGCCCAACGCCCAAGAACGAACGAGAGCAAACGAGAGCGAGAACGAGAACACGTCGTCTACCACCCATCACCCATGCGCCCACCCACGCCCCCGCTCACCGCCGCCGACCCCGCGCCACGCATGTCCCTCCCCGACATCTCGATCCCGCAGGCGCGCCGCATCGCCGTCGACACGACCGGCGCCCAGATCGTGCAGGAGGAGAGTCCTGCGGTGAGTCTGATTTTGACGCCTTCCCTCCAAACCAGCTCGCCCCCTCCGAGCCCGCTTCTGCACAAAACCACCGACGCCGTTAAAGCATACGGATGTGCGCCGGGGTATGGAGGCAGGTCACACCCGCCTGCGTCTTCTCCGCTCGTCACCTGATCACGGGCACAATCTTCCGAGACCGAGGTGGTTCACGCGAATGTGGCTAGAGGCACGCGAGTGGCTCGCGAGACCGCGATGACGGTGCCCGCCGAGCCGGGCGCAATCTACATCATGGGCGGCGCTCGGCTTAGCGTGCAGACGCTGCCCCCACTCCACTCCGACGCGCCCCGCTCGCTTCATTTGCGAGAGATGAACCCCCCACCCCCACCCACCTTCCTTCGGCGCCCGCTGACCCCAGACACGCGACTCTCGGGGCATCTACCTTCCGCACTACATCGAGCCCGTCTCGCACATCGCCATCGACATCGGCGGATCCCTTGCCAAGGTCGTGTACTTTACCCGCTCGTCGCAGCCCCTCTCCGCCTCGCCTCCCCAACCATCATCCCCATTCCTCGCGCCCTCCGAGACTCTTACCTCGCCAGGCTCATCTTCCACCCACCTTCCCTCGCCCGAGAACTCGATCCTTCTTGATGGCACAACTGAGCGCCCCAGACCCGTCGTCAATGGCGCCCTGACCCCCGGCATCCTCTCCGAGGTGCGCGAACGCTCCCCACCCAGACGATCACGGGGGCGGCGATGGAGCAGAGACCCGCGCTGGCGACGGGGGAGTGTCCCCGACCCCCTCCCCGGCGGCTTGGTAAACTTTGCGCGCTTTGAGACAGCATGTGTCGAGGAGCTCATCGAGTTCCTCAAGGACCTCATCGCCGAGAGCGCCAAGGCGAACCGCGTGAGCCTGGACCGCATGAAGTCGATGGTCAAGGTCATGGCGACGGGCGGCGGCGCGCACAAGTTCTACGACGAGCTGAGCCGCGAGCTCGGCGTGGAAGTAACGCGTGAGGAGGAGATGGAGTGCCTCATCCTCGGGCTGGGGTTCGCAGCGCGTGTGCCAGAGGAAGTATTCTGGTTCTCCGAGGAGCTCGTGTACAAGGTGTCGCACCCTGAGGGGCCGCGCACCATTCCGCCGAGTGAGCTGCCACGCCCATCGCCGACGCCGCCGGCATACCAGGTGACGTTTGCGCCTGCGGGCGACGACACCCCCGTGTTTCCCTGCCTGATCGTCAACATCGGTTCCGGCGTATCGATCGTCAAGGTCGATGAGGACGGCAGCTTTGAGCGTGTCTCGGGTACCTCGCTGGGCGGAGGCACGCTGTGGGGTCTACTCTCGCTCCTGACGGACGCGACGACGTTTGACGAGATGCTCCTCCTCTCCGAGCAGGGCGACAATAGCGCCGTCGACATGCTGGTCGGCGACATCTACGGCACAGACTACGGCAAGATCGGGCTGAAGAGCAGCACGATCGCTTCGAGCTTCGGCAAGGTGTTCAAGCACGGCGCGAAGAACGACCGCAAGAAGGCGTTCCGGCAGGAGGACATTGCGCGCTCCCTCCTCTACGCGATCAGCAACAACATCGGACACATCGCGTACATGAACGCGGCCAAGTATGGGCTCGACCGCGTCTTCTTCTCCGGTTGCTTTATCCGCGGGCATGCCGCGACCATCTCAACACTCAGCTACGCCATCCGCTTCTGGAGCAAGGGAACGATGCGCGCCTGCTTCCTCCGCCACGAGGGGTTCCTCGGCGCCATGGGCGCGTGGATCAAGAATGTGGAGCCGCACTCAGGCACTGCGACGCCTACGCCGGGCAACGCCACCCCGCAGCGCGCTGGTTGCGGCATGGCAGAGCATCACAAGAGCGTGGCGGAGGGACTGTCAAAGCTTAGTATATCGACGTAAGGAGAGCGTGGGGAAGAGCGGGGCGATGGGTGGGGGTCACAGGCGTACGCAGTATCTAGTTATCTAGTCTCTAGGCATGCATGTTGTTCGAGTACGAGTGCTGCAGCAGGAGAGACAGAGCGCGCGATTTGACTGGAGCCCGCAAGCGCAGTGCGGGCGCGGGAGTGGGTACGTATCCCTCCCCCCAACTCTCCATCCGTCCGGTGACATCGCGTCGCCACGTGACATGCTGTGCCTAACCTTCCACGACAGACAGCGTCCCGCATCTCCGCGTCGCTTGTTCTCTTCTCACTCTCACAAAACCATGCTCTCCGCCCCTCAGCAACGGCGGCCCCTCAGCGGGCCCAGCGGGGTGCCTCCCAGCGCCAGCGTGAGCGCGGGCGCCGGCGCCCACGCGCCGCACCACGCACACGGCGCCGACTACAAGCCGAAAGAGTCAGATGCCGACGCCAAGCTCCGCCTACGCGACCAGCCAGCCGAGGCGTTTGGCGGGCGTCGCGGCGCGCGCGCCGGCGCCATGCTCGGCCTGCGGCGCCGCGAATGGATCATCCTCGGCGCCGTGTGTGTTGTCGCGAGCTTTGTGCGGCTGTGGAACCTCGCGCACCCCAGCTCCGTAGTGTGAGTACCGACGCGCCTCACCTGACGCCAGCTTCGACGAGGTGCACTTTGGCGGCTTCGCCGCAAAGTACATACGCCGCCGCTACTTCATGGACGTGCACCCGCCGCTCGCAAAGCTCCTTGTCACCCTCTCCGCCTGGCTCGGCCGCTTCGACGGCCAGTTCGACTTCAAGGACATTGGCAAGTGCGTTGTTGTCGTGTCTCGTCCCGCCAGGCCCAGCTGACCGCAGGGACTACCTCGAGCCCAAGGTGCCGTACATGATCATGCGCGCGTTCCCCGCCCTCTTCGGCCTCGCGCTCGTCCCACTCACGTTCCTTACTCTCATTTCGCTCCGCCTGTCGCTCGCGACAGCGATCCTCGGCGCATTCCTCGTGACGTTCGAGAACGCCCTGATCACCCAGTCCCGCCTCATCCTCCTCGACTCGTACCTCGTCTTCTTCACCGCCCTTACCATCTTCTTCTGGGTGCGGTTCTCCAACGACGACTCGGAGGGCCGCGCGTTTACGCGCTCGTGGTGGCGCAACCTCGCGTTCTCGGGCGCAGCCCTCGGCGCCGTCGCGAGCTGCAAGTGGGTCGGGCTGTTCACCATCGCGACCGTGGGCCTCGGCACAATCCGCCAGCTGTGGCTGCTTCTCGGCAACCTCAAGGTCACGCCGCGCATGTGGGCGCGCCACTTTGCCGCGCGCACGCTCTGCCTCATCGTCCTCCCCATCTCCATCTACATGTTCACATTCATGATCCACTTCTGGATCCTCGACCAGTCGGGCGACGGCGACGGGTTTATGTCCTCCGAGTTCCAGCACACTCTCGACGGCCACGGCATGGACGACACCTACGCCGACGTCGGCTACGGCTCCCTCGTCACCATCCGGCACGTCAACACCCAGGGCGGGTACCTCCACTCGCACGCACACGCCTACCCCGGCGGCTCGAAGCAGCAGCAGATCACGCTGTACCCGCACAAGGACGAGAACAACGTCTGGCGCATCGTCAATGCGTCCGAGCCCGACGGGCCTGTCAGCTACCCGTGGGACGAGCTGCCGCTCGAGTACGTGCTCTCCGGCAACAAGATCCGCCTCGAGCACGTCGAGTCCGACAAGCGCCTGCACTCGCACGATGTGCGCCCACCCGTCTCCGAAGTCGACTTCCAGAACGAGGTGTCGGGCTACGGCTTCCCCGGCTTTGCTGGCGACGCCAACGACGACTTCATCGTCGAGATCGTCAAGGAGACGCGCGGCAAAGACCGCCAGGCGCGCCACCGCCTGCGCACCCTCCGCACCCACTTCCGCCTCCGCCACGCCATGACTGGCTGCTACCTCTTCTCGCACAAGGTCAAGCTCCCCGAGTGGGGCTTTGAACAGCAGGAGGTGACGTGCAACAAGAATCCGACGTGGGACAACTCGCTGTGGTACATCGAGACGAACGTGCACCCGCAGCGTGAGATTCTGCGCTGAGCAAAGCTGACCACAGTGCCCCCCGACGCCGAGAAGGTCAACTACGTCCGGCCTGGGTTTATCAGCAAGTTCCTCGAGCTGCAGGGCGTCATGTGGCGCACCAACGCCGGGCTTACCGACCGCCACGCATACGACTCGCGCCCGCAGAGCTGGCCTTGGCTTCGCCGCGGCATCAACTTCTGGGTCAAGGACCACCGCCAGGTCTACCTCATCGGCAACCCCGTGATTTGGTGGAGCTCGACGGCCACCATCGCCCTGTACCTCGCGTTCCGCGGCATCCTCATTCTGCGCGCCAAGCGCGGCTACCGTGACCTGCACCAGGGTGAGTTCTATGCTTGGCGATTACGCTGACAGCAGCCAAAACCGCATTCTACGACGAGGTGTGCAGCTTCCTCGTCATGGGCTGGGCGCTGCACTACCTCCCCTTCTTCCTCATGCAGCGCCAGCTCTTCCTGCACCACTACCTCCCGGCGCTGTGGTTTGCGATTCTCATGTTCTGCGCCGTCTTTGACTACTTCACCTCGCGGATCCGCCCGCGCGCGCGCTTCCAGCTCGCCATTGTCGTCATCGTTCTCGCCCTCTGGTCGTGGCACTACTTCTCCCCGCTCACCTACGCCAAGCCGTGGACCAAGCGCAAGTGCGAGGACGCAAGATGGCTCAAGACGTGGGACTTTAGCTGGTGCGTAGTCTCCGTGAACACGACTGATGCCAGCGGCGACTTCCGCGACCAGATGCACCAGTACTACGACGAGAGCGCGGTGCACAAGCCCGCGCACTCGGTGTACTTGGACCAGGAGAGCCACACGACTCTGGTCGAGGAGGCGCCTGAGCCGATCAAGAACGTGTTTGACGGCGGCGACGACGCCGCGCAAGAAGAGAAGACGCAGGGCCTCGGCCCCAACAACGAGGTCAAGATGCAGGAGAGCACAGCTGCTGCGGGCCCCGCGCCCGTGGAGGACGACGCGCCTGTGCCCGCCGACGACCGGGCGCCAGTGGGCCTCGACGCCGGCGCGCTCGAAGTAACGGGCGCGGCGCACGACGAGGGTGGCTGGCACGGCGGCGCGAACGAAGCCGCGCCAAAGGACAAGGAGGACGCCAAGGCCCCCGTCGGTGCCAAGGTCGACGTGCCGGAGATGGAGCTCGACGCCGACGCCAAGCGCTTGGCTGACGAGGCGATGCGGGACGCCGAGGCGTAATGGCGTCTGGCGCGAGCCGAACACTTCATGCGATCCGTACCATCCGTAGCATCTTGTCGCGATGTATTCATAGATCGGCGGTGGGGTGGGGGCTGTCAGCCAGGACGGCGTTGGTGAGGGGAGCGCGGCGGAGGCGCAGCCACGGCAATGATCACGCAAGATCGACGCGCAACGAGCCGCAAACCAACATGTACATATCCACGAGTTCTCTAGCGGCGACCAGAACTCAAGCCTTGCTCGCCCCCTCCTTCTGGCCCGTCCACACCTCCGCCTCGCGCTCCACGACGGGCCCCACGTCCCCCGCCACATCGCCCTTGACGTCGAACACGCCGAGCCCGACGTCCATCTCGACATGTGTCCCCTGCCTTCCTTCATCCCCCTCCTCATTCTCCTCATTCTCCTCCCCCTCCTCCCCCTCACCCTCGCCCTCACCATCCTGTCGTTCCCCACCCGCAGCCTCCAAATCCCGCCGCAGCCGCCCGTCAATCGCCACATCTTCGCCGCGCTCCTTCCGCGCTGCGAGCTCGGCATTCGACGCCGCCATGAGTGGGAGGAAGGCGCGGGCGCGCGCGAGCGCTGGTGTCAGCTGCAACCGGAGAAGTGAGGCGTACCGTCGCTCTCGGGGATGGCGAAGGGTTTGCTGGGGGTCGGGAAGGGGTCCGAGTTGGTGGGGGGAGATGGGGAGGAGAGGGCGGAGAAGAGGGTGCCTGGTGTTAGTGGGTGGAATTAGGTGGAGGAGAGAGGAGGGATGGGAGAGAGGAGACGAAAGGCGAGGAAGGGAGGGGAGGGGAGGTGAGGAGCGGAGCGGAGAGCAGACGAGGGGAGTGGAGAGAGCACGAGAGGGGACAGAGAGGATAAGAAAGAAGAGAGACAAGACAGAGGAGAGAAAAGAGAACACCCACCGAGACGCTCGCGGCGCTGCTCGTCTGTCTCGACGTCTAGGCGGGGCATGATGGATAGAGCTGATGGAGAGATCGAGAGACGAAGAGTTGCGGAGATGACGAGTGGAGGTTGATGTGGAGGTCGCAAATTCGCTGCGTCATGGCCCACGCTCGACTTCGCACGACCCGCTCATGCCCGTCATGCGACCATACGAGTCAAGGTGAGCAATCGCGAGCAACTGAAACAAATGCTCTGCATGATGCCTCCATTACGCCTACTGATGTACAAAGCTGCGGGGTGTTTAGAGGTCGTACTCGTCCGAGTCCGAGTCGTCGCGCTTGCGCTGGATCTGCCATGAGCTAGGACTTGCGGCGAGCCTACAGTGATGCCGCCGCCGAGGGTACGCGTGCGCGCCGAGGTCTGCGTGAGCTTGGGAGCCGACTGGGCGGGAGCCGCGACCTGGTGTGAGCTCCGCGAGGCGCGAGAGAAGGAGAGCGATCTAAAGCATGCTGCTTGATTGACATGGTCGATGACTGGATACAAAGCTCGCGGGCCGTTGGTCGCCGCCCGCTGTGTGCACCCGACAACATTGCGCGGAGTGCAGCACACGCCACGCCGCTCCACTCTGCACCTCCGCTCACACTCACCTGCTCCAGCAAACCCTTGAGCGCCTCGTCCGTGACCTGTCCGCGAATCTGGCCCTGCTGGCCCATGCGCACGAGGAGGTCCTCTACCTGCGCGGCGAGCTGAGGTCGCGTGAGAGAGATGCGGGAGACTGGAGTCAGCGTCCGGCGGTGTAGTCGGGCGAAATATCGCAGCGGGAGAGGTGAGCTGTGAGGAGTAGGCGGCGGTAGGCAAGGGAGCGCTTCGGCGAGAAGGACTCTGTGCAGTGGCCCGCCCCATCTCGCTCCAGCAACAAGCAATCTGCCAACATCTCTGTCGCCGAGCTGGTCAGTGGAGCCCTTGCACACACGTCTCTTGCTCCGACGCCGCTTCCCCACCTCCCTCCCTCCGTCCCCCACCCCCCGCCCCCCGCCCAACGATCGCTCAGCCACTCACGCCGCTCACGAGCCGCGGGCTCGAGCATTGCCTGGATCATGGTGCGCTTCGCCTCGGCCTGCGCCGCCTGGCGCTGCGCGGCCTCCGGGTCGTCGCCGCCCTGCTGAGGAGCAGCGGCGGGGCGCATGCCTGCCGGGAGCTGGAAAGACATTGTAGAGTCGAGTGGAAAGCAACAACAAGAAGCGGGAGAGGGAGAAGGGATGCCACAACTCCGGGCCGCGGCGTTTTGGGCGGGGCTCCAGTGACGCCCTCCAGTCCGCCCATGTCATCGTCGACATCCTCCTCGTCCTCTTGCACTCTCCAAACACACTCTCTAACAAACAAGCATGGCCGACACGAAGGCCCGCGGGCCCGTAGAGGAGCTTATTGCCAAGCGGCTGCGCCCGCTGAACAAGAAGATTGTGAGTTGTTATGTGTGAGCGGAGCTGAGCATTCAACCACGCCTGGATGCAGCTGAAGGAGGGATGATCAGTGAGCTAACTCCAGCAACGCTTCAAAGGCTACCAGTCCAAGGCCCCCGCCGACCTCAACAATGACCAGCGCGCCGGCATTGCCTCTCTTCCGCAGCTCGAGGCTGCCGCTAAGGAGCTCGAAGAGCTCTCGCGTGCCGTCGAGGACGCAGAGCTCGTAGCGGCCGCCAAGATACGCGAGGAGCGCGAAGCCGCGGAACGCGCGTTCGACGCCCGCGTCGCGGCCGCCATCGCCGACTTCCAGCTGACCACCGCCACGCGCCTCGCCTCTTTCCTCTCACTTCACTCCCTCCTCCGCCCCGCGCGCCCCGACGACCACGAGAACCTCACCTTCGCCCCCCTTGCCCTCCCCCTCCGTCTGCAAGACGAGGTGCGCGCGACCGACATCCTGCGTGTCGCGCGCATGTACGATGATCTGACCTCTGGCGGAACCGCGGGGCATGCTGTCCTTGTCTCGCTCTCCTCCGACATACAGGAGGACGACGAGGATGAAGAGGCTGTCCGCGTCCACCGCCTCCTCGCCCTACTCAGCCAGGAGGAGTCTGAGGTTGGAACCGAGGACAGTGTCGCTCTCGACGGGCAGAGCACCGTTCCCGAGCCGCCCCAAAGCGTCGCCGATGCTCTCGAGACCACCCCAGAGGGCTCGGAGTTTGACCCACAGCGCACCCCCGTTGTGGCCACGGTCGGCCTTAGACCCTTCGACGATGCGCCGCTCCTGCGCGGTGTCGCTCTAAACTTCCTGCAGGCGGACGAGCTGGCGCCCAGCACTGATTCCGACTTCGCCATCGAAGTGGAAACGCCCGTGACGGAAGTGACTGTGAGTTCCTTTGCGCCGTGGAGGATCGGCAGGAGAAGCTGACTCCAGTCGTCGCGCCAGTCGGTGACTTTGGACTGGGCGGATCAGGACGACGACGACTCGGCTGCGCCTCTCGAGGCGGCACTTGGGTCGCCGACGCCCGAGGAGGGCGACGTGACGGTGCAGATCGACGCCGTCGTGGTCGGCGTAGAGAGTCTCGAGGTGGGGTCGGAAAAGGAGGAGCCTGCCTCGGCGGCATCGGGCGTCGCGTCGGCCGAGGAGAGCGGCGCGGAGCGCCGTAAGCGCAAGCCTAAACCGCGCGCGAAGAAGGACAAGGCGGCCGAGGTCGGCAAGGGCAAGCCGGTGGACGAGGAGGGTTTCGAGGTGAAGGCCCCGCGGCGGGCGAGCGTGCAGCGCGGGCGTGGAGGGCGCGGAGGACGTGGACGCGGTGCTCGTGAGTTTTTAAATCAATGGCAGGGCTAACATCAGCCCGCGAAGGAGGACGCCAGGGTGAGCGTGAGCCTCGTGAGGGTGAGCGCCGCAAGTCGGAGAAGGAGGCCAACGGTGGACCACGACGCCCTCCCCGCAAGGAGGCCCCCAAGGACAAGCCCAAGGAGGCCAAGCCTAAGCCGTCGATCTACAAGGCCGTCCAGCCGGGTGCGCCTACGTCGGCGCCTATTCTGTAGTGAGAGAGTGTGTGGTTGCGTGATGAGGACATCGAGCAGGAAGAAGCAGCGACATGGGCGACATGCATGAGAAGTTACAACTGGTACAGGCACAGGTGTTAAATGGGTTGCTGGTGGATGGTTGAGAGTGGGAGGGAGGGCTGGATCTAGTCTCTACAATGAGACAAGCTAACCGGTGGCGTCGGCACCGTCGAACGAAGCGTCAAAGCTCGTGTGGAACGAGTCGTCGAAGCTCGAGTCAACTTCTGTGCGTTCCGAGATACGCGCGAGGCGGCGGTTCGCGAACGTGATCACGAGGAGATCGGGCTGGCCGCCGGGCGGGGTAGGGACGAATTCGGTCGGCTCGGCAAGCGGCGACATCTCGATGTGTTCCTCGGGCGTCGAGGTCCCGATCGAGGGCAAGGCGGCCGTGAGGGCGGCGAAATCAAACACGTCGTCACGGAACGGGCTGGTAGCGAGCCGCGGGGACATGAGCGGCGACATGGGTGGCGTAGGGGTGAGTGCGAGGGGGTGAGAGGTTGCGGGGGATAGTGTAAGGCAGGGCGAAGCGGGCGCGGGGGAGACGACCGCGCGGGTGCGAGGAGCCAGCTCGGGGACGGTGGGGGCGACGATCGACTCGCCTTTCTCCTCCTGCGGCACGGGCATGGGGGTTGGCACCTTCTCAGCCTGAGCCTGCGAGGGCTCATCGACCTCCTCGACCACCTTGGCCGCAGCGTCCTTCTCGTCCAGTACGCTAGGATCGAGGTCCAGCAGGTCGTTCTCCGCTGCGGGCATCACGGGCCCTGGCGAAGCTGGGCGCGGAGGAGCCTTGACCACCTTACCGATGCGCGGAGGAAGGCGGGTGAACCGCGAAGCCGTTGGGCGAGCGATGCCACTGGCACTGGCGGTGCCGTTGATGCGAAGGGCCGTACGCACCTCGGCGGAGGTAGCGGGCCGCACGGAGCGGCTGGCAGTCGTCTGGGATGATACAGGGCGGATAGGAGCCGCCGAGGTGGTGCGAGGAGCGGCGCTCGACGCCGTGCGGATGGGGCCAGCACCGGATGTCGTCCGGGCGGCACTGGAGCTGGATGCTGGGCGGACTGAAGCACCCGCCGTCGCAGCAGCAGTGGCAGAGACTGGACGCTTGGGGGCGGCCACCGATGCTGATGACCGGATGCGCGCCGCCGACGCAGCCGTGGACCGGATGCCGCCAGTTGCAGTCGCAGGGCGGGCCGTTGCCGCGGTGGCGCGAAGTGCCGAACTAGTTGCTGATCTGCTTGCTGCGTTGCTCGGCGCTGAAATGCCCGAGGGCCGAACAAGAGGACGCGCCGAGACAGCCTTGGCCTTGCTCTGCTGAGTGGCCATCTTGTTGCGCGTTCGGAGGAGAGGGTGGTTGAGGTCGTCGTCTGGACAGAGTGAGATTGTGGGAATGTCGGATACGTGGAAACTGTCGCGTACGGGGGAAGGTGGGGTGCGGAGGCTCATCGGCCGGATTTGTGCCAGTGTCGCCATCGTCTCCACTGGGTCTGGGATACTCTCCGCCCACTCGGGAACGTACGGCCTGTCGATCGCCGTGGGCGGCGCATACTCTAGCTCATAGTCGTCCTCTTCGGCCAACTCAGGTACCACCTCGACTGCGACTTCGAGGATTGAGTCGAGGGACATGTCGGCGTCCTCTGGCGGGCTCTGCAGACTCGCGCGTGAGCGGCGTCGCGTGCGCTGCGCCGATGGGAGGGGCGCGGGCGTCGGCTCGTCATGGTAGATCTGCGGGGCGGGGGTGCGCATATGTGCCCGCGGCCCGGGGGTCTTCATGCGTGGGCCGGGCGTCTTGAGGCGCAGCGGCGCTTTCTGGCTCTTCTTCTCGTCGTTCTGAAACAATCGCTTCGGCGCGATCTCCTCGGACGGCTTCTGCGTCTGCACGTTGCGATCGACGGTGCGTGCGCCTAGCGCGCGGCCGGAAGGCCCAGCCTTGCCCAGAGGCGCACGAGATGGGGTTTTGGAGGGGAGTGCACCCGCATTCTCTTTGTCACCAACGCGCGCGCGGCGCGCAGTGCCGGGAGGGCCATGAGAGCGGGAGAGATGAGGCTGCGCTTGGGGCATGAACATCGTGCGAGGTGGGGGATGAGGTGGTGGGATGAGGTGGTGTGGATGGGAGAGATGTCTAGAGCGCGCAGGGCGGGGGACAGCTCGCGCGCTATGCTCAGGTGTATGCTGATACAAGGGTGTCAAAAATTAGAGAATTGCACGATGTCGAGGGATGTATGGAAAGTCAATGCTTGATGTGTGTTGTTCCAGTCGAGTGGTTGTTGTGTTGGGTGGCGAGACGGCGAGATATCAGTCGCGTCAACCCGCCACAGCCGCCGTGGGCGATATTTCCGTCGATAACGCCGCCTGTCCGCCGGCACTTGGAAAGCGACTTGATCCATACACCCTCCATATCCACCCCTCCACCCCTCCAACACCTGCCAGGTACGTCGCCGAGCGCTCCGTCGCCGAGAGGAGAACGCACATGGACGATATGGAGGGACATGCGCTGACGCTGCCCGCAACTCTGACGCCGAAAACGCAAACGAAATGTCGAAACTGGTCCCTTATTCCTCTCACTCGGTCTCTGCCGATCTCCGGTCCGCGCGCCGACTCGCTGCACTGTGACCACGACACGACGACGACGACGACGACGCCGACGACGACGTCTCCGATGATAACGATTGGTCGCTGCTCTTGTTGTGCTATGCCTGATCCGATGATAACGGCCCACGATTGACGCTCTCGTTTGTCACCTACTGTCACCGGCCTTATTCCAACCGACTTTAATCGACTCCTACAGCCGTCAAAACAAGCATGGACAAGGACAAGCTCGCCAAGCTCCAGGCTCAGGTCCGCATTGGTGCGTTGTCCGCGGGCGCTGCTCTTGCGACAGGAGCTCGGTGCTACCTGTGTTTGTGAGATAGCTGACACTCTATTCCTCTCGACATCACACATGCCTCCTTCTCCTTACTCCACGTTCCTTTGACCCCGCCTGTTCTCCACTCCCGCTATCTCGACACAATTTACATCACAGGCGGCAAGGGCACTCCCCGCCGCAAGCAGGTCAAGAAGTCGGTGACCTCGGCGCAGGGCGACGACCGCAAGCTCCAGGCTGCGCTCAAGAAGCTCGGCGTCTCGCCCATCACCGGCGTCGAGGAGGTTAACATGTTCAAGGAGGACGGCAACGTGCTGCACTTCGGCGCCCCCAAGGGTGAGTGGAGGAGCTGAGCGCCCAGCTAGTGGCTTTCCTCCCGCCTTCACTCTTTTCACCCCGCTGACAATAGTCGCCGTCCACGCCGCCCTCCCCTCGAACACTCTCGCGGTCTACGGCCCCGGCCAGACCAAGGAGCTTACCGAGCTCGTTCCCGGCATCCTCAACCAGCTTGGCCCGGACTCGCTTGCCAACCTCCGCCGCCTCGCTGAGTCGTACCAGTCGCTTACCCAGCGCCAGGCCGAGGCCTCCAAGGGGAAGAAGGACGGTGAGGTCGGTGACGAGGACGACATCCCCGACCTGGTGGAGAACTTTGACGAGGCGGAGAAGAAGACGGCCGATCTCGAGGAGCTCGAGTAGGGTTTGTAGGTTGTGAAGATGCTACAGACGTGTACCGACCTGGAGTGGATTAGAGCGTAGCACAGTACTCTTGGGATGGTAGGCAACTAGGTGGTGGAGGCAAAGCTAGAAAGAGTGACGGGCGTTCAGTGACAATCTTGAGAGGGGAACAGACCGGCCCGCCTCGGCCGGTTGGCGGCGATGGCTCAGACAGATCTGCTGTTCTTTTGTCCTACAAGCAGCGCCCTTCAGCTCGGTGTCCAGCGTCCATTACTTGGCATTACATCTACCATCCGATCCGCACAACTGCCCTCCCCACACCACGCACCCAGTCGCGCACACGCGTGTGCCACCCGCCCAAAGCCTCGACCTGTGTCAAAAATGCGTCCAAACCACCCCCGACGCCGAAGTACAACACCTGCCGTCAGCCAGCCCGACACGAGACCCACCTTAGCCGCGATGAGGATGACGGGCTCGCTCTCGCGCAACGGGGCGCGCGCAAAGTCGTCGATCTGGAGCGCGCCGAGCGAGTCAGAGAGCTCCTCCTCCTCCTCCTTGCCCTTGCCGTTCTCCTTCGTGCCTGCATCAGTGGAGGCGCGGAGCACGTCCAGGAGTGGCCCCACGCTGTCCTCGGCGTAGATCGTCTCGGCACTCAGCACGAGCTGGTACGCGCCGATGGAGAGGGCCATGCCGCCCCAGTCGCCGCTAGTGAAGCGGAGCTCGACGCCGCGCTCCTCCAGCAGCGAAGTGAAGGCGTCGAGGAGGGCGGGGGTGAGCTCAAGCGTCCCGGCGGTATTGGGATCGAACGGACGCTTGACGTCGTCTTCGTCTTCCCAGTCATCCTCCTCCTCCTCTTCCATAATCGTCCCTTCCGGATGCGTCTGGGCAGGGCGAGGCGGCGCAGCAGCCTCAGCGGCGCCGCGCGCCGATAGGGGGAGCGAGGGGAGGGCGGCGAGCACGAGGTTAGGCAGCGTGACGAGCGACAACACAGGCAGATTGTAGTCCTGTACGTGGATCACAGTCTTCTGCGCGGGCGCGGGGGACGCGAGCAAACAGCGCAGGAGGTATGCGCTCGGTAGGCCGGTGCCGCACCCGAGCTCGAGCACGCTGCTTCCACGCACCCACTCGGCCTCGCCGCCGCGCGTAGCCCGCGCAATCACCTCGACCAGGTCCACGCCGCCCTCCCACGACTTGAGGCCGCCCTCGTACGTGCCCGGTATGAGGTCTGTGTCGGCGTCGACGTAGCCCGCCTCCTCACCCTCCTCAGGGTTGAGAGCGAGCTGGAAGCGCGCGTCGTACAAGTCGCGCCGGAGGAGCGGGGCACCGCCCGCAGGGTGCGGGAGCGGCGAGTACGAGATGACCTCCGGCAGCGTCTTGATCAGGTCCGCGAGGGTGTGGTCCGTCGAGGGGCCGGGCGCGCGCGACGTGCTCGGCGCCGCGCGGGGTGCGACCTCGATCGCCCCGTCTGACTCCTGCTGTAAGCTCTGCCTTAATGTCGCTCACGTCGACGTCGAAGGAGAACTTGAACATGGCGTTGGGGATGAGCAATGTCAACAGATCGCTCGGTGCCCTTGGTGACCTCCACTCGGATGAAATTTCGATTTTGGTCCAGTTCGCCACCCAGATGTCAACAATTCCGCATCCTCCATCTCGCCTGACCCGTCTATCATGCCGCACAAACGTGAGCACCGGTAGTTCACAGCAGCTGATTTCAGGCGCGAAACGATCCGTCCGCGAGGCCGAGAAGGCGAAGAAGTGCGTCTCTTCTCTCTTCGAGATGACTGACGCCAGGGGATACTCCCTTCCGCCGACCAAGGCGGACGACGACATGCCGCGCGGCGCGATGCGCATCCTCAACGCGGGAAAGGTACAGGCGGCGTTCCGTGCTGCTGGCCGCAAAAACTCTGAAGACACTGGCGAGCGCAAGCGTGCGCGCGATGACGACGGCGCTACGGAGCGCAAGCGCCCCAAGACCGAGGAGGGGCTGCCGAAGATCGCGCCGCACGAGTCGCTGGGCGAGTACAACCGCCGCATCGAGGCGCTGCTGCGGCCGGGCGTGAGCGGCGCGATCAAGAAGGCGGAGGCGGCCCGTGGGGCCGCGAAGAAGGCCGCGGAGGACGAGAAGCGGGCGCGCATCGCCAAGGCGCAGGGCAAGGTCGCGAACGGGCCGGAGAAGGAGGAGAAGGGGGAGGTCAAGTTCAATAAGCCGGAGAAGACTTTCGCGGAGAAGGAGCGCAGGAGGCTCAATGACGTCGCGCAGGCGCCGCCGAGCTTGCCGCGCCTCAGGATGGCCGAGAAGGCGGAGAAGAAGGGCAAGAAGAGCGAGCGCGATCCACTGAATGCTGGGCAGAGGAGGATTATGGAGGCGGAGCGCGAACGCGTCGTGGCTTTGTACCGCGATATGAAGGCAAAGAAGGAGGCGGAGCGGGCGAAGTAGGCGGTGGCCGCGCGGCAGTCTGCATATTGATCTGTACATTAGAGATGCCAGGCATTTGGCGGATGGACTGCCGTGATCGAGTGAACGTGGCGCTGAGCTATGCTTGGCGGCAGACGTATATAGAAAGTATGTTAGCGATGAGCATTGGCTACCAGTACGGAGCTGTCAAGCTTGGTCGAGTTGGAGCCAGTCCACGGTCGGAAACCGCACGGGTTATGCAAACGATGTCATTGTGGCGGTAACGGCTGCACGTCACACCATACAAGTGTGGCGGATCGTGAAGGCTTGCTATCTCGACGACTTTGTCCTCCTCAACTCAGCTACCCTCTGCACAATGAACGCGGCAGAAAGGACACTTTCAAAACGAGAGATGGGTGACATCAACCCATTGTGTTACCATCGCAGGAAAACAGCCCTTCACCTGTTTCACGACCTATCCAACTCTTCCTGCGCTTCACTCAAGCCCACAAACTCAGAGTATACATGCCCTACCCGCCCAATCTACACTACTCGTCAAGCGTCACCCATCGTGTCCCCTCACGTCGCTGCCTCCGCTTGATCGGCGGAAGATCAACTCCCAGATCCCCAAAGTGTGGGACGACAATGACCTCCCGCTCCGTAGCCGTCACACTCTTGGCGCGCATCCCTGGCGTCTCCAGCGGGCGGGAGAATGTGCACATATCCTTGCCGAGCACGGCAAGCCACGAGCCCTGCACCTTCGTCACGCCCTTGAGACACACACGGGCGGTCCGCACGACCTCGCTGAACACGACATAATCGGGCGGTGTATGGTGGAACAGCACGCTCGATGGATGCAGGTAGACCGGCTCTGGTACGCCGAGGGCGCGGTAGGCGATGCCGCGGGCCGAAGCGTGCGCCGACGAGCCCTTCTTCGTGGCCAGCGACTCGAGCACTGCCACCTGGTCAATGAAGCCGGCACACAGGATTTGGCGCAGTATCTTGCGCTCCTTGTCCGACGGCGGAGACATGCGCTCCAGCGGCACAGCGGCGATGCGGCAAATTTGCCCGCGCAGCTGCTGGATCTCCTGCATTGCCTTCGGGCGCAAGAAGTACTCGGCACAGAAGTGGGCCGTAGGTGTGTGCTCGTACGCTCCGATGGCGGCGAGGAGCTTGAACATGTCCGACTCGCCTGAGTCGAACGCGGCGTGACGCTTGAAAAAACGCGAGCGCACATCCCGCCGTCGCTCCTTCGCCCGCACCGACTCGCTCGTGATACCCTCGAGCTCGGCCTCGCGGTCCCCTTCCTCCCCGTCATCCTCGAGCGCATTTTCGTGCACAAAGGGGTCACCGACGCTCAACCCAGCCACGATGGCGATGACAAACGCGAGGCACCCGTTCTCGCGTCCCACAGCAAGCATCTTCGCAAACCGCGGGCTCACAGGGTATGCGGCCATAGCCCGGCCAAGATCAGTGATCTTTCCGCCCTTCGAGCCGGCGTGCTGAACCCCAGCTACCATCTTGGTCGTGCTGGCCTTATCGAGCGCCCCAAGGTGGGTGAGGAGGGCCTCGGCACGCCGGAGAGCTTGGCGATCGGGTGGCGTGGGGAAGGGGAAGTTGATGACGGCGTCAATGTTCATCGCCTTCATGTTGAGGACGACGCCCTCGATCGGCATGCGCAGGATCTCGGGCTCACCGAAGGCCGGGAAGTGGTCCTCGTAGAGCGCCGACGAGTAGAGGCGGTAGCAGTGGCCGGGACCCGTTCGGCCCGCACGGCCAGCTCGCTGGGCTGCGGAGGCCTTCGAGATCCACGAAACCGCAAAGGTCTGCACACCAGATGCGTGGTCGTACTGGCGCTCCTTGGCTCGGCCTGAGTCCACGACGTACCGCACACCAGGGATGGTCAGGGACGTCTCGGCAACGTTGGTGGCTACGATCACGAGCCGGTGACCCTCGGGAGGTGGGCGGAAGACAGCCATCTGCGCATCCTGCGAGAGGAGAGAGTAAAGAGGGAGGACGGTTATCGGCACTGCCATCAGCATCGCCCAGCGGGAAACTCACTGTCCGTATCCTCCAGCATCAGGTCGTCCTCTTCGTCAGTGTCGAGTGCCTCGTCATCCGACTCAGCCACGCCATCATCCACGTCCGCAGCCAGGTCGCGGACTCCGCCCAGTTCGACGTCCTCGGCCTCGATGACTTCGGGCTTGAGCCGCCCATCGTCCTCTACCTCCTCCGTGGGCCATTTCCCCTCTTTTCCTCGTGTCTTCGGCTTGCCCTTGCCCTTATCCTTGCTTTTGTCGCCGAATTTAGCCTCCAGTCGGCGACACAGTCCCATGATTTCACTCTGGCCCGTAAGGAACACCAGCACAGTTCCCGGCGGAAGTCGCGAGTGGATCTTGCACACTTTCTTGTACGCCTCGCCAACGTAGTCGCTCACTGTGCGCCTCGAGAAGTGGATGGTTACTGGGTGCTGACGCGCTCCGATGTGGATAATGGGCGGAGGGGTGGCGAACAGGGTGCTGTTCTCGGCGAAGTCGGCCACGCGAAGGGTGGCGGACATGATGACGAGGCGGAGCGGGGAAAGCTTCTCTCCTTCCGTAGTCTCGCGCCAGCGCTTCTCACGCAGCCTCGCGACGCGCGAGAGCACGCCAATCAACACGTCCGTGTTTACGCCGCGCTCGTGCGCCTCATCCACCACCACGACAGAGTAGCGGGAGAGGAGGAAGTCATTAGCCAGCTCACGCAGCAATACACCGTCCGTCATAAACTTGATGGCGGTGTCGGGTGCCGTTGTGGACGAATAACGGATTTGGTGGGCCACAACGCCAGAGGAGGGAGAGAAGCCGAGCTCGTCGCGTACGCGCTCCGCCAGCGACACGGCCGCCACACGTCGTGGCTGTGTTACGGCCACCATGCCCGCGTTCTCGGAGCCTTTGTAGCCAAAGCCCGCCTCGTACAGCATCTGCGGGACCTGGGTGGTCTTACCGGAACCGGTTTCACCGCAAATGATGACGACAGGGTGCATTCGCACAGCCTCGACGATCGCCTGTTCCTCGGCGAGGATTGGAAGCTCCATCCGTGCCTCGGTCACCGAGGGGCGCCGCTTGAGCATTGGTCGAGCTGCTGCACCCTCGTTTCCAGTCAGGAGGGACGAGGTGGGAATTTCATAGGCCGCACCCATCGGCGCGACATACGAGCCAACCTTGAGCGCAGGCCCGTTCTTCGCCTGCACTGGTGCGGAAAGGAGGTCAGGCGCAAGCTGCTTTTCTGTCGAGCCCATTTGCTTGAGTGCCCACTCTTTGAAGTTTTTGCGCTTCGGTGCTGTTACGGCGCCGGCTTCACCGTCGTCGTCGCTGCCGTCTTCCTCCTCGTCATCGCTCTCCAGTTCCTCGTCCTCGTCCTCGTCGATGTCATCGTCGCTATCGCTGCCGTCGTCGTCGTCGGAACCATCATCACTGGAATCGTCGTCATCGCTGCCCGCGTCGCTGCTGTCCTGCCTTTGACGAGCCGGCGCGAACTTTTTCGGTCCGCGAGTGACCACGCGAGGCTTGTACACTGATCCGTCCGCTGCCGTCTTGAGAGCCCCGCCCACATTGGCCTTGAGGGCGCTTCCGGCTTGTGACTTTAGAGCACTCCCGGCAACAGACTTCAGAGCGCTCCCAGGTGAAGGCTTCAGAGCACTTCCTACCGAGTGCTTGAGTGCGCTCCCTGTGGCGGGCTTGGGTACGGGTTCTCCTCCAGTTTCCGACGTTGGTAATGCAGCCTGCCCGCTCATTCTTGGAGATGTCGAGGCCTCTCCGTCAGACTCGCTGTCCTCGCCTGAATCCGACGAGTCAAAATCCGATGATTCTTCGCCGTCCTTCTTCTTCAGAGCTGGATTCCATCCAGCCTGCCATCAGTCTCTCTCCCAGCCACACACACCTGTCTAGCAGATTAGCAGACTCACCTTCTTCGGCATGGTGAGCTTCCCCGATCCTCTCGCCTGCGCCTTCTCTCGTGCCTTCCGCTCAGCCTTTGTTTCCAGCACGGTTGTCTCGATTTCCTCTTGCCCTGGTGTGGTGGTCGTGACGATATGGGCCTGCTGCTCCTCCTCCGATTCGCTGTTGGCCTCTCCGTGCCGCCTCTTGAGCTTATCAATCCCACGGCGCACAGCACGATCTTCGGCTATCTCGGCGCGTTGCAATGCGGTCGTGGGCGCGAGCGGGTTCTGACCCAGTCCAGCGGACGAGAGCATGGACATGCTCGCCTCGTTACTCTGCAGCGCTGCAAGCTTCTGCAGCGTCTCATCACGACGCTCGAGTTGCAGTTTCTTGTGCTAGGTATAAGCTCAGACAGAAAATAAACTTGCGATGTAGGAGTCCAATCGCTTGCGCTTCTTGGAGCTCATGCCGGGCTCATGGTGAGGTTGCACAGGCTTGAACTCCTCGGGCTCCAAGACCTTGGATTTGCGCTTGCGGCTCTTGTGGGACCCGCCGGCTACGGAGCCTCGGGCCTTTGCATTGTAGCGCTCCCTCACGGGAGGGGGCATGATGGTGTGAGTGAGAGTGCAAGATGATGTTGACAGAGGAAGACGCGGGGTTGATGGGTTGCCTATGGTGGACGCACTGAAATTCCAAGGTGGAGGTCTGATGAGTGCGTCACGTGACTACCACGTGAGCGTGGGGTGAGCTATGACGCGGTTGTACCCTTTGTTGGCCATTCCACCTGACCGGGGCTTGAGACTGACCGACGCCACAAGTGCTGCCTTCCTCGCTCTTCTCCACTTGATCCACTCGTCATTTCTCTTTTCCTGTCGCCATCATCATAATCCCTCCTCTTCATCGCCCGCTTCTCTGCTCCACTCTCTCTTTTACTCTTGCTCTCATCCACTACTCCTGTACTATCCCCAGCCCCGTCCCCCACCCGCTTCTTCACAGCAAAAGCTCACACAGCTCAGCTGCAAACTCCCATCGCGTTTCTTCGGCGCCCCTCACCAGTTCTTCACAACCCCGGGGGGGAAGACGGTCGCCTGACCGCCCGCGTTGATCGCTTCTCTTCTCCCCACAGGGGTACTTAGCCCACCATGCAAGTCGTCAAGGATATCGCCTTGCGCATGCTCAATGCATACGTATCGCCCTACGTCGAGAACTTGAACCCCAATGATCTCCAGCTATCCGTGCTCGCAGGTGGGCTCATTTTCGCTGCTGCGCTTACGCCCCAGGCAAGGCAGAATTTCATGATTTGCGCCTCAAGAAGTCGGTTCTGGAGCGCTTTGGTCTTCCCGTCGAGATTGTCGCTGGTGAGACAATGAATGGCGGACCCGTGGCTCACCATCAGGCGATATCGGTAAATTGTCCATCACCATCCCATGGCAGGCAATTAAGAATCAGCCGGCGCGCATCGAAATTGATGACATTTACGTGCTTGCGCGTGCGCGGACCCAAGGCAAGATTGACCCAGACGAGGACGCGCGCATCGAGCAAGCCACCAAGCAAGAGCGGTTGCGGCGCGCCGAGGCCGTTGATAACGCCACCTCCGAGGTGCAGGAAGGTCACGGCGATGATCGTGAGTGGTACCCGTGTACACTTTTAGCTTACGCGCAGAGAAAGAGACGTATCTCGGAGCGATCACGACCAAGATTATCAACAATGTGCAGATCCACATCCGGAATATTCACATGCGCTACGAGGACGGCTCCAGCACGCCGGAGCACCCCTTCGCCGCCGGCCTCACCATCTCCGAGTTCAAGATGGTGTCTACTGATGAGAACTGGGTCGAAACCTTCCTTCAGAACAACGTCAAGGACGTCCACAAGTTGGCCAAGCTCAGCGCACTGTCACTCTACTTTGACACCGACTCGGGTAGTCTCGACAAGGGCGCCGATAATCAAAAGGCGACTATTCAGGCGCTCAAGACGATGCTGTCCAACCGGGTGGAGCACCAGTACATCCTCAAGCCCGTTACCGGCGAGGCGCGACTCGTCATCCACCGCACAATGACAAACGAGCAACCGAAGTTTGACATCAACGTTCTCTTTGACGAGATTGGCGTAGTCCTCGATGGCGCCCAGTACCGCGACGCCCTTTCCATTGTCGATATCTTCCACTTCTACCACCGCACCCATCAATACTACAAGTTCCGCCCACCAGAGGAGGACTTCAAGACCAATCCAGCAAAAGCCAGGTGGAAGTACGCGCTCAACGCTATTCGAGCCGAAGTCCACGATCGTAACCGCCGCTGGTCTTGGGACTACTTCGCCGAGCGACGTGATCAGCGCAAGAAGTATGTTGACCTTTACGTCAGACGGCTGGCGCTTCCAGAAGGACAAACGTTGCCACCAGAAGTGAGTTGGCATTCTTGCGGCTGAGACTGACATCAGGAGGAAACGGAGCTGGATGACCTCGAAAAGAAGCTCTCGTATGAGGACATTCGCTTCTTTCGTTCGGTCGCTCGCGTCGCAGCAAGGAAGGATGCGGCCACGCGGCGGCGGCTTGAAGCAGAGCAGAAGAAGCACCAGCCCGTGGCCCAGACTTGGAGCCAGTGGCTATGGGGCTCTAGCGCGCCATCCCAGGACGAAGACAACACTGCAAAGATTACCGAGGACGAGCAGAAGGAGATTGACGACATCATCGACTACAGTGCGTGGTCGGCCGAGGAGAGCAGCCACAGCGGGGCGCGCGATATCATGCACATGCGTGTGACGGCAACCCTCAATAAAGGCTCGTTCTCCCTGCGAACCGACCCTCACGGCTCCAACCTCGACGTAACGGCCCTAGTGTTCGACTCCTTCTCGGCCGACTTTGTGCAGCTCACGGACTCAATGAAGGCGCGCATGGCGCTCGGTGGTTTCCGAGTGTACGATGGAACGACACCAAACTCGCTCTACCCGCAGATTGTGCGCGTAAAGGAGCTTGAGGGCGACCGCCGCTCGTCTATCGCGAAGCAAAGCAGCGTGCAGCAGGCCGGTGGTACAGCCCAGGCATTGGCCGAGATCGGCGCCAAACTTGATCCATCTGCCGATCCTTTCTTTGTGCTCGAATTTGAGAACAAGCCGCTCGACGGGCGAGCAGACAACGCTGTCTCTGTCAAGATGCGCCACTTGGAGATCATCTACCACCGGAACTATGTGGAGGCGGTAATGGCCTTCTTGAAGCCACCAGCGAGCCAGCTCGAATCCATTAATGCCCTTCTTGATGCCGCAGGCGAGACTCTTGATGGCATCCGGAAGGAGACACGCGCTGGGTTGGAATACGCTCTCGAACAGCATAAGGCGCGTGCAACGTCACGGATATAGCTGACTTCAGACCTTGGACATGCACGTCGACATGAATGCGCCCATCATCGTCATTCCAATGGAGTGAGGGGATCCCTAAGATGTCATGCTAACGGCAGTGTCACCCAGAAGAATTCCCAGGTTCTGGTCCTGGATGCTGGTCACATCGCGGTTGACAGCAAGCTTGCAGACCAGGAGCAGCTGAACGAGGTGCAGGCCAAGCGCGGTCGTCAATACAGCGACGATGATTACAAGCAGCTGGAGGAGCTCATGTATGATCGCGTCCTGCTCAAACTGGACTCGACACAGGTAGGTCATGGTTGACGGCATGACTGACTATCTTTAGCTTCTGATGGGCGACGACATTGAAGCATGCTTGAACGCGCTGAACCGCCCACATACAGCTGGCGATGGCCCGGATCTGCATATTGTCGAGCGCATCAACATGTCGTTCACTGTGCAGAACGCGATTGTTAACGCTCCAACGCTAACCAAGTTCAAGATTTCTGGCGAGCTTCCAGAGCTCCAGGTCAACTTCTCAGACCGCAAGTACCAGAGCCTCATGAAGTTCATCGACGTCGCTATTCCGCACTTTGGCGATGACGACGACGTCGATGAGGAGAGAGCCGCCGAGGCGAAGATCATTGCCGCACCACTATCGCCCGCCTTCCAGCGCCGAGAACTCATCGAGTACAACCTTGATGACAGACACGAGACAAAGTCCGTGTCGTCGCACCAAGATCATCAGAGCCACGATGGTAGTTCGATTGACGGAGGCCACCGCGACCAGTTCTACGACACCAACGACGACACCACCGAGAACCAAAGGCGAGAGCTCCAGCAGATCAACTTTGAATTTGTATTTGCCGTCGGCAAGCTGCAGGCGTCGTTGTTCCGCTCCACCTCCGCGACTTCAGAGAAGCCATTGGCTGCGGCGTCGCTTGAGGGCTTCGGCCTGACGTTCTTGCAACGCAAGTACGAGATGTCTGTGGACTTGTTCTTAAAGAACGTGACCCTGGCAATGCTTGACAACGGCGAGGTTCAGCGGCCACTGCTTTCCTCCGGCGAAGTAACGACTGGTGATCCAAACGATGTCAAGCTTGTGCGCGTCAAGTACCTCAAAGTTCAAAAGGATGCGCCAGACTTCATGACCAAGCACGAGGGCATAGACACCAGCATCGACACTGAGCTGTCAACCTTCGACATTACTCTGGCACCCGAGCCTATCCTCTCGCTCTACGACTTCATTATGACGACGTTCGTCAGCCATGATGATCCACAAACTCCCGCAGAGGCCCAGGCAGCCCAACAGAGCCAAGAGGCGGTCTCAACTGACAAGATGCGCATCCGCGTCAAGCTCACCAGTGCGCAGGTGTCCCTGGAGAACAACGATCTGCGCTTCGCACTGCTTAGCCTACCTTCGGCGGATGTAGGGCTATTGTTACGCGGCGGCACCATGCGCGTTGCCGCCCGTCTCGGTAACCTCTCACTGCTTGACACGACGGATGCGAAGGTCGCAGACCCGGCTTTCAAGAAGTTGCTCACAATTGAAGGTGGTGAGCTGGCCGACTTTAGCTACGAGACATACAACCCCGATGACGAGACCTTCCCGGGGTACAACTCGTTGATCCACCTACGCTCGGGCTCGCTCAAGTTTACCTTCATGGAGGATACGCTGCATAGCCTCATGGTCTGGCTGTTCAAGTTTGGCCGCATGAAGGCTGTTTACGACCAAGCGTCGCAGGCCGCAATGCAGAGCGCTTCAGAGGTCACGCGCATGCGATACGATGTGGTTGTGAAGACTCCCATCATTGTCCTACCGAGCGACGGCCAGACTTGCAAGGATTGTCTCATCCTTCGTCTCGGTGAGATCTTCGCCAAGAACAACTATCTCAACGACAAGATGGACACGAGCACTATTGAAGCCAGTCTCACAGGTGTCAGCGTCTTGTCTGAGATCCACGCCGATGGCAAGGCGGTCAACATGCAGCTGGTTGAAGATGTCGGCATCACCGCCAACATCAAGCAGATTGCGCCCGGCGAGCACAGGACCGACCCTCATCAGGCGGACACCGAGATCACGACCGAGATGTCAGACGTGAAGCTCTCGCTCACCGAGCGGCAGTACGTGTTGGTCATGAACGTGCTCGAGGCGATTCCGCGTGCGCTAAGCAGCCTTGACGACGAAGAAGAGGACGACTCGGGTACCTCGACGCCTTTCTCAGAGTCGGCCCCGCCCACTCCTATTCCTGAGGAGACCTCCACGCCCTCAGAGACACACTCGGACGATAATACGACGAGCTTGGTACCCGAACTAGCCATTACAACCAAGTCGGCTGACGTCTGGACCTCACTGGACCTCGTGTTTAGTGTCAAGTCCATTGGGATGGAGCTATTCGGCCGGGAGGCGCTCTCCGAGGAAGACCTGAAGAAGAACAGCATCGCGCGCTTTGCCCTGATTGGCAGCAATCTGGCTTTCAAGTCACTCTCCAATGGTGCCATGGAGGCAGAATTCACCCTCAGAACCTTGGCCTTCGAGAGCACACGCGTTGGCAACAGTGTATACCGCGATATTGTGCCGCAGTTAGCCAACGATGGCAATCAGATGTGAGTTCCTTTTACCTGAAGAAACCTGACGTGTAGCATGGTTCAGTATACCAAGGCTCAGGACGGCTCGGCGCTCGCGATGGTCACGATTGACAGTCCTCGGTTCATTCTCGCCGTCGAGCCACTGGCTGCCCTTCTCGAGTTCGCAGTAGCTCCTTTCAAGAATACCGAGGCGCCTCCGCCTGAGGAAGAGCCTACTCCCGACGGCCAGACACTGCTCGTCGAGGAGAAGCCGGCGCAAGGCGGACTATCGTTCCGGATCGACATTGTGAACTCCACCGTCATAGTGTTGGCGGACGACACAGACAAGCAGACGCAGGCTATTCAGCTCTCCATTAAGGAGATCTTGGTGTCGCAAAACAACGTGCTTGCCTTGAAGGTCGACAAGCTGGGCATGTCGTTCGGACGCATGGACCAGCCCGACGATCGCCTGAGCTTCCTCGATGATGTGAGCATGACGTTGACGCTTGATACTTCTCGGCGCGGAGCGCACCAAATGACCATCTTCGACATCGACGTTCCCGTGCCGGTCATTTTCCGTGCCTCTGTCAATAACATTATGCTCATCCTTGATATCGTCAACAAGGCCTCCGCCGCGGCTGCGAAGGCGCTGGCGTCCGACCACGCCATGCTCGAGGCGGATCAGACGAAGGACATCGCCCCTGCCAACTCATCGATTGTTGCTGCAACCAGCACCACCCAGACATCACTGGCGCCACCGAGAACCTCGACGCGGCGCGCTTCTGTTAGCCACAGGCGGACTTCGTCCGCGGGCGTGGTCAAGACGCGCATCCTAGTCTCCAAGGAGCACCTCACCCTTCGCGTGAACGGGTTCCAGTTTGTCCTCGTCGGTGACTTGCAGGAGATGCCGATGGTACATCTCTCCACCAGCGAGTTCACTTGTATGGTGAATGACTGGTCTGGAGAGCTGAAGATGGCCACGTCGCTCACGACATCGATGCGGTACTTCAACCTTTCGAACTCTTACTTCGAGCCGCTGCTTGATCCGTGGAAGTTCGACATCGAAGTCGCTCGGACACCGACGATTAACGGCGCGTCCCCGCTTAGTGTTAAGTTGTCGGCGGATCAGAGGATGGAGCTGAGCATCACGTCGGCCTTCATCGAGCTCGGCATCACCTCCATGACGGTGTACAGCAAGCAGCAGGAGAAGCAGAAGGACCGGGGGCCGGTGGCGCCGTTCCGCGTGCGAAACCGCACCGGCATGCCGATCACCATTTGGCCTGAGAGCGACGACCTCTCGTCCATCCCGTGGCACAAGCGCAAGACAATCGAGGACGGCGCCGATATCCCGTGGTTCTTCCAGGACCGCCAGGCGTTGCGTGACAACGTGTCGGCGTTCCAGCACAATTCGTTCGGGCTCGAGCTGCCCGACGGCGACGTAAAGTGGGACCCTGTCCGCGGTATTTCGGTTGATCGAGAGGGCGAACACATCCTCAACCTTCGCCCACGCATTGACAAGGTCACGTTCCAGCTCATGTGTGACATTGAGCTCGAGAACAACATCAAGGTTATCACGATCCGCTCAACTTTGACTGTCGACAACGAGTCAAGCTTGCCAGTTGAAATGATAGTCGTGGACGCGCATGGCAAGGCCGCTGGCAGTGTCCTGAAGATTGGTAAGATCGGGCGTTAGTCAGGTGCTGACAGTAAGATCCTGGCACCTCGTACCCCGTGCCGTTCGATGCTGTGTACGATAAGCGATTCAGATTGCGGCCGTTGCGTGGCTTTGGTTTCGACTATGGCTGGTCATCACCGCTGCACTGGCGCCAGCTCATAACGAGGCCGATTCGTGCGATCAGCTGCAAGCACATGACGCCCGAGGAACCCGCATTCTACTTCCAGGCGCAGGCTAATTTCAACGCGAAGGATCCGTCTGCGCGGATTTATCCGCGCATCTCGCTCGTTCTGCGTGCGCCTGTTGAGCTGGAGAACTTGCTGCCGTACGATCTCAAGTTCCGGATTCACGACAAGGCCACGAGCATGAGCTCTAGCAACTTCCTCGTGAAGGGTGGGACGAGTCCCATCCACACCGTGGAACTGTCTCACCTGCTCCTGCTGAGTGTAGCGCCTGAGGACACGGCGTTCAAGCAGAGTGACTACGCCATAATAAACACCGATGATCCGGAGCTGCCCATCGAGGACCATTTCAGCTTGTCTGATCAGGCCGGGCTTAAGACGATGCTTAAGCTCCACTACTACACGTACCCGAACTCAGGTGGCGCCTTCAAGGTGCAGGTATACAGCCCGTTCATCCTGCTCAACAAGACTGGCCTGCCGTTTGACCTCATGGTCAAGGGCACCCTCGGGGGGCAGAAGCCAGTCGCGGGACGCAAGGAGTTTGCAACCGATTACAAGCGCGATGAGCCCACGCCGTTCATGTTCAGCTTCCCGAATGACGACAGGCGGAACAGGCTGTTCCTCCGCGTCGCAGACTCCAGGCTTTCGCAACCACTGTCCTTCGAACCTTCCGCGGCCGACATGCAAATTGTTCTCCCGTCTGAAAAAGGTGACAAGAACTACTACGTCGGCCTCTCGTATACTGAGGGTTTGGGCAAGGTAAGATTGAAGTCATTCCATCGAAGCTCACCTACAGTACAAACTCACGAAGGTGATCACCATCGCACCGCGCTTCTTGATCAAGAATTTGTTCAAGCATGCCATTCAGGTGCGGCAGACCTCCGAGCCCCGACCGCTTGCCATTGTCCAACCGAGCGAGCAGAAGGCCATCCGCTTCCTGGGCGCCAGGGACGCCATGCAGCTCCGAATCGCATTCGACACTCAGGATGGGGCCCAGCTAGATTGGTCGGCCCCCTTCAGCATCAACGACATTGGTCGCACCAACATCCGACTGACGCGTCAAGGACGTAACGGCCCCAAAACATACTTGGCGCGCATCATGACGCACATGGAAGGCTCGAGCCTGTTCCTGTATATGCAGCGCGAAATGGACCCCTGGCCCATCAAGCTACGCAATGACACCGAACTTCCGTTCATGTTTAAGCAAGCACAGCACCCTGAGGACAACACGGACGCGAGCGTGTTTGTCGAGCGCAAGCTCATGCCGCACGAGACAGTCGACTACACATGGGACTGGCCAACATCTCGCGAGAAGCGGCTGCTGCTCGCTACAGGGGGTATTGTACTGCCAAGGCCTATCGACGTAATGGCTATCGGCGTGCAACCACCGATGAAGATACCAGTAAGCTGACAGACTGGCACTGCCCGCTCACCACAGTCCCGCGGCCAAGGCCAGCCCTCGGCCACCATCACCATCGACATCAGCGCCGACGGCAGCTCGCAATTGCTGGTCATTGCACCATATAACGAGGAGCGAAACGTGTATAAGGTGTCACGCAAGAGTAGCCGAGATACTGGCCCGAGCAGGTCGGACAGCCAGGAGAGTTTGGGCACGATGGGCTTTGAAGCAGAGGCGGCGAGCGACAAGGCCAACTTCCTTGTGCTAGTCGAACTAGAAGGCGTTGGCCTGTCAGTGGTCACCAAGCGCCCTGACGAGCTGCTATACCTTACACTGCGCGGCATCCGGTTCGAATACAAGGACTACCCTGCATGGTATGAGGCCTCGTTTGACTGCAAGTGGATCCAGATCGACAATCAGCTCTTCGGTGGCATTTTCCCCATCATTCTGTACCCGACAGTTGTTCCCAAGGACGGCAAGGAGCTCGACTCGCACCCCACGTTGCAGACGAATCTTGCCATTCTCAAGGACAACACGCATGGCGTCTCATTCGTCAAGTACGCCTCGATATTGCTGCAGGCAATGACGATCGAGCTGGACGAAGACTTCGTCATGGCGCTAATGGACTTCACGAAGTTTAAGGATGCGACGTGGCGTGAGCCAACTAAGGAGTGAGTCGGTGCATTCTGATGGCAACTAACAGCAGCGTCCTTATCGAGTACCCGAAGGGCATTCCCGAGCCAAACATGACTGAGCAGCAGAACGATTTGTTCTTCCAGTCGCTCCAGCTGCAGCCGATCTCGCTTGAGCTGTCGTTCATGCGCACGGACCGCGTCAACGTAGATGAGAAGTGAGAGACCTTGATCTTGAACTCGCTGACGTCCAGGGTGTCTACACGCAACCCGTTCTACTACGCTCTAAACGCCCTCACCATGACACTGGGCAACGTGAACGCCGCTCCCGTCAACTTCCGCGCTCTGTTCCTCGACAATGTCCGCCTCAGCGGGCACGACCTGCAGGAGCGAGTAATACTTCACTACCAGGAGCAGGCAGTGGCGCAGATCTATCGCGTGTTGGGATCTGCAGATTTCCTCGGCAACCCTGTCGGCCTGTTCAACAACATCAGCTCGGGCTTTGCCGACTTCTTCTACGAGCCGTGGCAGGGCTTTGTCATGCACGGCAACCGCGATATTGGCGTAGGCATCGCGAGAGGTGCCACGAGTCTGGCGATGAAGACGGTCTTCGGCATCACCGACTCGATGACAAAGTTCACGAGCAGTATTGGCAAGGGTCTATCAGCGGCGACACTAGACCAGGAGTACCAGACAAAGCGGCGCATGGCACAACGGCGCAACAAGCCTAAGCACGCACTGTGAGGTGACTGGAAGTGACTATGCTGACGACAGATACGGTGTGGCCGCTGGTGCGAGTGCTTTCGCAGACTCTGTTACGAGTGCATTTGAAGGCGTGGCGGCGATGCCAATGGAGGGTGCGGAGAAGGGAGGCGCAGCTGGCTTCGCCAGAGGTGTCGGTAAGGGCTTCGTCGGCCTGTTCACCAAACCGGTGGTTGGCGTGATGGACTTCATCTCCGCCTCAACTGAGGGAATTCGCAACACAACGACAGTTTTCGACACGAACGCGATTGACCGCGTGCGTCTTCCGCGCTTCATCGCGAACGACGCAGTGCTGCGCCCATACTCTGCGCGCGAAGCTCTGGGCCAGTCATGGCTCAAGGATTTGGACGCCGGCGCATATTTCTCCGAGAGCTATGTCGCGCACCTCGACATTCCAGGGGACGATGCGGTTGCGATCCTGAGCAACAACCGGCTGCTGTACGTCCAGCTCCGCCGGATGCGAGTAATCTGGCAGGTGAGCTTCGATGAACTGCAGAGTCTGTCGTTGGAGGCGTCGGGCATCGCCTTGGTGTTGCGCGGGGGTACCCCAGGCCCTTTCTTGCCGATTGCCGAGCAGACAGGGCGTGAGTGGTTCTTCCGCAAGATCGCCAAGGTTGTCGAGGCGTATAATAAGAGCCACAGTGCACGGGAGGATGTAGGATAGATAGAGGACTAGAACGATGCAGCACTACTTGATCCCGGAAGCCGGAGTCAAGGGCATCACCTGCAGCGAGACCGAGATCCGCGTATTCTATGTCTCGGTGCGATCTCGTGCCTGCGGACCTCCGGACTTCTTGACGTTCGGCTTGGTAGTCTAGAAGGACTGGACTTCGCCTAACATTGGCCGGTGCCTTTCGGTGCCCGTGTGGCACATATGACGCGCACACCGGTCATGTCGCACTCGTCCTTGCCTCATGCTCACGGGCCCAATCATGCCTGGGGGAAATAACCGTTGAGCTCGCTACACTCAACGCCCCACGCACCACCCACACCTGGCCGCACTAGCATTTCCCACTCGATTGCCAACCTTGGGCACCACCCTCCGGCTGGATCAAGTTTTGTAACCGGGGCAGCAACATCAACGGCATCTCCGCCGCTATTTGCGAGGGTGCCACAGTGGCTAATGCAGCATTATTGGCTTTTTACTGCAGATTGTAGACTGGGCGCTTGGGTCAACGCTCGACACTGGGTCACTGCCGAGGGAGGCAGTCCCCGAGATACAGATATGATAGCTGGCCGTTTGGTCCTGACGCCTGCTCGCGTGAGGTAGATCTCTGAGGAGAATAAACATGCATGGCCTCTCGGAAGCGGGCGGCGGGGGCTGTCACTGATCTACGGCGCTTGAGGACAGAGGAGGATGAGGAGCAAGTGCAGTAAGAGGAGGGAGATCGGGACATAGGGCTTGGGGTAGACGCGGCCAAGTTACCCCGCACGGCCCCGCGTGGGGCCGGCTTCATCCCGGCACGTGAGGAATTGATCGGCAGTCTTGGCTCTCCATTTCATCCAATTCTCAAGCTCCCCACGCTGACATGGAGGAGGCAGCTCGTTAGACAGCAGGCGGTTGGCGGCAGGCAGCAGGCGCAGCCGCGGCCCATCCCCGATTAGCCTTGAACGCCGAGGTGGCTTCTGGCCCTCGCCCTGGAGAATTGGAGAAGCTGGAACCCGTGGATGGGTCACATGAACGCTGATTGCCCTGGCCAAGCTCCCCCCGTTGGTCCGCTCTGGCATAGCGCACCGGGCTCACGGAATGCCAAGCTAGCGCCACTAACTTCAGTGACGGCGGCAAGGGCCGATTGCCTCTATCAGCGGAGCCGGGAGCACGGCAAGATGGTGGCTCCAGGGGGCGCCCTCCTTGCTCACCACATGAACCTCTAGGTCTTCCGTTGCGCCAAGTTGACTGAGCCATCGGCCGGCGAGCTTCTCTAACTTCCGGCGGGCGTGGCGCTCTTCAAAGCCCGCTCGTCGCGGGTAGCGCGACCCTCATAACATTCATAACAGTGCTCACTCGCAGCTGACTCCCACTGATCCCCCCGACCCATCGGCTTTCAACACACAATGCCGTCCACTGAGATCGACAAGGAGGAAGTGAGCCACGCCGAGGATGGGCCGACACCAGTGCCTTCGTTCACCGAGGCCGAAGGCAAGCGCGTGAGGCGCAAGGCCGACTTCGTCCTCCTACCCATGTTTTGCGCTATCTACGCCCTCGGCTTCCTCGACAAGACGGCCCTCACCTATGCCTCGGTCATGGGCATCCGCACCGCCGCGAAGCTCACTGTCGGGCAGTATGCTTGGCTTGGCTCCATTTACTGTTCGTCGCGTCGTGATGCCTTGACCCCCGCTGACCCCAGTCTTCGGCTACCTCGTTGGATGCTACCCCATGGCCATTGGGCACCAGCGATTCCCCGCTGCCAAGTTCACCAGCGCCACCATCATCTTGTGGGGCGCAACGACCATGAGCACCGCCGCGTGCAGCACGTACCCGCAGCTTATGGGCGTCCGCTTGTGAGTCTCCGGCCATGGTCTGTCCACTCCGCTAAGACAGTCTCCTCGGGTTCCTCGAAGCCACCATTACGCCCGCTACGGTCATGTTCACGGCTGAGTGGTACAACAAGTCGGAACAGGCAACGCGCGTGGGCATATGGGGCTCGTTCTCGACATGGGGCGGAATCCTGGGCGCCGGCGTTGCGTACGGCCTTTCGATGCGCGAGGTCGAGGCCCGTTGGGGTAACAGCGGCACTGTCATGGCCATTGCGAGCTGGAAGGCCATCTTCATTTTCCTCGGCGGCTTGACTATCCTCATTGGTTTGCTCTTCCTCTTCCTTGTGCCCGACACGATCGACGGTGCTCGCTTCCTCAGCCCCCGCGAGAAGGAGGTCGCAAAGCTCCGCACCCTTGAGAACAAGCAGCACATTGCGGAGACCCACTGGAAGTGGTACCAGGTGCGCGAGGCGCTGCTTGACCCAGCGGTTTGGCTGCTTTGTATGATCATCGTGCTCTCGTTCATCCCCAACGGTGGTATCACGAAGTGAGTAGTAACCGCATGGGGCGCCGGCCCAGCAGACACTGACAGATCAGCTTCTACGCCATCATCGTGCTCGGCATGGGCTTCACGGTCCAGGAGACGCTGCTGCTTTCCATGGCCAACGCGTGGCTCTCCATCGGTCTCATCGTCACCTTCTGGACGGCCGACAAGATCCGCTGCCGCTCACTCGCCGGCATCCCGCTCACCATCGTCTCCATTATCGGCGCCACGATGGTCTGGGCGCTTCCGCGCAACCAAAAGATTGCCCGCCTTGCCGGCTTTTACCTCTCGCTCGCGTTCGCCATTCCTACCTTTGTCGCCATGACGTTCCTCACCTCGAACATTGCCGGGCGCACCAAGAAGACGTTCGTCACCGGCATGATCCTCGTCTTCAACTGCACGGGCAACCTTATCGGGCCCCAGACCTTCCGCGACAAGGACGGGCCCGTGTACGCGCCCGCGCTGCTGACCTTCGTGATCTGCAACGCCATCAACCTCGTCCTCCTCGTCACCATGTTCTTCTACTACAGGTGGCAGAACGCCAAGCGCGACAGGCTGTACGGCAAGCCGGTAGCGGATGAGGACCACTTTGTGGACTTGACCGATGGGTGAGCCACCCCATGTTTATCACGCTGACGCCAGTGAGAACAAGTCATTCCGTTACGTGTTGTAGGAGGATTTCCTGAGGAGTGGAATCGGTCATGGCGTGGTTGTAGTTCGCCGGTGATGGACAGTCATACGACAGTGAAGTTGAGTTGGCTCGAGTGCTGGTCGCGGCCAACTGCTCCAGGCTCCTGCTCTGTGCCCATGCTCGCTGGGTGTATGTGGTCATAGCATACGGCTTCGCCACCGTCCTTGTCGCCCGACAGTGCGGGATCTTCCCGGCATATTCTGCCGTCTCAGAGCTTGAACGCGGCATCTTGGCGTTGTGTCCCCGTGCCCTCTTGGCGCCAAGAACGGTCTTTGACGCGACACAGAGCTAGTCACTCTTGACAGCTACTTCAGGCTCGGTGGCGGGGAAGCGGCGTCACTCCCTGTGGTTCACGCGGTACGCGCGGTACGACGAGGGGCCAGTGCGACAGTCATGGGAGCGCGCTGTGCAGTCACCATGGTGCGCTTCCACACATGCGGCAGGGTGGTGAGGAGATCACGTGACGTGGTATCATTGTGCTGTGAGTGGCGGTACGCCACTCAGCAATAGTCGGCGGCCTCGAAAGCTACGGCGCTCTCATCGCGCGCTGTGGGTGGCACGGGCCGGCTGTCTGTATCTATGTTTCGGATGTGAAATATCGACCACACCGTGATCATGCTCTTGCTCTTGCCGGAAACTCATGCTAATTGGGGAGGAACTGTTGCACAGTGTGGAGGGAAACGTGTGATATTGCAGTCTTCTCTACAACAGGCGATCGACGAGCTGCACGCCTCAAGTAGAGACAGAAGCACTTGGGTTGCCGACGAGCCTGTGCTGATGTCACTCACGGCAGTCCAGCGCCACGACTACTGTAGAAGACATTGCTGAGGAGACGCCTTCGTTCTTTGCACTTCTTTTCTCCAGTAATGCAAGGGCAACCACTTGGTGTTCCTAGGCCGCAACTTCAGGGAGAATGTGACACATGGTTCTCACGGTGAGGTTTTGTTACTCCAGAGATCTATCATTTCCACGTGTACGACAGTGCGACACACCTGTGGCCGCTCAATTCTGAGTTCTGGTTAAGCCATGACGACCGGGGCTTTCACCTCGAACCATTTCCCCAAGTGAGTTGCGACGGTCAAAACAATGGCCTCGACCACCACGGTAGCCAGGTTCACATCACAATGCAAGGTGACAAGGCGGGATGAGGGGTCCACCACATTGACGACAAATCATAAATCAGCTCGCGCAACGAAACCTGGACGAGCCGATGCCTGGAATATGTGGTGCGTCAAACAGTCCGAACAATCTACGACAACTGGCCCAACTATGGGAATAGTACCTGGGCCTTCATGAGATGTCCATCATAATTTAAGAGAGGGCCTTCTTTGGGTTGAAATGAGACGCCACCAAAGCAACTCTAGGCCACTCTCCACAGACTGGGTGCGGAACTTGCCAATGGCGCCTTGTCGCGGGCTCGAGCTTCACGACGCATCCTTCTCCGTCTCCTCTGCTTCCATAGCCGGGTACTCTCACAAGCTAAACGAGTTAACCGGTCCAGAAGGTCGTCACTTCTTATGTCGTTGTGCAAGCATGATATACATCTTCGTATGGATGTCTGGTACGGGGCGTTGATCCCGTTGCAATATGGCAGGCCACAGCTGTTTGGGAGCGAAATGATAGGTACGCACGGACCCGAGCATACATCCATGACCAAGTATATCGCGTTGTGAGAGCGCCACATCATCACCACATGTTACAACTGGCCACCCTAATTGCCCTCCGCCGTAAGAAAGTCGAAGTCTGCTCCCCGATCCGCCTGGAGAACGCGCTGATCATACAGTGCTTCGTATCCGCGTCGAGGCCGCTCCCGTCCCACTCGTCCCCGCCCCTGGCGTGCCGCCCATTCCCCCAGCCGGCGCTGTATCTCGCCCTCCTCAACGTCAAGGTGCAGACGCCGCGTTTCAACGTCGAGCTCGATCTCATCTCCATCGCGCACGGCCGCAAGCGGTCCACCCACCGCCGCCTCCGGCGCGACGTGCAGCACGACGGCGCCACTCGCTGTGCCGCTCATCCGCCCATCGCTAATCCGCAACATGTCCTTCACGCCGGCGCGCGCCAGTTTCTTCGGAATGGGCGTGTACCCGGCCTCGGGCATTCCTGGGTGCCCGACAGGGCCGATGTTCTGGAGCACAAGGCTGGGATCAGCGAGTCAGCTGGTGAGGGCTCACATCGAGTCCTTTGTTACAACGAGATCCGGGTCGTCGATGCGAGCGAGCATGTCGTCGGCGCTGGAGAAGACAACTGCGCGGCCGCGGTGCTTTCGCAGATGGGGCGCCATCGCAGATGCCTTCAAGACTGCGCCGCTCGGGGCAAGGTTGCCGCGCAGAACAATCAGCGCGGCGGCGGAATACAGAGGGTCGGCGAGGGGTCGGACAATGTCCTGTGCGAAGACCTTGTGGGCGGCGAGGGCTTCACCCAACGTCTGACCCGTGATGGTGAGCGCGTCGAGGTGAAGTAGCGGTCGCAATTCGTGTAAGAGTGTCGGCACGCCGCCCGCCTGTCGTTAGAATGGATGGTGCGAGGGATACTCACGCGATAAAAGTCTTCCATGTACGCGCTCCCGCTCGGCTTGAGGTCGACGAGAAGCGGGGTTGAGCGCCCGATGCGGTCAAAATCATCCAGGGAGAGGTTGAGCCCGGGAACACGCCCTGCAATAGCGAGGAGGTGTACGATGGCGTTCGTGCTCCCTCCAATCGCCTGGAGGACCGTGATTGCGTTCTCGAAGCTCTTTCTGCTCAACACAGCGCTGGGGCGCGGAAGACCCTGCGCGGCAAGCTTCCCCGTGAGCTCGGCAACGCGGAGGCGCTGGCTACCGTTAGCGGGCGGACACGCCGACCCGAGCGGGGAGATTCCCAGCGCCTCAGCGAGACAGGCCATAGTTGACGCCGTGCCCATGACGCCGCACGTGCCGGCGCTGGGGACGAGCTCGTTGCCGACTGCGGCGATTTCCTCGAGATCGATCTCGCCCGCACGGTGTCGTGCCCAGTAGCCTCTACAGTCGGTACATGCGCCGACGCGTGAGCCGCGGTGGCTTCCTGTGACCATGGGGCCGACGACGAGTTGGATGGCTGGCACGTCGGCGGATATCGCGCCCATAAGTTGTGCAGGTACGGTTTTGTCACAGCCTCCAATGAGGATCACCGCATCCATGGGTGCCGCGCGCACCATCTCTTCCGTGTCCATCGCCATGAGGTTACTGGAATCAGCAGGAGGCACGAGGGGCGGCCCACCGGAGAAACATAGATGTGGGATGCGCAAAGCTCTCATGTAACGAGATGGTCGGAAACGAGATGGGAAGCGCGCCGGCGAGCATGATGCCCCGTTGCACGGCCTCGATGAGCGTGGGGATATTTGCATGGCATGGATTGTAGCCTGAACGGGTGTCCGCGACACCCACGACACGGCGATCGAGCGCGTCGTCGCTGAATCCTGCCCCTTTGATAAAGGCCTTCCTCAGGAAGAGGGCAAACTCCGGGTCGCCGTAGTTTGTGAGGCCAGCATTGAGGCCGATGGGCTCTTCCATGACGGAGCCTGAGGTGAGATCCGACGAGGTGAGCAGGATAGAATTATGGTGTGAGTTGGACGTGCTGTGAGTGGGCATTGTTGATGTCGGCAGTGCCGCCAGTTGCCGGCGGCCATATCCGATAGCCACGTGACCAGTTCTCTGTGAGTGATGGCGCAAACAAACACTTTGCGCACGCCACTCTCCTCTGTGCGCAGTGAGGCGCAAGAAGCTGTTTAAACACGCCCATGAGATGTGAGTCAGATGCGCTCCTGACCACCCTCGCCACCCTCGCCATGCCTCCCCAGCCACACAATAGCGACTGACGACTTGGACTACTCGGCACCCTCGCCCAGGTCCGACTGCATGTCCTCACGGAATATCGAACAAGACAGCATGAACATGGCCACACGTGCTTACCGTACCTGTACCCCGTGAGAATCTTGGATGGCTGGATCGGGGGAGCGCTGAAGTGACCTTAAGCATTGCCGCCTGGTGAATGTCGCAGAATCAATTCGTGGCAGGAGGAGACACGGGCAGACGGACACTCTCAAACGAGAGCCGAAGACATGAAACTCGCACTAGCCCTATATACGTCCCGTCCTGTTTGGGACAAGTCATTGTGCCATTGCACCAAACCTCGGCGCGCTCTCGGCGCGGACCACATTACGTACCACTGCCGACCCGGCTGAGAAATGTACCTTGTCCTCTCGTTGCCTCTCGTCTTCGGGTGCAGAGCCAATCGGTGCTGCCCTATTGTACGGCAGTTGCTCCCGGTCACGCCTCGCGCCGCGGATCAGGATCGTGACTCAGGCGTGAGCTCTGGTGTATCAATGAAACAATTCAGTGTTGACCGCCCCGCGGCCCATGAATTGTATCAGCCAATTCACCTTGTCCAATGTGAGACAGTATTGGGCGACAGTGGAGGGAAAGTGGGGGGCTTGTTCTTCGGGGCCGAAAGTGTTTCGGTAGCTCCCGTTCCCCTCAGACCTGAAGCCTCAGGCCACAGCTCTTCAGGACTCTAGCACGTGCCGAACGGTGACAAGCATCATGGTGTTCACCGCGACGACGGTGGCGAGGCTGAGAGGAGCGCGGGCGGACAAAGCCCACAGAAACTTTTCTTGTGTTGTCTCGCATCGACAAACGCCGACAAGAAAGCAGAGAAGGCTGGTGAGATCCGGGCGGGAGGCGAGCCGCGTCCGCTCTCTTCCGTGGATCTGCCGTCATCGCGGCCCATGACCCATAGCCTACTCCAGCATCCGCGCGGCCGGCCGGAAAACCTAGGAAATACCTGCAGAGAACTACGAAACTCGGCGCAGAACACGGTGGTTTCCGTATCAGACTGGCACGCACCTCCCTGAACAACCACCTGCCCTGACCCGTAATCCTGGCGCCACCGCTCCCGCCACGTCCTGCCGTCTCGTCTGTCAACCACGATTGTGTGCAGGTAGCCGCACTTACGAAGCGGGATGTCATCACTTCAGGAACCAGCTCATGTACGAGGGCACGTTGACGTATACGCGTGTGAGAGTGAGAGACACGCAGCAAGGAAGGGGAGCTCAAGCGGAAATTACTGGGCGCGGCACAGGCACCGGGAGACGGTGACCTGAGGTGATCGTCACCTCTACCCAGCCCTCTGTTGACCCTGGCTTTTCCTGGATGAAGCGTTCTTGCGCGCTCACTTTTCTCTGCCCGTGATGAGACACGGGTCGCGCACCACAGCATAGTGTGGCACTTCTCCTGCGCTCTCGCATGATTTTCGACGCCACACTCATCGGGAGGCGCAGGGGGCGTAGTGGCGCAGACGATCAGACGAGCTGTGTGTCTCTTCCAGCCCCTGCGCCCCCCTCCGAAACGAAAACGTCACGCCACAGTTGGCAGTCTCACTCGTCGCAACTTGACGCTGTGGCGCCGGGACGATCACGCGGTGCCACCCAGAGCATTCCGGCCCGCTTGCCTGCACGGGTTCATTACTGGGGGCAGGTCGTAGGGCCAGTTTCAGTATCACGGGATGACCACGAGTCAACATGGCGCCGCCCCAGCGATCGTCCGCGGCGCTGGCCGCACGCACGCGCGCTTCGTTTCCCTACCTCGCTAGAACGTCCGCACGCACCGTACATGGCAGAGATGGCAGGAACCCAGCAGGAACAGTCCCAAACTATTACGCTCGCATGCCCCGTCCAGGAACTGCGGCACTGCGGGCCCGGCTCAAGGATCCAGGAGCCTCCGTCTCATGCCCTCAAGGAGTCGAGGAGGCAGGGAGGTGAGATGATCGCTCCCGCCTAGTTTGCTGTGACAGCGAGCACCACCGCTCATCGAGGGAGTTGTGCAAAGCTGGCCAAGGAGAACTAGTTAAGAAGCAGCTGGTGCGGCTGCTTTCCCCCCATCACGTTCTGTTCCCAACTCCTCCTCTCCTTTTCTTTTCGAGTAAACCACACTGGCCCCCAGTGTGATTCAATAGTCAAAGATGCTCGCCTCCCCACTCTCCTTCCTCCTTCTTCTCGCGGCGCCCGTTGCGCTTGCCAACCCCGTTCCCAACCCCAACGCCAACGCCAACGCCGATGCCAACGCCGACCCATGGTTCTGGCCTGAGCCCACCCCTACCCCCGTTTGTGGCACTGTCACCTCGACCTGCTACGCGTGAGTATTTCCTAGCTTGAATCCGTCCGCCGCACTTGAGCCTTGCTGACATGTAGTACTAAGACCGTTCCCGGACCAAATGCCGCCACCGTGACCTCTACCTGCGGCGACTGGTGCTACTCTACCATTACCAGGACCCTTGACAAGGTCATCTGCCAGACCACCACCGTGACCTCCACCAAGACGGCCACCCCCACTGTCATCGTCACTGCCCCCCCCACCAAGACAGTCACCCAGACCGCCTGTGTCGCGACCAAGACGGTCTGCGCCAATAAGTGGAAGAAGGACGAGATCCCCGACGAGCTCACCAACGCTGAGCGTCTCCAGTACGGCCTCCCTCCTCGCGGCCCCGGAGAGAAGCGCAAGCGCACCTTCTGGGGCGGCGGCGGCGGCAACAACGGCCCCTCGTGCACCCCCACCACTGTCGTCACCACCGCCACCTCCACCAAGACTGTTCCCGGCACCGTCACTGTCACCACCACGAGCTGCTACCTCACCAAGACGTCCACGGCGTACAACACCAAGACGACGACTGCCACGGCCACCTGCTTTACCACCGTCAAGGGCCCCGCCGTCACCAAAACTGTCGCATGTGCTACCGCCACCACCACGACGCTCCGCACCACCGCGACCGTCACCAAGAACTGCTACTGGTAGACGTAGTCTCCGCATCCGTCTCCGTCTCCGTCACGACGCGACACGACCGCACCCACGACTAGACACCCCCACACCTTCATATAATGCTGCGGCTAGGACCGCCGCGCCGCGCCGCCCGCCCCCGTACACGTACCGTACACGAGCGAAAGCCCACCTCGGGCGGGCACATGTGCGCCGCGCCCTGTCCTCCCGCCTGCACTGGACACTAGACAGGACACTCTTAGACTTCACTTCGCTCCCGTGGGACCTGGGCCGGCGTGCCCAGCGGGCTGAGGGGTACCGGTAGACTTTTGTATCGACCTATGCTATTATTTGGTCATTACAGAGCTGCAGAGGCTTGTTGTGCTCTTGGCTTGAAGCAGCCTTTGTCGGGGCGGGCTACAGCCCGGAAAGTTTGCGGGAGAGAACCGAGCCGAGTCGGCGCTGCGGTTCCGCGGCCCGGTGACGTGAGCGCGCGACACTCGAGCGGCATGAGGTTGCGAATGCCCACTTCCGCGCTGCCTCTCTGGGTCGTGCTCTCCGCTCCCCTCACGACTTGTTGTTCGCTCTTTGCGCACGCGAACGGACCGGCTCCGTTGCTGGGCGATGCAGAGTGCGGCAGAGGCCGCGGGATAGGCACCGGGTGCTGCTGTGCGGTCGAAAGACGCTTGCTTTTGCAGGCACAGAGGCACAAATGACAGAAGTACGGCGTATCTTTGGAATGCGTTTGTTCAAATCATGGGGTCAAGCACCAAGTCTAAATAGAGCAGGTTGAGGTTGTTGGCTGGAAGTGGCTCGGAACGATGCTAGATATGGTTCAGTCGATGCGGATTCCGGTGAAACCGGACAGTTGGCTCACATCAGCACACCGCTGTTTGGCAGCAGCCGACTTGTTGCTGACATGAGCGCCAAAGTTAATGAATCCCGGACCCACAGCGGGTAGTCTCACGGGTTTCGTTTAGCAGGCCAAGAAACTGATCGCGTACCGTACTTTGCTGCGCTGGGAGACTCAGCTTCGACAATCAGCAACTGTGTCCGCGGCGTGGTTGTCGCGTGTCACCCGGCCTTCAGCAGTTTTGCTGATGTGCTGGCTTTGAGGACCCAAGTTGGGTTTGGCTCCATGCTCACGCAGATGTGTACACCTCCAAATAATCAACGCACGCAAAAGAATCCGTGTTCCACGAGGCATAACCCACGCGGCGCAGAACGTGTGCAGAACGCGGAAGAACGCCCTGCCAAGGATATGCTGCCCTATGGTTAATCCGAGCAAGCTTGAGGACCTTTTCGCTGACTGGATCGCCGCGCACTCTGTGGCGAATTAGCGAACAAAGGGCCCAATTCCAAGATCTCGGCGTGAAGGCCAGAGGCGCGTGCTGCTGAATTGGATCGGACGCGGCAGACGCGTCTAGCCCGCATTTTCCTTTCGTACCGCACACTGCACCATGCTCGCACTGCTGCTCGCCGCGAGCGCCGCGGCGGCCGCGCTCGTCGAGCACAACGTGACGATGCGCTCGACCGCCGCGATCTTGCACTACACCCCGTTCAACACCACCGTCGAGCAGGGCTGGAACGAGACGTACTCGGAGGCCTCCTGGGGCGAGTACAACACGCGCGCCCTGCCCGACGGCGACAGCGCGTTCGTCACCTCGTACGCGGGCGCCACCGTCGGCGTGAGCTGGGTAGGCACGGGCGCGTACTTCCACGGCACGGGCGGCGACGTCGCTGTCTCTGTCGACGGCAAAGACGTGTACTCGGGCGGAATGGGGGTTGTCGGCGTTGGCGGGTTGCCGTATGCGGCGCACAACGCCACGCTCACTGTGCGCGGCGGCACAGTCAGCGTCACGAACTTGACCCTCACGACGATTATCGGGGGCGCGGGGTGGGTGCTTCGACCGACGGGGCTGACAATAGCGCGGTGGACATCGACGCGGAGATCAACGCGCTCGACAAGGACACGAACACGAACAAAGAGCTCACGGTCGTCGGGCGTTGGGGGGAGAGCACGACGTTCTGCGGGAGCATGCAGAACGAGACGTGGAGCAGCACGAACTGCGTCCGCTGGGATTCACTCGGAACAGAGCAGAACGGCGCGTCGCTTGCGATGCGCTCGCCGCCGAATGCGAGCATCGCCCTGCTCTCCGGTGCCGTCGGGAGCGAGCACGACGCCTACACTGTTGTCGTGGATCCGGCGCCGCCGCATTCGCCGCCCAGCGTGAGCGGCAGCGCTGCCCGCGCATGGATGGGCCCAGGTAATCTGCTATATTACGGCAGCTTGGACCCCACACAGCGATACAACATCCGGATTCAGTTTGTCGGCAAGGGCGTGCTTGAGTGGGGCCGCGCACATTTCATTGTCACGCAGGGGTGAGCCTGTGGAAGGTTGCCGCGCTGACTCCAGTGGTGAGATGTGGTCGCCAGTCTTGTCGGGCGTGGACGACAGCAGAGGCATCGAGACGCCGGCGGATGAGCAGAACCGGTCCAACACGCCTATCGGGGCGATCATCGGCGCCGTCATCGGCGGGCTCACGCTCCTACTCCTCCTCGGGGGAATCTGGTGGCGGCGGCGGCGGCGCGCGCGCTCGTCCGAGAACGTGCCCAAGGCGGCAATAGGCAAGAAGTGGCGCCGCAGCGAGTTCGAAGTCGACGTCGTTGACCAGACTAACCAGTCCGGCGCGCTCGGCACATATCTCCCCATGCACGATCCTGTGCGCGCCACTGCCGACATGCTTCCCGACACGGCTGAGAACCGGATCACGCCGCTGCCTGCCCCGTGGCCTGGAGACATGGTGTCGCAAAGCTCATCAGGGAAGGGGTCATCGCCGACGGGCTCGGCGCCACACGGGTATGCGCAGTCATCGCAGTCTGCTCTCTCCCTGCAACCTGCCCCGTACGCCGCGCAAGCCCCGGGAAGCGCGTATAGCTCCAGCCAGAGCAGTCATGTCTATCCGCCGCAGAAGTCGCCGTTTGCCGACCCGCCCGGCATGGCGCTGTCACCGTCCACGCCAACACAGGCGCCATACCCTATCCCGCCGCTGAAGGCGGCACTGCTGCCGCCCCGACCGATGATCGTCACCGAGGCAGAAGATGCTGGGCGCATAGTCGAGGAACAGGTGCCGCCGCGGTATAACCCGGCATGGGCGGAGAACGAGCCACGGCGTTAGTGTACAAAGGTTATGGATCAGGTTCTCTTGTAAAGCACTAGCACGCCTGCGCCAGACTCAAGATCGTCGCATATGTGTCTACTCGCCAATGCCAGCACCTACGCCTGGTTTTTCAGATGTACGCCGTACCAACACAGGCCGGCAACAGCGCCACCGCCGACGCCCAACCATGGCGGCGCCTTGTAGTTCCTGCACGCAAGGAAACTCCCGCTGGCCACCACGGCCCAGAACGGGTCGGCCGTGAGGGGGCCGCTGACCGCCTGCCTGCTCTCGCCGTCGGCCGCGACGTACACATAGCCGACCAGGAAGAGCTGCCATACGGCGGTGAAGACGAGCCCGCTCGCCGTCGCATTGAGCCCACGGATGATGGACCGCGCAACCGCCTTGTCGCGCCAGTTGGCGTACAGCGGGAGCAGGGCGAGCTTGAGGAGGATGCCAGGGCCAAAAATGCCCACGTAGCCGAGAAATGCACCCAGTCCGCGGTTATGCCCGATGGCGAGGGCGCCAAGCGCGACGGCAAAGTTGAAGTTTGGGCCAGGGAAGGCCTGCAAGATTGCAAAGATGAGCAGGAAATCGCGGTCTGACACCCATCCCTCGACAACGACGTAGTCGCGCAGGAGAGGGATGACGACGGGGCCGCCACCGAAGATGATTGTCCCGGCCACAACCATGTTGCTGAAGAAGTCGAGGGCGCGCGGGACTGCGCGGCCCGCGTTCTGCAGGCCAGCGCGCGTGGCTAGTGGCGTGGTGAGGAAGAGGACGAAGGCAAGGAGAAGGGCGATGGCAACACGCGTTGAGACGACGCGGAGACGGTTGACGGACGCAGCTTCTTCCACCGCGCGATCCGAGGGTGTTTCAGTAGAAGCGCGGCGCTCGACCCGCACCTCAGCTTCGCAAGTGGACGCGCGGGAGGCTCGGGAAGCGCGAGAGGCGCGGCCGGTGACATCTTCAGTAGATAGCCGGGTTGAGCGCGCGTCGGGCGTATCTTGCGTCAGCGGGTTCGGGCGCAACGCACCAGGCATAGACGGTATTTCGATGCCCTCGTCAGGCGGCTCGTGCCGCACCCTGCGGGTAGCGCGACGCGCCGGCGCGATGAAAAGCTGTCGCCTGAAATCCCAAAGCAGGGTGGATACGCCGCCGAAGACGATGAGCACGGGATACATCCACGGCGCATGATAGCATATCCCGAATGATGCGGAGAGCCACACGAGGAGCAGCGTGACGCGGTCCGTGGCAGCTGCGCGCCCAAGTTGCTCGGCCGCGAGCGCAATCAGGCCTACTGCGGCGGCGTTCAGACCAGTAAGCAGGGCAAGCACGATGGCGGGCAGCGTATCGGGGATATGGGCGATGCCGAGGCCAAGGCCCAGCATGCCCAACGCGCCAGGGAGGGACCAGCAGAGGAAGGCGATGAGACCCGGTAGGACGCCGTGGGCGACCACGGCGATGGAAAAGGCCAGCTGCGTGCTCCCTGGTCCGGGGAGGGCGTTTCCAAGAGCGAAAAGATCGAGGAACGTTATTTCGTCGACCCACTTGATCTTCTCGACGAAGCGCTTGCGAAGGAGCACGACATGGACGCCCGGCCCGCCAAACGAGGTGAAGCCGAGGTCGCCGTAGGCCTTGAGGACGGCCCAGATGTCGGCGAGCATGAGTGGGTTAGTGAGGGAGGAGGGAGCGGATAGGAGAGAGAGAGACGATTGAGAGAGAGCAGATGAACGGCGTAAGATGACAGAAGATGCAGAGAAGTGAGCGGAGCGGTCGTGTTGGGTGGAGGCGGAGGCGGAGGAATGCTTGGCGGAAAGAGTTGCGACATCGCACGTGCGTCCTGCCAAACGCGGCGTGCCCCGCTTGGATCTCTGCACTCGCTCACCACGTCAAGCGTCGTGAACCAGCGGAGTGTAAGCGCAGTCAAAGATGCAGAGGGCTGCAGAGCGCTCAACGAGCACCTAGTTGTCTTCGGATCCGAGGTCTGAGTCAAGTTACGGCAGGGCGGAGACCCGTAGACGGAGGGCCTGGTTCTGGGGGCTGTTGCCAGCGTCCAATGTACGTGCTTTAAAACGTCACGTTCCAAAAGTCAGTAATGCAGTCCTCGCCGGATCTTTGGGACACTGAGCTGCTTCTGCATTTGATAAGCGAGCACCAGAGAGCCGAAGCGAGGAGCGGAAGTCGTATTGCCGCTATCACGGGTGTGCGACTTGTGGCACTAGGTTTTCGGCTCACTCTATTCGATAAGAACACAATCGTCGGATGTTCAAATGATCGTGGATGCGACTGACTTATCGCTTTATAGACTCATCCGGCAACAAGATGAGGCAGTCGTTCGTCGTTTGCTCTTATTCCTATCCCGATCGAACCAAGTGGCATTTCGGACAGGGACGCTCACCATGTCGACACGCGGCGGCCCAACAACATGAGCTGTAAATGCTCATCGCGGTCCTCAAGACAATGCGGCAGTCGCCAGCAACTGTGGGACGATCAACTCCTCTATGAGCACATAGAGTGTCTCGCAGAATGAAGCTAGGCGCGGTGCGACGAGCGACGGGGTGGAGATTTGACTCGAGCACATCGGAGCATGCATGCAGCGGCCTCGGTGTACAGCGGTCTGAGCGGGTGCATGCCGGCGGCAGTGGTATGGTGGAGGAGCTCCACCGTACACAATCCGCACCAAAACAGACGGCACCAAATCCGCCCACCTGTGACAGTGACATCTCCATCTCCCACTTGGTCTTCACTCCGTTCATCTCCGCCATGTCCAGCGACGAGCACGACGGGCCTCCCGCAAAGATGCCGCGCACGCGCATTGCCCGAGCGTGCGAGAACTGCCGCGCCCGCCGCAAGAAGTGCCAACCCCCTTATCCATGCCAGGCATGCCGTGATGCCGGTCTCCCCGACTGCCTCGTCCGCGATAAGCCGCGCCCTATGCGGCGCCGGCGGTCGCAGCAGGCAACGAGCGCGCCTATCGAGGGATCCATGTATCCGCAACGCACGCGCTTTCTTCACTCCATCGATGAGGAGCTGGAACGGCTGTACGCTGCTCAGACTGGTAAGTCATGGCCTTCCTTCCCTTGTCGCCCACCTTGGTTTTCCGCTTACCTTAGGCATCACCGTGTCTCTCGCGCTTGAGGAGGCACCGACTCACCCCGACTGCAATCTCCTTACCCCACTTCCTGAGCTGCCCGAGCCGCTGCCTCCAAGTGCTGCCAAGGCCATGCAGACATTCTGCGACCACATGTTGCCATTCTGCAGCTACATGACTGCCCCCAGAGTTCTCAGCCTTTTCGAGCGCTATCTCTCTGCGCCACACACTTTATCCCCTGATCAGACCGCCCTCATGTACTCGTGTCTTGCTTTGGGATATAACCGCCTCCGAACCTTCGGAGACAGTCGACAAGCACGCGACGTGCCGGACAACGAGCGGACAGACGTGCCGTATTTCCGGCATGCCATCCATGTCCTTGACAAGTGGGGTAGTGCAAGCTTTACATCGCTTCGTGAGTCAGCGATCGCATAATCGGCTGACGTGAGACACCCTTTCTGGGCTGTGGTACTACTCCACGATCGCGTGCACGTCCGAAACATGTCGGGAGATCGTTTCGTGGATGATCGCACAGGCCAAGGATCTCGGGATTCACCAAGATCAGGGAGGGTCGGCGTACTCGCCCTCTGATCGTGCCGACCTCATGTTTGTCCAGGTGCTGTACTCTCACTAGTTAGTAATTCTATCTGTGACCTGCTTTAGCTGACATCTAGCTGGACGACTGCCCTCACCGGACGACCGCCCATAATCAAGCCCGGCGAATTCGAAAGCATGACCTTCCGGTCACGACCCGTTCCCGAAGACGTCGATGTTATTCTAGTGCCCCGCCGCAGCTTGATGGAGCTCCTCGTGCTCAACACGCAGCTCATGATAAACTTGCACGATCCGCGCAATGCCAAACTTTCGCTCGACTGGCTGCTGCGCATCGAGGAGCGGTGGGATACATGGTGCGCGACATGGGTCTCGCAGGGACGCACGACTGGCAATAAAGTAACGGATCCGTTTTTGGGCGTTCTCTGGGACTGGTGAGTTCGGCGATGGCATCCTGTTGTGTGGTTCAACTAACATCAGGGGGCGACTCACTGTGCGCGCGGTGACGCTCAACGACTCGCGCCTCTCCATGTCTTCCCTGGCCGTTCTCACCCGCTCAGCACTCAAGATCCTCGCCTGCTACTACAACATGTACATTGGGCACGAGATCAACCTAATATGGCTGCATCTGCGGCATCTCGTCACTTGCGCGCACATCGTAATCATTGCGCACTGGCGTTTTGAGCTCGCGCAGGCTGAGGCCGAGATGGCGCTGGGGCAAGCCCTGTGGATGCTTGGGCTCATGGAGTTGCGGTGGCGCACACAGGCAAGCGAGGCGCGCCGCAAGATTGTCCAGGTCGCCAGCGCCCTCAGCCTTTCTGTCGTGCTGCCTCCTACACCCGCCAACAGTGAACTGTACGACGGCCGCGACTTCGACCAGAGCGCGCTCGGCGTGTTGTACGAGGCGTTTGACGCGGCTGTCAACGCACAGGGGCCTATGTCTGGGTGGACGATCGACTCTCTTTTCCTTGCGCCAGATTATCCCTCGTAGGTTGAGCGTGGTATGGGGCCGGTTGGTCGAAAGTCCTCACGTGAGGGTTTACAGATGTCGCATCAGCCGGCATGGACGAAGCCAATTTTGCTTCGTGACGGCACTGGATCAAAAGTGAATGTATCCAACAATACAGGTGCGCAAAACGTCTTGGACTCCGGGAAGGGCAGGAGCTCGGGGTATAAACGGATGATAAGGCAGCGAGTGGCCAGGATGCGCACGAAGGAAACTTGACGCGCGGCCGCCCCACGCGAATCCGTATAGCAATGCTCCATGACGACGAGACGACGGCGGCGCCCGGACTCAGCCACACCCAGCCGGACGTTGGCATACTTGGACAGTATGCATCATCCACTATTACACTTTGACGCACTATGATGCGCGGTCAGTACGCGGCGCGTACGCCGTTCTTCCTCGTAAAGCTATACAACCAACGAACGCTACTCGACAGCCACCGTCTTTACCTGGGCCACATTCTTGTTGGGATCGTCGCCAAACGTCTGCTCGTAGTACTGGTGCACCTCCTCCGAGAGGTCCTCCGTGCGCGGGCCACTGGCTGTCAGCTTGGTTGTGGGGCGAAGCTTACGTGAAGAAGGTCTTGCCGCCGATCTTGGGCATGAAGTAGTACCCGCCGGCAAAGACCCAGACGGCGGCGGACACGACGATCGCATAGTTCATGGTCGCGCCGTCCGGGTTTGGCTCTCCAGGGCTGCCGTCAGTCCTTGAACTCCTCGGAGCCTGGAGGCGCAACTCACAAGCAGAAAAGGACGATAGCGAAGCACATCCATGTCGCGGCGATGCAGGCGATCGGGTACGAGAATTTGCCGAGGTACCATGGCCCAGGCTTGAGGAGGGACTTGCCCCAGAGGACACGGGCGCCGATGGGGATGCCGTAGGCGACGTACAGGCCCATGATGTTGAGACAGAAGATTGCGTTAATGGCCGCTAGGTCGACGGGGTCCGCGAACGCCAGGAGGCCGAGGGGCATGGCGCAGAACGTGACAAGCCAGACGGTGCGCACAGGTGTGCCGGACCACGAGTCGACGTGGTACCAGTACTTGGAGAAGGGAAGGGCGCCGTCGCGCGAGAAGGCGAATGCTTGGCGGGAGGACGGGAGGATGAGGGACGAGGTCATGGACACCTCTGGGCGTCAGCAGTAGAGGAGAGGGAAACGCACGGGAAATGGCGATGAAGGCCCAGATCGCGATCGCGCCCTTGGTGCCAAAGCCCATCTGGTAGATGACGGCGAGGGGCTGGCCGATGGCACTGTCGTTGATGCCCTCGACGTCGGTGCCCATGCAGAGGGCGATGATCGCGAGGTATATCGCGCCGAGGATACCTGCCGAGGCGATCGAGCCAATGATGGCGGCGGGCACGGCGATGGCGGCGTTGCTTGCTTCCTCGGAGATGGAGACGGCGCAGTCGAACGACCCGATCGTCCATACCGGCGCGATCATGGAGAGGAGGAACGCCATGCCGTTGCCCCAGCCGGAGAGGTTAACGAAGCCGCCGAATGTGAACGCGGCCGTGTTGAGGTTGCCCCTGCGCGCGATCGGGAGGCCAATGATGGTTGCGAGGGCGAGGGAGACGTTGAGAATTGTCGCGGGTGTTTGCACGCGCGCAAACACTGTTGTGCCGTACGCGCAGTAGAAGGCGCAGAAGATGAGGATGCCACAGTAGAGGCCGAACTGGGCGCCCACCGACGGAGCAAAGTTCTCATTCGCCATCGTGCCCGCCGCGAAGAAGATACCCTGACATCCCCATGCGAGCGAGGAGATAGCGGCGACATTGCCCAAGAACGAGTTGTAGCCGACCATCCATGAGAGGAAATTACGGTACTTGGGTGGCGAGAGGCGGTGGGTCCAGTAGTACAGGCCACCAGAGGTGGGCATGGAGGACGCGAGGTCACCCATGGCCAGGCCGACGGTTGCGATCAGGCTCGCCGCCAATGCCCAGCCCCAGATCATGCCTACCGGTCCTCCATATGGGAGGTTGTAGAAGATGGTACTCGCGATAGAGGGCACAACGCCCATGATGCTAAACGCGACTGCCATTAGGCCGCTGTCTTGTGCGCGCGTCCCTAACGGCGCCACTCACCGCCAAACGTCTCAAACTTTGAGAAGTTGCGCTTCAGCTCCGGCTTGTATCCTAGGTCCTCTAGGCGCGCGTCGTCCCGCGTCATCCCTGCTGCGCCAGCCTCGACAGATGCCCGCCGCGCCTCGACCGCGACCACCGCGTCATCCTTGACCGAGCCTTTAGAGTCGGACATGTCCGCTCAGAGAGTGTGATGGGAGTCAGTTTCAAGTGTTGTCCCAGCTCGAGACGGTGGGGAAAGCGCGCTGATACGCGCTACCTTTAAGCTATCAGTATCGCTCAGGGCTGCCCAATGCACGCAGGGGGTAAGTGCCGTAAGCGTCGCCCATCGAGAGGGGGCTAAATGGATGCACTGATACTTGGAGGCTGTGGCTGTGGCACGAGCGCGAGGCCGGAAGGGTCAGCGTAGAAGGGGAAATGGGTATTCCCACCGAGCGGGCATCAACGATGGCATTGAATACCCCGGGCGGTGGTTGCGATATCATGTGAGCGGGTATTCTCCTGTCCGCAGGCCAGAAGAAGTGAGTATCAACCGCCCAGACCGCAACTAGAACTTGGGCCACAGGCACCCGAAGAGGTGGGCAGTTGATTACACGCTGTCCATCGACGATTGTGGCTTGTCAACTGGGCGCCAGGGATAATCGGGCATTCTACCCCGCAATTAGGCGGAATGCTGGTGCCAACCCCACACCCAACCCTGTGTTGCGCAGCGTGGTGAGTCGCCAACTCACCAGGACACTGGGGGATCTCGGGGACTGCATGACTTTGCTGACGATATTGCATGTCAAAGACGAGGACGAGAGATGCCGAGAGCTGCCGATCCAAGATTCGGCGGCCGTGTCTTTGTTTTTTCTGCCAACGGGCAATTCTACGCTAAGAGCGTGTGCACGCCCCGTGGCTGAGTTTACATATACAGCGTTGTGCGGGCGGGTCGAGCGAGAGGCTGCGTGGGTGGTTGCTCGTGTGATCGTGTGACGCGTGATCGGCCCCTGTCGATCCCCCATGCCACTTGAGCGCTGGGTGGTGGCGCTTGCTTATATTCCGACCCGCGCGGACGTCGCCATTCGGGGTCTCGTTCCATGCTATTCCGAGAGAAAACTCGCCTAGCCCGCCAAGAGTGTGTTGGGGTCACATGTCCAGCTAAGGGCCAGTAGTGGGCTTGACAACAAGTTGGGGACGACCTGTTGAAGTGGCACTCCTCACCATAGAGCTGGGACCGACGTGAGCAGGCTTAGGCATTCTGGCACCGGCGCCGCCCCACCGTGCGTTCGCTTAGTGGCCACGGTGCAGGCGGGACGAGCTAAAGGACGCCGTGCGATGGTGTGGAGGAAAGATTGTGCGTAGATGAGGGGGCCTTGCGTCCGCATCTTCTCTGAAAGTCCGGCAGGTATGGCGATAGGCAGTAGGGCACCGTGCTCAAAACATCGAGATAGCGGGTTGAATACAGCAGGTGGGGACATATCGTTTGCATATAGATTTGGCCCGAAGCGCCCAATCAAAGCTCACGGGTCGACAAGGTGCATTTCCGCCCGTAGTTTGCGACCTTGGAGGTCAACAAGTGGAAGGTGGGAGCGCAAGTTACTGGGATCGGCCAGTCACTGCCCAGTAGTATTGGAGAGAACCTGCACTCCCCTACTACCCGCTTCTCGCTCGAGAGAAGCGCTGTATCACAGTGGCGTGGTGCGCCCGTGGCCTCAGCGCGCGCCAAAGCCTGTCAACGCCCCGCCCAGTATAGCAAAATATGCACACAAATGCATGCAGCTCTAAGGTGCCTACAACTTGGTGGCGAGCGCGGCAGCAAGCTTGCCGCGCATGCGCATGAGGCTGCTCCGCTCCTCCTCGAGGGCCGTGAGCGCGTGGTCAATCGCGCAGCGGTACTGCTCGACGCGGGCAGCCTTGGCAGCGCGCTCAGCCTCCTTGGCGCGCACGAGGGCACGCAGGCGCTCGACCTCGGCGTTGGCCGCCGAGAGCTGCGCCAGCTCCTGCTCCAACAGGGAGGAGAGCGCGTTGAGGGCCGCGAGGGGGCGGCGGGACACGGCGAGCTGCGCGAGAGGGTCGGAAGGCAGCTCGGCTGAGGGTGCGGCGGGGGCGACGGGGGTCGAGGGCACGGTGATGGGGGCGGGCACGTGCTTGGGCGCAGGCACGGAGGCGGGAGCCACGACGGGGGCTGGGGGAGCGGGCTTCGGCGGCGGCGCGGGGACAACGACGGGGGCGGGCGCAGGCTTCTCGACGGGCTTGGAGGCCTCGACGGGCTTGGGAGCAGCGACAGGCTTGGGAGCAGCGACGGGCTTGGGAGTCTCGACGGGCTTGGGAGCCTCGACGGGCTTGACCTCGACGGGCTTAAGAGGTGCCACAGGCTTGACGACGTTCACAGGCTTGACAACCTCGACGAGTTTAGAGGCCTCGACAGGCTTGGGTGCCTCAACAGGCTTAGGCGCCTGAATGGGCTTGGGCGCCTCAACGACCTTGACGGCCTCAACGGGCTTGGGCGCCTCAGCAGCCTTGAGCGCCTCAACAGGTTTGGGCGCCTCAGCCTTGGTCTCAGCCTTCGGCGTCTCCTTGTCAACGATGGGAGCGGCAGGGGCGAGAGCGGAGAGCTCGACAGGGGGCACCGCCGCGGCGGCCTTGGCCTTGCGGTTGACGAGCGAGAGGTCATCCTTAAGCCACTGGTACTCGGTGATGACGGCGGCGGAGGGAATGGTGGCGGTAGAAGCGAATGCGGGGGTTGACGGCCCGGGTGTGTCGGCGGGTGTGGCGGTGGTCGAGTCGAGGGCGGGCAGGGCAGGAGTAGAGGGTGCAGCAGAGTCTGAAGGAAGGGAAACGGGCTCGGCGACGGGAGTCGACGGAGCCGGGACGGAGGGTACCGCTTTCGGGGGGTGCGACCACTCGGGAGATAGGCGCACGGGCGTGATTGGGGTTACAGGGGTGGGAGGGGTTGGCTCGGGCTCAGCTGCGGGCGTGGGCACGGGCGCGGGCGCGGGCACAGAGGCAGGAACAGGAGCGGGAGCAGGAGCCTCCTTAAGGATAGTGAGAGTGGGTTCGGTTGCGGCGTTCTCGATGGGCTTGGTCTCGAGGACAGGGGAGGCGGGGGGCGGGGTGGATACAGGCGTGTCGGCGGGCGTCTCGACGGGGCTCGGAAGGTCGGGCAGATCCAGGTCGTCAATGGGGCGGTTGATGATCTCGCCCTTGGCGTCGACGAGTAGGATACGGCGGCGGTCGCCGTCATAGATGTACAGCGCACCGTCGAGGGAGCATGTCTCGCCCTGGAGCTCGGCGGGGAAGATGGTGCAGTAGTAGCACTGGCGGCCCTTCCAAAGGTTGGTGCCAACGCGGAGCAGAGGCTGGACGTTGCATGCCGCCTTGGGTCCGCACGCCGTGACACAGCGCGTGCAGCGGTCGACGCCAGCGCGGATGCGCTTCTCGGGCGGGAAGCTGGTGTCAGCGCTGAGCGAGCAGCTACGAGATGGGATTTGGGTAGATCCGCAAGGCGGATTGACTCAGGTGGCAGTGCTTATGCCCAGTCGATAGCGATTTAGATGGCAGGGATAATACCACACCGAGACTTACTAGTAATAAGGCGTCTGCTGGGTGCCGAGGACGGCGATGCCGCCGAGGTTGACCATGAGCTCAAGGCCAGCCTTGACCCCGGGAGCGCGGGGGCGCGTGCGCTTCGCGTTCGAGTTGAGGTGCTTGGGGGGCATCTTTGTAGAAGGTCGAGACGAGAGCTGGTGCCGCAGACCGATTTAAATTGCTACAGAGCAGGTAGCTTAGCGCAAAGTGGGCACCCGTGGCGTTCTTATATCAGCGAGAAGGCCATCGACGGTGGGGGAGCGGAAGGGCGAGCGGCGGGAGCGGCGGCCGTTCTCGGGTCAATGTGGATGGGGCTGGGATTGAACTGTGCGCGATCGTGCGCGAGCAGCGAGGGAGATTGAGCGTTGTCCTGGAGAGCTGGGCTGGAGCTGCGTTGTGGAGTTGTGCGAAAAGTGAGGAGCAGTAAGATGGGGGATGAGAGGGGACGTAAGGAGGTGCCTCAGTTCAAGCTTGGCCCGCGGTGAGGTGAGAGTGTGGTCAGCCGCTCTCGCTGGCCATCGCGCGCCATCACAGTTGTGGCCCTAACGACCGTGCGCTCCCAAGCCCCCGCTCGAGCCACCGCACGGCCGTTGAGAGAATTTGCACCATTGTCCCCTCGGTCTGGTGGTGCGCTAGCTCCTCTGCCTGCCGAGTTCCACCGCGTGTCCAGGGAGGGGGGAAAACACCAGATCGCGCTCGGACAATGTGAGCAGAGGCGGGCAGCGAGAAGCTCGCGCTGGGCATTGTATGCCGGTGCACGGGTGACGAGAAGCATAGGTGTGGTGGCATAGCGTGGTGTGCGGCCACTGCGGAGATGGTGGCCATGGCGGTTATGCGAGAGAGCCAAAGTTGAGATGGAGGCGGAAAAGACGGATGCACAACCCCGGCATTTGGCTTGCTCCGGCGCGGTGAGGCCTTCCGGCCATCGGCGACAGAGAGGTCCCCGACGTCCGACGGCGAGCCGCGAGGTCAGTTAGGAGACGTAGGGTCGGACGCATCCGTCATGGAAGCATGTGCGGGACGTGGTTGGCAGGAGCCCGCGTCCCAGACCTTGATGCCATGTCCCAGCGAGGGACGGGCTCCTCGACCTCATTCTCGCAGATATTGCAAGTAATAAGGCGGAGAGGGCGGCAGCGCATTTAGCGAACGCTGCAGCACGCAAGTAACGCAAAAGAGCACATGGAGTGGAGTTTTGGTGGACTGTGGGTGGCAAGTGATGGGTTGTGAAGTGACCGCGGACGTTCGGGATCATCAGTCTTGTTTGTTGGCCGAGCACCGAGATGTCCGATCGCCGATCTCCGAGTGGCGGCTCAATCACTGCCCGGCCTCAGCGGCGAGGCAGTCGCGGCCATTTGTTTGGCCCAATCTCTCCAGCACCTATGTCTTCTACAACGACAACTATACTGTGTGGGGAAACTGCGCTAACTCTCTACCTGGGCAACGGATGGACAGGCGTCGGACGTGTGTTGGGTGGCGATGAGCGCCAAAATCTTATCAGCTGGCCCCCACTCCGGTTCCAAGACTGTCCCGACCGCCAACAGTCCATCCAGATCGGCGATGTAACGGCCCCATATCATACTCACCATATTGCCTCCGCTGGCACCCGCCGGCGGCGCCGAGAACGTGCCGGCGTTGATGCATGGGAAAGTTGCTGAGCGGCTGCGTGGGCCGAGAATCCGCTCCGCTTATCGCCGTGGATAATCTGATCCCGCGCCGCACGGCCCACGCCGCGTCCACCCCACGCACCACCATCGCCAACGACGGCCATCAACCCCGTCTCTGTCATCTCTCACATTCTCCTCCTCGTTCATGACCATGCGCACACGCTCTAAAAGGACCCAGCCGTCGCCCGTCTCCTCTGCACCCACCACCGAATCCGAGATGACTGAAACCAAGCCTCTTCTTAACGGCCGCAGGAACGGCGAGATCAAGACGGACGGCCACCCGAACGGCAACGACGGCAAGGCGAGCAAGTGGGCCAAGCCTCAGCTTCTCAGCTACGCCGAGAGCCGTCGTCTTGTGCCGTGGGCCACTGACAATGAGTTCATCACGAGCGGGTACCGCCCGCAGCTCATCAACCTCAGCTCCTGCCTCTACTCTGCGATCGGCTGTGAGTGACCACTTTCACGGGCTTCGTGCTCACGGTTTCGCCGGTCCTTGCTTACTCCAGACATTCACAACGAAACTGTCAATATCCACTCTCACTCGATCGGCGCCGCCTTCTGGGCCCTCATGCTTCCGCTCCACCTCTTCCCCGCCCACTTCCCTACCCTTGGCGTCTTTCCCGCCGACCTCCCCTCCTCGACCATCGCCAAAGCTTGTATGGCCTGCTACTTTGTCTGCGCCGTCACCTGCCTCGGGCTGAGCTCATGGTTCCACACCGTCTCCTGCTGCACGCGCGAAGTCTGCAACCTGGCCCATTGCGGCGATTACGTCGGCATCGTTGTCCTCATTGTCGGCTCCATCCTCCCAGGCATGTACTACGGCTTCCACGACCAGCCCCTTCTCCAGGGCCTTTACATGACAGGCATCACGGCGGCCGGCCTGACTTCCGCCTACATCGTGCTGTCGCCGCACCACCGCAACCATCGGTGGGACCGCACGCTCACGTTCATCGCCCTCGGACTCTCCGCCGTCCTTCCCGTCGGCCATGTCGTAGTCGCGCGCGGCCTCACCTACGCCCGCGAGATGATGGGCCTCTCATACATCGTCGCAGGCGGCGCGTCGTACATCCTCGGCGCGGTGCTCTACGCCGCACGTATTCCCGAGAGCCTTTACCCTGGCAAGTTCGACTACTTCGGCAGTAGCCATCAGATCTTCCACTGCTTCGTCCTGCTCGGCTCGTGGTTTCAGTTTGCCGCGCTGCGCTGGATGCACGTCGGGCGTGTGATGGCCGACATGTAGTCTCGCGTGGTCTCCTTGCACCATAGCGGACACGGGCGACGGGCCTGCCCGCATCCCAGCATTGTAGAGCTCCACTTTGTAGAGAGCTTCCAGCGCCGCACCGCCGCATCACATTCGTCTTCGACGAGGCGCGGCGTTACGGCCACTACGCTGTACTCAGCCACATCTAGATCGATAGACGGTAGACGCTGAAAAGCGACTGATGCAGTTCTGTCCTGCGTGGCGTTGATATTGCATCCCTGTGCAATGGGTGCAGCACACACAGGCGTCGTGCAGCCGCGCGACGTCTCGAAACGAGGGGTTTCTGGCACCAGCATCACTGATAGCAATCAACGATGCGCATGCAGTTCACCCAGGTCAAAATATAGGAGGTAGCGGGACCAAATATTTCGAAACAATGACGTATGTGTGGCAGCCACACGGGCTTCAACGCGCTCACTGCCATGGAATACATGCAAACTTTTGCCATAACTACACAACACCGTCCACTGCCTACTTGCGCTGGCCATAGGCCTTCGTGGCGTACTCGCCGTTCTCAACAATGACGTTGGCGGGGTTTTGGGGCTTGCCGTTGAGGTAGTTTTCGATAATTTCCTTCGTGCCGGCAGCGTAGCGAGCCTGGGATCGTCAGCATCTGTAGCCACCACGCGGCCTTACCTGCGCATCAAGGGTAGTGCCGCTATAATGGGGCGTCATCGCGTTCTTGGCCGTCAGCAGGGTTCTAAGCGTGCTGTAGAGCTTCTGCACGCGTTCTAGAGCTTCTACGCGGAGTTTGAAGCTTCTATGCCGACTCTGAAGCTTCTATGGGTATAGTTGAGGATGAATACTCACGCCGTTTCCATTAGGGCCACGCATATCACGCCACGGGTGGTCGGGAGGCGCGGGCTGGACGTCCCACACGTCGCCGCCGTATCCAGCAATGTAGCCGCTTTCGAGCGCCTCGACAATGGCCTTGCGATCGCAGATAGCTCCGCGGGCCGTGTTGACAATCCACACGCCTTTCTTCATCTTCTTGATCGCGTCAGCGTTAATTAGGCCGCGCGTGCTCTCGTGGAGCGGGCAGTTGACGGTGATGACGTCGCAGCGTGAGAGAAGCTCGTCGAGCGTGTCGACACGCTTGGCCGAGATCGCCTTCGCCGCCTCGGCCGGGATGTCGTTGTAGTCGAACCACAGGAGCTCCTTGCAGTTGAAGGGCTCGAGGCGCTGCAGAACGCGGTAGCCGATGCGGCCGCAGCCGATGGTGCCGACCACCTTGCCCTCGAGGTCGTAGGCGTCGCGGGCGATCTGCGCTACGTTCCACTTGTGGTTGATAATCTGCTCGTGGGCCGGAACGAAGTTGCGCACAAGGCAGAGCATGGTCATAACGACGTGCTCAGCGACGGAGACGACGTTGGATCCCGACACCTCGGCGACAGTGATCTTGCGCTTGTTCGCCGCGTTCAGGTCGACGTGATCAGAGCCCACACCAGCAGTGACGCAGAGCTTGAGGTTCTTGGCCTTGTCGATAAGGTCGGCGGTAAGGTAACCAGGGTGGAAAGGAGTCGTGACGAGGATCTCGGCGTCGACGATGTGCTTCTGGAACTCCGAGTTGGGGCCCTCCTTGTCATCGGTGACTACGACACTGGAGTGAGCGCACTGTGATAGGAGGCCACTGCCGAAGCTGGTCGCAGCAGAGGTAGCACAGTGGGAGGGGCGGTAGTAGAGAACGACGACGACGAAGCGGTCTCCCCTCCTCTCTCCCAGCACTTTACATCTTCTCACTTCCCTCGTGCTCGCCAGCATAGTACACTCACTCGTGACCCAGGCCCTTGAGCCAGTCAAAGATGCCAAGCTTGTTCTCGGTGGTGCCGAGCAGGCGAGGCTGCTCCTGCGCGGCCTGGCCGCCAGAGTAGAGGACGATGAGGACCTTCATGATAGACTGTGAGGTTGTGCTGGTGGAAGGAGTCGTGAGAATGGAGAAAGCGACCGTCTTCCCACCATCTTTCTTATAGCTGTTCGAGCATGTGCCCTCACTTCACATCGTACCTGCCGTGCCCCCTGCCGGCCGGCACCCGTCGGCCCACTTGCACTAGCAACGATGCAACAAGGTCATGTGCTTCTCGACGTGAGACATTCCGGCCTCGGCTCGGTTTGGTGTCGCTGCGGGCCTGGAACGAATAGTGGGCAGATGACGCACGAGAGGCACGCAGCATGCATTGACAATGATTCTCCGCGATCGGAACCCCAACAAGTTGCCGATACCTCGCTTCTCGGGCCCCTCGTTACGCCGCAGGGCCACAATGCGATACATGTGACTGCCGCGGCGCCGCCGATATATGGTGATTTGATACATCGTGTGCTGGAACGTTGTGAGTGCATTCCACCACAATCTGCGGTTTGAAGCTCAGATAACAGATAGAAAGATATGCCTTGAGTGAGGGAATGCATCGGGCTGCAAGCCGTGCGAATCGCCGCAGATCAGCCATCACCGAATCACCAGTGCTCTGCTAGGTCACACTTGGTCTGCCCGCAGCGACCTCTAGATATCGACTGGGCCGTCTCAGACTGCCTCGCGCGCTCTCAAATCCCTCTCGGCCATCTATCTCAAACCGGCACGAAAGGTGTACCTCAATCGCGGCGACATCTCAAACCATCAAAGAGCGTCTCAAATCGGGCAAACTGCACGGCTTCTTCGGCGGCATTCTCGGCATCCATTGTGCACACCCCGGAATCCCGATTCGGAGAGATGTACTGCTGCGTCCATAATCAGTTTCTTCTGTGCCGCAGCATTGAGTTGGGGCTGTTGGTAGGCAGGCAGGTAGTGCATGGGCCTGCGCTCGGTGCAACGCGGAAGATTGAGGCTTCCACTCGATGCACTGGCCGAGCCCCCATGGCACGTGACCCTTCCGCACAAATGGCAGGTACATGCCCTATGCATGCATCATTATAATGGCAGATACTGGGGATAAACGCATGTCTTGTGCGCTTTGCTACCTCTAACCTCTATCCTCTCCCGCGGGGTGCGGCTACGTGGTTGAGGCTTGACCATCATGACCCAAACTGAAGGACACAGTCACGTCACCGACAGACCTGCAGAAGGCCACGAGTATTTCAATGTCTGACCTCGTGGATTCATGCTGTGGAATCTCCGAACTTGCCAGAGTGATTACGGAATCCTTGTAAGCTTGCGCCCCGCGTCTCGTGTTATGGAGATCGAGATGGCGGAGGAGCGCCTGCACCATGCACTACTACGCCATTCACGAAAACAGCCGCGAAAGACTGGGGCTATTCTGACCCCGCCTCATCCTTATTAGTCTGGCCGTATACTAGGCGTATGATGTTGCTAATTCCAACCGCTCACAATGACTGCGATCTTCCACGACCACTGTCAGGATGTGCATTGACCTTGCAGAATTTCCGCGGAGTGTGAACAACGGTTTCGACCTCAAACATCCTCTTCACTAGTATATCGGTTAGTATATTCGCCTCTCAGTCGAGAGCGGCCGGACACGTCTTCCTGAAGACATCGGCCTGACCGCGAAAGAGCAGGGTTCAACTCCCTGGTGGAGAATCTTTTGGTCTCCTAAGCATCAAACGCGTGACAACACTCTTCAAGTTCCAAACGAAGCCAGCACAGCCCAAGGCGGAGGAGGTGAGATGTCGAACGATGCAGATACGTGAGAAGTGGAACAAATGGCCATGCGGAATTTAGCTACTCCAGGCACACCACCCAAGTTGCCCCACTCACCCAGCTTGGTGGTTGGAAGCTTTCCTGACTTTGAACAGCCCGATCCCTTCAGCCAGCCCAACCCTGGCATGTTCGAGGCTGTTTCAGGACATTATGCCGTCAGTCAGTGAAAGCGAGGCAAACGGCATACACGGCATACACGGCGTGGAACGCATGTCGCTGAGCCCGTGTTCGCCGTCCTGGAGTGGCAAGCGTGACATATGTCTGGGCTCATATGTCTGATTGATGGCCTGCACACATGTTTTACCGCCACGGACGATCCGATCCGCGGGAAGGGATTGTCCCGCCACATGGCCCACTCACGAAAGATCAGCGTGTTGATTCAGGTCGGGCTCTTCCCGAGCACCGTTTCAGCCTGCCATATCACGTGAAGCGGCTTGTGTGATCTGTGTCATGCGTTGTAGCGTCGGAAGAGGGGAGACCGGAGAATGGACGAGTAGTGACCTGACACGTATGACAGCATGAACGGCAGCAGGGTACATGCAGCCGGGTCGGCGTCGAGCTCGTCCCGACACCCCGACTGCCGTCTCAAGCTTCAGAGTGGCCGTGATCTGAAACGGATAGATGTCCACTAGTACTGCCTCGCTTTGACATTAGCCCCGACCCACGAACTCCACTCCCAGACGTGCCGACGTTCAACCAGCGGCTGCGGTGGCAGGCGCGATGTTCCACGGCCACTGAGTGCTCAAAGATGCATGCCAGAAGCACCTTTCGTAATAGTGTTCCTGGGGGCGGAAGTAGTGCCTGCGGAGATGCGCGCGTGCGGCCGGGTGACAACCTTGTACCATCGATGCGCCATCCCGCACCTCATGTGCTCACCGTCGCGTGCAGCTATCTGCGAGCAGGCAAATGAGATGCGAGCGATTGGAGCGTGGGCATGCATGGCACCGGTCGAGTATGGCACCGGTCTTGTTGGGTGGGCAAGCAAACCAGACCACCAGACGATGGTTTCGCGTTGACGTGCACCGATGCCACTACAGCCGTACAGCCACACTTCGCGTCGTCAGATACATGCATAGAGCTCTCTACAACCTAGTGGGCAGCGCTGTTCGCAGGCTGGGTACAGGCCTAGTGAGGGGCAACGCCAGTCTGGCCGGTAATCGGGCAGCGGGCCTCGTCGTGCTCCTCACCGCCCGAATGCTCCGCCACATCCTCGATAACGACCTTCTGCCCCTCCTTGGTCACCTGGTTCCACATGGCCATAGGGTCCATCCACACCTCCAGCTTCTCAGCCTGCAGCTTGTCGTTGACGGTCGCGACGAGGATGCCCTCGATGTCAAGCAGACCACCGTGCGCCTTGACGCGAACTTTCTTGCCCTCACTGGCGTCAGAGTTTCGGTGCTAGCGTCGACCTACGCATTGAAGCCGACATAGTCATTCTTCATTTCTCCCCAGTGACGCCACTTCATGGCCACGACGGGAGGTCCAGAGTACACCTCAAGGACCTCCCATGCAAAGACAGGCATCATGCGCTTGAAGCTTTTGTGGCTGGCAGTGAAATCGTTTCTCTCCGGGTCGTAGAACTCGCTCCTTGTCAGAAGCGCGTTATACGTGCCCACCCGCAGCATCTCGGGTCCCGTCTTGGGGTCGCCCCCATTAAAGTAGAACTTGTACTTGTCCTGGACAACGGTGCGCCACTCGTTGAAATCTGTCTTGAAGGATGCCTCGATCTCCCAGTTCTTGACGAGGTTCTCAACGAGGTTGGGCAGAGACCCCGGCTCGTGGTTCTGCGTCTTGGCTTTCGTCAGCTACGCTACACTCGTCACTCACTCTCCTCGTACCACTTGCGCGTCTTAGAATAGTCCGGCGCGCGCTTGAAGCGCCAAGCAACTTTGTCGCCGAGGACGGCGTCGGGGTTCGTCACAATATCGGGGAGGGACATGTTTGGAGCAGGTACTGAGCAATGGTGGGGAGAGCGCACAGTCAACTGATGAGCTCTTTTTATACCGCAGAGCCCCAGCCCCAGAGAACCAGCACTATCCTGCGCTCAACTCAACTGGGCACAAACCGGCGCCCCCCACCACCGTTCCAGACGCCTGGAAGTCTCCGCGCTACGTCGATATTCTCGAGAAGGATATGCACACGGTGATGCTCTCCGGTGTGGTAACGGCATCGGTAGATACAGGCACATCTGACTTTCGGCGACAACCCCTCGAGATGGGAGTGGATGTCTAGAAAGGCGCGGAAGTGTCCACTCGCCGAGGATGCCAACAGGAGAATGCCATCAGGTCCAACAACATGCCGGCAGCAGGATTTCCTGGACGAGCGCTCGGCGATCAGTCGGCAACATGAGAGGCACCGTCACAAATGGACCCTTTTATCGACTTCAGTTCGGGGCCAGGTACACACAACTTTGAAGCACGATCGCGCATGGGAGAGAATGGCGAGGAATCACCCTCCGCCTCTGAGTGAACGGGCTTGGCCATTTAATCTCACATGACTGGACAGCGGGCAGTGAACGTCGCAGCAGCAAGGCTGTAGAAGATGGCGCTAGATGCGGAAATGGAGACTACAGGCCAGAATGTGTTTGAGAGAAGACATAAAGTCGGTTAGACGTTCTGCAATCCGTTGCGGATGACTGGCTGATACCAACCCCTGAGGCATTTCCATGTCGTCGTACTCCAATGGCGTTACAAGCCTTCACCTCACCTTCAGAATGCATTCTCTGAGTGCCAATCTATGGGAGCAAGCCCATGCCTCAGCTTCTCATGCACTACTCTAGGGCCCATCTCGTCGCCGCGTGGGAGATGCACAGTCGCCGGGAGAATGTCAACGTTCATGGCGTTACACCCATCCGTAAGCACCTCCCTGGTCGCAAGGCAGCAAGAGCCCTGCATGCTTGGCTGTGATGCGACCGCAAAACCTCTAGTCTGCAGATATGCCTAACCCATTTGGATGCCTGTTGAGACGTGGCTGCCTCGATGTTGGATGCTTCCGAGTTTCCATCGTGGGGGCCACCGTCCTCAGCTCCTAGATTTCCGGAGCATGAATGATCTCCGGCTATTGACAGCTAGCCCTGGGGTTACACGCCTGAGAGGAGACTGCAAGCTGCAGCAAAGAACTGCACCTGCTGGCGAAGGGGGAGGGAGTGATGGGGGTTTGAGTAGAGGAGGATGTGTAGGTAGTTATGAACGAAGCATTGGCGTCTGGGTGATCAGATAGTGATCGCCATATCGCTGTCAGCAATAGAAAGAGGGCTGATGGACGGTACACCGACTGCGCAACTGACCAGCGCGATTTCCGTGATCAGCATCAGATATCTAAGGCCCAATCCTTTCCGGTGATCTCTGGGATCTCAATCGTCACCTCCGCCCGCCACCCAGTGCACACCTTACGTGACTTGAGCCTCTTCGTCACCTCTGTAGCCACATTTATACACGCCTGTGCTATTGACATCGAAGTTTTCTCCACCCACAGTTGCCTGTCGCTAAGCTATGTCACAATGCGTGTTGATCTCAAAAGAAGCTAGCGCCCACGTCCTCGAGGGCGTGGCCAAGGTTGAAATTGGGAGTGGGTAACATTACCACTCCGCTAGATTGAAGTTGATGTTGGCAAGCGGGCTGAAAAAGTCTACATTTTTTAGCGGAGAAAACAAAGTCCACCTCATTGAGGGCGCGCGTCCAGTCGAGCTCGGACATGGGCGTATTCGCGGCGTTCCGGAGGGTGGTGTCGAGCGCGGCATCGTCACAAGCCGCGAGGAATATGATGAGCGGAGAGGCCGATGCGACTGTGATGTGACTCATGGGAGCGTCGCGGTATGACCTGTATGAGCGGCGCAGTTGAACACGATGGACAGCAGCGAGGTGCCATGCCAGGTGGAGAAGATTGTCGAACGAGCGATCGTGGCGCGAGCAAACCAAGTCCGGGCAGATAAGGCGACGTTTGCGGATGAAGATGCCCCCCTGCTCGTCGCGGGCTCGAAGAAACTCGCAACAAATGTGGAGAGATTGGTGGTGCTTCTTCTTCGGTGGACGCATCCGAACACTGAAAGACTCCGCAGTCGAGTGGAGGCAGCAGAAGCAGACCTGCTCGCACAGAATAGTGGAGGGGCAGAGCCGCCTGCTGTCGCTGTGGTCCGTATAGCCTGATAGGAGATCAGGCTCGAGCGCGGCTGCTTCGATGGCGCCGAGCTGAATGTCGAACCGGATGCGATACCGATAATCTGGTGGGAGGTCAACGAAGCGCTCGCGGTAGAGGCGCTCGCAGACTTGCTCGATCTCCAGGGGGTCAGCCACCCAGCATCCAATCTCCCAGAAATAACGCGGGTCGCATGGGAGCTGGAAGCTACTATTGGTCATGGCCTTGGGTAGGTCAGCCACCCACAGACCGTGCGAGAGCTGATGTTGAATGATGGCTGAGATGCAGTATGACTTGTGGCCGCACTTGCAGACGAATTTTCCGTACTTGGAGATCTGAGTGTAGAGAGCGCTTTTCATAACGGTCAGGTCCAATGTCCATTGGCTTTGGGCGCTGTTCCACAGGACGGGGGGATTAACCAACACGCGCCCTAGACGAGTCGGAACTGGCTTGGAGCGTTGATCCGTAAATGAGCCGGTGGACGAAAGAGAGGGATGCATGGAAAGGGAAGGGTACGCTGGGTACTTTTGAAGAAGTCCGCTCGAGCGTTGCTCTTGACTGAAACCCGAGTGCATGGCATGAGATGCTCGAGGACATCACTGGGGGTGCCTTTGAGGGTCTTACCGCAAGCTCCGCACGTGTCATGTGTGCCAAGGCTGCCGATGGGAGTGTAGCTGGCAATGGAGTCCAGCTGTGGCAGCGGAACGGCGCATTGCTTCAAGGTAGCGCCGTTGAGCTTGCTGCTTCCGAACAGAATGTTCTGCATAATGTGAAGATACTCGACCTCCGACCTGGGTGTGGTGACCGCTCTAAAATCAGCCGCCGTGACTGTAAAGTACGTACAGGCAGGGACGGTCCACGTGACGTTTGAACGTCGAGCAGGCCCAAGGCCTGGCCCGAGAAGTGTGAGGGTGGAGGGCATACGCTTCGAGCAGGCGGTCTGGTTGGATCCAGATCAGGGCGGAGAGATCAACCGGGCTAGCAATGAGCCCAAGTGCCGCCCAGTTAAGATACTCACGGCAATTGGCGTAGATAGAGTCAGTCACCGTGGAGTTGTGGACATGGGTGGCCTTAGTTTGCAATTTCATGCGGTCAAGGCCTTGAGTTAGCTCCACAATCGTCGTGACGCTCACCGCTAATGGACATGAGCTGCAGCCCCATAACTCGATAAGAGCTTGGCACAATATACGATTCGAACTCGGCCAGCTCGCAGAGACGCTTAAGCACGACTGCCAATCCCTTGAGATTCCATGGATTCCCATACATTCCCGCTTTGGCGTTTTCCCCACCGAACACTGGCGTGTCGGCCTTGTTGAAGCTGAGAATCTTGATGTTGACACCATTGAGGAGGCTGGGCAAGTCATCAAGCATGGCGAAGTCGAAGTTTTCAGGGAGAGCTTGATTGAGGCAAGCAAGGACCAAGAAGGACGTGACAGGGCAGAGCCAACGCTCGGTGGTGGAGTTGAGGACGTGATATTTGTCTTCTGCCTGAGCAGTCTCGGCCGCGACGGGTCGGTAAAGAAGACCCACCTGACACTCTACCGGCGAATCGTCGTTGCTGACACGTGAGATCACCAACCTGAAGTGATCGTACGTCACAACGCGTTCTTTTGAGTCGTCGAAGAGATTGTTGGCCCAGAGTGTTCCCTGGAGCATGGCGGCTTGCCAAAATGTAAAGTGCCAACGACGTCGCAGGACGTTTGGCGACCACTCGGGCTCCCATGCGACGAAAGCAAGGCACCTCAAACCTTCCGGCGAGGTGAAATGGCGAGCCTTGCGAATGTCGCAGAGAATATTGTCCTCGAGGAGGGAGTGAAACAGGGTGCTGATGGCACGCTGTGAGCTTTAGCATGGTCACGCACAGTAACTGCAACTCACCGAGATGCCATGGGGGATAGACTGACCACCGCGCTTGGCAAAGTAGTACGCTTTGAAATGGTACCAGTACCCTTTGAGAGTGGAGATGCTCGGGCCCGGGTTACCGATACTGGAGGGCATTCGACTTGCCATCCACAGGAAGAAGGATACACATGTCCCGTAGTTGAGATGGTCAAACTCTTTCTACCTGTCAGCATGGCATCTCAGTTTCAAACATACCTTCAGGTAATCCTGATGTGACGAGGGGTTGCCCGGCATGAGGTGGAGCTTACCGCGCTCTCGTTGCACTTGGAAAAACTCTCCAAACCGGCGTCATACCAAAAGAGACTGCCGATGAAAGCCGGCATCCTCATCGTGAAATGCTTCCACCTCATCGTCGGCCTCCTGCTCGTTAAGCCTGCCGAGCATGGTATCAAGGTCCTCCTCGAGATCAATGTCCATGTCATTGCCCGAGTCTTCGCGAAGATTGGAGGACATTGCGACGGGGCCTGAAGAGGGCGTGGCACTGTTTGGATCGCATGATCGCTTGGGCTCCTCAAGTTAGGGCAGCGCGACCACCATGACCATGACAAGGTAGGTGGTCATCTAGTGCGCGAAAGAGACGGCTCTGGTGGCTCAGTGATCGCCGCCAACTCAGGTGACGAGGAGAAGACTGAGGAAGGTGATGATGGAGCGAGTTGGAGTGATTGGAAAGAAAGCCAATGTGGGCAAGGATCTGTGCGCTGTTGCTGTGTGGTGAGTGCCAAGTGGGAAGGGAGGTGAGTGGAGTGGTCGTAGAGGAGAAGAGCAAGAGTAGTATGCGAGTTTGGGATAGACATGGGTGAAATGCATGTGAACTCCTACCGTTTTTGTCATATACATATAGATAGGTGATGTTACCCCTCTGTACCTCTGCCTCTGTTGACTGAACCGAAAAGTGCTGAAGAATCAGTTCGCAGGAAGCATAAACTTGACGTCGGCGGGGGCAGGCCACACATGTCGCATCATCGGAAACTCTGCGTATGCTCGGATACATTCAAATGAGCGGGGTATATTCCAGAGGCCAGGGGAGACTACTTGTACAGTCTTCTTTGGCTACCCAACGGACACCCGTTAACTCAGTTGGTAGATGGTCAGATTCCAATGAGAAATACTAGCTTCTCAAAGAAGAGAAGAAAAGTCGACTGTGGCGCGCGCTCGAAGTCGCCTCCACCCGCTCCCTCAACCTTCCACGCTCGTCCCTATGCCCGATTTTGAGCCTTCAGCACCCACAAGCAACCCCAGTGCATCGCACGGACCCCACCCAGCGGCTGGAATCAACTCAGAGCTGGTTAGAACCGGCATGTTGGGCTACTTCGGCGAAGATCCCTTAACTCAGTTGGTAGAGTGTCAGATTCCAATTAGGAATATAGCTCCTTCTCGAGCGTCCTGACGGTCGTGTGTTCAAGTCGCACAGGGATCGATCCTTTTTGCCCTCCTCCGACTCATCCTGATTCCCCCTGAGCTCACCCTAAACTCACCCTGAACTCACCCACCCCACACCTACCATGTCGTTTTCACAGCACCTCATATACGCACTCGACAGTAGGACGTACGGAGCTGGTAATGTTCTCCGCCTTGCGGCTCAGACGGTCCTTGGGCTGCTTTTCAGTGGAGGCCCGACCGAGTGCTCGGGCTGCTTTGCAGTGATCGGCCTGGGGAACAGAAAATGATCGGCGCGACTTCGTTGGGCCTCCACAAAACGCAGGCTCGCTGGCCAGGCGAGTGTTGCGTTCAATCATTGAGCATGATCAGCACTTCTTTGTGAGAGACCAATTAGCACTTCCTTCCGACAGAGGTGCTGAATGTGCTGAATGTGCTAAATGTAGCCCAATCTTCGGTAGCCATTATACACCCCTGTGGCGAGGCAGAGGTACAGAGGTACTGAAGTTCATTGGGAAACGTGGAGGGGCGGACTGCTGCAGACGAATTGCCTCCTCTGCGCTAATCTGCCTTGCCTGGGGACCACCAGGGGGTCCACCGTGGGTCCTTGCTTCGCCGATCGCCCATCGGCAATACATCCATCCCCCTTTGCGAAACGATGCTGAAAGTGAGGATGTGAAGACGCCGAGCCCAAAAAACTCTCACCACTGTGAGTCGAACACAGGACCTGCGGATGAAACTCTCGGATTGAGAGGCGAGGTAACAGATTACAGTCCGACGCTCTACCAACTGAGCTATGGTGAGTGTCTCAATCACACAAGGCCCATGTTGTGCGCTACCGCGCAGCTCTTGCCCAACCAAACGCGTACTTGCAACTTTGTGGCCGCCCGTCACTGACCTGCCCTTTCGACAGCTCGCTGATAATCGGAAAAAGAATAGGAGATCAGATGGTGCAAAGGAAATGATGGCACAGCCCCCCATCATTCTGAGCGCTTTCGCTTGTTCGTCCCAGGTCCTTTACCTCGGCTTTGTGCCGATTTCGTGGCAAGAGCTTCCCTGTGCTGTCGTCAACAGTCTCCTAGTTGCAACCATTTTCCTCGCCCCTACCCATCCAAGTTCGGCAAGCCGTCATCTACTCTAGGTCAGGAGCGTGCCACAAGGTCATTCCGTCGAGTGAGCGATGAGTAACTCCAACCTCTGATTGCATGTACTCTTCTCGCTTCCTGATGATCCTCATAACTCTCAAGCTTGCGGCGCTTCCCGCAGAGGCTGCAGTCACTTCGCGAAAGCTTATAGTGCTGTTGATCTTGTAACAACTGCTCGTCAACGAAAGTCATGTGCTCTAACATCCGCCTCACGTTCACACGTGTTCTGTGGGCCAGTGACTACCTATGCAAGGATCAACGCAAGTGTTAAGCTGGAGCCACTTCCGTGCTCTGCAAAGATCAGGGTAACCTTCTCGCACAGATGTGTGTGGGACATGACTCACGCAAGCCACAATACTGGAACCAAACAACCCATCGTCCTACCTTCTCGTTCCAAACATTCATTCCCTTCGCCTCTTTTCCCTTCTCTTCCTCTCAGCCTTTATAGACGTCCAGACTCTCTTTCCTTCATAGTTCTCGCCACCACATTCATAATATCTCCATAACCAGTTCCACTTCCTGTGTCGCCACCTCAACATTACACCCCCCCCCCCCCCCCCCCCCCCCCCCCCGTACTCCCTGACAAGCTGTTCCTCCCTCCTCTTTGCCACGATCGAGACACTCATCACCAAGATGAATCTTCGCCGCACCGTGCTTCACATCAATTTGTCATACTTTTCAAGCAACGAGCAAGCCGCGATTCAGCCCCTCCTAGAAGTAGTCCTTCGCTCGATTTGCGCTGACATTAGGTTCTCTGTCCTCAAGGCCTCCGGGTTGATATTGTTCGAAGCCCCAACCTTGGAACGCTAGTGGCAACGCATGTTTTGATTCCCAATCCCCTCAAAGACCGCCGTCAATTTGGCATGTGTGTTGTATATGCTAGGCGTTATCACAGCCAAGCTGTTCTGGTCCACACTCCAGAGCTCGAGTTGTGGGTGCAGGCTTTGGCCGCCCTCACTGCTCCTCCGCCTGTTCCGATTCCGGTCCAGCCGAGCAATTCCCTTGGCACTCCCTCTTCGGGCAGCACGTCGATCTTCCCGGTCTCAAACGTTCTTGGCCCCCCACCTTCCACCCCTCCCCGGCAGATTAGACGGAACGCTTGGCCGTCTGGCGACGATGACGAGCCCTTCTCAGTTCGACCGCCCAGGATTTCACCTAGGAAGGGAACGCCTAAGAAGAGCCCCAGGCCCAAAGCATCATCTTCAGCACACTCTCGACCCTCATCACGTGCTGGCAGTGACGTTGAGGGCCCAGCCAAGATGCGCACTCTTCGACAAACTAAGAGCGCCTCTTTCCGAACCGCTGAGACACGAGACAAGGCTGCTACAGACCTACTTGCTTTTGCTCGCCAGCTGTCTCCGAGCGCGTATGACAAGATGGGCGTAGGGTACGACTTCCGTGCCAACTTCTGGAAGGCATTCGTCGAGAAGGTGACGTATATCCGCAGTGGATCGACTAACATCAGATGCCCAGTGCCGAAGTTCTCAACGGAGACGTTCAGCTGGAGGCCTATAGGAACAATCTCGAGAAGGCAAGCATGTACTTTGCGGCTGGTTTTCAGGTACCCCGACCCAAAGACGCCCAGTTGTTGGCAGCATTCGAGGACTTCCTTCCCTTTTACCCATGGGAAGACCGCGTCGTCCGCAAGTCAGACGTCCAGCTGGCGTTCGAGCGATCCGCGCATGGGGAGCCCGTGAGTAATACTGCGAGCCAGCTGACTTCAGTTCCGCGATCTCCTTAAGCGCGGGCAAACTGGTGGTATCAACGCGTACTGGACCCACTTCTTCAAGCGGTTCTCTCCTAGGTGGGTAAACACTTATCCGGCCCTTCTGCAGACGGACACCCTACCAAATGTTGAAAAGTCGCCTCGCAAGCGGCGAACCTCTGCTCCTCGGACTAAGCTTGCGCACCAGTCTTCCATGCCGGACATTGAGTATCTTGCCATTGAGCAGCAAAATACTGGGTCATACGCGTCCTCAAGCAAGCCTACAACTCCAGCTATGCCCCCGTTCCCGGACTCGCTCGCCGGGCCAGATCCTGCATCGGTACCGTTTATGGAGTCCAGGCTGGCCACAAACCAGGTGAGCGTCGCTTACATCTTGGCTCACTTCAGTTCTGTAAGCTCCAGGACACCCCCATGCTCCCACAGAGCAGTACGCAGCCAGCACCCCCTCTTCTGGAAGATCTGTTCCAGATGTTTTTGCCCACTGAATCTGGGTCCCTTGCGCTACCCCACTTTGTCTTTCCCCAGGGGGAGTCGAACGAGGGCTGCACCAACTTGGGTCCCCCTTCCTTGACGGGTGTTCCAGATGTGGACGGAAACGGGCGTGACAGTCGCCCTCTTCCTTCATTGGGAGGCTCATCTAGGCCATATGACTTGTCGAGATTCCTGCATCCAGAGCCGCATCCGTCAAATCTGGGAGCCTCGATGTCGATGATCGCCTCCCCTTCGCTGCCCAACCTACCATCCTCGGTGTGTGCGCCTGTGGCCACGCTTACTCCAGATTCTTGATCCTGCTGACCCATGCGGTGCACAGCAATCACACACGCACGGGCCAGACTTGGGCCCTTCCTACGACCCCGCGTTAGCCGTGACATTTGCCACTCTGGAGGAGCTTGTGAGTGTGTCGATCGAACTTCGTCTGATCATGAGTTCAATCCTCACTCTTTACAACCTGGCCCCGACACGGCGGCTGTTGGGTTCGAGCAGTCTCAGGCCCGGAACGACAGTTTCAGCAACGGTGCGCATTTCTTGGGCCAATTCGACGATGCCGACGAAGACGGCTCAGGCTTCTACTGAACTACGCCCAACCTACAGCTCTTACGTCCTTCTGCTAATGTGGCCCACAGCATGGCCACTTCTCATGTTGTAAGCATCCTTGACGAGTTGCGATCATGTCACGCCTACTGTATATGCACAATGCATCTCCGTCCATCTGCCGCACCCGCAGCACTTGGGTGGTTTGCCGCACATTGCCCTCGATTGTGTTGTTTGGGATCAGGCAGGCGCAGATACAGTCTGACTCAAAATCACCAGGAATCTAAAATGGGAGGGCGGGGCGGTCGTGTTGATCACGCCAAAACGCTATTCACCATCTGCGCTAATGCCCAACTAGCCGCTTGCATGCATGACAACCTAAGTGACAGCCTAGGCACACGTCATTATCCCCACTTGATCTCGGACGAGGGTTGAGCGGTGGCTGAGCCGGGCCAATCATCCGAGGTTGCCGACATGCCCTGACAGCTTCGGCCGCAGTTTATCTGATAAAAGTCTTGCTGGTCTTGGCACTTCCAGGCCAGTCGCTTGCTCGCCATCCTATCGGCCGGCGGTGGACGGCAGCCCAGCTCCCTGCCCAGCCTGGCGGTGGCTGGGCCTTTTTTAATTCCAGACCCGATGAGGAGGTCTCGGCCGCACTTTATAACTGCCGCGCTGAAAGCGCGTCGCTTTTCCCCCAACTCACACTCACAAAATTCTGGTACAATGAAGCTCCTCGCCTTCGCCGCCCTCGCCACCCTCGCCGCCGCCGAGCTCTCGCCCTGCATCACGCAGTGTGCGCAGAACGTCACCGCTGCCAACGCCACTGCCTGCCCCTCGAAGAACTTGTGAGCGGCTCTAGCCGGACATTTTGAGACCGTGGCTGACAACAGCGAGTCTGCCGAGTGCCTCTGCGAGTACGGCTTCACCTCGACAGTCCGCAAGTGCATGTACACTGGGTGCATGACTGAGGTCAATGACTGGGTCGCCATCTACCGCGGCGCCCAGTGCCCCGAGGGCACCTACTCCTCGAACACGAGCAACCCCCACTCGAGCGGCAACTCGTCCATGTCCATGGGCGCCTCTGCGAGCCAGTCGGGCAGCGCCGCTGCGTCGGGTGCCGCCGCCGCGGCCTCGTCGCCTGCCGCGTCGCCTTCGGGCACAAGTGCGGCCATGGCCCTCGGGGTCCCTGTCATGGGCGCTGCCATCGCCGCCGCCGTTGTCGCCGCCCTCTAAGAAGTTATATTTGTAGTTCGCAGTCCATGTATCTGGCGCTTTAAGGTTTACATGCGGCACCGCGCTTGAAACGGGGTAGCTTTTAGCCGTCCGGCCTTTCCATACGGCTCCTAGAATCGTAGTTTCAGGCCGTACTGAAAAACTGTGTGCACCAGCGTGGCTCCGTAACCCAAGTGCCTCGTCTTGTGCTCAGCTAGAAGTCATTGACAATCAGTGGTGGTATCGTATGAACGCGAGGCAGGCGAGTCTAGTTCAGCCTGGCAGACATATGAAACAGTTGGATTCCTGAAACCGGATTGGACGCAACCTGTCACCCGAGATGCCCGACGCAGGGTTGATTGCATCCCAATCAATCTGTCGGCTCTCGGTCATTTCACTGTTACACAGTCACCACAGATTGAATCGACTCTGCTGACGCGACGCCGAGGCGATGGCGGCTGTCGAACGCTGTCGCTTGAGATGCGCTGCCTCTGCGTCTCTACTCTACTTATCATGGCAGGGTGGTCGCTGCACCCTATAGAGCCAGTGAGTCTGGTGAGCCTGATGGATCCGCTCTTGTCGTCGGCCGAGGCGTGCCTTGGGTAATGTCTATGATGGCCAAGACACTCTGGGCCAACCTCTGACAGGTGGTAAGATGTGAGCGGCCAAGCTGACACTATGCCTCCAGATCAGCCGTGAAGCCGCACTCTCTTCATGAGATGCAATGATCTCCCACAGTACACCGGCTCCGATGATTCCTTCGGGTCATGGGGTCGACTCATGGTCGAATGGAATGATAGCAGATTAACCGTGGAGCTAAACTATGACTCACTGTGTTGCATATAAGACGAGAGCTTTGGGTGCGCCCACACTCCAAGCTCCCCACTCGATCTCTGACTGAAACATGCTCGCAAAGGCCCTCTTCCTTGCCACTGCCGCCTCCGCTGCCGTTATCGGCGAACGCCAGAGCGTGGGTTCTTTGTTGTGGAGCCCAGCTGATAGCAGAATCGCCCGACGGTCACCGTTATCTTCCCGCCTATGCGCGCGGACACGGACGGCTCCTCGACCTTCCGTGGCCCGTGCTCGGGCTCCTCCCTGGGCGAGCGTGCTGCATACCCCCTGACCGGCGGACAGATCAGTCTGTCGCAGGCGTCGCCGGTCGACAACATCAACTTCCTCTGGACCAAGGATGTGACTGCCCAGCCTCACGAGTTCAAAACGTATGGAGAGCCAACCGTTGTCGACGCCGAGGCGGGTCACGTTTGCGCCAAGGGCCCCGACTTCTCCTCGCTTGGCTTCAAGGCTGGGGACGACGCCACTATCATGGTCATGTACCAGGCCGACGGCCCTCCCCGCCGCGGCACCGACAAGCGCTGGCAGTACCTCTGCGCCGACGTCAAGCTGACTGACTCGTGGACCCAGCCCGCCAATTACGGTTGCCAGAATGTCGGCGACATTCGCCTCGCCACGACCGACGAAGTGATGAACCTCACTATCTCGAGCGACCCCGACCAGAACGGTAAGAAGAAGGGCGGAGCCCCGGGTGGCTCGGAGGATGCTCAGTCGGCCACTGCCCAAGTTTCGGCTTCCGGTCTCTCGTCGGCCGAGGCCGGTGGCATCGGCGCTGGTGTCACGGTCGGTGTCTTCCTCCTAGCTCTTGGCGCCCTCTTTGCCATGGGCTACCGCTTCACGAAGAAGTCGACGCGCAACCGCGTCCACGACGATGCTTCGTCGACTTCGTCGTACCCTGTCAAGCAGGCTCAGCAGTGAGCAGAGATCATCGTGTCCGTTGTAATCGACAAGTTGATATACGAAAACCAATGCATATGCGATGTCAAGGAGGGGGCATGGCGCGATTAGCATGTCTGACACGATTTCGATCTTGTGCTGTGGGGGGCAACACCAGCATGTATGGGTAAGCATTCCGCTCCTTGCTTATGACGCAGTCCATCACGTTTGACAGCAGCTACCTCCGGAACAGATCGGAGTCGCAGAGAACCCACTCTGGGGTATCAGCAGCGGCACGCAGCGTCTCATGCGCAAGACTTAGCAGCTCTACACGCGTGCTTTTACATTACTCATGATACTTCGAGGGCAGGATCTGCTTGGTTCACTACAGGACAACTAGCACCAGTCCGGCCGCAAAGAGCATAGCACCGATATTAGCCACAGCACGGGATGCTGTAGCAGGCGCAGTAACAGCGGGCACAGAAGCATTGACGCCCGCTCCGGTACCCGTGACGGTCGGGGCCTCGCTTGCCCCAGGAATGGGCACATCTGGGCTACTCCCTGGGACGACTCCCCTCGCTGCGTCGCTCAGCGCCGCGAAACCTAACTGAGGCACTCCGGTGCCATTGCCAACGTGAAATGCCGTGTAGACCGTGCTGAGTGCGTTGAGGCCGAACACGACAAGAGTGTCGTTAGTGAAGCCATACCGATCGCGGTCCGACTGCTGGATTGCCTTGAAGTAGGCCGCGCAGGCGCCCTCGACACCGGGCACATTGTAGATCCAGTTGGCCGGAGGGAGGGAGAAGTTGTACCCCCCGACAGTGAATGTAAGCGTGGCATTGGTCTCGCAGGGCACAGTGTACCTCGTGCCAGTTCCGGTGGTGATGCGACTGGTGCCCGGCACACCGGCTAGGAGGGCGTCGCTGAGTTCAGGGTGAAGGAGGCTTCCAGTACCGAGCCAGAGGGCGGCCACCGGCGTTTCATCCAAGCTTCGGCGACGCGGTGCAACACCCTCTGCGGCGTTGTACTCGTGGGTGTCGACAGTGTAGGTGCCGTTGACCATGACGGGCTTGAAGCCCATCCCAAGATATGTAAACGGGAGCGCCCAGTGCTGCCGCAGCACATCCATGTACATCATCTCGCCTTTGTAAAGAGCCGGATTGAGGCCGCCGAGGGTGAGCTCGCCCGCGTTTTGAACAGGTGGTGTAGCGTTGTTGAGCGGCGCAACGAAGAGACCCACAGTAGGAGAGGGCCAGTGTGTTTCGAGGGCACGGTACAGAGGAATGCTACCGAGCGAAGCAGAGTCGCCCCGGATACCAAGCGAAAGCCGGCCTGCAGCGTCAGAGGCGCTCTGTAGCACTGGAGTTAGCGTCATTCGCACACGAAGGGCGCACTGAAGGGCTGTTGAATGAGGGACACCGTCCCAATCGTAACGGTGTCTGCGGCAATGGTGCCGTTGTTGAGCAGATTGCCGTACGTCCTGTTCTCCGTCTGGAAGGTGGTGCTCTCGCTGGGGTGGAAAAGGTCCTGATCCGCAACCACTACTCCGTTGGTGGTGTCAAACACATTCTCGCTGGCCTTGATTACCTCGGTGTTAGGAGTGGAGGCTGCGGTGGTCGCCTCTGAGGTCTCTTCCGGACTCTTGTCCGAGTCGATATCCGTAGGCGCGTCCTCGTTGGCGTCGACCGCCGCTCCGTCAAGACTCTGACTTCCAGCCTCATGGTTTCTTGCGCTAGGGGTGTCCTTCACGTTCTGGGCATCCTCTCTGCCCTCAACTACTTCGCTGCTCGGGTTGTTGATGCCGGCGCCAGGCTCGTCCGCCCCAGCCTTTGGATTGCCGAACACGGCTTCGTCGTCGTGCACTCTAGCAGCTGAGCCGAGCACCTCGTCCGCCGGAGCAAATAATTGGGAGACGTTTGCCGGCGGCCCCGGAGCAGGTGCGTTAGTGGTGAGGCGGAGGTCACTGGGAACTTCGTCCAGCGAGAGCGAAACGAGGATGTGCTGCGGCGGTGTACCGACGCTGATGTTGAGTGCGAGGGAGCCGTCGGCGAGTAGGATGAGGACCTCGTGGCCAATCTCAGCGGTGGATGCAGTCTCGTTGCCCGGCTGAGGCGCGGTGCCATTGACCGAGGGAGCACTAGTGGCAGTTGCGTTGTCGGCGGAAGTGCTTACGGCCTCAACCTGGGACTGAGCTTGGGCTGCCTCCTCTTGCTGCTCGGCGCGGATCGCATGAATGCCGTAAAGAAGCGGCTCAGCGACGGCTCTGCCAAAGAGGAGGAACAGGGGGATAGTGAAGCGCATGGTGAGAATGTCTGTGAGGCTTCCTTGGCCCCTTCGCACTATATACTCGGCCGCTCACTACTGCAATTCAGCCAGGGCGTTTGAGATCCCTCGTTAGAGCGTCACCGTGGCCACGGCGAGTTGGCACGGCTTCCGTGATCCGTGAGCCGCGGGCGCACCTTCGGGATGACAGCATCGACTCCAGGCTCTGAAGGTGCGGGTCCGATATCAAGGGCGGCCCTCACAAGACAATGCCTATTTCACCACATAATATGGAAGCACCCCATAGTATAGGAGCACAAGACGCTCGTTGCACGGTCGGCACCCAGTCGTGCTTTCCATAGCAGCTTTCCTCAACAAGTCATCTTCCCAGCAGGTGGAAACTCCGTGATCAGTTGGACTTTCAGTTATGCGCCTGCACTGACGCTGCGACATTGCGCCCAAACGCTACGTCATCTGTGTAGGTCGCCTTCATTGGCGACAAATGGCGCATCCCCATATTGCACCTCACTGTAAACCGCCCAAGCCATTGATTGAAATAGCCTGCCTTCACGATTCGACCATGTGGCAGTGAGTGCACCGGGTGAAGCACTGATAACGCCTTTGCAAGCGCAATCTGTGTCGTGCCAGTGGGCGCCTAATCAGCTAAACTCTCATGCAGGAAGACATGTCCGAAGGGAGTGCGAGCAGACGCCGTGTTTTCAACCAGGATGAAGACAATCAAGTCCTGATGCCGCATCTCGGTGCAAATTACGCGTCCAGCAGAAGAACCCTGTCATTTGCATCAATCATGGTTGTCAATCTTCACCCTGGCATTGTATTGCTCAATAGAAAATGTTGTTATGAGGCTTGAAGGGTATTGACGTATGAGCGTTACGCTGAACAGACCTGGTGGGACTCGACAGAGCCATCACTTGGCACCGCTTCCTCTTTCCTCTCCTTCAAATTTCGCACAATGAGCAGTGAGTGGCCGTAGCTGATGGTGTTGACATTGGAGTACCCTTTGACGCCTGTTCTGCTGTACTCATTTCACTGCCTTCTGGCGATCCGAGATCACATTGATTTGGTGTTGACAGCATCTGCTGTTGATCCATGAACAGCAGGGATTGAAAGACCGTCCCGCCCACTAAAGCACATAAACAGCTCGCTCCAGCGCAATTGGTCTGGAATAGTATATAGCCTTGATCCTGGGCACCTTCAAATCTCCACTCACGAACCCCTCCTTTCAGCATCTCTAACATCGACCTCTAATCTAAACTCATCTCAGTTGCCAGCATGGCTGCCGGCGTGGTTAACATCTGGAGTGGCCACGGCGACAACCGTCAGCTTATTGCGACCACACCCATGACGCCACTTGGTGTCTCCGCTCCTTCAACGCAAGATCCCCCGATGACTGCTCCCACGCCGCCGGCCATAGTCGCCTGCAGCACCACATGTGAGTCCCTTTGAGAGCAGGCTGATCTTAGCGTCACCGGGCGGTATCTGGGCTCCTCACAACTCACCCACACACACTAGGGCTCCCAGTCGAGTAGCTGGCGTCCTCCTGGGCCTTGAGATCAACCGCGTTCTTGGCTCTCTGGAGGCCAATGCCGACGACTCGCCCGGCCGCTACAACACCGAGCTGCTTAGCCCGGCGAAGAACTCTTCGGCAAACTCGCATGAGACGCACCCGCAAAAACTCCTGAAATACACCTCGCCCGGGCCTGATACTGAAGAGCCAACAACCCCCAAGAACCAAGTCATGGCTCCCTCGAAGGCCACTACCTCGCCGCTATCACCCAAGACTGTCTCGCGCCTCCTACCTCGTGCCAAGAACAGCCCTAAGCTCAGGCCGATCTCGCCACCCTTTAAGCGCCCGACGGCACCGACTCCTGGCTCAGAGTACTCCATATCCCCCGAGTCACAGAAAGCTCTCACGCTGCCACTAGTGCTGTCCAGGACGCCCGCCAGCCCTAGCCCCCCCCCCGTCTTCACACGCACCCCATCACCCAGCTCCGGCAATATCGCGAACTTCGGATCTGGGCCCGAAGGCCTTTACACACCCTCTGTGGGCCACGCAACGAGCCGCACGCAGCTCGCCGCCACCCTCCGCTTTGACGAAGACGTTTTTGGCCCCATCCTCGCCTCGCACGAATGGGGAAACCATGGCCCCCCCGTTTTCACGCGCCACAGTCCCCAGAGCCGGTCGCTCACGCGCATCACGCAGAACGCGTGGGAGCACACCCCTGAAGCCGCCGCTGTTCAGACAGGGGGCGAAGCCGAGGTCTCCTACGACTCACAGGAAGATACCACGCTCAACGAGTTCTGCGCCCCTGACGACGAGGGGGACTCAACGAACATCAACGGCCACCATAGTTCGGACGACGAGGTCAGCTCTATCATCGCGACCGACTCTGTGGCCAGCTGCCACACCTGCGACTCATCCCAGGGCTGGAGCTCGGGCTCGTCTGACTGGTTTGAGTCCTACGACCGCCGTTCTCGCCACGGCGCTCCTGGCCCGCCTGTCCTGCGTCCGGGTACCACTATCGCGGTTGCCACAGTGAACACAGGTACGGAGCCCGTGTGGATCGCACGCCACAGAAACACTGCCTCCTCCGACACCTTCTGCTCGGATGGGGAGGGCAGTGTGTCAACTTCTCACGGGGTTGAGGAGGGGTACATTAACTATGCTAGCTCGCCAACCTCCTCTCGCAGCTCACCCCTCGCCCAATCTCTCCTTCTAGAGCTTGGAGACACCATCTCCAGCTCCAATCTCTCTCAAACAGCTCTGCCTGAGCACTCCGAAGAGTCCGACATGCGCAGCGCTTTGAGCCAAGCACTCCACAGCCTGACCACCTCCCTAAGCTCCCACCGCGCGGACAACCCCCATAACCGCGCCGATAACCCTGCTGAAGACACCAGCAGTCATAACTTAACTGAAGAGGCCATCGACCTCGCAGGGGCTTCCGCCGACTCCTCCTTGGACTGGTCGGCAGCGACCATTCCGCATCCGGAGGAGGACAGCGTTATCCACAGCCTTGACGGCATCACTTGCCCCAGTGAGGGCGAGTTAACCTTGGACAGCTCTCAGCAGTCGATTCATGAAAGTGACGAGGGTCTCGACGAACCTGTGTGCGTCGTTACCAACTCTCTGGGCTCCGTCTTCAACGAGGGTCCCATGCTTCCCCCGCGGCAGCTTTCGGACGTCTCAACACCCACACCTCGCCCTCCGCCTCGTCGCCGCTCGACGCCTGTCAAGAAGTCCTCGCTGTCCAACATCATGCACGGCGTTTACGAGAACGCGCGCACCCTCAAACAGGACCCCCACGGTCCGGGGACTCCTGGCTTCTCTGCCAACGGAGGCAGCCCACCCAACACTCCCACGTCGAAGAACACTCCCTCGCCGGCGCGCAAGCCCGACGGCTCTCTCGCGACCCCTCCCCCATTCCGCCTAGGTCAAGGTAGGGTCCGCGAATCGCCGCCCAAACCTACCGCGCCGATTGGGTCCGGCCGCCCAGGCAGCTCCGAGGCTTCCCAGCAGCAGCTTTGGGACGCCCCTTCGACCAACCGCACTTATTGCAGTAATGGTACGTCGAACCCCACCCTCGGCTCGCGATTGGAGCCTTGCGAGCGGTTCGCCCCCCATACCGATGGGGGCGAGTCTTCGCACGCGAACGCTCGCAGTACCTTGCTCGGTGGGAACGAGGACCGCCACACCACACCACCCTGCACCCTTCGCACAAGCCGTATCAGCACCAGCAATGCCAACGGGCGTCCGCTTCACTGGGAGATACCCACGCAGACTTGCCCCGGGTTTTCCAGTGCCGGAAGTCGTGAGGCGGAGGAGTCTGGACTCCAGCGTACCGTCGCCAGCCACCCTTCTGACCCATCGCCCGGTGGACGCTACTGGCAGACGGAGCTCGTGATTCCAAGCATTGTCGTCACCCCTCCCGACGACATTTCAGGTGACTCCAGCCACGAGTGCAAATCACAGAGGTCCGTCTCCCCGCCTCTTACTCTTGAGCCGGCGCCCTCTTCAAGCGTCCAGATCGACTACTTGAGCCCGACGTACCGCCCCAGCAGGTTCAAGGGCAAGGGTAAATCACTCGCAGTTACACCTCCTCTCAGCAAGGTGACGGACCTACCCTACCGCTTGGTGCGCCAGAAGGGTGAGATTGATCCAAGCGAGCTCCAGTCTCCACTCCAGAAGCTCATCTCGACGGTGGCGGGACAACTGGACCACATTGATGAACACGGCTTCGTCGACCCCCACGCGCCAATGCTCGTTCCACTCAGCCCACCGGCGCCTACGTCGCGAACGCCCCACGGCCTTCGCATGCGCATGCGCACTCCTCCGGAGCGGCTATGGGACATTGAAGAGGGCTCCGAGACGGAGCACGCTGTCGAGTACGACTGGCGGCACGAGTACGCCCAGGAGAAGATTTCTGTGCCCCTGGACCGTGACTACGAGACGACGAACGAGACGGCCTCTTCCAAGGACACTCTACGGGCCAGAATTTGGGCTGGGGCCCAGAACGACTCTGGCAGCGAGTCGGACTCTAGTGACGATGTGGCCCGCAGCAAACTGATCCGCGAAAGCAAGCTGCGTGACGGCGTTGTCCGCATACGCCCAGGCGCTGAATCACGCATGGGCTTAGACACGTTCAAGTTCCCCAAGCACGAAGACAACACGCAGCGGGAGAACTCGGTGCAGGATGAGGTAAGCATTCCCCATGGCCGAGCTCACTTGCAGATTCCCATCCCGCTCACCCCGCGTCTCGGCTGCATCCAGCTCCCCTCCTCCGCAAGCTCGCAGAACCTGCCGTCCGGGAACGAGGGGCGCGAGGGTTTCGTCCGTTCTGAGCCTGAGCCCGAGGCCTCAACCATCCAGCCTGCGACCCTGCCTCCGATCCCCGCTCGGACGGGCGGCCGCAGCCTTCACCGTCGCACCCAGTCTACACCAACGTCCAACCAAGCTACAGCACCTGCCACGTTAGAACAGACCGCTCACCGCCGATCCTTTTCGATCTACGAATGGCGCTTGCGGCTTGACCCAGGCGAGCGTAATCCCTCCATTGGCATGGTCGTGGAGACCATGGCGTCTTTTACGACCAGCCTTTCTCGCACAGGCAGTGGCAGCCTTCACCGTCGCGCTAAATCGACCCCGGCTGCCATGCCCGTCACGGTGACAGACGAATCAAGTGGTACGTCTGTGTCGGGGTCAATCCACGTGCCTGAGGAGGAGCTACAATCTGAGACATCCATGTCTCACGGACCAGAGGCGACTGTTTCCGAAGTTTGCCCTGAAACAGAAATGGTACCAGCCCAGGCCGAGGTCTCGGACAGAGCGTCATCGCAGGAGGCGGCCACGCCCCCTTCGCAGGAGAGCACGAGCGACAGCTCGGCCGCGACCGTGCAGGAGATGGAGGGGGAGTCGCCCGAGCCGTCTCTGACTCCCTCTCCTCAGTCCAGCTCGGTATGGTCTCTCAACAAGCCGCTCCCTCCCCTGCCTCCTGCTGCAGAGCACGGCCGTCGAGGGTTGCGGCAGCGCTTTCGCGCCTGGACCGCCACTCATGTCGCTCAGGGTTTCGGCGCTCAGGCCTCAGTCTACGCCAACCCCGGCCATGCCGGAAATACCGGGCAGTACGGCATGCCAGGGTCTACTCCTGCCGCCACACAGAACGCCACCGAGATGGTGGACCACCTCCACCACAGCATCACAGCCCAGAGCCATGTTGGGAACGGCACGCAGAATGCGCGCGCGCAGGATGACTCAGTTGTCAACGGCGGCGCGCACAACACCTGGCGGGGCAGCCGCCACAAGAAGACCCGCAGCACCGGATCCTCATTCAAGCTCTCATTCGGGATCTAGCTTAGCAGCTACAACTGCGCATTGTGTAGATGAACATGTATGAATGCGACTGGACCACCGATGCTGAGAGGAATGTATCCGCCATCCGTGCGGGGTGGCGTTTCGGGAGATGGGGCATGGCTGCGGATTGCGGGAGGTGGAAGCGTCAGGCGAGCACAAAGCATGATTGGCCTTGGTGGGGGAAAGCATGGCTCGAGCAGTCGTCGTCAGACAAGAGCAGCCAGCGATGACTCCGGCCCTTGGTGAGCGTCTTAGAACAGATCTCGATTTGATCCCATTTAGTATCGTGTGGTGTGCTAACGGAGCGATCTCTAGACCCTGTTGCAAACACACACACTCCCGGGCGTCTGGGAGGACTATCTCTCGCGCTTTGCGAAACTGCCGAAGTCGCGCCACCGCGGGTGATGGGCATCCTTGCGCCCCTCACCTGCTGAGCTGCTCACCACACCCAGGTGGTCCGTGCCACAGAATTGAATGTGGACGGCAGGTGACTTGTCCGATGCAACTGGCTGAAGGGTGACAAACTATTACGAGAGGCAGAGCGGGAGGACCCGGCGGCGTACGCATAGACTAGATTCTAATCTGAGGATGGTAGTGTCGCTTCCATTGAAGCCACACTGTTCAGTCCGATTCAGCCATTTCGCTTCTTGCCGCTCGCATTTGTGCAAATGGTGATAAAAATGTGGATGTCTTCTCATTCATGGTGCTCAATGCTCTAATGTGTGTTGCAGCATGCAGCCGGGCATGCGAAACGCGGCAATAGACCTAAGGCTGCATTTTGGGCTGTTGGCCATGCCGCTCGAGCCCTCACACAACTTCCTGAACGGTCCTAGCGCAATGTGCTCATCCTCGTCCTCGTCCTCGTCCTCGTTCTCCATGGACCCTCCCTCAACTCCCCTTGGGAGCACCGCTGTTCCGGTGCCGCCGGGTACGCGAGGCGCCTCCCCACGCTCGGAATGCGCTAGGATGCATTCGAGAAGCAGGTGTCACCCCCGATCGGGGGCGAGCGCATTGTGCCTGCTGAGGCACACAAACAGTGATTGTGTCGAGGACGACAGCCACATCACATTGCTCCGGGCAGCAAGAGAGGTCTCGCGGGGCTCGGCGCTACGCCCAGCGCTCCGAAGCCAAGTGTCGAGTGCATTGAAGCTAGCATGACTCAGATGACAGTGAATGTGAGACATGCCAGCCCAGCGCCGCAGTAACGATGCACTCCTTTGTCCAATCGCTGGTTCATTTCTACCACAACACCCTCCTTGCTCGTTGCATTTCCCCACATCACAACCCATTCGCATCTCATCACTTCGCACCACCGAAGAAACGCCCTCCCCTACTTCCACACCCCTCTCCTCGACTGATACTGTTGCTTGCAGCAATTCAACATCCTCCCCCTAATTCGCTCGGTGCTCGCAACCCACTTGGTCAGTCGCCGCTCTTTCGCTGGCAGTCACTGATGATCCCAGCATGACATAAGTTGGCACATTCCACCCAGAATCCCAAGTCTGCCATTGCTCCGCCTCAACATCACCCCGCAGCACATTGCACCCTTCTCTATTTTCAACACCTCGCCGCATCGTCAACGCTATCCTACAATGGATAGCGTTTCCATCGCCACAGGCTCCATGGTCAGCTCTATTCCTAATGGCCAGCGGCCGACAGCGAAGGACAACCTGCGCCTTCTTTCTAGCCCCAACAGATACCAGGACACGGGAACACCCCTGGCCCCCTCGACGCTAGATCTCGCCGAAGAGACTGCTCGCCTTTACCCTCGCCATGCATTCAACCACTACGTGGATCCCCTCCAACCCCCATTGCTCCCAATCGGCGCCTACTCAATCGACCCCAAGATCCATCCCAACCTTGCGAGGGTTGCCACCGCAGTCTCCACACGACGCTCATCCGCCGCGAACTTGGACTGCCTTTACCAGTCTGCCCAGGTGGTTGAGGGCAATGCACCTGCACCGGGGCCGACCAAAGACACCATAGATCACCGCGGAGAGCAGTACACGATTGGAGCAAACGATGCCGCCGGCATTCAGCGCATGGGACCGGCTACATGTTCGTCAGGTGGGGCAAGGGAGCAGCGTAACGAGCGCCCTCTCAAGCGCCCGCGTACAACATCTGGCGCAGGTGGATCGCCCCGTAGTCTCCAAACTGCACCCACGATTGCTTATCCTTTCGATGGGCACGTGCCCGTGATCGCTGGAATGGTAGGCAAGCGACCGTGCCCTCAGGCACCCCCCGGGCAGCGGCACACTGTTGCCTACCAGAAGGCGGTCTCGGAATGGATCGCGGAGCGCACCAGCCGCGGGACTAAGCTGAACGACGCCGAGCACGACAAGCTGCTGGTCGCCAACTTCATGACCGGCAAGATGTTTTTCCGTCATCCCCTCAACGTGGACTACGACGAGTCCACAAACCTTGACCCTGAATTGTGGTCCAACTACACCGAGTGGGGCAAGACACTCGTCCCAGAGGCCGTGATCTTCAACCGATTGAGCACGGAGGAAAAGGAGTCGCTGCATGACTGGCCTGACCGTGATCTCTGGAAAGCTCTATTTCTAGTGAGTCACGCACCAATAACAGGGCTGACGGCAGATTTGGCTACGCGACTACTGCGACCGCCACACGCGCGTGGTCTGGTACCGCCAGTGTTTCCGCTGCCAGCGCGGAGGCTGGCCGTGCATGGTGTCGCACGAAATGTTTGGCAAGGTCGATGTGCGGCACAAGCGCGGCAAGGCGGGACAGGCAGCCAAGGGCTGTGCGTGCATTCCATGCCGTGTGTCCAAGGCCGAGTGCTCGCACCCGCGCCTCAAGGAACGGCTTCAGGAGTCGACTTGGGCAATGTCCGATCTTGAAGCGTACTGGGACGGAACGATGAGCCTGACTGAACTCTTTGAACGGCGCCAGCGTCCCGAAGCCGAGGTGGGGCCCTTCGATGCCGACGCAATCGACAACTCCGTCGATAAACAGGAGGACGATGAGTTTGACGTCTTGGCCAAACTCGAGAGCCAAGGCCAGAAGCTACCGACCATGGCCCCGCGCAAGACTTTAACCCGCTTCCAACGCGGTGCGCGCGAGGCGCGGGCATCGCGTCGCGCAGACCGTGCCAAGGCCTTGGCGGGCGAGCGCGAGACCGACTCCAAAAAGCTGGTCATGGTCCAGTACCTCGCTAGTCGCTTGCGCGAGGGTACATTAACTTCCCCCATGTACCCGTGGAAGGAGTACGATAAGACGATACGGGATCTGTCGGCTTCCAACGCCCGCCGCCGCGCCGCGGGTGAGGGCTCACTTGCGCCCGAGGATGTCGCCCCCTACACCGACTTCTATAGCTTGTGGCTCAACGGCGCCCCCCTCAATGCGCACGTCGCTTTCAGTCACCAAATTGCGGTAGCTGGACCGTCAGCTGCCCCCGCGCAACGCAGGTCGGGGTCTCGCTCAAGCAAGACTATCACGTCTACCTCAGACAGCTCGGCACTCCACTCGAGCCCCCCCTTGAGCCTCTACCAGCTTGAACCCACGCCCGCGCTGGTTGGATCGCGATCTTCCTCGTCCCCGGCTTCGGCTATTAACACGCCGGATACTATTCACAGCCATCTTCACCCGAGTGAGACTGCGGCTTGCCCCCACGAGTACTTTCCTGCGGGTGGCGAGGGCTCGCGGCAGCTTGAAGAGCTTGCTCCCGATCTGGGGCGACGATCTGCCCGCATCAAACGACCACGTCTGCAATAGCAGTCAATCGGGATGGCCTAGAATGAGTATGGACTTCTAAAACAGACCAGGCGCCTACTTTTCCACACTGTCAACGATCTCGCATTCTCATGTCGAATCTATTATGCGACGGGCTCGGATTGATCTTTAGAGGTGATCGCATATCTCATCGCTACACAGACCTCTGCGTTGTTGTCTTTCATCATGTACATTAGCTCGTATACTGTAAACATGTTATCAGTGTCAAGATTCCAGTGGTGGAGGAGTGACAGAGTTCCTTGACCCCGTTCTGGCTCGCCTTCGTTGCCTTTGCCCAATCCACTAGCCGCCAGTGCCGGACGACCCCCGCCGCGGGGCATCGTCGACATCACCATTACCTACCGGGCCTGCATCGACCAACATCCATTGCTCCCAGATCGCCATCATCCAATCCGTTTGCTGCCCCCCAGGCTCTTCGGTCAGATTGTCAGAGACCGTGGTCAGGAGTCACGACCTCATCACAACATCAGGCACCGCCACACTCATCCAACGTCTACCCAGCAGCTTGGGTGCTGATTTCAATGTAAAGCACTGCAAAAAGCTGGGCTGAACAACCCTAAACCAGTTGCATCAGCCCACGGCGGTGCCGGAGTGGATTGTCTGGCTCCCATCATCACCCCTGACTTTCACTCCCCTCACCTGCCATGCCATTCTAACCCTCGTCCTCCAGCCGCGCCGTTTCCTTCTTAGACAAACTGTACTGACAAACTGAGAGCATCACGAGTTATGATTGCCCCAGGGTATGGCGGTGTTGGCATATGCGACGACCTTTGTCCGACGATACTGTTGATCCGGGCTCCACCCTGTCCCACCATGCCCAGCAGCTTTTCCGCCAAACACACTGCCACAGACACAAACAGCTCGCAACCATTACAATCAGGTCGGGCAAAGCAATCAACACAGCTAACCGCGGCTATCAGTGATCTGATCTTTGATCCGACTCACAATGCTACAGCTCCGGACCACAAGGCCAGAAAGACATGCTTATCTTGCTCCACTGTGCCAGTGTGAGAGTGGCCCCGTTTGCTATAAAGGTGCGCAAGTTGGAGGTCCATTTTCGGCAGCAACAGCTCAAACTCCCTCTCCTCATCACCTCCTCCTCCTCCTCCTCATTTCCTCTTGTGTCTTCTCGGTCTACATACACCTTGGCACTATCCCCTACCTTGTCAGCCGACCACCTCGCACCAGCCGCCCCGCGCCAACGCCCAGTATGTGGTACACTAAGGCCGAAATGGAGGCTGCTGAGGCCCTCGTAATGCTCTCCAACTCTCGCCCGCTCCACACCCCTCAGGGAGTTCAGACGCAGACCATCTGTGACAACCGCGCCTCTCGTCACCTCTCCCCCCATAACATGCAGCCGACCAGCAACACTCGCCGAGACCACAATTCAGGAAGCAACTGGGAGACCAACATCTCTGTCTCCCTCAACGCCGAGGTCACTCGCTCTGGACCGATGTACAACTCGGTTCACATGGACCAGGGCGGCCGCCGCCAGGCGCAGATGCACCCTTCTCAGCCCCGCCTGTAAGTATCCCAGGTTTCCAGCCGTTTTTGCCCCTCAGCTAACAACAGCCATTCTGACATGGACCATCAGATACTTCCCTCTAAGCCTCCGACCCAGGAACAGCCTGGCAGCTTGGGCCAGGCTAATTCGTGCAGTATCCCCGCGGTCGACGGCCAGCCAGCCCGTAATGATAACACCCCACAGCACCAGACAGGGCAGGCCCCGCCCCGCCAGCTCGGTCGAAAAATCCCCTTCCAGCTCTCGGCGCCGTCGTCGCGCCGGATCAGGCTGGAAGACATTCTCAACCCGGAACCCGTCAGCCCGCTTGCAACAAAGCGCCACCAGCGGATACCATCTGCCCCCAAGAATAGCAATCAGCCCTTAGCCGCGGAGCTCTCCAACAACGACGAAAACACGCCACCGCAAGCTCAGCGCTACTCAGCCCCACGAGGTGGCCAGGGCAGGCAGGAGCCTCTTCGCTCTGCTTCCCTTCGCAGTGTGAGTGGCCCAACTCGCATGGCCTACCAGCAGGAGCTTCACAGCCAGTACGCCACTCCAACTGCAACTGGCCCTGATGCCACCATGTCTCCCCTCACGGCCAGCTCCGACCCCTTCGACGGACCAGTCCAGCGGCCCTCGCTGGCTCGTAACAAGCGCCCCGCTTCACCCGAGACTTTCCCTGAGCCTCCCAACGGCTCTAAGGCCAGGGCTGCTGTATCATCCAAGCCTGGGCAGCCCAGGAACAAGAACACTTCTTTCACGATCATCCTGAATCCGAGTTCGTCAGACATCAAGGTCACAAAACGCCCTCGCATCGATGAGTTCCCCAAAGCCGCTGCCTCCTCTCAGTTTGCGAGCCTGCCCACCCCGCCTGAGGACTCCGAGTCCCAGGTCACGCTTCACGAAGGGATTCATACCCCTGAAAGTGACAGCGAGTCGCAAGAGGTTGACGAGCTCACCAGCGACGTCGAGGAGTCCAAACCCACCAAGGGCAACACTGCCGAGCAAAAGCGCGAGAACCGTCTCGAGAGTCGCCGCCGCAAGGATGCGGACACCCACAAGCGTGTGGCGGAGGCCAAGCTGCTCAACTTCCAGGCCGGCAAAATCTACGCCTACGACAAGTCACACCCCCTCTACAACCCTGCCACGAACATGGACGACTGGCTCATCAACCACTGGTCTGTGTGGGGCACGCAGGATCTCAAATACTGTCTTGAGCGCGAGCTCTACGAGCGCTTCACTGACGAGGAGAAGCGCATTATCTCCACCCGCATCACCAAGAAGAACAAGCCGCACCGTGATCTCCCGAAGTCCGTCCGCATGCTCTGGTTCGCCAATTACACTGATCTGGCGCCTACGCCTCGCACTGAGGCAATGGCCTGCCAACGCTGTATTCTCGGGGGCGTCCAGTGTCACCAGGCGCGAAAGCCTAAGAACAGCAAGACGCGCAAATCGGACGGAACGGCCGCCCCGCCCTCTTGCGTTGCCTGCGAGTGCTCTAAGGGCGGCTGCCACATTGCGATCAAGCAGAAGGACAAGCTCACACGCAAGCCGAAGGCAGTCGTCGACCTCCAGGTTTACCTGGACCGCCTGAGGAGCCCCACTTCGTGGCCTGCTTTCCCCCCTCTTAATCTGTCTGCGCTCCCAGCCCCCTTCCCTTACAATCCTCTTCAGTGGCTTATCCAGCACGAGCTAGAGCGCGAGCAGGCTCACGCCCTTAACGTGTAGATCACCTGAGGAGGAGAAGTGATCTCCTCAAACAGGTACAAACAAACCAAGTATTTCAGCTGCCGCGCAGTATCCCAGCTGTATCACAAAAGCAGACCCGCAAACAGAACTTAACCCACAGCAGCATGGCCACCCGAATACCTCACTGTATATAAGACCGCCCCAGCTTGCACATGCCCCACCCGCCTCTTTTCCATTTCTATATCCCCGTGTCATATGAATACCGCATTGAAACAGAGGTTGCAGTGCGGGACGACGCTCGGTCCCTAAGTGCAAAAATGTCCAAAACACCAGGCACACAGCGCCACATCCGCCCAAGTGAGCTCCATGCAGGCCGGATCCACGAAGGCTGGCTGTCCTAGCAACTCACGGTAGGCGGCGAAATACACAAGAGACCGATATGATTCGGTTCATGCAATGCAGGTGCGGCTCGATGAACCAGCAGAGTGTTGTGGGTCCCAAAGATGCCTCTCACTAAACAAATGACAAGACGAGTCTAGCGAGTGCTCAACACGTTCTGCGCGTCCAAAATCTCCTCAAGCGCATGTTCACTTGTCCGTCTCACATTACTGGCAGGGCATTCTCTCTCACGTGCTCCTGTGGCATTGAGGGAACAATGGTTGTGGCCACGCACGGTCCGGTCAGCCTTCAACACCTCTGAAACGGCCAACCACAGAAGGTCTTCGCACCCGCCATCCCCTCTTTTGGCCAACAGGAGCTGTTAGCGATCTCACAGAAAGCGAAGCATACCTTCTTTCAGATGCTGCACCACGCTTAAACGGGCTCAAGCCACAGTGGCGCCTACAACACATGTTTCCGCAGCTGTCCCACCCCATCTCGCCGATCTCCTATCCCGACTCCCAGTGCTGTTAAGTGGGACTCTTTCTGGCAATATCCCAACTCTCCTCTTCACTCTCACCATCCCAATAACTACTTGCCCTGTTCTAGCTTCGGTTATCACAGTCGCCCTCGCATACGTCTTCTTCCTCCCGTCTCTCTTGCCAACGCACTCCCCCTTTAAACCAAGCGTTCGCGAACTCTTTCCTCGCGCCGTCTCGTCTTAGCAGCTATTTTCCTCCAACCAACGCGAATCTTGCCCTGGTCCCCAGCCCCTTGACCCCACCTTGGCCTGGACGACCCTCCCTCCCCCCCCCCCCCCGAGCGTAAACCCTTCATTAAACGCGTTGTCAATACCCACTCGCCAACGCAACTTGCTGGTAACTGCAACTTCATTCCACCGTCCACTTGCCGCCACCCAGCGTGCAGCCCACACACCTAGGCCCAGTTCTGCCCACCTCGCCCTTCTGCGTCGCCTCCCTTCCGCATTGTGGGTCCTACACCCTCGCAAACAGCGATAATTCAAGCCCAACATGCTTCCTGTCAGCGACATTGTCGGCGACACCGGCACCGTCCGCCCCAAAGACAGAGTCTTTCACGGAGAGTTATATACCACCCCCAATTCAAGTGGCAGGGCTCGGCAAATTCCCCACTCCTTTTCCCTACGCAGTACCTGCCCCTCTCCGCCACCTGTTATCTCTCTTCCTCTTCACGAGTCCAACCCCTTCCCACAAAGCCTCCCTACCTTACACTCCACTTGGATGAACAGGAAGCACCACCTCGACAACCCTCAGCCTGGCCCGTCCTCCAAGCGCCCCAGACCCCCTAGCTTCGAGCTGCATCCACACCAACCGGCCCTGTCCCAGGCCAAGTTAGACTCCGAGCCGAGCGACAACATTTCCCACCGTATTGTCGCCACCATAGCCGATTCTTCCACCCCCGCCGTAGCAACAACGGCGAAGATCACTGCCAAGGCCACAGTTCAAGCTCCGCGCTGGACCAAGACAGGGTCCAGGAAACGGTCCAAAACCGAGATAACCATAGTGGCAGCTGCCAAAGCCACAACTCGGCCCAACCCCGTGATCAAGTCCAAGCAGGCCGCGCGCGGCACGTCCGGTACCAAGCGCGCCAAGCACGACGGCAAGATGCGCTGTGGACATGTGGAAATGCGTTGCGCCGAGATTCGCGCGGGGCGCATTTACGCGCGCGCGCCGACTCATCCCAAGTACGACCCCGCCACCCACTTCACCCCCGAGGTATACGCCAAGATCGATCTCACTAAGAATGGCGTCGACGCCATGGGGCCCATCCTCGAGGAGATGGTCTGGGAACTGTTCAACGACATGCAAAAGCGTATCCTCGCAGCACAAAGCGGGCGCGACTTGCAGAAGGCCGCACGTTTGGTGAGTCCTTTGTTCCCTGTTCCATTTTCTCTCCTTGTTCCTGGCCAGCTTGCTCACCTCAGATGTACATTATCTTTTTCACCGACTTCTCGCCCGGTCCTCGCCCCATCGACGAGCACTGTCACCGGTGCACGTCCAACAGCTTCCCATGCATGGTCCTAAGGGGCCAGAAGGACTGCCTAGGCTGCTTCATGTCTAAGGGCGGCTGCCACACCGTCGGCGGCCTCCAAACCGACCCCATGTCGCGGCCCATCAGCAAGAGGTTCAGTTCGAAGAACGCCAACAAGAAAAATGCCAGTGCCAGGTGGGAAGACACGACGTACATTAAGCCTGCGCCGTGGACCGACCTCCGTCTATGGGTGCACCGAGAGCTTGGAGTCCCTGGGCTCGGCGACCATCTCGGCCACATTGCATGGGACGCAAATCTTCCCCCTGTGCCCCAGCTCAACCCCTTCTCCCGCAAGGTCGCTGAGGCTGCTGCCAAGCGGGTGGGACCGATCGTCGACCGGAAGGACCGAGCCCTCTCCATCTCCACTGAAGCCGGGTCAGAGTCTATCCCGGCTGAGGCTTCCAGGAGCATCTCCCCGACGACGTCTGCCGAGGAAACACCACAAAATTCAACGAGTGGCACCGGCGAAATGCTCGGCATGCACCAGAGCAAGCCCATGCATCGGGAATCCCCCCCAATGCAGCGCGCTGCGAGCGTTACGGCACAGTCTCTCACTGAGTGTTCAAGCGCCGCCGGCCGAACTGTCTCCCCAGGTGTCATCTCCAGGCTAACCTACTCGGTCTCAGCCGAGCGTACCGGGGCCTACCTGGAGGATATTGGGTATATCCACGAGGAGTGGCCCTTGGCTTCACCCAGCTCAACGCCAGAGACTGAGACGATGGCCGAGACTTCAATTGAGCTTGATCCACCCGACGAGTGGTTGGGCCGATTCTCTCCCCAGGACATCAGCAGTGCGGACGCCCTTATCTGTCTTGGTTTACCACGCGCTGCTAGTCTCCCGCGGGAAATGGGGGGAGCCGCCATGGAGCGCATGCCTGCCCGTTCATGTCTGCAATTGAGGCCTCAGCTCATCGCAAGTGAGTGCACTGGGGAAGAGGAAAGCAGCGGCAGCGATGACGAAAGCCTTGAGGACATCGAGGATACCGCAATCCCAGATACCGTGGGAGGCACGGAGGACGTAGACCTGGATGAGGGCTGGGACACACACAGCGAGCCCGAGTGCGAGCACACAGAGTGCCACAGCACCGAGGAGCTCCTCCTTTCACAGGAGCAAATCGACACTTTGCTGTCTCGCCACCTTCCCTCCCCCATGTCACAATCGCACGACGCCGTCGCCCTGGCCCTTCGGAGTGGCAACACTGCCGACCCGGCTTACACCAACGCGTGGCTGAAGGTCCGTTCGCACGCCCTAGAACTGTCCCGCCACATCCGACTCCAGTGCACGTATGTTCACATGGAACCCCTGCACATGACTGTGAGGCTCAAAGCCCAACAGTACCCGTTCACTCGTCATCTCCTCGAGGAGCGCTGCATTGACCTGTCGACAGCAATCCGCCGCGTCTCGCAGGGCGAGTATGCGAGGCGCTACATCGGCCCACTTGCGCGACGTGTCGCACCCAACGCCGTCCGCAGGAACGGGGCGTATGTCGCCGGCCGTGTGGTGCTTCTAGGCGTTGACGGGTTGTGGGGCACGCTCCTGGTCGACGGAACCATGGTCAAGTGCTTCGCGTCACGCGAATGGGAGAGGAAATTGCCCAAACGCCAAATCTTGCGCTTGATCAAGTCGCTCGGACACCCGACGCGCAGCGTCAGCTACACGCCCAAGGTTTGTGCATCCAAGATAGGGAGCTTGCTGAAGCCAGACGCACAATGCGTTCGTCACCCCCCAACATGGCACGGCGTTTGCTCTGTGGGCGTTCGAAAAGCTCGCGGCGGACGCGCAATGGATGCCAGGACCCCTGGACCACTCATACCTTCTCGCTCTGCGGAAGCGACATGCGGTATTGCTCGCGGAGGACCAGAGAATAGCGCTTGCCATGGCGGAGGCCTTGCGCGACAACGCGGAGTTGGTAAACGAGCTCATGACGCGCGCAGGGCTATAGTAAGAGGGAACACAGGGAAGATTAGCGAAGAGACAGCTGTATATAATTGAAGGTTGTTATTAATGAGGTTCGTAGATGCATTGGCTGCCACGAACCGAGAGGACATCGCGAATCGATCCATCGTCCTGGTCGGTGCAGTGCCTACATTGGCTTCACCTTTGCGATTCAGCGCCCCATGGCACTTATCTGGAAGACAACGAGATCGTGGGCGGCGCCTTAGGCAGTGGCAAAAGTAGACATACCCCTCATATCAGGTCTGTGAGTTCAGTTGTATCCACATGGCCTTGCTTTCGCCGGCTCGGAGTGGTGCATGAATGGTCAAATCATTGGGGAAGTCTCAAAAGGGTCACTGACCACTGGGAGATTCGAACTCTTGACCCTTGCATAAGTTCAATGTGCTAACTTGTTATTAGAACAACGCCTAACCAACTGAGCCAAGGGCCTGAAGTTCATTACACAGTGTCACGTGACGTCGATAGACGGGAAGATCTTTACGGGCATCAGGAGATCTCCGTTTGACGTCACAACGCTCATGTGCATGTGACCGACCGGAGCGCCTCGTGCTGTCGTCCATTCAGAGAGCGCGACGAGCTGCTTGACTCTCTGCTCACTCACTATCCATACGACATCACTTCATCCCCACAGCTTGATAAACCCAGCACACAGCGCACAATGTCTGTTTCTGATGACGAGTTCACCCTCCCCGAGGCGTTCTCCGGCCACCGCAACAAGCTCGGCACGTATCTCGCGGCGCTGGACGAGTGCTTCAACCGCGAGCCTTCGACCTTCTCCTCCGACCGCGCCAAGGTCATCTTCGCGACCAGCCACCTGCGCGGCACGGCGCTCAAGTGGGCGATGACTCACCCCGACTCGTCGCAGGGCACTTTCGACAAGTTCGTTGAAGACCTGCGGACGCGCTTCGGCAACCCTGATCCGAAGGAGACGGCCTTTTCTCAGGTCAAGAAGCTCAAGCAGCATGGCAGCGCGCGCTCGTACCGCGACCGCTTTGTCAAGTACGCCGAGCAGTGCGAGGACAAGTTTGAGAAGGATGCGACCGCCAAGAATAAGTGGTTCTACCGCGGCTTGCGGGATGATATCAAGGACGCGCTGATGGCGACCAACTGGGAGTGGAAGATGCCGTTTGACAAGTTCTCGGACGAAGTGAGTGCGGCATTGGCGGCGGCGACGAAAGCGGAGGTGGGGCGTGTGTGGGGCCAAGCGGGGTCGGCGGTCCTGAGCTCGTCTCTGATTGCACGGTTGCGACCACTTACCGCCGGGCTGGTCCGACATTACCGCCCTTTCCCTCATGCTCCACACCGCATTGAAGGCCAAGTTTGTAACTGATCTCAGGCCATCAAAATCGATGAGAAGCTCCGTCCGCCTCACCTCAACGAGCAGGAGAACCGCTACGGAGCGGACAACAAGTAGTGAGTGCCAAGCCTGCCTCGGCTGATCTCAGGACGGATCACAGAAAGAGCATTAGAAGCGATGAAGAAGGAGACAATCCAGCAGATGCACTTGTGTGTGCTACGTGCGAGGATTAAGGTTGGCCAGCAGTGCGAGCGTCAGGGCCGGGTTAGGACATCTAGTCCCCGCCTGCCACGCCAGCGCGCTGGCCAGGTCATGACGGGCGTGCACCAGGAAGAACGCCTATCTCCTCGCACTGCAAGTGCACTCCATGATCATCTGGGCATGTTCTTGCTTACGAAGGTACACATCACGGCTCTCTAGCCAACAATCAGGCGTGTACTTCAACGGCGTGGCCCTCGTGTGTTTGACGGGGCAGATTGCGTGGATAGGGCGGAAAACATGGCGATTGGAGATGAGAGGCGTGCTGAAGAGCCAAGAGGCCTTGCCTTGCAAGTCACTAACCCTGTCTTGGACGCGCGTGGTGTATGATACTCACCGAGAGTGAGGGATAGCGGACCAAATACGCGACCTTTGGTGGTGTTACCCTCTGTTAAAGAGCGCTGCTCCCTCGTCAACCCTACGCTTGCAGTCTCATCTTACCATGTACAGACGCGCTCTTCACATCTTACACGCCACCAAGCACTTGAATCGGACCTGCTCCCCAATCGTTGCAGGTATGGCAGTGACTGTTGTCACACTCATCACCAAGAAAACAGGCCTGAAGCTGCTGTCATGTGTCCGCATCGACCTACTAAATGGAAGGTGAAACGACACAATGATGGAGACGAGGCTGCCGCATGTTCTGTCCTTGCCGACGAACCCCTGAGTTCGCATTCAACCTGAACACGGAGGTCATGGGCTTGTTCGAGGCCTCAGCTTGTGCTGTCCCGCATCCCACTGTATCCAGTGGGTGTCAGTCAATTGTGTGGTCGAGGAAGAACCGGCATCAAGTAAAGAGAGGGATAAACATGGCTGCTCAGAGGAATGGCGTGTTCTCCGGTGCAGCTGAGAGGGCATTGTGCGACACATGGCCAAGCTGGCGTCGCAGGCGAGAGCCCCAGAGTCAGTGCGAAGCACATTCGCGTCCTGATTCCGCAGAGACATGAGCAGTCACCCCCGCGCTAAGTCAAATGAAGGCATGGCGCAATATGGCGAGAAGCTCTCCGATCACGTGCGCTTCTGCTGTGCTAGAACCTCGGCATCCGCTGCCACTCTTGAGCGAGGATGAGCTGATAACCCGAGATCGGCGACAACAGCCGCTACTGATCCGTTCCGCTCAACCCGCTCCGCCTTATCTCGCCATCTCGTTCCATTGACCAGGCTGCGCGAGCAGAATTCCCAGATCTCGAGCCTTGCAGTTCCAGTACGCTAAGCCGTGATCACGTGAGCATGCAGTCTCACGATCCCACGATCTCGCTTGGATGCAGTGGCTGTCTGAAACTCCGCTAAATGAAACGCGCCTGCTTTCGCCTTCAGGATCACGACATGGCAAGCAGCGGGCGAGAACGCGGGCAGCAAGCCTACAAGCACACCCATCCACTGTATACACGTATGATCTGAGGGTTAGCGTGTCCCGTCCCGCGCGGATGCCGTTTCAGCGCGCGTGGAATGCGGGGACAACGTAATCGGGAACGGGAGACGAGGGCTGGCGCTGCCGGTTCGTGTCAGCAACGTTGGAATGGCCAGCCGGATCAGATTAGCATGCGATCCCCTGCCCCTGGGCCCTAGCGGAATGGGAGCAGGCACGTTGACCCGTCTGTACGCATGTCCATAATGTTAGGAAGTTGAGGAGGCACATGACGCGGAAGGGACAGAAGAATCAGACTATGCATTCCGCTGCGCAAAGACCACCACTGGCTCAGTGGCCGTTGCGTGAATGAGGGAGAGCGCGAGTATAACAGACGACGATGGCCCCTCATCTTCCATACTCCCCGCACGATGTTGTACTCTCAAATCGCGCTTGCGGCTGGCGCTGCGCTGCTCGGCGCTCAGGACGCCCACGCCTTCTTCCTCTGGTGGCCGTTCTCGCGGCCCGTCATCTCACCATTTGCTTTTACCGGGTGTATCAAGCGCACGAGCACGTGGACGTCCATATTTACCTCAAGCGCGCCCGATGCTGCGTCGTGTGTCGTGAGTGTCACATATACCTAGCGTTGCCTGAGTGCTCGGTGAGAGGTGCAGCGCTGCGGAGTGACTCTTCGTGCCTCATCCTTCTCGCGCTCGCCTTCGGTCCCACCAGCGTCGTCTCCTGTTCAACACCCGGTCACCGCTGACGTCTAGGCCAATTGCGCCCGCCTTGGCGACATGGCCTACTGGTCACGTACGTCCAACGTGTGCAAGTGCGGACGCACACCCAACGCCCTCGGCATTCTCGACTTCTCGTTCCAGCCCTATGTCGCCGGGAACGAGGGACAGTGCGGCTCCAACTACGAGTCATATATGATCACGCAGTTCGGGTTCCTCGGGTGCGCAAACAACGTCGACGTTGGCAGCGCGGCCACCATTGCGTCCAACTCGCGCATGTCGACTGCCTTCCGCGCGTGCGCCCCACAAGACCAGGTCATGGTATTCACGTACGGGCGGCGCAAGTGGACCGCGTATTGCTTCGACCCCGCGGCGCCGCCCGTCGTCGAAGACTACGACCCCGTGCAGTGCAATGGAGGTGCCTACTATCTCTACGGAAACGCGCCAGGAGCTGGGAAGCGCGATGCTGCCCGCCGGCGCGGGGCACCCGACGGACTACCCGCCCCATGGTGCCCTGCAGGCCGCGTGCCGTGCCAGATCGACGAAGATGAGAGCCTCGGGTATGAGTGCATCGATGTCGACCACGACGGTGATCAGTGCGGCGGATGCGCGATTGGCGTGTATGGCGGTGCTGGGAACAGCAGCTTCTCAGGCGAATACTGCGGCGACAAAGCTTTATGCGCCGCTGGCAAATGCGTATCCCACGCCCACTAGCTCTGTATGTAGATAGGAAAGAACAATGCACTCTTGCTTGTCTGACGAGACTGCGGGCGTGGGAGAACGAACCAGATTAAGGAACAGCACAATGTTGACTCACACCTCTTCTTGGCACATAGCCGCCTCCTGCTGCTGACAGCTAGCAGGATGCATGTCTGCTTTAACTCTCGCCCCGCCGCTCCCGCTCCACGTGGAAGACGCTCCATGCAGCCTCCATCGTGATCTGACGTTAGCCATGCCGTGAGACAACTGACCATGTATCCGCCTTGCACGGCGGCGTAGATGAGGAACACTATCGCGATGCCCCAGTTTGCCGCGACAAGACGGTACAAGCAGTTTCCGTACTGGATTCCTCCAGAGGTATCGAACCAAACACCACGCGAGCCTAGACAAAGGAGTCCGAGAAGGCAGAGCGCACCGCCGCCCACCATCTGCCATGCGTGGATCACGTACCCCGCCAGCCCGCGGAAGTGAAAGCGGCAGACGGAGCGCGCCGCCGCAAAGATGAGAATGCCACCCTGGTGTCAGCCGCTGTCCATAGGGAATCTGCCGCAAGGGTGCTTACCGCCGCCGGATAAAGCCAGAGTACACCTGAGAAGGCGTCGCGGAGGACGGCCTCAACCGCGTCCTCAATCAGGGCCGAAACCTCCTGCGCCATCTCTGCGTCCGGCGTCTGGGAGGTAGCGAGGTCGAGGACGCGGCGTAGGAGCAACCCTGCTCTGGCGCCGAGAGGCACACCCACGTGCTATGGTCAGCTGGCCGTTGTGGAACTCACGGAGCAGGTGGCACGGATAATCTGGGCAAAGTATTGATACGCGCGCACCGTAATCGCCTGCGCTGCCGTGCTCGATCCATCGCTAGCCAGGGAGGCCAGGCGGCTGTACTGCGTCGCAAAGTCGGGCTCGAGGTCCAGCCTGTCAAGCACCAGAGCGAGGTTGCGAATTCGCGCATCATCCAGTCCTCCTCCGTCCAACATGTCTTTCACAGCGGCACGAAAGAGGCCGAATGCGCGCAGCAGCGCGGCGCTCCAAACATTCACCGCCACGCAATTCGTCATTGCCGCGATGAAAGCCAGGAGACAGAAGTGCAGCGGGAAGTGCAGCACCTCCCACAGCCACGTCCGGCCAGCGTCAACTTCAAGCGCTTTGTGGAAGTTGGCGAACATATTCGCCCAGATGAAATAGATGACGCCAACGGCAAGAAATACTTGAGCGTACGCAGTCGAGTCAACGGGGGATACACCGGTGATGGCCGCCTGAAACGCGCCCGCAATCCCCCCAAAGCCTGTGCCCAACATAGTCAGGGAGAGGGAGCCATACTGCGTCGCGATCAACCCGTCGCGCACAGGGACTTGCACCCCGCGCAAGGCCTGCATTCCGATGGCGGCGAGGTTGACAGCGACGCCGAGGAAGAGGAGTGCGATCTTGGCATGAGCGCGAGAGGGAGAGGAAGGGGTAGTAGCTCCAGCCGCAATGAACAGAGCACATGAAATGACGAGGGAGGCGAAGCTCCACCGTGTGGAGGTGGTGCGCCGGCCCACGCGTTTCCCGAGGTAGGTGACCAGCAAGTACTGAGCAGCGAGGAGGCCACAGTGAGCCGCCACAACAACAGAGACAGTCAAAAATGACTGAGCAGCAAGGTCTGCCGTCAGCACGCGGTGTCCACTGGTTAGCTTCCCATTCCTCCTCGAATTTTGAGGCCCGTCCCGCTGGCTTCCCTCCCTGTCGCCACCGTCCCCTATCGACTCACCGTGCGCAACAAGCTCTCCTGAACCGACGCTCAGCACCGGCTCCGGCTCGAGCTTGGCTAGATCCCAGCCGCCGCTGGCGGCACCGACGTAGAGATATAGCGTAATTTGAGCTGCTTTGGCTAATCGATGCGCGACATCGTTGCCCTGAAAGCGCACGTCGTAGTGCAATTGAATAGTCCACATGGAGATGATGACAGCAAAGTAGGCAAGGTACGACGGGAGACCTGCAGGTGTACGCAGCTGATGTGAGCCGTTGAAGGTCCCGAAGGAAGAGGAGACGGCAAGGTCTAGGTCAGCCTTCTGTACTCGGTCTCTGAGCCATGTTTTCCTCAGCGCTCTCGTTGAGTCGTTTCTCGGGTGGTGGGATTGCCACTGTACCGTTTAGCACTCACTGTAGAACAGTCCAAGCCACTCTGTAGCGACAGCCTTCTCGGACAGCCAAGGCTCTCCCTCATCCTTCTGCGGAAGGCTGGCAAGTGGAATGCGCTTGTACGTCGCCTTGCGGCGGTGCGTAAACAGCTCCCCGTCCCGCCGACGAGGTCTAGTTAGCTCATTCATCGGTAAAAGGCGCACTGATTGCAGTTTTCCTCGTCATGCCGCGGCTCTTTGTACCCCTCCTCTTTGCTCTCCCGCTCCGTCACGCTCCCTCGATCATGGGTTGAAGGTGGCCTCGACGAGGCGGTGTGGAAGGACGGTGTTGGAGAGCAGGCGTGCGTTGACAAGCTGCGGCGTGTATTTGGCTCGGCGATGGTCATTGCGTGAGCGTTACTGGGAGTTCCGGTAGCTCTTACCACCTTTTCTGTGAGGGCTGTCGTGCGCTCTCGGCATGGTTACAGAAGTGGAGCGACGCAAGAGTCGAAGATGAACGACGTCTCGAGGCACAGATACGCGATCATGTGACGTCAATCCCACCTTGTACTTCCGATCCGCAGTTACTTCCCCCACTACATCCGACAAGCCATTAGTATATCCGCCCATCTCTGCCACGAAACCTCAGCAAGCTCCATCCATGTCACAACATCTTTCAATCATGGCTCTCGCGACGAGGCCCTTATAGACCCTTTGCAGAGAATCGCTGAACCTCGGCCTCGAGCAGTGGTCATCCTGGACTGCACAACGAGCAGTCACAACCTGAGCACCTCACTCCTCCATGTCTCTCTAGCCCCTTCGATGGAGTTGCACAGTTCATACTGGCTGGTTGCTGCTACCCAGCAGTACAGCTTGAAATTCTTTTGGGTCGCCTGTTTACGCTTCCACCCGCTAGCTACAGTACCGCACATCACCAGGCAGGTGCACATCCCCTCGGTTTAATGCTCTTCCTAAGTGCACGCGTCGCCTGCTCGTCTTGCTCTCACTTCCAGCCCTCTCTCCTTTGAGCCCAGCGGCGCAGCAGAATCATCATGTTCAGTGACCAGCCCTCGCCTGCACCCGCCCCTGAGGCATCAATCACACTCGAGGCACCTTGCAAGCACAAAGCTTCTTCAGAATTTTCGAGGGTGTCGGCTCGGATAACTCATGCGTCCACCGCTGCGAATGCGTGGCACTCCAGCGAGCCTCCTCCCGAAACGTCTGGCCCCTCCTCCTCATCCTCGCGGGTAAGAGGCATCTGTAGGAGTCAATTGACTGCCCTCGCCAACTGCCTGGCCACATATCATCGCTGCGCAAAGAAGGCCGCGTTTCATGCCGACGCGTCAACAGGACTACTGGCATTCAGTCATGGGTGATCCTGAGTGATTTGGCGTGTGTAGAACAACGTCTCATATTGGGGATTGTCTCTCCTGGGAGCAGCGCCCCGATATCTGCGAAGAGGCTGGGCTCGCTTGTGCAAGCTATGCCGTGAGTGGTGGGTGGCTGCCGGCGTCAGCTTGTCCACGTCTCGACTCACGTGGCTCATCCCAAACCTGGCGAAGCGAGTCGGTATCCGTACACCAAAGCAAGGCCAGTCGCCCGACACAGTTACAGGCCCATATGTATACTATTGTGCAACCATCCATAGCGCGGCCAGCGCGACGAGCCCCAACGCCCCCTTCGACAGTGGCCGCGCGCCCGACTGTGCATCCGTCACGTTCGGGACGAACTTCGGCTTATCTGATCGTGCGGGCGCCGGGCTGAGGCTGGGGTTGGCGGCTGGGTCGGCGGGGTTGACGGGCGCTGGGCTCCTGCTCGCGCTCGCACTCCCGCTCCCGCTTGCACTGGGTGTTGATGCGCTCGACGCGCCACTTGGGGCGGAGGGTGTAGCGCCCGCGCCGGGCGTGTTGGCAGCTGGCGACTGGTTGGGGCCCGCGGAGGAGGTGGCGGGGTTGGCCGGACTGGGGCTGAGGTTGGCGGGGCTAGCCGCCGGCGCCGCGCCCGCGCCGGGGCTTACGGCACTGTTCGCGCCGATGGGCGTGTTAGCTTGTCCCGGCCCAGCGGGGTCGGCTGGTGTCGGTGCTGGGGCGGGCGCGGGCGCGGGCGTGTTGGCTGCAGGGGCTTGACGGACGACGAGGGCGGGCATGGTGATGGTGAGGTGAGAGAAAGTGGGGGTTAGGCCATTGCATATCTGGGGTGCTCTTGGCTAGGCTTTTGAGGCTTTGTGTGTTTGGCTCTCTGTTGGGTCTCGACGACGCTCCCGTGTGCCTCGAAGCGAATTCGCATCCGACGCGGCGCCGCGCCTCCTCCGCCTCATTGCCTGGACACGGCCATGTGCTGTGCCGCGGTGCATCTGTGCCTGGCCGACGCGCGACTCTCGTCCTGCGGTCGATCTGCGTCAAGCTCCAATAACTCGGTTGCACTGCGCTGGATACGGTAGTGCGGAATGAAGTGGGGCTATCTCATTCTTGAAATTATGTGCATTACAGCACAAGCACCGCTATGGACACTGGTCGCCTGAGGCGAGGCGCTGGGAATTGCTAGGTGACGCGCCCAACAGTCCTGGAGAGCGTCAAAAGTTGGTGTCTAGACGATGTGACGAGCGCGTCCAAATTGTCTAACCGCTGACTTTCCTTGACCTTCTGCGCTTTAGTCCTTCGTGGAGCTGGGCGATGTCGTCTCTGAGAGTGTGTGTTCTGATTGCAAGTCAAGGTGGATAGTCGGGAGGGTTATCATTTGCGTGCCTGACACTGTACGTTTGGTGAGGCGATGCGTAGTCTGAATCCAACTCATTTATCTCCACCCTCTTCTCATGCGTTGCATGCTCTCTATGCCTGCTACCGAAACGCAAATGGTGCTGCAGAAGGAACGTGCTCATCTTTTACTGCGTCCCCCATCAACGGTGAGCCTCTGATGGATCAAGCGATCTAGCGAGAAGCTGAGGTGAGAGCGAGCGAGCGAGGAGGGTCACATGCCGCACGCACTGACCACCACCCATGCCATCCACTTTGAGTACAGCTGACGACACCCTTCCACTAACTTCTCACACCACCAACACCATCCGTGGAAGTGGACGCTCCTCCCAGCGCCTCGACATATCCTGTCACCTCTTCGGGGACCCGCCGAGAGCAGGTGACATGGCCGTAGACGTTGGCCTTACCCCTCTCGCATATGCGGCGCACCCGTCCATAGTGCACAGGATAGCGCAGTACGCGTGTCCACGCACCAAGCTAGCTCTGCGCGCGACATCGCGTTCCCTCCGCCACCTCCTCGACCCGGGGATATTTGAGCATGTCATCCTTTCTGGTGAGCCCGGCGCCGAACGACTCCGCTCGCCTGCGGGCCACCTGCCTGGAGCGCCATGGCATCTGGGCGACCCGACTTGGCTACTCCGCCTGCCCTACGTGCGCGTACTCGACCTCCAAGTGCCCCCTGGCTCTGCCTGGGAGATGTACAAGGCCGAGCTCTCCGGCCTTGAGGTAGTGCGCGGCGCGAACCACCTCCCGCCGCACGAGCCCATCAAGGAGCCGCCTTTTGAGCGACAGGTGGATACCATGGTCGACACGCTGCACCTGTGCGGTGCTCCCCCGGCCCCTCTCTGCGCGGGGCCGGCGCGCAAACACGTTATCAACATCCTCTTCGACCCGTATGCCGCGCACATCCCACATGCCATCTTCGCGCCAGGGACAGCTAGCCACATCGTCCTTGTCTTCAGCCCGCATCACTGCACACCAGCGCGTGGGAGGCTAGTTGCGCGGGCGCACAACCTTTTATGCTCGGTGCTGGGGCAGTTCATCACTGCGCTGTGGCGCAGCGCCATCGTCGAGAGCGTCACCTTCGTTGGGGTAGCTGAACTCGACCTCCGCTCGCTAGGCCTCTCGAATTCCTTTTCCGTGAGGGACGTAGAGGAGGCGGTGCGTGCCGCTTTTGTCACCGTCGCCTTCCAGGAGCCGATGACACATGACTCGACCGTGGTCGACTTTCTTGCAACTGTGAAGTTCGCGTCAAGGGCAGCGTACCGCGTCACCGTTGGCGAGAGACGGTACTTCCTGGAGACGGGCATTGAGAGCACGGAACGCAGCTCGCCGCTCGACCACACGTGCTACCCGCACATACTAGAGCGTGTGCTTGCCCTCGCTCCTTGGGACAGTTTACTTCGTCTACGACGTGTTTCGCGCTCTCTCAAGGAGCGCATTGACGCCGTCCTATTCAAACACCTCGTCGTTCTCCCGGGCTCGCTTCCGTACATCCTCTTCGTGAGGGGGGCGGGCGGGCGGCTCCCAGCCGTCTCGACCTGGAACGCTTCGCACCGCGACTGTCTAGTCGACATCAGAAACCACGCATTCTTTCAACACACCCGCCTTCTGGACATACCAGCAGAGCTGGATGCTGGGATAGCCATCCTGGTGTCTGCGCTCCTCCCCAACCTCGAAGTTGTGCGCAACTTCGCTCCCAAACACACCCAGCTCATGCACGCAGAGACCGAGGTGCATTATCAGCCGCTTTCATTCTTTGCGCAACAGAACATCGTGCGTTTCGTTCCAAGCTCTCGTGCATGCAAGGCACGTCTGGTGATAACCCACCTGTACGACGCCGCGTTACCGACCGCATCGGAGATGCCCTCGGTTTCCTCAGTGCGCGGACATGTTGATGAAGTGGTCATCGTCTTCTCCGCCTTCAAGTATCCCACTTCTTCACGTGCGCGCTCCCCCTTGGAGTTTTTCGACCACGCGATAGCGTATTTCGTGAGCGCGCTGAATCGCCGCAGGATATCGCGCGAGACAGCCAAGCTCAAGTTCGTCGGTGTCGGCGAAATGGTCGCTGCAGTGACTCCTCGGCCGGTCATTGCCATCGCTCCCACAGAGCCCGCGGAGCGCGCTAGAGCTGAGGTACGCAACGCGCTTCTTGACCCCGCAGCGCTCGGGGACGGCCGGCTCGCCACGCTGCTTCTGCAGCGAGCTTTTGAGGAGCGCGGCGCCGAATGGCGCGTCCCCACCCGCGGCGACGCCGCCGACCACCTGATCTTTATGTCGCGCGACGAGTACATTACAGACGAGGCGGCGTCGTGGGCAACGGAGGTGCCGCCACTCGAGGCTATGTATGCTGCGGGGTGGACACCAGCGCGGTCATAGCAACGATATGACATCAGGCACAGTTTAATCTCAAACGCATCCGCAACACACGGAGAAGTCTGGATACATCTTGAAACACCCGCGTTTCACCTTCGATGACCACCAATCACCACCCCAGCTACCATTCGCAGTGAGCTCGCTCGCTCGCTTCACGGGATCGTGACTCACAAGTGAGGCAGTGGCAGCTGGGCATTTAGATCAGCTGCTCAGATAGACAACGCCAAGCACCGTAATCCCTGCGTCCTCCATCTCCGCGACTGATGCCCGCCATTTGCCTCGACTCCACGGCCCCTCCCTCCCCGCACCCACCTCTCGGCATGCAACTAGTGTCAGTCTCCGTGTCGAGTACTCCACCTCCAGCTCCCGCCTCTTGACACCCCACCCCCTATATGCCGGCAAATTAAGAGCGGCTACATGTTTCCTCATAAACAGCAGGCAGCAGAACCAGCATGTCCAAAGTGTGTCGTTCATTATTGCTGCAGGGGATGGTGGCTTTGAAACTCCATCTTTGATGGTATACCGGATAGCCAAATGTACATAAGACCTCGCTGAGCGCTTCCAATCTAGCCAACCACTTCATCCATTTCGACGACGACATCACGGTAAGCTATCATGTCGGCACAACTGACCCCAGATCCTACTCATACCCATGAAACTCGCCCTCTTCATTCTCCCCCTCGTGGCCGCAGCCCCCATCCCGGGCTTCCGATGGTGGTCGTACGGCACAGGATTCTCGCCTGCGCCCGCTCCGCAGAAGCAGCCCCCGACTGCCCCCGAGCCGCCAGCCCCCGAGCCGCCATCCGAATCTTCACAACCCCAGGCCCAACCCGAGACGGAGCCCGAACCCGCACCGCAGCCCCCAGTCGCCCCCGAAGAACCTGCCCCCGCCCCCGCACCTCAGGCCCCCCGCCCGGCAGTGTACCAGAACGCGACGGACTGGTGGGTGCCGGGCACGGTGCTGCACGGGACATGGCGCGAGGGGAAGTGGGACGGGGTGGATAACACGGCCGGCGCAGTCATGTACGTCGACGACCGGAATATTGCCGTGACCATTGTGCCGATCTAGTCTGCGGTGGAAGTGTTGTACGGTATGTATTGTTGGATGATGGCCTGGCCTGAGGAACGGAGGTCGGTGGTGGCAATGGCGGCCACCGCCAGTGTGGGAGCATCGCGTAGAGATTTCCGGAGTCTTTCAGCGGGCCGCAGTGAGATCTTCGGGTAGTGTGTATAACACGCGGATGCGGGAAGAGATCGCTGGGGCGTCATAGAAGGACGCGTGGGGGACAAGGGGAGCATGCTGTGGTTGCTGGGAAATGTGGAGGATCGAGACAGATCGGTCAAGTCCGCTCGATTCCCAGCGCCGAACGTCCCTCCACACACTCCGCCACGCCATCATTCACCGATCACTTGTCTTCATCGATCTAGCACCGCTGACACTGAACGCTGACAGTTGGAGTACTGACGCACAGAGCGATCGCCTTGCACTGACCATGGACTGCGCTGCGCTGTACAAGCCCCACGAAACCTTGACGCCCTGCGTGCATCTGCTGATGTGCACGAGATGTTCCCACACCAGATGCACCTCCCGACGGCTGACGCGCCCCGCTCATAAATTTCTACCAGATCCACGCGCCAGATCCTCGGCCCAGCGAGCTCACACGCTTACACCCAACCTTTATCGAGCACAGCAATCACCCAGCAGCCAGTGGGCTATCATCTCCGGCAATCGAGCGCCGGCCAACGACATATAACATGACCACCCATGAACGCTCCTTCAATCACCACCGCACCTTGGCTCTTGTCTCCTATCCACTCCTGTCCCGACCTCATCAACTCTCTTTGCCCCCCACCTCCTCAACTTAGAAGCCTATCACGATGCGTCTCACTGCCCTCTTCGTCCTCATGGCCTTCGTCGCCGCACTCCCCGAGCCCGAGCCCCAGGTCAAGACCGTCACGGTGTACCGGACCGTGGCTGCCGCGGCAACGTCGAAGCCCGACACGCCCGACAAGCCCGAGCCCAAGCCTGAGCCCAAGCCCAAGCCCGAGCCCGAGGACGCCGAGCCCACTGACGACGGCGACGAGCCCGAGCCCCCGACCACGCGCCGCACGTCCAAGCCCAAGCCTACGCAGGAGCCTGAGCCCACCAAGCCGGCCCCCAAGCCCGTGACCAAGACGGCTACGGCGACGGCAGACGCGAGCCCGACCGCAAAGGCGAGCGGCACGAAGAGCAAGCCCTCGGGCTCGGGCTCCCGTGCCTCCGGCTCGGGCACAGGCAGCAAGACCAAGCCGCGCTCCAAGCCGACTTCGCGCCCCAGCAGCACCGACTACCGCATGTGGAAGACCGTGTACCACAACGGCACGGCCGTGTCGTCGTACGTGACCGGCACGCGCCCGCACACCATCTCGTCGCTCCCCAGCCCGAGCCCCAGCCTGCCCGTCAACGGCAGCCTCAACGCCAACGTCAGCAGCGTGCCCCCGCTCGTGTCGTCCGCCCCGCTGCCCAGCGTCCCGGCCGACACGCCGGCACCGCCCATCCCCACGCCGACCCTCAGCGCCGCCGCCCTCCCTACCGACTGCGCGCTCGTGCTCGGCGCCGCGGGGCTGCTCATCGCTGCTGTGGGTGCGTGGTAGAGGGAGATACTGTGTACTGGACCCTGGCGGACTCGACACTCGTTATACGCTCGTTTAGCTCGTTTATGGATGATGTGTGTCTCTCAGTTGTGAGCCCATGCCCCCCTTCCACCCGCCCATACGTCCTAAAGAGTGTCATGTACTGTATGAAATGTACGGGCGGCGCCAGCGCCGCTGAAGAAGATATGACCACGTGTGTGGTGGCGAATTTACTCGAGCTTGTCGGGGATGTTCGCGTTGAACGCCTCGGGGCTGCCGACGTAAGTCTGGTGCGTGTTGTAAACGCCTGTAGGTCAGTACCTATTGCACCCCTCACGTTGCACCAATACTCACAGACAAACTTGTACTGGCCGTTGAGCTGGGCGGCCTCGGGCCACTCCTCGCACTTGTGCCAGCCGCAGCCGATGTCGGTGGTGGCGCGCCACACGACCTGGGTCCAGCGCGCGGCAGCCTCCTGGTACGTCTTGTCGCCGCCGTCTGTGGGGTAGACGTAGTTCTCGCCCTCCCACCCGGCGTCGTGGACGGAGCGGACAAAGTCGCCGTCGTGGCTCGGCACAAGCGAGTCGGTGTAGTCCTGGCGCGAGGCCGGGAACTGGGGCACCTGGTTGCAGGTCTGGGCCTGGCCGACGGCGATGGCGCTGAGCTCCTCGTTCCACGAGACGGCGGGGACGCCGTAGCGCGCACGGATCTCGTTGTGCGCCTGCAGAATCTGCTCGGCGAGTGGGTCGGACGCGGGCACGGCACCGTCGGGGTTCGCGGGGCCCTGGGGCTCGGCGGAAGGCGAGGGCGAGGGCGAAGGGGAGGCCGAGGCCGAGGCCGACTCCTCGGAGGTCGGCGACGGCGCAGGGGTCTCGGAGGTCACGACCGAAGACGACTCGGTCGGGGTGGCCTCGCTCGAGGCGCTCTCGCTGGAGGACGGGGTCGGCTCGGGCTGGTGGATGAGCGCGTTGTCGTCCGCGACCGGGGTGACGGACGGGACGGGGGACGCGGTCGAGTGCTTGGCCTTGCACTTGCGTGCGTCGGCGGTCGCGAGAAGGGCGAGGACAGGGAGGATGGCGGCGGCGCGCATTGTGGCGTGTCGGGGGTCGTAACGAGTGTCGGTGGTCGGGGTCGGTGTCGGTCTCGGGGTTGCTGCAGCGTCAAGCTAACAGATGGAGGATGAGGATGAGTTGATGGACAAAGGCAAAGATGGACTGTTGGGCGGGCATCTTTGGCGACTTGGAGAGGAGAGGCACAAGTGTCAGGGAGGGCGGAGTGACGGGAGAGTACGAGGAGAAGAGGGAGGAGAGGGAGCTTGGCAGGAAGGTTACAGGCACTGCGGCACAGCCGACGCGTTCATCTCCCAACTCACCTCAGTCCCCTGTTTCCACTGCCTCTCCCACTTTGGCATGTTCATCACGCGAGGTCCTATCAGCGTAGATGAGCAGCCGTGTGGCGGACAAATGTGGCATGCATGTCCAGGCGATCTGGAAATCATGATCTGCGACCGCTGATCCTTTGATCGTCGTTTGTTCTACAGTACTCAACTGGAGCTAGTGAATGACTGCACGCAGACCATCAGGGTGAGTCGGACGCGTGACGTCGGGCGAGCCAAGTCCAACCTGATTGCAGGCGCTGTCTGCATACGTGTGCTGCGTCTGTGTCACCCTCTTGGACATGGGTGGCGCTCGATGAGCAGGGCCGGACGAGTTCATCGACTTCGAGGCCGTATTCATCCTGAAGCTGGACGCACCTCGAGATCACCAGAACGCCTCATTTGGCTGAAACGCGGGTGGTGGACCCATCCCTCCCGCCTCCCGCGCTCAGGAGAACCCTCCCACCGTCCCACCGTATGTACGTGCAGCCATGCATCATCGGAACGGCATTGCGCCGACCCTGCCAGAATGTCGTAACATCGCGTGGCTGCGAGGGTGAACAGCACGAGACGCGGGAAAGCGCGACAGCGCGCGGTTTCAGGATGACGCTAGCTTCCGCAACCCTGGAATACAGGCAATCGACGCCATGCTGGTGGTCTGGAGCGCAGCGATCTGAATAATGAGTGTGTTGACTCCTATTTTTTAGACCTGGAATACTTCCGAGATATTGGTCTGGAGCGTTGAGGGAGGGGATATGTTGAGGCGTTCCAGCCATCACAGAGCAACGATGCGGAATACACTATTTCGCACCACTTCGTGGCCCTCCCCAAGATTGTACAATTACATGTCTCCGGCTCCGTCTGTCTTGCAGTCTTACAACACAATATTGTCCGTTCTCTACTCAAGGAAGGGCGTGAGGTCCGTCGCGCGCTCCTCGACCTCGACTTCGACCTCGTTCCCGTCCTCGCCGCGCCGCGTCACCTTCGTTCCGTTCGGGTATGTGATCGACCCGATTCCGTCGGGCGGATTGCCACCTTGGCCGTTACCCGTGTCCGGGCAGAACTCGGGGGTGAGGCATGCGTCGGAGGGGTTGGGGCCCGGCGCCGTCTGCGTGGGCTGCACCGACGGCGAGGGGGCTGGCGTGGACGGGGTGGCGGTCTCGGGGGGCGCGTCCGTCGTCTCAGGAGGCGTGTCCGTTGTCGCTGGTGGTGCTTCCGTCGTAGGCTGCGGCGCCTCGGTTGTCGGCTGCGGCGTCGTCGGCTGCGGCTGCGGGGGTGTGTCAGGGCGGGTGGGGCAGCGCCATCCGAACAGGCCGCAGCGGAGAGACCAGAAGGGGTCACGCGGCGCGAGGCCGTCGGCGTGGACGGGGGCGGCGGCGGCGCCGGCAAGCAGCGCGACGAGGGGGACGAGGGTGGCGATGCGCATTATGCTGGTTGATCTTGCTGTCTTGAGGGATGGCGATGCGGGTGTCGGCGTGCATCTTTTATGCTGCGCCGAGGTCGTACCATTGCATGAGCATGCCGTACACTCGCGGAAAGATGAAGGCGAGATAATCTTAGGCACCCTGCATGCTCAGCCTGAAACCCGAGATTGGGCTCGCAGGATCGCGAGGATTAAGGAGCGCAGAAGGCATGACGTGGGCGGGAGGCGGAGCCAGCCTCGCTGCTTCGCGGCCGCGTCGGCTGATAATCTTGGAATCTGCGGAAGATCAGGTGGCTGATCGCGCAAGATTGCGCTCTGACCTGCGACGGTTGTCATCTGGAATGGGGCAGGCACGGTGGGTGTTCCACCGCTGCGCTTGACAGGCGCAATCATGTTATCTTAAGTCGTATGGTGCTGCAGTGCTGAAACGCTGTTCCTCTGTTCCTGCTCAACATTATTATCTAGACTCGCCATCGCGTTTCAGCACGCTTGGCGGATTGCGGAAGCATCCAAACCACAAGTTTGGAGGCTGGGCTCCGTTCCCTTTCCCTCACCATCTTTCGTCGGAATCGTTTGGCGAGCGATGGAGATGCTGGGGTGAGAGTTTAGGTGCCGCCGCAATGACGAGGTGCTGGCAGGGGAAATGAACGACAGTTACTTGGCGGGGCGTGGGAGCCTCTTCCGAGCCGGGTATCCAGTGTCAATATCGTCAAGGCGGATTCCAGAAGGCGAGCTGGAACCAAACAACCCGCATCCAGTCTCGTGGATCTCACGTTAGCTGCAATCTACCCCGCAAGCACCGGCCTACCGTGAGACGAAGGTATCTTCATACTTTCCTCACTGGCGACATTTCCCCCAACCAAAGCCCAGCCCAGATCACATCACGCCCTAATGCCAAACACAATGACCGCTGCACCGTCACAAACAATTTCCTACGCTGCCCTCGCAATCTCCAGCCGCTCCTCCAGCGCCTTGGGGCCGTGGAACTGCGTCCGTCCGTCGATTGCCCAAGTAATGCCTGCGAACAGCCACACCAATGCGACAACCACCACGACCCAGTTCATCGTTGTCCCGCTCAGCACAGGGATCGCAGGTGGGAAGCAGAATGTGATGGTGGTGACGACGACGAACGCAAGCGCAATGCCGTTGATGGTGCCTGGGGTCAACGTCGTCACTGTGGGAACTTACGGCGCCATCGTCCGAGAGACCATTTGGCGTGTGTGGCGTGCTCGCCGAAAGCGGAAGCGCCGCGCACAAAGACAATGGCGATGGGGATGAAATAGCTGATCTGTAGGAAAACGACGGAGGACGAGAGGATGGCATTGGTGGTCACGCTGCTGCCGAGGTCTGACGTTAGCTTCGGTCATGGCGCCGGCATCTCACTGATCAGGCCAAACGCCGTCACCCAGACAGTGACGAAGACGATGCACCAGACGGGCGCCTTGAGGCGAGGGTGAACACCGGCAATGAGCGACGCGGGCCCGAGGCCGCGATCGCGGGCGAAGGTGAGCACCAGGCGCGACGAGACGGTCAGGATGCCCTGGCCGGCAAGAACCATCGCGACGAGGTTGAACATCATGAGGCAGGTGGCCTGGAGTTAGAATAGACATTGTATCAGAATCAAGAACTTACCCCGACGCGGCTGCTCGTCGCCTGGTAGTATATCTGGAGTAGCGGACCGGTGGTAGCGCTGAGCACCGTGTCAAAGTCTTGTAGCGAGAAGAGAATAACAATCATAAACACCCAGCTCGTGGCGGCGCCGAGGACGATCGCCAGCACCCTGGATGTCAGGGCGATTCATCTTAAGCTCACATGACGCGCGGGGCGTGGATGTACGGCCGCGGCATCTCCTCAACGAGGTGGCTGGCGGCGTCAAAGGCTGTGAGACCAAACGTCGACTGCAGAAGACCGAGGATGAATGCCATTCCGTCAGGCCAACCAGTGACATTGGTGAACGTCGCGAAGACAGCTTTCGGCTTCTGGAAGGTGTCGGCGCAGGCGAGGCAGACGATGCTGGCAACAACAAAGCCGACGATGCTCCATGTACCCGCGAAGCGATCAATAGCCGGTAGGGCGCGCACGCCGAAGACGTTGAGAACGAAAGCCAGCAATGCGATGGCAAGGAAGAGGAGGAAGAACTGCCACGGCTGCATCGCAAATTCCGGGTTCCAGAGGGCGATGAGGCTGCGTGAGTGGGTGCGGAACAGACGACGTACCCAGAGATGAATCCAGAGCCCAGTACAGGAGCAGCAGCAGAGAGCGCCACCCAGCCTGCAGTGCCGTTCCACCCTGCAATAAAGGACAGACGCTCCTTCCACCCGTCCGGAGCGAGAACGTCTACCATCAGCCTGTGTCGTCAAAAGCGCTCACAGGACCAGTCGTACTGCCCACCGCTGAGGGGAAGTACGTGGCACACCTCAGCCAGACTGACCCCCATCGCCAGCGTGCCGAGGGCGGAGACGAGCAGGCCCCAAACCATGGCGATGGAGCCACCGGAACCAAGAACGAGAGGGAGGCTGGGGTCAGGCGGGAATGCGACATGCTCACGAAGCAGACCTGCCGTTAGCTGACTTCAAAGGTGCCCTCGATAGTGTAAAACTCACATGGCGGTCCATGAGTTGAGGATAGAGAAGGAAACGCCAAGGATGGCGAGGAAGGAGAAGTTGCGCTCCAGCTGGACGCCTTGCACAGCGACAGTCGCCTCAAGCTCCTCCTTGGACTTCTCTGGGGAGGGAGGTGGTGGGCTCATGGCGGGTCGTGTGAACGAGTAAAGATGGGAATGCATCTCAGGCTGAGGCTCAACGAGACGCGTTATAGCTGTGGCCAGACGCCTACCGGTGGCTGGACTCAGTCATTTTGGTAACCACCGTGCCGTCTTCATGATGTGAAGGCACGCCATCGCCCATTTTTATTAGATATGGCGCGGCGGCCGGTGCGCGCCGGTCCTGCGCTACGATGCTGCAAGCCTGCGGCGGCCCGGGGCAGGTGAGCTAGGGCCGCTGGAACGTTTCATGCATAACCTCGAACGCAAGGACCGTCGACGGACTGTGATGTCGGACACAACGCAACCATCGGGTTCTGGTTCATAGAAGACGAGAAGACGTGATGAGGAATGTCGATGCGCCACGACTGGACAAGCGGAATGTCGTTGGCTGGGAAGATCTGGAAAAACTATGGTATCCTGGAGTATCATGGCTTGAGCACGTCAAGGACGCGTGCTCGGTCGCGCTTGAGAGGCAACAGGGAGTGAGTCGCAAATCCGTCGGTTACTCGGCGCGGCGAGGATGCACAATTACGCGCGGATGGAGGGCGAAGAGGAAGGAGAGAGGCTGCCAAGATTGATTGTTGCTCACGTTCTGGTAGATCTCCGTCACCCACTGCTTGCCGGGCAATATGGAGCCGACGGGTAGCCCTAATAGCTTGCTTGGGGTCTTGTTTTGTGGACAGAAGACTCTATCGCTCGGCGATGCACGGTGAGACGACCCCAGAACGGATCACTAGCGAGGAAGGCGACCAGTGGTGCAAGAGCTGAAGCATAAGAGGCCGCACACACGTTACCTGTGGTGAGCAAGCCTCGGAAGAGAGTGATGGAATCAGCAAGCCTTAATGGGTACGAGATCGAGAGGGGGGGTGCATGATGTGGCCGAGATCATGATGAAGGAGGAAGTGATGGAGACGACAGCGAAAGAGGTGGTGAGCGCGGAATGTCTCGCGGCACGAACGGAGGCAAATGATTCAGTCACCGTGAACCTAATCTGCATTCGGAGCCTCATTATCCGCCCTAATCAGTTTATCAGACCCTCCACCTAAGGCATCCCGCGGTCGGGACCGCTCACTTGAGCTGCTGGGAGCTGGGAGCGAGCTCGCCAGGCTCACCACACCCTGCCTTCTGCTGTCAACACAAACATCTGCAACTCCCACTCCGACCTTGCTGGAGTCCCTCTCACTCGTCCGCGGCCACTCGATCACTCGAGAGCACCGGCATGCTAGCTCCTTTCCTCCGCGCCTAGCTCCGATCCCCCACTCCCTCCGACTCATGGAATCCTAAACCGCCTCGCCCGGCACATGGTGGTGCCGCTGCTCTGACCCATCGTCGCCTGTGAGTTTGACTATGCTACGCTTTGAGATCTCGAGATGGACCGATACCTCAATACCTTCTGTCAGCTGTCGATGTTGGAGCGCCGTCGGACATCTGAAGAGGCGTGCCGCAGAGATGAATATGCTGACGAGCAGTGCCCTACCCGTCCTGCATTCCCTTGTACCTCCGACCCAACCGATGACTCGCGAGCGTGACGCCCAAGACGAGCGCGAGCGTCGACCGGCTCTGCTCAAAAGCGCCAGCACAACCACTCCCACCCCGCTTGCAATCCCTAATCCCACTCATCTTGTTAATCATGTCTCGACAACATCATCATCATCATCATCATCATCATCATCTCCTTTCTCCACGCACACATCGATCACTTCCTCTCTCCGTCCTTCTCATTCTCGCACTCGATCTCGCACCATCGACATTGTTCGCACAGACCTCATCCCACTCGTCTGCCTAGCTCTGTGCGCTAGAAGCTCCACATCACACCTCGCACTCGCCTCCATCCTCCTCGCATCTCTTGCAATCATTCTCCATCGTCCATTCCACACTCGTCCTCGCCCGTCGCCGCCCTCCCTCATCATTCCCACAATGTAAGCCATCAAGTCACCCTGCTCCCGTCAAATCTCGCTTACTCCAGGCCCTTCGTCACCCCCAAGGCATCGCCCTCCCCCATGTCCGACCGCGTACGTGCCTTCCCTCCCGCCCCTTCTGACCCCAGTCCGTGTCCGGCGCGCCTGAGCTAGTCGGCTCCTTTGTCGAAAAGTACAAGGACCTCAAGGCGCGCTACGAGGAGGCCCAGGCCAAGGCGGACAAGTACGAGCGCCTCTACACCGAGCTCAAGGTGCGCGCAGACGAGCTCGCCGAGCTCGAGGCCAGTCTGCCGACCGTGGCCCGCCTCGAGGCCGAGCTTGAGCACGAAGCCCGCCTCCGCCGCAAGGTGACTGAGGAGCTCGACCAGCTCAAGCGCGAGCAGGAGGAGCTGCTCGCTATGCAGTAGGGCGCTGAGAGCGTGCGCCCTAGTGAGGTGCGCGCTCGGGAGCGCAGGCCCGAGCCCGATCTCAAGGACGAGCGTAACACATCCTCTCTGAGGAAGGGCATCAAGCGGGCGCGGTACGTATAGCATGCAGCATTATAGATGGTACGCGACAGCACCGAAGATCGGGGCGCAGAGCAGCGAGTTGTTGCTGGTGGGCATGGCGGCCACGACGATGCTGACGTCGGCGGCGGGGAGGGGAGGTGCGAGCGGCCAGGGAGAGTGGGTCCCGGCGGGTGCGAGCAGGCTGAGTCCACGGAGGCAACAACGCAAAGTCTCCTTTTCGGGTGCATGCAAGAAATCCGCAAGCCCCACACGACGCAACGCAGCCCACGTCTGTGCGTACATCTGCGCAATGCCCGAGGATGCTCACGGAGTCCACGCCGAGGCCAAGATGTTTCGGATCAGAGCCGGCGGCATCGGTCTCCGTGGAACGTAACGTTACACATCAGATCTGTCCGGATATTCCGGGCCGAGCCCCGATCGCGCGATTTCATGCTTAATCCGTCGCCATGCCAACCCGCTGTCCCGCAACGAGTGAACGAGGGTGCATTGTCTCTACCACGCTACAACATCTCGCCGCGGCGGATTATAGGCAGGTCGATTGCAATCCGCAGCGCTCACAGCCAGATGCTGAGCCCTGCGGCGGCGAGGACGAGCGCGCCGGCCGCCGAGAGGGCGGACGCAGCGGACGTAAGGCCGGGGACGTATGGCGCCGACGGCGCGGCGCCCGGCACCGGGGCGTCAGTGGGCATGCTGCCGTCGGCGTTGGGGACGGGGGCGCCGGGGTTGGCGGGGTCGATGGGCGTGGAGGGCGGCACGCCCGCGACCTGCTGCGGCATCGCGGTGCCGTTCGGCTTGATCCAGAAGCCCTGGGACTGGGCGAACTTCTCTGGGTGTGAGCGCGGAATGACAGCCACTCACGGTCGGGGTTGCCGGCGGCCGTGAGCTGGAGCATGTAGTTGTTGCCGGGGTTGTAGCCCTGGATCTTGCCTGTCCAGGTGCTTGTGCCGGGCGCGACTGGGGTTAGGGGAGGCAATGGAGGCGCTCACTGTTCTGGGCGAGGACCACGCGCTGGCCGGCAATACTCGCGTTCGAGTTCGAAAGCATGAGGTTCGTCGCGACGTTGACGGGCGTCCACTTGGCCGAGTTCACCGCGTCGTTGACCCCTGCCGTTAGTCTGACCAGCCCATGGACTGACAGTAGTTGTTGCGTGTCGGGACGATGAAGTAGGTGATGTTCCAGGGGAGGGTCATGTCCTGCTCGGGAGGTGCGGTAAAGCCGTCTAAGAGGTTAGCTGATTCGCGATAGAGACCCACCGTCGCCGGCGGCCGGGGTGCTAGCCGGCGCGGCGGACGAAGCCGGCGCCGAGCTCTGTGCGGCAGCGACGGCGAAGAGCGCGAGGGGCCAAAAGAGGAGGCGCATGGTGAGGTGTAAGATTGGGAGAGTCGGTGGGGAAGGCCGAATGTGTTGGGGGTAGACTAGAAGAGGGGTGAGAGGAAGAGAGTGTGGAGTACGAGATGGAGAGGCCGGGTGTGAGTCTATATGTAGGGTCGGGACGGTGGCGACTGCTTGCCGGCGCACCAGAGTCGACTCGTACGTTGCGCGCGTGGGATGCCTCTCGACGTTGTCGTAGGCCAAGAGGGTATCAGATCTGCAAAGGGATCATTTGTTAACCCGGTGTGTACGCGGGGAGGCCGCCTCATACGTACGTGTGTGCTCGCACAGCCCATGTCCGAGATCGAGATCTTGTGTGCATGGGTGGGATCAGCTGCGGTGGCATCGTGTAGGATTCAGTGAACGTTGGATCTCATGATGGAGCGGAGTGGGGGAGACCGGATGAGATGCCGACCGACACCTGAGTTGGTGCAGAAGGATCTGTTACTTGTGGAGTGCGAGTGGGAACAGGACTGCCTCGCCTCCCAAAGCTACACAGCTCGCAGCGGTCTCGTCACCGGTAAATGCAGATATTCATCGCGCCATCTGCATCACTTCTTGGGGTGAGACGCCGTTCTAGATTTTTGGTGATTACGAGTTTTCATCACGAGTAAGGAGTCTGTTCAGCGGGGCGAGACAAATGAGTACTGCTGGTCCCATCTTTCACTTACGGCCATCACATGTAACAGGGAGAAGAGACCAGCCCGATATATCGCATACTAGCGTCGATGCATGCCCTTCTCACGACAACCGGGCTGATCGCCATGCCCAACCTAGCACCGACGCGCCCCCCCCGCCGCATCGTCGCCCCGTGCTATTGGAAGCACGACAGGTTGCGCTACCTCGAAGAGCACCCGCCGCCCCTTCTTGCCCACCTCCACGAATCCTTTCTCACCCCGAACTACAGGTACGCCCGTCCCCCACCACGCTAAGACCAGATGCACCGCGCGCTCACGCAGCCGCTCGACGCCCTCTCGGCGCGGAACCCCGAAGCTATCGCGGCCCGCGACTGGGCGATCCACACATACCTCCTCTTCAAACGGGTGAAGGCGGCGCGCGACGTCGCTGTACGCTTGCCGACCGGAAGGAACGCCGCGTGCGTCGCCAACGTGCAGCGTCTCGTTGCGCAGCTCCGTGCCCATCTCGAAGATGGGCGCGACTACCACCTCGACTTTAAGGCGCATCTACATGTCCTGGCTGTCGTCCACAGCCCCTTTTTCCATGCGGCGAGCTGGTGGGCTGCAATGGCGCGTTTCCTCGAGGGCTTTGAAGGTGGGTCTACAACGGAGCACACTAAGCCAGATGATGGGCGGCCGCGTGTCGTCCCACACGTTCCGGGAACGCGGTTGAGCGCGCCCCAGCCGAGGACAAGGATCAAGCGCGCGCTGAGCACAAGCTTCGTGCTGGTCGGGGACGACAGTGACGAATGCGGGGACGAGTCGATCTTCTAGCTTCAGAAAGAGCGGGTCGCAGTGATCACGTGATTGATGACGTTGTTTCACGCGCGCATGCCACGTGCAGCAGCGACAAGCGCGGCCCTTGTAGTTTAGTGGTTTATAATTTCTCACTTGTATTGCGTACAAATGAGAGGGTCTCGAGTTCGAATCTCGACGGGGGCTTTGCTTTTTGGTGACCAGCTCTCTGATATGTTTCTAGCGTTAAAATCGCGTCTGTGACATATATGGTTCGCTAATGTGTGCGTGTGCTCACCGAGACGCGCTGCGGACATGTGCGCACCGCCACCGCGTCCCCACGACTGCGAAGATGGGATCGTGAGAGCGACCGCGGACGTGTGCTTCACATGCGCGCCACGACATTGTGCTTCCCATGACGGCCCACGAGAAGCCCAACCCTCCCCTCCGCTCCCCGTCAGCCGCACCCAGCAGATATATAACCTCGCGACTGTCTCGTAACTTTCCTCACCACCTCTGCCTCCCCATCCTATCTCACACCTAACATCAAACCACCCCACCTCCACCACCACAAAATGACCACCGGCAAGACCCAGCAGGCCGCCGCGGCTCAGACTGCCGCTTCCAAGAAGACCGCCCAGACTCAGGCTGGTATGCCCACCGGCTCGATGCCGGACGGCGCCATGCCGGCGAAGACTATGGCCCCCGCCGAGATGAACATCAGCAAGGACAAGCCCATGGCGCCGACCGCCGACGTCGCGATGCCCAAGCCCATTCCCGCTGGCTCTATGGGCTCTATGGGCTCGAAGGACTCCATGGGTGCTATGGGTTCCATGGGCCCGATGGGCTCGATGGGCTCGATGGGCTCTATGGGCTCGATGGGCTCAATGGGCGGCATGGGCGGCATGGGCTCGATGCCCAAGACCGACTCGAAGACCATGGCCTCGAAGCCCAAGGGCACCGATGTCATGCAGACGGACAAGGTAGGTGTATTCCGTACGGGTTGACACCAGACCACCGACGCCTCGAAGTCCATGACGGGCTCGAGCCCCATGAAGGACTCGCGCATGCACGCCGACAAGGTAAGGGAGTCGCGGGCCAGCTCACACAGAACATGGACATGACCGTGGGCTCCAAGGCCATGACTGGCGAGGACATGCAGCCGCGCAAGGTGAGAGTTTGGCGGGCACCACTCACCTCAGGACATGGACGCCATGTGCGGAAGCGGCTGTGCCTCGCACGCTGATAAGGGCGCCATGGAGATTATGGGCGAGATGCGCGGCAAGGACAACAGCTGTGCCGGCGAGGCTTGTCACCCCGCCAAGAAGTAGGTCCAGAGCGGCAGCTCATGCGAGTTTCGTAGATCGTAGGATCGGAGCAGAAGTCGATGTAGTGGGTTGAAGGCGCATGTTGGGGGGGCCAAGTGGTCCACTCGTTGTCGGACATGAGACACACGGCTGTGGCAGTCTTCGCTCGCGCCCATTGGTCGTCTTTTGTCTCGTCTCGAGATGACTGGTTCACCAGAAGAGCATCGCACTCGCCTATCCGTGAGGTGAAATACTGAAACCCATTCCGCACACAAGGAAAGTCAGTCGCGATCGCAGCTTATGTAAAGAGGCGCACGCTCCCGGCTGGCATGAGATCTGCGACACGGACGACATGCCCTTCTTCTCTTCACTCCATCCCGAACAGTATCGCCCTCGCACCCACCTCGAGCTCCACGGCGCGCTCAGACCACTACGTTATCCTTTTCCCCCCGTTCACCTTTTCTTCGCCATGCTCAAGAGCCTCAAGAAGGCTATCTCCAAGGCATCTAATGAGTCCAAACTACACGATGCGCATTCACTCGCCGTCGTTCATAAGGGAGCCGTCGCGCAAGGCTCCCTCGACCATACAGCCTTCCCAGACATCTTCGAAGCTGTGCTCCAGTATGCGCCGCATGCCTCTCTCCTCCGGCTCCGCGCGACGTGCCGCAGCCTGCGCGACCGCATCGACCGCGCCATGGCGGTTCACCTGGTCCAACTTGGAAACGAAAGGCATGCCCGCACACCCCTCGGTGCCGGGCACCAGCTTGGCCGGCATCCCGCCTTCTCTCCACTTTCGTTCCGTCCCCCTCCTCCGCCTCCAGCCACTTCTAAGCCGCGCTTCTTCCGCCGCGAGATGCTACCACCTCGTGTGGTCCCGCGCCATCTTGAGATCCTCGCTGCTGTTCAAGTCGTGGACCTCGTTCACACCATCACCCACCTTGTTGGCGGCCTAAGCTGCGACCTCAAGAAGGCGGCCGATGTCCAACCGCTACAGTTCCGTGCAGTCCGCATGTGGTGCGGCGATGTGCGCACCGATCCAAAGCCGTCGAGCCTTCCTGGTGACCGCGTGGTTTTCTGGTGGCCGCATCGCCTCGCCGAACCCAGCTTTGAAGAAGACTGGAGCCGAGTCAACCGAGACTACGCCCCAGGCCGTATCGTGCTCAACTTGGCTTTGCGAATATCCGAGCCATCCCTCCTCTGGCAGTGGATGTCCTTGGCGACCGAGCTCGTGATCATTCTCGTCGACCGCGATGACCCAAGATTCGGTCGCGGATCTGTCACAGAGGGCGGGGCAGACTTCGCCGCCTGGGTCGCTTCATACCCGGACCACAGACAACTCATGTCTGTTACGATTGTGAACGCCGAAGTGCTGCCACTCATCGAGAATGGTCAGGTTCGTTTTCCTACCTCAGCTGTCCGACGCCAGGCAGTCACACTCGAGACCATCGTTAAACGGAGCCCGCCGATTATACCGTTTTCGTTCCTCTCTCTCGACGAGTACCGCTCCCAGGTTGGCGAGGAGCAGTTCCGCTATGAGACAGACGAAGAGTTTGTGTTCCGGGCTAAGGTGTGAGGTAAGTATCTCTCTAGCAAGCGACCGTCGCCATCGGGTTGGGAGGCCCCATGTTCTGCGGTGCCTAGTGATGACTTCCACTCGTCATCAAGTGCCACGCGGGTTCCTAGACTCTGACTGCTTCCAATCCTCGTAGATGACACCATTCCAATAACGAAGCATCAGTTTCAACTATACAGAGCACCATCACAATATACATCTCGCCATATGAACAGAATCAGCACGCTCGCGGGGCAGCCTCTACTTCTTGCAGGCGTCGCGGCCACCCTGGCCCTGGCCGTGACCCTGGCTCTGGCTGTGGCTCCGGCCGTAGCCGCCGCCTTGCGAGCCCTGCGCGTTGGCGTGAATCGCAGCGGCCGACTGGGCACGAGCGGCGAAGCCGCTCGAATTCATGTTGCCGCCGCCTTTGGCCTCGCGCCAGAAGAATACTCACCTGCGACGACTGGACGCGCGAGACGTGGGCGGCCGTGAAGTATTGCTTGGTGTCAGGTCGCCCGAGCAGGCATGGGAGCAGTGGGGGATACTCATCTGGCTGGACTGTTCCCCCCGAGATCCCTTGTTCGAGATGATAGATAAGTTTGTACTAAAGATGGGGGGGTACGAGTGGGAGGTTTGGATGGGAGCCCGACAGCGAGGGCAGGATCATGTACCCGGCGCGAACGGGTTACTTGGTCGCTCACTTACCCAGCCTGAGCGGGGCGCACCCAACCTCCAGAGAGCACATGCTCCAGACCTTCCAACAGATCGCTGCATCGCTGCTCCTTATGTCTAGAGCTTCCAGACTCCAGAAGTTCTGGAGCCTTCAGAATCCCGATGATCTAGAGCTTTCACAAAGATCGGCGCACCGCTTCACCTGATCCTTCGAGTTCCGAGCCCCTCGCGACCGACTGCTACTCGACAACTGCTATCACGCAGGCCACGCATTGCTTCACCTGTTCTTTGCGCTCTGGTCCTCTGGTGTTTCCTTTTCGGTGTCGTGGGGCGGCTAAATCATCAAGCTCGGTGTTTGACGCCAATACGGGCACAGTCTGATCATGTGCTGTCACCCTTGCTTTGGTTCTATAAAGGTCTGTGAGGTGACGCTCGTCTTGGCTTGGCGGCCGCGGACATCTGTTCGCGAGCGGTGATTGTTACCTTGGTCAAAGCGACGGGCCCGGGCGCCCCGGGCATCATGTCACGCCCATGCCATCCCGATGCCGCCCATAGCTATTTGTAGTCTTGACATGGGACAAAATCAAACAGAAGCCTCTTCAGGACGTGCAGAGCACCCATTCGAGGGCATGAGCACCGTCTGTTTCCTGAAGTTCCTATTCACAAGCGGCGCGGCGGATTCATAGTCAGACGCGCATACTTCGCACCTTTGTACTTGCCAGATGTCTGTGCTAAACTCGAGATACAGTAGCCGTGTCGCGCATCCGACTGGAGCATCTTGGAGGAATCGGCGCGATGTATTTGTATATGCTTAACGCCACCCTTCTGTTTCCGCATTCCGCAATGCCTATTCCGCATTGAGTATCCGTCTTACTACTCCTGCTCGGTCCACTCGCTGTCTTTGTGCGTCGCTTCTGTCTCTTCTTCGCCATGACCTCCTCCCCGTTTCGCTACGTATATATCTGTCTATACCCCACATCCCTGCTCTCTCCATTCCACATCCAGTAGCACTTCGCCCTCTTCTCCTCGTACTCTTACCCCAATCTACTCCAGTCGATCTCAATTTTCATCCACGACCATGTCTGCCTTTGGATGGTCAAAGTCTCCCCCTCCCCCACCCCCACGCCCCCGCAACCCATACGCTACGGCTCCTGAGTCGCCACCTGACTTTTCCCCACGCTCGGCAGCAGAAGCAGCAGCCCTTTACCAGGCCTACCCCGGGGCCTTCACGGACTTCTGGGGCCTGCCTTCGAACCCCATCTCTCTCTTCAAGACGGGTGTCGCCTTCCGGCAACTCGAGGGCCCGGGTCAATTCCGACTGCGTCGCAAGCTCGTACCTGTCACCAGGGACCATCCTGTCGCCCCGTACTGGCCGGAGATATGCCCCAATATCGAAAGCTATTTAAACCAACGCTCGGTGTGGTGGACTTCAATCGATCCCGTCCGCTTCGCGGAGCAGGCCGACCAAAGGCTCTCCGGGCCGCCGCAGCACTTGCCCGCCGTATATGCCTGGGTGGGAGTTCGCCCGCGGACCCTCACGCCGGCCATGGCCAAGAGCGTAGCGCTGGGTATCAAAGCCATGCTTGCGGAACATGGATACACTAATCTCAACCTTGAAGTCGCCTTTCGGGAGGCATGTCTATTCAACCACGCCATGCTGCCGTGGACATACCCCGACCCTGCTGCACCTCGGCGCCACGTTGTCACCCCGCTCCTCGGCATGGCAATCGGCATCGATCAAACCGAGCGCGAGGGAACTGGAGCAGTGTACTATCGTGTCGGTGGCGCGATTATGCTTCTCACGGCTGCCCATGTCCTGCTGGACCCCACGCCTATAGCCCACAACGTGGGCTACGATTACAAAGACGCCACACAGCCAAAGATCCTAGTCTCGGCGCCCGGAAACAAGGCGTTCAAGTCTTTGGAGTCGGGCATCAAGAACGAGATAGAGCTTCTAAACATGTGTCGGAAAGCTGCGCTGAGGGAATCGGCCAACCCGCAAAACAGCGCAGACCACAGGGCGTACTATCGGTCGTACGTCTCAACGACCGAAGGCAGTATCCGCATCCACCAGGTCCTCCAGTCCCAGGTCGCCAGCATTAGAGGCAACCTAGATCTAGGACACGTCCGCACCGCGGATCCGATTATACATTCCGACGGCGGCTACCGATACACGCGCGATTGGGGGTTCGTGGAGGTCGCGCCGTCCAACAATGCTGCGATCACCGCAGTAGGCAACCGTGTGTTCATTGGTAAGCTCATTTTTCCTCCGTCGCTGACGCAAGGGGACATTGAGTCGCCCGAATTCATGGCAAAGATGTATCCGCGCCCAGACGAGCGCCCTATCCACAACGTTACCGAGCAAGGATACATCCAGGTGCGTGGCATCGTCCCGCAAGCGGGGCTCAGCGCACCGCGTGAGCACGACGCCGCCGGGAAGCCTGCCCTGCATGTGTTGAAGAACGGACGGACGACGCAGACCACCTTGGGCGTCCTGAACGGCTTGGAGTCTCGGACACGACAGACGGCGGGGGGCCAGGTGAAGACTTCCTCCGAGCTCATGGTCGTCTCCACCCAAAAGCATGGCATCTTCTCGAAGAAGGGCGATTCGGGGGCCGCCGTGCTTGACCGCCGCGGCGGGCTCGTGGGCTTGCTCACCGCCGGCAGCGGCAGCGACGGCCAGCACGCTGACGTCACCTACATGACACCATTTTGGTGGCTCGACCAAATCATCAAGGCACGCTTCAAGAACGCGCAGCTGATGGTCCCTTGAGCTCTTTCAATGGCTCCACGGTTATAGCGCCCTGGGAGTTATTTCGCAAAGAGAATGGCGCCTCTCGGCTACCCTGAGCCTACTCAGAAGCCGCATACCTTCGAAAGTGTAGTGCGACGTAAGACATGTGGATGAATGCACTGTAGTGGGTTTATCCCCATGTGCTACGCCCCCCTTCCGTCCAGTGAAGTGAACTGTGATCCATCAATGATTGGTGTCGACATGCCGATCCGAGGCTGGTACAATGTGTTATTGTTCAACTTGTTGCAATGGTCAAGGCAGAGTAGTGGGTGTAAGGTATGGAGGGCTTTTACTCACAACCTCCTCCCGGCATGCCATGAATGGTGTGCTGTCTATAAGTAAGGCAGCGTTGCAGTGCGGTTGAGCAGGCTGCGCGTTACTCTGAGCTGAGCTGGACGACAACAAAAATTTAGGACATGCTAGGCTGGTCGTGGCGGCTGTACGACCCTTCTTATTGATCTCTCAATACCACAGCCCCGGCGGCTGTACGACCGTTAACAGTGATTTCTCACCACCGGGTTCGAACCCCCACCAACTGGCACAAATCTCCGACGATAAGTGGCGCGCTCCAGTTGGGTCATGTCAAGTTATGTAGGACTGGGGAATCTGATATATATCTACTGCACGGCGGCTGTATACGGGGCGAACTCACATGTTGCGACTTGCAGAAGGAAACTGGATTGGTTGTGAAGCATGTGACATTAGACATGTTACCAGAGCTAGAGATACAAGGCGTACGGGGGCTTGCTACGGTGATGGTCTTCGCGATATTATGGGAGGGGGGAAGTGCATGATGAATTGTTCACATGTCGGAACCGTCGCTTGCAACGGGCTGCAACACAGGGAAGCTGGTGCACGAACAGGCTCTGGAGTTAGATAACTGTTGCCACAACTTCTCACCCGACCTAGATCAAAACAAAGGATGCGTCGGTGTAAAGTCGGAACCGCTCATCGCCAATTTGTGTGCGGTACACCGTACTTGAGAGTAGAGTTATCGCGTTCTTCGGTAGGGGGATTCGGGCTTTGAGCGTGCTCTTCTCGATGCGGTTGGACGGGCGGGAGCTTGTGGGTTGCTGAGTCAACCTTGGGGAGGATACGAGGTCTCGAGAGAGGGTTAAACGAAGGAGAGAGGTGAGTTGATGTTTGACTTGAACGGGGAGGAGGTGGGTGTCGACCATGATAATACGCAGAATGTGGCCGTGAGCAGCACGCCTCCAGAGAAAGCCGAAGAGACGTTGAACAATAATGATCATTGCAAGATTTGAGGGCGGCCTTTGGTTGCTCAGGTCTGCCGCGGAGGGATGAAAGACAACAACGAGGTTTTCAAGTGTCCGACTGGTGCATTCGAGGAGGCGGAGGGAGTTGGGTGCGGTGAACATGTCCGTAAGGTCGATTGAGAGGTTGAGAACCACGGACTTCAAAGATGATGGAAGAGCTCGAATTGGCCGAGGCAGATCTCCAGGCGAGGCTAAGGAGCTCCAGACGAAGTATACGAGGGTGTCATGCGAGGCCGGTGGAAGTCGGTTGCGTAGCTCGGTGTTGACCCACGCGCGCGCGACTTTTGGCCAGCGTTGCATACCCTCGCCCCACAGCAGCTTGGCAACAGGACGGAAAGAGCCGGTGTAATCTATAGCCCGAGACTCGCGAAGCAACTGCACAAACTGGGCTTGCCGAGGGTGCGAGCGTAAAGCGGAGCGAGAAAGAAGAGGGACACGCTTCCCACTTGCAGTGAGTACAGGCATGAGGGAAGCACCTTCAAGACGGAGATGGGACATGAGACGCATATCGGCGCGGTTGCGGAGATCACGGCATGTCGCGCGAAGACGGAGGAGAGCCGTGTAGGACGCGCACGCCAATATCCGGTCGAAGATGTATGGTAAGGCGCGGGGATCGAGGACGATGATAGTGTTGGCTTTGGCCACCTTGGTTGCAGTGGCTGCCTGTGGGGTGGATAGAGCTGCTTGTATCATGGCGAGGATGAGGTGGAAAGCGTGTGGGAGAGGGGAACCGAGAGGAAACGGAAAAGAGCGAGAGAGAGGTAGGAACGTAGGATGAGAAAAGAGATGAGGAGATGAGAAGATGGGGAAGACACAATTTCAACGCGAGGTTGGGTGGATTCACTGGGATTAGCACGTTCGCAGCACGTGTCCAACTTCCCTATACCTGCACATTGTTCCACATCCACACCACACCAGGACAAGGCTTGTGCTTCTCGTATCTTCGAGTGATGCGTGCCTAATCTACGCGAGCTCATTGTGTCAAAGCGAGCAGGCGATGATAGAAGTGAATGCGGTACTTGCGCGCGAGAAGTCTATCAGCTACTTCGCGCATATCCGAGCTGGTTGCGCGAAGGGCGAGCAGAGTGCGCCGGCCACATGCTGCAAGAATTGCTTTCATGCATTCGGGGTGCTCGGTGTAAATGACCATGATAGGTGGGAGGAGAGGGTCGGTAGATGTGGGGAGCATGGCTGTGGATTGACCGGGCATGCCAGGGGTAGCGGCGTCGACTGCCTCTGCTGCGTGGTCCTTGTTACCCGCGATAATGCTGTTGGCCATTGGGCCGTGATTGAGTGATGATGGCGGTGTGAACGAGCTTTTGTGCCAAAGGGGTTTACGCGAGCAGCGATGGTCTGAGATGCATCACATGGTGGTGGCCGCCCGAGACGGAGTGGAAGGTTACAGTGCGGTGTGGGAATGCGATGCAGTCGGCGCCCTACACAGTACACATGATCTAGCCGCATTGTCTTGACAAGCGACAAGGGGTCCCCAAACATTTCGGGCGTAAACCTTTCAGTTTTTCCAACAGCATAGAGATAGTACATGCTAATAGTGCTCGGAGAAGTGTCGGGCAGCTCAACATCATAGTCATCTCATGCGAAAACTACTCAAAATTGCCATCTTATCTGACGGTGTGACGTCATTGTTGGTTCAGTGGCAGTTTCGCATTCTGCTGTATCATTGCGACGCAGGGTTGTCTAAGCCTTCCGCAACTCACGTTGTGTAATTTGTGGTGCACAACCTCTACATTGTCATGATACAGGGGGACACTCGCGAATAAAAGCCGTGCCCAACATGCGGAAAGCAACCAGATGGGCAGCTCGTTCCATGTGTGCCCCAGACCTTGAGTCCCCTTCATACCAGTTTGCGCCCTCATACACCTCATGCAACGGACGCGGACCACTGACTCCGTGGTAGAGGGCGTGTTGCGCACTGAAAGTCGGGTTACTCTTCACACCGGTGCACAACGTCCGCGAAAGAAGTCATCGACCATGTGCACCGATGATCCCTGGGCAGGTGCGCCCCAGATGATTCAGGCTAACAGGTGAATCGCGAGGATGCGAAGGGCACCTCGGGAAAGTGTCAGAGTGTCGATGCACAAGGCCGTCAAAGAGCAGGTGCTCAGATTGTAAATTCCCAGGCAAGTTGACACCACACCAAACGTTGCGGACCTGATAGGCTTTTGCATGACATGCCCACGGAAGGAATGTGAGTGCAGTCTGCCTTCTCACATGAAATCAGGCTCGCGCCTCGAAACTCGGACCTAGCGGTAGTTACAATACATTCCCGCTGTGGAGTGATTCTTTCAGTCACCTGCGTACATTGATCACTGCGCTATGCTGTTTGGGCGAGTATCAAAACTACTGTGCTGGTCGCGCGCCAATCCATTCTCCGGCGGATGTGGCCAAAAACTTCTGATTTTCCCACCCCTGTCTGGGACGGCTATGTCAACGGAGCTAGTGAGGGCGCCGTCGCATGAGAATCACGGGGCGAGCACGATGTGCCCGAGGCATGAAAGGTTACTCTTGGCGTCACATTCCTTCCGGCCTTCTGTCGCGGCGACCCCGGTTATCCCGCTTGATCAGCTCGGCGTGATCGTTGAATGGCCAGTCCGCCAGACGCACCAGTTGGAAACACCGTCGCCTGTGCGCAGAACTGTAACCAGTCGAAGCGACCTCCTGCTGCAAAGTGAAAGGGGGTGGTGCAAGCGGATGACTTCTGCTTCGTTGCAGCGTTGCAGACAGCCGAGCCACCGGCCACATCTTTTTATCTCAACTTATTCTCCATTCTTTCGTCATACAAGTCCGTGAGGATGAGAGAGCTCGCAAACAAAAGCATGTCCTCGGCCACCGATGGCAGTCCTGCGCAGATGCCCGAGGCTTTGACCGCTCCGTGCTCGATATCGATCACCGATTCAACCGCCCTCGGGCATCCGCTGGAAGTATCCCGCCACACCCCCGTTATCGACCACACCGCCTACCCCCAGATTATGGATATCATCTTCGGCGCGGCGTCCGGTCCGCTCCTTGTCGCCTTCCGCGCGACCTGCCGCACCTACCGCGACCGAGTCAAAGCCGTCCTCGCCAAGCACCTCGCGCTTACCGACACGCACCTGCTCTCCGCGCTCAGCCGTACGCCACACCGCCCCTGTTTTCCGCCGGCGGCCCTCGACTGCTTCGAGCACTTCGCGCTTCAACCGTCTCCCCACGTCGCCGACGCGGCCGGCGCGCCCATCCTCCGCATCCGCGACGCTCCGCTCACAGTCATCGACGCCATTGCCCCGTCTACCGTCGTGGTCTACGGATGGCTCCGCCCCAAAGGCGAGGAGCTCCCCGAGGCGCGTCTGATGATGCTCGGCTCCTCGCGCCGCAGGTCGCCCGTCGAGCACTGCAGCACCGTGCGCAAGGTCGTCATCGTCATCGACGGCGTGCCCAACTACACGTGCTACGCGAATGGCATGGTGTCCGCCTGGCCCTCTATCACCGACATCACCGTGCTCTATGTTCCCAAAGAGCCTGCCACCCCACATGGCAAGCAGTGCTCCGGTTCTGACTTCATCACGCTAGACACTAAATTCGGTAACATCCTTTGCGAGGTGTTTCCGCCCAACCGCTCGCGCACCGCCAATCCCCGCTTGACGCTCGTGAACGCCGACGCCATCCCCGTGGGCTCTTTCCCAAGCTATGGCCGCGTCGGACACTGGGCGCGCAGCTGTTTCAATCCCCTTGTCGCGAGGGGTCCGTACAATGACGACAATATGCTCCGGCCCATGTCTGATAACACTCTGCGAAAGTACGTCCATGTTGTGCACCAGAGCCGCGTGGACGTCTACGACACAATCCGTTTCCTCTCGCTCGACGAGTACGAAGCCGAGGTCGGCGCCGAAGCATTCGCGCTCGAGACCGACCCCACTTTTGCACTGCGTTAGTGCGTCTCTTTGCCCTTTCGCCACTCGGCCACTGGGCCACTCGCCAGTCTTAGAGTTTAATTTCTGCATCTGTGATATCTCGTACTGCACATGTGGTGCGGCGAGCCAGACAGATGCCTTGCAAGACGCTCTAAGCCTCCTGTCCGTGTCAGACGCAACCTAGCACACGTCGCTCGGATTCACTCCTAATGTGTAGCCTGATGTGTCGTTCTTACATGGTCGTCTAGCTCACCGTGCGATAACAGCTAAGGACATGCAGATAGTTGAATGCGTAGACATCAAACCCAAGCCTTCCCTCGGACCCAAACATTCATGAGGCGACGCGTCATCCACCTTTCCTTCATCTCTTCATCTCTCTTCTTCTCTTTTCATCTCTCATCTCACTCGTCACCATGTCGTTCTCAACACCTTCCAATTGTCATTCTCCAACCATGTCCACCTCTCGCGTAGCGCCACCCCTCCTCCCGTCACCTATCTCCATGTCCGAACACCTCCACGAGAGCGAAGAGCGCCCTGCCTCGCAACCAAGCCACCTCTGCTACCTTCCCCACGTCATGGACGCGATCTTTGCGGCCTCATCGCGCAGTTCGCTCCTCGCCCTGCGCGCCGCATCACGCGCCTTCAAAGACCGCGTGGACGCCATCTTCTCCCGCCATGTCCGCTTCGTCTGGGCACGTCCTCAATTTGCTTGCGGAAAACCACCCTGCCACTGCCCCCGTACCCCGCGGCATTCCCCACCAGCACAAGACGGAGGTGATCGATTGCTTGGGTATCTTTTGGGCGACCTTCCTACAGCGAGGCGTGCAATTGCACCGCACCGACACTGCATGCACCCTTCGCACCGACTGTGCCAATGTCAATGTCGTCCTGGACGTCCATCCGACCTCGCTCGTCCTCTTCCCCGACCAGGGCTTTGGACGTGGGAAGCGTCTTGCGCGCCACTTTTACATCAACGGCAAGTTGCCCGATTCCAGTACGGCTCTCAGCAAGATCACAGTGGTCATCGCGAATGCAGTGGACATCGCAGGGACCTATCCGCCCACGGACGACCTGGTATTCATCTTCCAGGACCTTGTCATGGAAGGCAAGAAAGCCCTCGCTCTCAGCTTCTGTGTCTCTGGCGTCCTGTATCAGACCCTTTCGCGTCAGGGCACGGGCACCATTACATTCGTCAATTCCAGTCTTGCCAACGCTATCTATCCGCCCTCATCTTGGGGGTTGAATGAGTCGACAACGGCCCTCGAAGATTACGTGGCGTACTTTATTCGCAAATATAAGCCATCGTTCAAGATCCGGCTCCTGTCGCTCGAGGAATACAAGAACAAGGTCGGGTACGAGAGGTTTATGCTCGAGACGGACCCTTGCTTTCAGCTCAAGTAGCCGTCTGATATAGGAATCATAGTCCTCACCATGCACCGGCTGCCGTGCTGTGGGGTGAGCTGTGAGTAGTGAGTCGCGTCAGGCCCATACAGCATCAATTTGATACCAAAGTAGCTTCTGACAGTCTACAACTTGGCCTTCTCGCGCTCCAAGCGGTCGAAGAACGCAATGCTCTCCTGCTCGGGATGCACCGCGGGGGGGTTGGTGAGCAGCGTCTCCCCAACCCAGTTGTACAGGCCCTTCTTGATGCTCCCCCAAGTCCCGAGCGCGACCTTGGGAAGGTGCTCCTCGGCGAGCTCGATCGCACGGCCCGTAACGGCGCCGGGGTCAGCCACGTTGTCGACGACCTCGTCGATGAGGCCGGCGTCAGCGGCCTCGAGCGCCGTCCAGCGCTTGCCGAGCATGACGTCGCGCAGCGTGTTCGCGTCCGTGATCTTGGAGCGGAGGATAGCCCCGCTGCCCGTCTGCAGCGGCAGGCCGATAAGGAGCTCATTCATGCTAATCCATCCCGACTTGGATCCCATGATCCGGAAGTCACACGCGAGCGCGAGCAGCATGCCGCCAGCGAAGCCTGGGTAAGCGCGGTCACGGCATTACTCACAGTGCCCGGAAATCGCCGCAACCGTCACGAGCGGATAGTTCATCACGCGGATCAAGAGGGGGTTGACGTATTCTAGCGTCAGCGCTGAAGGTGGGTGCGACTCACGCTCCTTGAAGCCTGGGCGCGTGAGGAACGCGGGGATGAAGCCGTTGCTCCAGAACTTGGCGACGTGCGTGTCGAAGATTACCGCGCCCCCGACCTTGTCTTTGTCGGCCTTGCCGGCATTCTTGGTGCGCCACTCGGCCTCGACCTCGTCCAGGCGCTTCGCGAGCAGCGCGAGCATCTCCTTGCTGAGCCGGTTGTCCGGCTTGCGCTCCATGCTCAGCACCCAGACATTCTCTTCGGGGCGCGAGATGGTGACGGAGGACGGCGAGTCCATGACAACGGGGGGGCCGACCATTGTGAGTAGCGTGAGATGAGGCTGTGAGGGAGAGATAGGTGCGCGAGCGTGAGCGAGAAGAGAGCGGGTGGTGCGGCTGGATATATGTAGCCTCCGCGGAGTTCGGTCACTACCATCCGGCATATCTCGGGCTCATACCCGGCCGGTGCGGAGAAAGCCGAGTCGCAATCTCTGGAGATGCCGGAGTGCTTTATCCACTCCGACGCGACAGGTCCATGCATGCAATAGTAGCCGTAAGTCCGCTTTGGCAGCATAACCATCCTGGAGCATGCGGTGATTTCGTCTTGCGCGTCCTGCATCTGCCTGTGACCGGACACGTGGCCGCCGACAGGATCTCGGCTTAAATTTCGTATTGAGGCGGTGGCCCCGCACGACTTGTAGAGGTTGATGAGTTTCGCTCCTCAGCGCTGCCGGTGGGACACACGCCGCCCGTCACGCCCTACACCCATACATGTGGATGCGCGCTGTCCGCTGCGGGGCTGTGCTGGCAGGCTGTTTTCGGTCACGGAGAAGATCCATTCCGCGTCGCTTCCGCACCATACTCCGCTCCGCTGGCAGAAGCCTGCCTCGGTCATGTCGAGCACCGACCGGTGGCAAGATACTCACGTCTCGTATATCTAGCCAAGCAAGTCTCAGCTCCACCAGTCCTTCATACTGACCTTACTTACCCATGATACTCCTCACGCTGCTCGTCGCCCTCATCGTCGTGGGAGCTACGCCCACGCCCCGCGCATTTATCCCGCCCGCCGCCTCCCTCGTCTCCATCCACCCGCGCACACACCCCGACCGCTGCCTCGAAGTGAACGGCGTCGCCAACATGCGCGAGGTGGTCATGTACGTCCTCTTACACAGGCTTACACCAGCGCGCCCTGCTCCGACGCCCCCTCGCAGCAGTGGTACGTGTGGGCCGACGCGCCCACCTACATCCTGAGCAGCGTCAACCATAACCTCTGCCTCGACGCTGGCACGAGTACGTCCTTCCTCCCTGCTCGCCACTCTCCTGCCCATCCTTCGACAACAGCGCTGACCCAGACCCCCTCGCGGGCTACCATCCGTCGAACGGGGCGAATGCCAAGCTCATGCTCTGCCCCTCCGACAACTGGCCGAGCCCGTACGACTCGCCAGACGGGCGCAAGTGGCGCTACAGGGGGCAGTTTACTCAGTTGAACAATCGTGCGTTGCGTGGTGGGTGGTATTGACGGGCAGACTTCTGCCTCGACCTGGCGGATGGGAGTGTCAGCGGCAAAGTCCAGATCTGGGACTGCCACACGACGTGCCACGCCGATTACAACAACCAGGTTAGTTGGAGGGTGGTGGGGCTGACGATAGGTGTGGGACTTCACGTATCACTAGCGCGCAGCTCTAGCAGCGCAGACGAGATGAGCCGCCTAGCCCATCACGGGAAGGGTCTCATCAGTGCTCCCGCACTCGCTGAAATGGACAGTTCGGACTCTGTTGACTCTTTGTATGCATCCTTGTCCAGCACTGCCGCTCGCGCACAATACCATACCCTTCATTCACTCTACAGACGCTCAATTACGGCGCGGGTCACCTCTTCCGTGCCCGCCTGCCCGCCGAGGTCAGCCGTCTTGATGCCGTCCGCGCACGCCGCCTCCGTCGCACGCATGAGCATGCCGGCGGCGCGCTCCTCGCCGAGCCAGCGGAGCATCTCGGCCGCGCTCCAAAACGTGCCGACGGGATTCGCCACGCCCTTGCCGGTAATGTCGAACGCGCTTCCGTGGATCGGCTCAAACATGCTCGGCATGGTGCGGGTGGGGTCGAGGTTGGCCGTGGGCGCGATGCCGATGCTGCCCGCGAGCGCGGCCGCGAGGTCGGACAAGATGTCGGCGTGCAGATTCGTAGCGAGGATCGTGTCCAACGAGCGCGGGTGCAGCGTCATGCGCACCGTCATAGCGTCGACGAGCATATGGTCCATCGTGACGTCCGGGAACTCGGCCGCCACACCCTCAATCACCTCGTCCCACAACACCATGCCATTCCGCATCGCATTGCTCTTCGTGACGTACGTCAGCATCTTACGGGGCCGCGCGCGCGCCGTCTCGAACGCGAAGCGCGCGATCCGCTCGATGCCGGCACGCGTGAAAATTGAGACCTCTGGCATTAGCCCCGCATGCGCACTGACGCACCGGTGCCCATCTCGTGCGGGAGGCCGCGGTGCGAGCGCCCGCCGTGCCCCGCGTACTCGCCCTCGGCGTTCTCGCGGATGATGACCCAGTCCAGGTCGCCGGGCGCGCAGTCGCGCAGCGGGCTCTGCGTGCCCGCCAGAATGCGCGTGGGGCGCACGTTCGCGTACATGTGCGGCTGGCAGATGGCGAGTCGCAGGCCCCAGAGGGAGATGTGGTCGGGGACATCGGGCGCGCCGACGGCGCCGAAGCTGGTGTCAGATATATGCTGGCCAAGTTCTCGCTCCGCGCCGGTGATTGCCTTCGCTCGTTGAACTCACAAGATCGCGTCGTGCTGCTTCAGAATCTCGATGTAATCCTTCGGGACGTAGGAGCCCGTGCGCTTGTACCGGTCCGAGCTCCAGTCGAGCTCGGTGAAGTCGAGGGAAAATCCGGCCTTCTTTGCAACAGCCTTGAGGACGGCGACACCCGCCGAGATGACTTCGGGGCCGATGCCGTCGCCGCCGATCTGGGCGATCTTGTAGGACTCTGGGTGTCAGTGAGGTGGACGCCGAGGGGGCAAGGGTAAGACATCCAATGATTTCGGTAGCATGGAGGGAGGTATCGGCTCGGCGAAGATGGGTCGGAGTTACTCACTGGGAGAGTTGTCGAGAGCAACTGGCGCCATTGTATTGTTGTGGGTGTTGTTGTGTGTGTTGACTTGCGTGTTGTTGGTGAGGAGAGGAGGCGTCGAGTTCGTCATGTTATATCCTTGAGCTCAGCGCTCGCTTAGCAGCCTCAAAGATATTGAGCTTGCGGAAAGAACGAAGCATGCAGCGGGCATCATCGTTGCGTGGCTTCAGAAGAGCGTTGACGGGGAGGGAGTAACCTCGCTCCGCACGGCCAGACCGGGACGGAGCAAAGTGACTCCGTTCCGAACATCCCTAAGTCCACCACTTTTGCCCACTTCTCCTCTCCGCCACCTACCACTCCGCTATCGCCACTGCACTCACACGCCGCTCGCAAGTCAGAAGATGCCAAGACAAGTAAACGCGGAGCGGAGCAACTCCGGATGAGGCCTCTTTGGAGCACTACGCTACACTCGTGAACATGGGCGTTCGTCAACCCATATAGTGCGCCGCGGAGCGCTACCAAGACCCCACGGCTCCCCGCTCTTCACAATGTCCATCGATCTCAAGCGCACAGCCTCTCACGACGAGAAGCTTCAAGTCGACCTCCGCACTGAGGTGGAGCAGTGGGTCGACGGCCTCACCGACGACGAGTTTGCCGTCGAGCAGCGCAAGCTCCTGCGCAAGGTATGCCTTCCTTCACCCAAGCTCACAGCTCACGGCAGATCGACACGCGCCTCCTGCCCACTCTCTTCGTTCTCCTCATTCTCAACTACCTCGACCGTAACGCGCTCGCCGCGGCGCGCGTCCAAGGCCTCGAGGCCGACCTCGGACTGCAGGGCAACCAGTTCAATATTGCCATCTCCATCCTCTTCGTCGGCTATATTCTTGGCCAGGTACGCCGTTCCTCATGCTCCGCTCACGCCAGATTCCCTCCAACCTTATCCTCAGCCGCGTCCGACCCTCGATCTACCTCTCCCTCTTCGTCGCGCTCTGGGGCATCGTGTCGACGTGCACGGCCGCTGCACAGAACTTCACCCACCTCGTCGTCATCCGCTTCTTCCTCGGCGTCACCGAGTCGCCCTACTTCCCGGGCGCCCTCTTCCTTCTCTCGTCGTGGTACACGAAGCGCGAGCTCGCATTCCGCACATCGGTGCTGTACACTGCGTCGCTGCTGTCGGGCGCGTTCGGTGGGCTCATCGCGGCCGGCGTTCAGAGTGGAATGGACGGCGTGCGCGGTCTCGCGTCTTGGCGCTGGCTCTTCATCCTTGAGGGCGGAATCACCATCTTCGTAGCTGTCATCTCAGCCTTCGTTTTGCCAGACTACCCCGGGACGACCCGCTGGCTCAGCGACAAAGAGAAGGCGCTGGCCGTCGCGCGCCTGCAGCGCGACACGGGCGTCGTCGATGCTGAGACTATGAGCCTCTTCCAGTCCTTCCTCGCCGCCGCGACAGACTACAAGCTCTGGATACTCGCCCTCGTCATCATCACCAAGACCACGGCTGGCGCCGTCACGCAGTTCATTCCGACCGTCGTAAACACGTTCGGCATGGACAAGGTCCTCACGTAAGCACCCACTTTAGTTGTTCTCACATCAGCCTCGTCCTCACGGCCCCGCCGTACCTCTTCGCAGCCGCTCTGTCCCTCTGGATCAGCTGGAGCTCCGACCGCCGCCCGGAGCGCTGCTTCCACCTCCTTACCCCGCTTCTCTTCGGCATGGTCGGCTTCGTCGTGGCTGCCACGACGCGCGGCACCGCGCCACGGTACGTCTCTCTCTTCCTCATGGTAGGAGGCATGTTCGGGAGCTACAACGTCGCGCTCGCGTGGATCTCGAGCACTTTCGCACGCCCCCGCGCCAAGCGTGCCGCCGCGTACGCGACGATCAACAGTCTCGGCAACATCGCCCAGATCTGGTCGCCGTACCTCTACGACAAGAAATATGGACCCAAGTATACACTCGCGTTCAGCGTGAACGCGTGCATGGCGGCTGCGAGCGTGGCGTTCTGCCTGCTCTTGCGGTTCTGCCTCGCGCGCGAAAACAGGAAGATGGAGGCGCTGGAGGAAGACCCCGAGGCGGAGAAGCGCATCCGGTATATTCTCTAAGGAGAGTGCCGAGTACATGTGGGGAACGAGGAGATCAGAAGAATGCATGAGTAGGCTAAACTGTCGAGCCTTCGAGCTGTCGAGGCGACGCGAGGAGAGCAGTCACGCGCGTGTCTCGGGGGGGGGCATGTGATCGTCAAGCTCTGTGGAGCCATATGGTGGAGACCAGGGCGCGTCTAATGAGATCCACGCGGTATGGGGCTGCGTTCAGTTCAGTGGCGCGGGTGGTCATGCCAGACGGCAAGGATCAAGGAGCAAGTACCGGGCCGTGTGCAAGCGGCCTCACCTATAGCTGACATGCGGATGCTGTCGACAACGCGCAAGTTGGTTCCACCGACCGGAGCCACGTTTCCGACCTACTTGCCACCCAACTGCGGCCTCCGTCACCGCTCCGCCCGAAGACCCGAACGCCCGAAGGAACGGTCAAGATGGAGCGCCAGGCCTGCGCTGTACAACCCCGGGTCGGAGGGATGCGCGGCCGGACCACGCACGCCGAGGAATGCTGCGCGGCGTGAGAATGCCAGCCTGTATTCTCGCGCGTCGTCTTGGCTATGTATATGACAGCGCTGCGCTGTTCCGCACCAGCAACATCACCCACACAATCAGAAAGAAACTCACCTCACCAACCTCATCAACCCCATCTCCACTCACCCACCCACACCGCCATGGAGATAACACCCATCCGCCCACCAGCCCAGCGCATGCCGCCATACTGCCCACTACGCCCCCGATCTACCACCGACAGTCTCGCGCCCAAGCGCGCGGGGCCCGATCCAGGCGAGACACTCGACCCCGACCCAGTGGGCCTCGTCAAGCGCGGCTGGCTCGCCGTCAAGCGCATGCGGAGGCGAGTAGTGCCGTAGATCTGGCGGCCGATGTATGGGGTGCGAGCAGGAGAGCGCCGGGCGGGGATCCTCGGCACGGAGAGTCGGATTCCCCGGATTCCCGCTGCCGGCGGGATTGAGGAGATCTCGAGAGAGAGGGTGTCGTGATAGCGGGCTCGTGCGGAGGGCAAACGAGGGATAGACTGGAAGCTGGAGGGATGTTGGGATGGAGGGCGAGCGAAGAGGGCGGGAGGGCGGGAGTGTTATCTAGAAGGCGGGCGTCACGGTTCTCGTTAGGAGACTGCAGTCACTCGGGCACGAGACGCTCTGCCGGTACAGTGCTCTTAGCATGCTCAGCAGTTGTTCGAGAAGAGGTACGGCACCAACTAGTAGCTAAAATATCGCAGCCAGCAGCGAGCAGCCAGCAGACCATTGATAATGCCGCCGCCAAAAGACGCTTTCGCACTGCCTCTATATCTCGCAGCCTCGCAGCCGTCAGCCCTCGCTCGCTCCATGTCTTATCGCCACTGGTGCCTGAATAAACGCCACCACCATTCTTATCGTGTTGCGCTCACAAACATTCGAGTCATGCTGTGTTCGCAGCAGTCGACGACGAGTCGCTTACTAGAGTAGATCTGCATGCTCCGTGGATTGCGCCGGATCTGTAGCAGCGGCGGTAACCAGCCCTCCGAGTCGAGAGCGTTATATCAAGAGGCTGGACGTCACGATCCTGTCCATCCGTCTCGCTCGCCACTGAGGTCGTCGCCTCTTGAACTCCCCTTTCACCCTCCCCCTCGTCTCATCCCCACTAGCCATGTCTACCACGTCGTCTGGTACGTCGACGCCGTCGAGCGCTTCAACCTCGTCTACCGACCTCCCTTCGCTCTCTGCCGCGTCGCTCAACACCCTCGGCCTCGAGCTCGGTGTAGCTCCCAAGGTCAGGGCCGCTCTCGTCCCCGCCGCGTTCACAGGCGCCGCGCCCTCGCCCACCCCCCCGCCCGCTGCGCCCGCGCCCAGCGCGTCCCCGACGCCCACCCTCGTCGCCCCCGGCTACATCACCCCCGAGCGCATATCGAGCCCGCGCGGCAGCACCGGCGCGCTGTGGGGCAACGTTGCCTGGGAGCGCGCATTCAGCTCGCCGCGTGCATAAGGCATCGTATGAGCATAGTAAGTCAGTCGCATGCTCGTATCGGATCGACCTCGATTGCACAACGTCATGCGGCCGTGTTTAGACATGGAATGTGTTGGAATGTGGCTAGGCAGGAAGAGAAGCCCGGCGGCATCCCAGGCACTGGCGAGGTCACATGCTGATGCCAGCACGCTAGACGACCCGAGGACAATGAACAATCGAGGTGGGCCAGTGGGGGACGGCGGAGAGGCGGACAGTCGAGAATCGAGCAAGCGAGAAAGGCGGGGGAGCTGCGTCATTTCCTGTTGTATGCACCTAATTTAGCTGTCAGCTGTTCTCACGTCCCGTGGCTGGTATCGCTGCGCAGGCGCATGCCATAGGTTCTCGTCAGCGAGGCCGTTAGTGATCGTGACTCGTGACCTCGCAAGTGGGGCAAGAGCCGGGTTCCAGACCTTGTCAGTGGCGGCTCGAGATACATATACCATGCACTCGCAGCGTGCCCCTCCTCTTCTCAACACCACCATGCCGATCCACGAAACGACCGCCGACCAAATGACCACGCCCGTCGCACAGCCGCGCCGCGGCTCGCTCGCCGCGATGAAGGAGAAGCTGCTGGGCAGCGAGTCGCCGCGCGCCGACAAGCCCGCGGCGCCGACGACCGCGCCGGCGCCCTCGAGCCCCACGGGCCGCCGCTCAAGCTTCGCCGTCATGCACGACAAGCTCACGTTCTACAACGAAGCGCACAAAGGCCCGCCCCCGAAGGTGAATGTGCGCGAGGCGACCGCCGACGAGCTCCTCAACGCCCAGCAGCACGGGCGCCGCAGCAGCTTTGCGCGCATGCAGGAGATGATAGGCGGCCGGAAGTGAGTGGGGATCTAGTAGGATAGGGCATAGATCTGAGATGCAACCGATGCCGATCTATTACCCTGTCTCGCTGCTCATCTGTCATGCTGTCAGCTGACCGCAGCGACGAGCGGCGCAAGAGCCAGGAGCGGCGGTCGGGCGAGCACCGCCGCTTGAGTGGTGGGGCGCGCGCGAACCCCGCCCACCCCGACCCGGGGATGGTGCACCACGAGCAGCCACGACACGAGCATCTGCGCACGCACAAGGATAACGAGGGGCTCGGCGAGCACAGCCAGCAGGGGAACACCTCGGACATCGTCAACCCCGACGGCACACCCAAGCGGCGCGACTCCAACTCGGGCGTGACCGAGGGCACGTTTGTGGGCCAGCTCGGCCGCCGCCTAAGTGCGTCGCTCGACCGCGCCATGCATCCGCCCAAGTGAGCCAAGCCAAGCCCCCAGACATGTCAGTGGTGGCCATATACCGGTGCCGGTTGGGCAGTCTGACGGCAGGGATACGAAGCACCACGGCCCACACCCGGGCGCTATGCGTGAGGCGTACGATGCCGCGTAGGAGATATGGGACGAAGGAAGAACCGAAATGGGAATGGCGGGATTAATGCAGGCTATACGCATGACTGATGCAAGCTGAGCTACTTATACAGGCGTCATGTGAAGAAGAGATGTGCAGGACGGAAGATGCAGTGATCAAGAGCCCAATGTCGTGTCGTTACCTTGTCGTCGTGCGATGTCCGTGTCCGTGTCGGTGGAGCGGGGTGGATAGCTTACTGCCTCATTACCCGTCTCTTGGCTTCGCCTGAAAGAACGATGTAATCTTGGCCTGGCCGTCGGCGGGTGCGGCGGGCTTGTCTTGCTTCGGCTTGCTGGCCTCTCTGTCGCCCGAGCCGGGCACAACTCTCCGTGAGGGTCCTTCACCTCCGCCAGTAGTCTGAGAAGGAGTGTCAGGTTTTGAAGGGCTGCTGCTCCGTCGGCGTCCGTTGGTGGGCGGAGGAGGCGCGGTGCCAGTAAACTCCTTCAGGAAATGGCGCATGACATCCTGCCCCTTCGACCGGTCGTAGATCGCGAACACGGCCGCGTCGAAGCGCCCATGGAATGCGCCTCCGGGCATGAGGAGGTCGTGGAACACGCGCGCGACCTCAGCGGGCTCATTTCGGAACACGCCACATCCCCATGCGCCGAGCACGAGCGTGCGCGCGCCATGGTGCGCACAGAGGGCGAGGATGCGGGCGGCGCGCTCGCGCAGAATCTGCGACACTTGGGGCAGGAGGTGCGGGTGGTTCTTCGCGAGGGCGCCGGCGTTTGGCGCAGCAGCGGTGATAAAGTCTACTGTGTATGGCGCGGGGAGGAGGGCGCCGGCCGCGTCGCGGAACACGGGCACGGCGGGCGAGTAGACCATGCGGTGCGAGTAGCGGCCGTCGCTCTTCTGGTGTGGAGCGTAGAAGTCGGGGGCTTGTAGCAGCGTCGTGTAGAGCGCGGAGGAGCGGCACACGTCCTCCTCCTGGGCTGTCGCGCCGTTTATGTACCCGCCGCCCGGGTTGCGTGCGCTGGCGAAGTTGAGGACGGCGATGCGCGGCGCGCCGAGCGCGTGTAGCCGCGCGGCGGCGGCGGAGGAGGACTCGGCTGTCACGCTCAGCGTCGTGGGGAGGCTGGGGGAGGGCGCGGAAGTGGCCGCGGACAGCAGGCGATCGGTGGCGGAGACGTCATATGAGGTCACGGCGTGCTTGGCGGCGGCGACGAGGCTGGTGAGGTCGACGGCGCGCCCGGTGGTCGGGGAGGGGTACCAGCCCTGCTTGATGAACGCCTCGTTCTGGGAGGAGAATGCTTTGTTAGCTGTTCTTGACATGATGGGAGGAGGTGATGGGAGGGAGAGAGTGGAAGAAAGATGGATAGTCGAGTATTTCAGTTGGAGGCGAGATGGATCGAGTGATCGAGTGGATGAAGCGTGACGCGTCTCATTCCGCGCCGGATCCGAACGTGACCGGTATCGCCTTGTGAGCATCGCCTCTTCTTGTCTCTCTGCACCTCGAGAGTACAGTATGTTGAATTGCTGTCGAGTCGGAAACGACTCGGACGGCTCAGTTCAGCGTAGAGGCTGCTCTCTTAATGTCGTTATACTCATCATGCATGCTGTTGTGTCAAACTACATCCGGCTAAAGCCGGCTATGCCCCTCCTCCCCACTCTTCGGGTCAACAATCTCCCTCTCCTTGTTGAACGTCACCGTGAGCGTCTCGCGCTGCGGTCTCACGTCCCCAAACACCTCGTACGTCGGCATATACCGGTCGACGAACTTGCGCACCTGCTCGTCGCTCATCCCCCGGCCCCCGTTCTTCTCCTTCATCCGATGTTCCTGCTCCGTGCGCCACTCGTACACAAACGCAAAGTCGAGCGGGGTGACGCACACATGCGCATCAAAGAAGCCGCCTATGCGCACCTCAACCTCAGCGAGGTTCTTGTTCAGCGTCTGGATAGCCTCGAAGTCGTGAGTGCTCGCCGTCGCGCCGCGCGACCAGCGCTTACGCGCCTCCGCTTCTGGAAGCGGGCCGTAGCCTAGCGACCAGCCTTCAAGCACAAACACGTCGAGCTTGTCTTTCAGGGGAACAAGTGGGCCCCGGTCTCCTTCGCCGCCGTGCAGAGACTTGTCGAATGTAGGGAGGAAGAGCGGGTTGCACCGCGATGGGGGACGTGCGCGTAGGGAGCGGAGGACGTCGGCAAGGAGCGGGAGGTCGTGCGTACCCGGCGGACCTCGGCCCTGCAGCATTGCATTGTTGGGGTGGGCGGCGGCAACGGCTTTGAGGCCTGCGTGGGTGAGGTAGAAGTCTGGTGTCAGTGTAGGTTATGTGGGCAGCAGGGCTGGATAACAGCAACAGACAGATTCTGGGCGATCATGGGTGGGACCGGACATGGCCCACGCATGGAGTCAACCATGAAAAGGCAACAACCTCTCTTTTGGCCATCTCCCATTCGTGAGGTAGTTCAAGAACACAGTCGATGGTTCACGCCAAACCCTATCCCCCACCCGCCTGACTCACCATCCATCGATGCGACGGCGCACTTGATACCCTGGTCACCCAAGACGTTAACAAGCTCGGCCGCGAGCGTGCTCTTGCCTGCTGTCAGCTCTCGCGCGCTTGTATCCCTCCCCCCTTCCGCGCTTCCCACAAGCCGGTCGACCCACCACATCCTTGTGGCCCTTGCATGGACACCAGCAGCGGCCTATCCTCCTTGAGCGCCTTGCGCTGCGCGGTGATGAAGGCGGCAATGCGCTCAGCCTTGTACCTGATATGCTGGGCGACCGTCATTCTGCGGGATATTGGGCTCATGGCGGCAGCGATGTGAGCGATGTGAGGTTTAAGAGGGCGGAGGGGTGCAGACGGTGAGGAGGAGTAGGATGAGGAAGTGGGCTGAGTGCGGGGAGGTGGAGGGCGGAGCGGAGGCGTATGGCAAGGCGGAATCAAGTCACTCCGCTTCGGACCACCCTACCTCCGGCTGAAAGCCTCTTCCTCCCTTTGCACCGTCATCCATCCTCCGCACACTCCCACTCCGCACCCTCATGGACACCCAGTCATTCGAACGAGGCCGCTTCTACGTCTCTCCGGTGAGCTCCTGAGGCAATTGCACGTAGCTCATGTGCCCATTCTAACCGCAGAACGGCTACCCCCGCTTCGCTGGCTCCGCTTCTGGCGTCTACCTTGCTGATACTGTGCGAGCACAGGCGGACGCAGGCGCGCCCGCCATCGAGACAGCCTTCACATCCCGCGCAGCCGATGAACCCGACGAGACCGACATCTACCAGCACTTTAGCCTGCGCGCGTCCGATCTCCTCGCCACCGGATTGCGAGCGGCCCTCGAGAACTACTTCGAGGCATGGCACCCGCTCTTCCCCTTCCTCGACGGCGCATATATTCTCTCGGCGTTCGAGAGCGGCGTATTGTCTGCTATGGAAGGCTCTGAAAGTCCCGTCTTTTCCCGCTCCCATGCCGAGAGCTTGGCTTTGACTGCTGTCTTCAAGAGCATCGTCGCGATCGGCGACACAGATGGGGCTGTGACACGCGCTGGTTTTCCTCGCCTTAGCTCGACAAGTCAGGCCACAATGCTCGCACACCTTGTGCTTGGTGCATGTCAGGGCGGCAGCATCAGCGACCTCCTCGCAATACAGGCTCTCGTCGCACTTATGCTGTTCATGTACCTAACCCGTCGCCTTCGCCCAGCCATGCACCTCAGCGGGACCGTCACTAGTGAGCTCCTCTCTTACTTGTCATGGCCCCACTCCAAATCTACTGCCTTCTAACACGCAGAGCTCGCCTTCGAGGCCGGTCTTCACCGCTGCCCTGACCGCTATCCCGGAACCTTCGCGTCTGCGACCGAGCGCGAGATGCGCAAACGCGTATTCTGGTCCCTGTACACCCTCGATCGACTGCTCACGGCCGAGTTCGGAGTGCCTATTATGTTACACGACACGGACGTCGACACATGCGTTCCAGGAGGAAGCGAGCGGCATCCACTCTGTCCACCGAGCCCTGAGGATCACCCAGCACGAGACGACAAGGACTCCCCAGACGACAGGCGGAAACGGCGACGAGTCACCGCATCGCCTCATGGTCCGGGAAGATCAACCTCGCCGCAAATCGAAGCCGCTAATACACCATCTGGACTGAGTCATCAACCACCAGAGCCGCAGAGGCAACGTCTTCTCCCAGCGTTCTCACTGGTTGGTATCTCAAGGCTCATGGGCCAAGCCATGGAAGCGTTCAACAAGAGTCTGCGCTACCGCTCGATACAAGGTACGTCTGCCTCCCCCTATTCGCTTGGTTCTGTTTCCAGCTGACCTTAGCTCAAGAGACGCTCCAACTCCGCACGGAGCTTGAGCGCTGGTGGAACGACATCGGTTTCGACGATGACGGAGAGGCCACTCCCGATGCTGACGACGCCCGCTCGCCGTACAAAACCCTCTTCATCTGCCTGTACAGGCAGCAGGTTATTGCGCTGTCGCGCCCAGCTCTCTCCCTTGCCCCGACGGCTCTCCAACACACCTACGCGCTAGAGACGTGTGTTGCGAGCGCGCGTGTGATTCTGCGCACGCTCTCCCGCGAGTTCGATGGGCCGCGACGTAAAGCCGCCGATTGCTGTGGACTAGCAGGCAGGACGGAGAGCCTCATGTGGCCCGGCTACGTCGACATGGTATTCTTTGCCGCGCTCATCCTTGTGTACGCCGCCAAGCGCGAGGAGCGGGATTCGGTTACGTGAGCTCTCCTCTCCACCGTAGTACTGACGGCAGGATACAGCGGCTCAAGAGTGACCTGCGTCGGGCGGTAAGGGTTATCGAGATTCTGGGGAAGCATTGGAACATCTCATCATTCGTCATGGCCGTGCGTGCCTTCCTTGATCCTCCCGTGAGTGTCGCGCGGGTTGTGCATTCGGACGCCTTCGAATGCTACAGGCAAGCCCTGTTCTCGAGGCGGATGAACTAGAACTTCGCTGATGGCAGAAAGACGCGTCGGCCACCGGCGGTGAGGAGCTTCTCGACACGTTTCTCTTCGACTTTGATTCGTTTGAGCTCAACTGGGCCGTGCACCAAAGCTTGCCCCCGAGTCCGAAGTAGGGTGGTGCCCTCCTCCTTTGCGACGCCTTCTCGCCTCAGGATGTTAGCGACTCGTCCGTCAAGCGACAAGCCCTCGACGCGGCGCCGCCTAATGATGCGCTCCGTGAAATGATACCATCAAGCCGCCCCAATGCCTCGTCCCCACCCGTGCCTCATGGCGTGGGGCTACAGAGCGGGTGGTTGTGTGGACCAAGGTGGAGGGTATAAGGAGCGCTGCGCAGTTGTCCTACCTTGTTGAGTATCTACAACCCTGCACTCGTCTTTGGTTCTTCCTCCCTCTTCATTCATCTTCACTCCTCCCCATCCACTTCATTCCTCCCAGTCCTCTCTTTCTCTCCTCCTTTCTCCTGTCAAGCGCATCCTATTGTCACCGCTCCTCTCGCTCGCTCAGTGCTCTGTGGCCCCGTCGTCTTACATCTCTCTTCCATCACAGCCCCCTTCACTGTCCCGTCAGTCAACGAGCCACCGGCGCACGGTAGTCACCAAACCCTCCTAGTCCTCTAGGCCTTTCCTATTCCAATCTCCACGATCGGTTAGTACAGCGCCGTTGCCCCCGCTAATAGCAGAACGCCGTCATGCAGGCCGCCGATGCCCGTGCTGCGGATTCAGACGACCCCGACGCTGTCGCTTCACTCAGCGGTACCGTGTGCGATCGCGTTTCCACTACTACCCCCGACCCCACCGCTCGCCCTGCCGTTGTCTTTCCTTCGCCAAATAGATCCAACCGCTTAGCTTTGACCTCTTCTCAATCGCGCCCCTCTTCGTCGGCTCTTGTTCTGCCCATCGGCGCAAGTCTGTCTCAAGACACTGTGGCTGTCGTCCAGGCCATGGAGGGCCTTCTTTCGCATGAGCTCGACCACACACGGCGAGCTATTGAGCAAGACTCGCCATTCGACTCCTCGTCCACGCTGTTCAACACGGACAACTCCACGATGGCTCCGCGCAAGTTCTCGTTCGACCCGTCCGCCTTCCCTCATCTCTTCGATCGTATCATCTCTGACCTCGAGCTGCAGCATCTCGTTTCCCTCCGCAATGCGTGCCGCTTTCTAAGGAAGTACCTCGAGCCCTTTCTCGTTCGCCACATCGTGCTTGTCTTCGATCCAGCCACAAGAAAGGTCCACCCAAGCTGGCCGTTGGAGAGGTCTCCCTTGGACCCCACGAAGAACACCTGGCGAGCCGCCCCGGTCACCGACGCTGCGAAGATCATCGATTTGTGTGAACGCTTTGTTTCATCCCGAATGCGCCGCGGCACTGCTTACCCGACCGAGCTTGCCACCCTCACTGATGTCGACATGATCCGCGACTTCACCGGGATCGTGACACTCCGCAGGGCATCCCCATGGCCACTAACGAGCCCCTTGCCACCGACGCGCGAATGGGTTGCATGGATACGAGTCCTGTGTTCTAGTCTCTGGGATCCCAACTTCGTTAACGTGTCGGAACATGTCGTCCTCAACTTGGGCTGGGGAGTTGAGTATCATAGGGATGGCGGGCGCCCTTCCCGTCCAGTCAACGTGACTATCGCCTTCCCCGGGCCTTGGTGTTGTGCCAAACACGGACTCCAGTTCGAGAAGCATACTCGTCAGTGTCTGCTATGCTCGACCACCGAGCGGTGCGTGGTCAACCCTCGCCAAGATCCATGCACACCCGGCCCGAGTTCGGCTTATCAGGACCCGTTGCTCGTCAACTTGGCAACACTCATTCGCCGATATATACATCGAAACCCTCTCATCAACGGAGAGCCCGCCTTAATCACCTTGGTCAACTTTGACAAGTTTGCTGAGACCATCATCCCTCATGTTTCAGCCAGGAACACGAAGGAGTGTTTCATCGGGATGGTCCGCTTTGATTTCTCAAGGTTCGCCGACTCTTTTCGACCTTCTCGCGAGAGTATCTCGCGCCACCTCTTATTCCGAAGGCTCGACAAGTACAGGTCGATAATCGGCCCCGAGAAATTCCGCCTTCGACACGAGGTTCCGAGTTACTGCCCAATAGAGGTCGCCGGAGGATACTGGAGGACTTACTAGCAGTTGTAGACAAGCGGGATTGGTAAGGAGTACGGGGGAGTGGAGTGCAGCCTCTACAGACTTGTGTGACAATGTGACACCCGCAAGGTACATACAGTAACTCAGCCGTCCCTCCAGGACACACGTCCGTCCAGAGACTGACATTGACTCTTTACTGCTCTTATTGAAAGCAACGCTATTACCCGAGCAGCTAACAAAGCAATTGCCCCAGGCCATCTGCACAATGAATCGATATTATCCATGAGTGTTGTCTCGCCAGTCAGTTCCCTGCCGCCTCTCGACGAACGGACCAGAAGCACGACCCCAATTGTTCCTGTTAGACCCCACAGTTTTGTAGGTGCCGCTGCATGACGAAGATGGCACACGGCTCTGCACACCGCGCCACAGCTCTGCCCCGGGCCGGGGCACCTCATCCCATACTTGAAGACCGCGTGCTACTAAGATTGATATGCTCCTCTTCCACTAACAACTGCCAGCTTCCAGCAGGACCTCTCTACGCTCTGTTGCGGTCTGTTTCGATCAGGCCATACTTCGGATTACTTTAAGCACTCCCACTCCATCTGTGTGTCGCCTCATCAACGGAGTTCATCCTTGCTGCCACGATACTTTGGATAGAACAACCGAGCGCGGATGCTGGGTGGCTGGTCGGAGTTTAAGCGGAACTCCACCAATTCGACCAACCGCTCACTATCTCGGCCAATATTTTGCCATCGCCCCCCTTGACCATAGCTCCTTCGTGCAAGCTTTATCTATCAACCACTTCGTTTCAACTTGAGTGAGCGCCTCCCTTTCCCGTTCCAAGCGAAACAGCATGCGGTGTTGACATCGCCGAGGGTGTTCTGCTCTCACCCCCCATCTGATGCCAAGCATCGGCAAACTCAGCAACGGACCCTGAAATAGGGTCTGTTGTTGACACTGGCCCCACGACGCCGAGAGCGCTTCTGCCAGCCCGTCCACGACGAGTCTCCCTCCTAGAGTGACGCGGTCCCTCTCATCTCCGTCCCGCAGGTCCGTCCCCTCTCTATATCCCAGGGCGAAAATTATTCCTGACGCCGGCGCGCCGTCGCCGAGCCGCGCGCGAGCATATTAACCCACCTCTCACGTCGTCTGACTCCCAACCTCGCCAACACTTTGATGCGTCCGTCGGCCCCCGCCCCCGCCTACCACCCAGTATCGCCTGCCCCCCGCACAGTCGTCCTCGTCCGCAATGCTCGCCACCGTACCCCGCCCCGCTCTGGCGCCTGAGCCGGCGCTCTCAAGCTCCCCCGAAGTGGGACTGAGCGCCGCTGCGCTTGCGGCGCTTTCGCAGTTCATGGTTGAGTCGCAGGCGCTCGAAGAGATGGCGGCGGCGTACGCCGCCGCCGATGAGCTCGCAGCGGCGGAAGCCAAGGGCGACAAGCCCTGGTCGATGGAGGCGTTCCCCGAGCAGTGGGGCATGAGCCAGTTCTGGAACGACGAGGAGACAGCGCGCCGCCTGGCGCGCGAGTGCGTCGCCCAAGCGAACGGCGGCACGATCGTGCTCATCTCGAGCCCCAGCGTCTTCCTCATGCTCAAGGTGAGCCTCTCCTCTATCCGTTGCTGACGGCAGAAAATGGCTGTTCCCAACCCCCTCCTCCTGCTGGAATACGACACGCGCTTCGCCGTCTTCCCCGAGTTCCGTGCGTACGACTACGCGCGCCCCCTCGCCCACCTGCCCGACGTGCAGGCCGCCGTGGTCCTCGTCGACCCGCCATACGTCAACGACGAGTGTTTCTCCAAGACGGCCGAGACGGCGCGCGCGCTCGCGGGCCCCGACACCAAGTTCATCGCGTGCTCGGGCTGGGTGGTGCGCGAGTGTGTTGCGCAGACCCTCGGCGCGCGCATGGCCAACTTCCGCCCAGGACATGCCGGGGGTCTCGCGACGCCTTTCCGTGCATACGTCAACTACGAGAGCAAGAACCCCGCGTTCCAGTACGACCCCGACCCCGAGGACGGGGACAACGACGGCACGGCCTTTGCGGGGGCCGGCGGCGTCGGCGTCGATGCGTGATGCTGCACAGATAGACCAGATAGAGCCTAGATCTAGAGGATGACACCTTGTATCAAAGTTGAGCATTTCCGCACAAAAAAAAAACGGAACATCTATGTTTTTCCTGTTGGCCGTGTTTAGCCTAAGTCTAAAGTGATCGGCGGGCGCTCAGGCACATCAGAATGTGCGCCGCGGCCGTCGCCGAGATAGATTGGCGCTTAGATAGACGCGTGTGGCGGTGTCAGATACATTCCTCTCCTGTCTCCTTCGCGGAGGCCTGCCAGCGGGCCTGATACATGGAACTAGGGGCACGGTAAGTGTATTGACACCTGAATAGCAGGGAGCGGCGGCCTTCACAGACGACGACAGCACGCGAAAAGGCAGTCTTCCCGGGTGATACCGGCCCCTAAATCGCTATGGCGTATTGGGAAAGCCAACGCGCTCAGTAGAAATACATCTGCTCAGAAGAAAGCTCCATTCTGACCGGCTGCAAGCACGAGGTGCCGCAGGACATACCATACCCTCGTCTCCTATCTTGAAATGCCCCCAGGCTGCCAATTGTAGCCGCTCCGCTCAAGCGGGGAACAACGCTCCGAAAATGCCGCCTGCAAACGTCGTCACCGCGGTGTACACCAACACCGCGCCCTGCAATTAGCACCCGTCGCTTCCTCAAGCTGAACGCACAAAGTTCGTACCATACGCCCCCGCCGCTCCCTTGAACGCATCCACCTTGAGGAGCTTGCTGCTAATGGGTCCCGCGGTGACGTTCCCCACGCCACGCAAGCTGGCGAAAATGCTGAACACGAGCCCGGGGAGCGTAGGATCGTCCCGGCAGATGGGAGTGATAATGCGGCTCCAGATGCCTGGCATGCTGAGCGCCGTAAGACCCCAAATGAGGGCGAAGACGACGAGTGGGCCGGACGTTGTCCCGAAACCCCAAGGAAGAAGGACGCCAATCGCACCGCCGAAACACACGATCATGATCATGACCTTGGTCGGGAGGCGGTCAGACACCCAGCCCAAGACAAGGTTGCCGGGGACCGACGCGGCTGGGGTCAGGTAGTTCACCGGGACACACACCGTTCATGATGGCCACGAGGGCGACGCCACCAGGCTTGTCCGCGCCGACCTTGTCCGCAAAGGCTGGGGTGAGCGGTGCCGGTCGTGTAGCTTACTGGGGATCCACAGGGTGGGGTTAAAGTTACCCAGGCTGGAGAGGAAGATAACGAGGAAGCCGCACGCGAACGTCCATGTCGCGAGCAGGCGCCACTCGACCTTGGGGCGGCGTCGGATGACCGCGCCGCCCAGCGGCACGCGGCGTCGGATGAAAATGAGTGAGACGGCATTGAGCGCCGCATAGCCCACGCCGAACGCGATCATCGTCGCCTTGTACCCAAAGCGCTTAAGGAGGCCGTCGAGCACGAAGGGGAAGACAGTGCCGCCGACCCCCGTCCCCGCGAACATGATGCCGGTCGCGAGGCCCCGCTTCTCGTAGAACCACTCGTAGACTAGGGTCGCGCACGGGAGGTAGAGAGCTGCCGTCAGCTGGGCAGATGTGATGCTCACCCGCTGAGAACGGAAAGAGGACACCAATTGTCCCAATAAGCTGCGTGGGGCTGTTGGCAAATGCCGCGCCTATCAGCCCTGCCGTGGAGACGACCAGCCCAAGGATCTGCACGCCCTTGCTCCATTGTGGGAAGCTTGTGAGCAGTCTCCCGTCAGCACCGCCGGCAGCGCACTCACGGCCCGAAGAACCCGACGCCGAGATAGGACAACCCGTTCATGAGCGCACTCGCGACCGTGACCGTGTCGTGTTGCCCCGGAAACAGCTCCTCGGCCCAGTAGTGCTCGAGCACGCCCACAGCGTTCAGGAGGCCCCACACCGTCGTCTCAATCACCGTCCCGGCGATGAGGAAGAGCCAAGCCTCGCGTCCGCTGTCGGCCTGTGCCAGCGGCGTCACCTCGCGGTCCGTTACGGGCGAGGACGGCGGCTCGATCTCGTCCCGTGCGGCCTTGGGTGTCGACCGCCCGCTCTCCTCGACCGGCGTCTGGGGTATCGAGGGGCCCGGCGCTGAGGCGTAGGGCGACTCGCTAAGGGACGGAAGATCGGATAGGCCGAGCCTTTCGAGGGCGATGTCGGCGCTCATTTTCGAGGAAAGATGTGGAGAGTGAGCGTGTCGGCCGCGATAGACGAGCAGCCCGAAAAGATCGCGAGTCGGTCGAGCCGGCCCGCCTGCCGGAAGAGGTGGGCATAAAACGCCTGCAGCCTGCTGACGTCATGGAGTCGACAAATCACTCCACCCCAATCTTTCAATCCAGTCGCGGAAAGCGTTGAAACCGTTGAAACGAGCAAGTCGGGCTCATTATGCATTCGGGTGAAGGACTATATGCCTTCAAGCTCGTTGACGTGTACCTGGTTGCTGAGCTCCCGTGGGGACGAGAGCTGGAGAGTCCGTTCCCGCCACCGATCCGTTGGCCGCCTCCATTGGCAAAATCATGAGATGGACGTCTATGCGCATTCCTGGGACCCACGGCGCTTGCCAATCGCCTACGATCTTCCACCCGCGCCGCTTGTAGAACTGAAGCGGGCCAGTGTTAGTGGAGACGACGTCGAGACACGGCCTCCCGCCGCCAGCTCGCGCCGCCTTCGTCGCGACAGCAAACAGCCCGGAGCCAACGCCTTTCCCAGCCCACGCGGGGTCGGTGAAAAGCACAGCGATAACTCGCACGTCCTTCTCCTCGCAGCCGTGCGCCTCCGCCCAGCGTGTCGTCAGTTCCTCCTCGTCCGCCGGACCGCCGAGGCCGTAGCGCACAGCCACGTGTCCGAGGATCTGGCCGGCGCACTCCGCGACGAAGGCAGCTGCCTCGCCCGGCCGCTGGATGAACTGGGGCACGGGCATGGGCAGGGGCCAGCGGATGGGGTACAGCGAAGACGGCTGCTGCCGTTCCAAGAGGTCACAGAGGGCCGGGAAGTCCTCGGGTCGCCGAGGCCGGATCGTGATCGATGGCGGGGTCGACGCGCCGCTTGGCGGTTCCGACGGGAGGATGATGGCGGACATGTATTGTTGGAGGCGGTGGGAGCGTGGCTAGGACGGGGATCAGGTTAAAGATGAGGTAGATGAGATTTGAGCGAAAACACGTCGTAGCATGTGGTGCAGATCGATGAGTCAGATGTCACAAATCGACTCATCATACTTACGAATCCGCTGAAACAGATCTCGCTTAGCTCGGCTATCGCTCCACATTCACATCTTCTGCTTGACTAGCACAAGACAACTCGCGAGCTTGCGAGAGACTTGAAACTGAGAGGGAGCGCCGGCCTTGCGTATGCTTAAACGAGGTGCTATCAGCGGAAGCTTGTAATGAGCGTCGGAAACAGCGGAGACCATACCTTTCTTTCGCGGTGACTGGTGGTATGCTGCCTGCCTGTCCGGTTGAGAAACTGACCTCTCTCTCTCGTGTTGAAGAGTAGTATCAGTCAGTGCCATCAGCCACGCTGCCACATGCGCTACCTTTTCTGATCCTCGATGTTTAAACGGCCTCATTTGCTTCATTTGCTTCCGAGACTATGAATTGCCACCCAACACGAAAGTGGAGGTCGATCTGATCTCACCGTCGCCCAGTCCCTCACAGACCACAACCAGTCGTCTCCTGCAGTCTCTTGGACACCTGGTGAGCCATCGCAAGGTTTATAGGCCCAAAAGAGGAGGCTGACTGCGGAGACAGGCAGCGGAGCTAACAAGACGTCGACTGAGCACCGTACATGCCATGACTCCGGCGCGCGGTCCGTCGCACAGGCGGCATCGCAAGGCGCGTGTCCTGCCCATCACCGAAGCCAAAGCACCTAAGGCGCCCAGCGAGGCAACGCGCGCTGCATACGAGGCTAGGAGGCGGTTCAAGGAGGGCGCAGGTCCGGGAGAGGTCGCAGCAACTGACGCCGATGGCAGCCCTTCTCAACAAAACGGAATCCGGACCCGGGCCCCCTCCAAGAGCGAGCGCGAGGCTCTTCCGCCCTTCCGCCCAATCCTAATGAAGCACATCCACATTCCGCGCTCGCTTGAAGCTCTCGCCGAGGCGCGCTCTGCCCTTCTCTCCGCTGAGGTTCTCGGCTTCGACACGGAAAGCAGGCCCCTCTTCATCAAGGGCCAGCGGGACCACGGAGGCCCTCACCTCGTGCAGCTAGCAACGGTGACGGACGCATGGCTCCTCATGATTCACCACGTCCCGGGAGCGCTCGCGCTCGCGCGTGACGTCATGACGAATCCGTCCATCCTCAAGGTTGGGTTTGGCCTAGTGAACGATGTCCGAGAGCTGCCTTCCAAACTAGGAGCGCAGTTGGAGAACGTGTGCGACCTCGACAAGCGTTTTGCCAAATTTGGTTTCCACGGGCAGCTTGGTATCCGCGGGGCTGTCGCAGTGGTATACAAGCAGAACTTGCGCAAGGCCAAAAGGCTGACGCTTGCGAACTGGGCGGCTGAAGACTTCACTCCTGCCATGATCCAATACGCTGCCAACGACGCTCATGTCCCCGCCCTGCTGTGGGCTGAGATGGCTCGGTGGACGGAGGGAGAGGTTGATACGCGCAAGTGGTTCGAGGCGGGGTTGTTGCAACTCCGGCGAGACCGTCAAGGGAACAGGACATCCAAGTTCGGTCTGCGCTCCGGGACAGACCAGGCCCGCGAGACCTCTACGCAATCCATATCGTCTGGGCCTGAATCGAAAGGCGGTGCTGTTCAGTCAACTCCGGCACCACCTATGCGAGGTAGTCTTTTGTCCAGGATGACGGACCCTCCTCGATGACCGTGAGTATTGAGTAAGTTGGCTACTTACACAAGCGGCGCAGTGACGATATTTCAGTGACGATATACTGCGGCAGTCTGTCGGCGGGCTCAGTCATGGCGGCTTCGTTCCACTGAGGAGCATCTATTCAAGTCTGCTTACATGTAGCCCGAAGTGTTGACCTCGCCGCGACCATCATCTTTACCAGAGAGAAATGAGGGAGCGGCCCGCTAGAGACATCTGCCGAGCACGGCGCGGGCGTGAGTAATACCGCGAATGACTGTTGTGCGTGTGTGACTGTTTGTCTCTACAGATAGGGGATATTGGATATCATTGCGAGAGAGGATCAAGTTCCACTGTGCACCGCAAGCTTCCTCAGATGCCAACCGTGTGTTCCCCGGTTTCCGGGTGGCGCTTCTTCAGCACAGGCATGCATACCGCTCGGCTCAGATGGATACCGGCAGCGGCAGGCCAAAGCGGCATCGTACCAGATCGTTTTCGGGTATTGTGTACCCAGCTGCTGCGAGATACGTGTAACAACTCGACAAACTCACTCATGAACACGAGGAGTCCGGCAATCAAACGGCCGCCCCACACAATCCATATTGGAACGAAGATCTCGTCACTACCGCCCAGCCAATGCCGCGCTCGGCATGGGCGACGTGGTTTGCCGGTTGCGGAACATGCTGTTGCCATTCCGCTCGGCAAGCTGTCCTATCGCGCGCCGCTATCTCGCCCTTCGCCTAACAATGGCGCGTGTCTCGATCCGAAAGAACACTCGTAGGCTATCTGCCATTCCGTACGTCATGCCCACGCTGTCCTCGGTGCGCTGAGCCACAATTTGGTGCTATTCTCTGCTGCGGTTACAGCCTGCCCCGGGTCAGGGACGGAGAGCGGTCAGGCTGTGGAGGCCGAAGCCATGGAGAGCGCGTGTGAGTTCGAGGCGCTGTGCTGCGCATTGACAACGCCGTCACGCGCCGCACGGACGCCTTGTCGGTGAGGCCACATCGTGCAGAACGCCAGAACTGCATGATGGGAAAAGCACGGATGCCACCCGCCGCTCCTTGTAAGCTGGTAGTGGCGCTCTCGGCAATCGCAAACGGTGTCTTGGCGTCGATGAGCCTTGCACAAAGTCTGAGGACCGGTAATCAAATCCCCGCCAAGTCCAGACCGCGTACTCCTTGTCCCGCGGCGGCAAGCCCCGTCCGACCCTCCCCTCCCCCCACCAGCCTCCACCCCGCCCGCCAAGAGCAGCGACGCATCCTCGCAAGCTAACAGAACGCGGATGCGAATGTGACCCTGACACCGAGCAAAGTGTTGTGCCTGGTTCTCGGTCAACATGCGTCTGGCGGTTATCTCGGCATTTGGCAACTCCGATTTCCACCAACCACGGCTTGCGCTACTCCTCGCTCTTCTTCCATCGCCGCTCACATCGGCCTCGACGGCACCCTCCCCTGACTGACGCCCAGTGCACAATGGCTAAGACATTCAGTCGATACCTACTATGATCACCGCGACAACATGCATCGACCGTGCGCAATTCACCTGACGATACCTTGCAAACTGCGGAAGCGATAGACCTGCGAAGAGTCGCCGTGTCTCAGAAAAAAAGAATGGGATGCGGCAAATAAGACGTCCGCACGGAGAGGTGAGGTAAAGGAAAACTACAAACTCGAGACGCGTAACCGGTCAGATGAAATCTGAAGCGCGAGTGAGGCTTACAGCCCACGGGACGGAATGCTGAGGCGTGCGATGATCACCTGATCACCTGAGCTGGACCCACCTCCTGCGGTTGAGCGTTGGTTGGCCAACGACCTCCGCGGCGCCCAGGCCACCCTCACGCCACAATTGACCGGTCCAATGTGCGGACTTCGGCATTCCGCATGGGTCAGGTGATATGTCGCCCGGATCCGCTCCTCGATCTTAATTCAGGTTCATGGACAAGAGATCTAGGCGGGAGGGCAGAGGCTGAAGTCGCGCTCTCTCAGGTAAGATTCGAATGAAAACGGCACGCCACTTGAACGATGTCAGACGGGATGTGAGAGATGGACGCCTGGAGGCGTGGAGGTCTGGAGGCTGCAGGGAGCGTAGCGAGTGCGTTGGAGGGTCGCGGCGGGAAATGCCGCTGTGGGGTCGAGGGTATCAGGGATGGGGCCCGCGGGCCCCGGGCAGTAATCGATTTGTGACCAGAGTCACATGCAACAGCGGAGGACATGCAGTCTGAGTGCTTGCGACCGGTACTCTACTCCGGATCACCGTACTGACCGTCACGTCGAGAGACATGTGTCGCAGGTTGCATCGCACGCGCGTAATGGGCCGTCGATCCGAACCTTTCCCCCTCTGTCGCCTCCCTTCATAAGCCGGCGCTGAGAGTCGCATCTCACCTCATCCCCCCGCCTCCCGCCATGTCCTCCAACTCTCAGAACTCCAAGGAGGAGGTTCGCCACCTCGAGCACACCAAGGAGAAGTACGCAGGCCAAGATGGCGAGCACATCGAGGCCCGCGCAGACAACGGCGTTATGGACATCGACGCCGGTTACGACCCCGCCATGATCAAGCGCACCGTTCGCAAGATCGACTTCCGCCTCATCCCCATCCTCACGATGATGTACCTCGTGCGTGACCTTTTCCACCCGCAACCGCAGCTAACCCCAGGTCTCGGCGATGGACCGTGCCAACCTCTCCCTTGCGCGTGCTGCCAACAACAACCAGATGGTCAAGGATCTGCAGCTCCAAATCGGTGATCGCTACTCGATCGCCACCCTCGCATTCTTTATTCCATACATCATTCTCGAAGTGCCGGTAAGTCTGGGCAATTTAGCCTGTGTTTCACCCCGCTAACGCCCCCAGTCGCAGGCCGGTCTCCGTGTGTTCGGCGCCAAGATCTGGCTGGGCGGCGCGACCCTTCTTTGGGGAGTGATGATGCTTTGTGAGTTCTCCACAGTTGTGATATGCTGACGTCAGGCATGGGCTTCGTCAAGACCTGGCAGCAGCTCGCCGCCCTTCGCGGTCTTCTCGGTGTCTTCGAGGCCACTCTTTTCCCCGGCGCCGCCTACCTCATCTCGTGCTGGTACCCACGCCGGCTCATGGCAACGCGCATGTCCTACTTCTTCATTGGTGCCATGTTCCTGAACGCCTTCTCCGGCATCTTGGCCTGGGGCATCGGCGACGGGCTCCACCGCAAGTCAGGTCTCCACGGATGGCAGGTGAGTTTTCTAACGGCGACGACGACGACGGATACTAATCTGCTCAGTGGATTTTCATCCTCTACGGCCTCATCACGATCTTTATCGGCATTTGCGCCATCCTCCTCATCGTCGACTTCCCGGACAAGGCAACGTTCCTCACCGACGACGAGCGCGAGATGGTCCTCACCCGCATCCAGCGTGACCGCAACGACGCCGTCTACGACCACCTTACTGTCACCAAGGTTCTCCGCCACCTCACCGACTTCCGCATCTGGCTCTTCGGCCTCTTCTTCTGCTCGGCAGCTCTCTGCATCTACGCCCTCGCCTACTTCCTCCCGCAGATTCTCGCCGGCATGGGCTTCGACAACAAGATGAGCCAGATCCTCACCGCGCCTCCGAGCTTCTACTCGCCCATCCCGTGCATCATCATGGCCAAGATTGCCGACAAGTACAACATGCGCATGCACATGGTCGCGCTCAACGCGATCATCACCGTCGTCGGTGTCGCTATGTTCTCTCAGCTCTCCAAGGATCAGACCGCGGCGCGCTACGTCGGTGTCTTCCTGGCCACCGGCGGCTGCCAGGCCTCGATCCCCCTCATCACCTCGTGGTCGCAGACCTGCATCCGCTCGCAGTCGAAGCGTGCCGTCATGAGCGCGACCGTCGTCGCATGGGGCGGCATCGGCGGTATCCTCGCGTCCGTGTCCTTCCGCCAGGCCGAGATCCCCCACTACACCACCGGCATCTTCCTCACCATCGGCCTTTGCGCGTTCGCTGCCGTCGGCTCGTTCTGCCTCTGGCTCTGGTTCATGGCCCAGAACCGCAAGGCCGACCGTGGCGAGAAGATCCTCGAGGACGACCCGGACTTCCGCTTCCAGTAGTGCTTGGACACTGAGACGTGTGTGGGCGAGGGTAATAGTCCTGGCTGGAGGCTGCCAGCCGGATGAGGGATGTTGTGCACTGGCTGATACGGGGCTGAGGGAGGGGGAGGTTGTACAATCAGTAGCGGTAGAGGGGTGTGACAATCAGCATGCAGAGGTTGAGAAGCACCGTCGATTCGGGTCGTTAAGGTGACCCCTCCCAGCGATCGGGAGGAGGAAGTTGAGAAGTGGGCCCATCAGTGGGCCCATTGCTCCAACGAGCTTCGCGGCGGTCGCACGACTGAACGCCGTGGCACTATCATCACCTGCTGCAGCCCGCGCCTCTACCCATATATATGGCCGCACTTCCCACATTCGTGCGGGCACCCGGACGCAAGTGAGTGGCAAAAATGAGCTGACTCTCATTGAACACCACGATAGCCGCGCCAAGCATGCTGCTCTACCACCTTGCGGCTACGCTCTAACCCCTGACGCCGTCACCCAAAATCTGTGGCGCCTGTATGACCGCAGGGGCTGGCACTGTTGCGTGCATCGTTCTCTCACAGCTGCCATCGTCGAGATAGATCAGTTCACCCGCTACCCATATGATTCTCTGCCAATAGGTCGCCATAGGGCGCGAGATCGAATTGTCCACCGATCGGCGATGAGGGCGGGGTCGGTGTTCCACTGCTTCGGCGGTGAAGCACCGCCCCTGCCCACATTGCGACGTTGTGTGTACGCTTGTGCTGTGGGAGGATGAGCTAGCATGATGAACGCCCGAAAAGCATTTAAGAGCCGTAGTAGATGTGAATGTCATGCGGTAAGGATGCTGGTGGCCAGTAGTCGCAGCAGTCAAAGCCGTCGCTTGGTCCAGAAATGTTGAAGCACAAGTGAAGGGGTGTATGCTGTGACCAGCTTGCCCTCGGAACTTGCCAGTCAACTGAGCGTTCATGGCACAGTTGACACTGGGAGTCAAACGCTGGTGCCACACCCGAGGAGTCAAACGCTGGTGCCACACCCGAAAACTGCCTTGCCTAGACCAACTGCATCACTCGTACTTTGTACTTCTGACCAGAAATCCCATCCTTGTTCACGCAGTGTACTCTCCAATCCTCGTCCCCTCAGAGCTTGGGCTCCGCCCCGCTCGCAGCCTTGACGAAGTCCTGCACGTCCTCCCAAAGCGCGACGGGCTCGTCGAGCGCGGCAAAGTGCCCGCCCTCGAGGTGTCGCTTGGCGTGCACGACATTCGCGACGCGCCGCATAAACGGGATCGGGGTCGGCATGATCTCGTACATGAACTGGGAGTATCCGACCGGCTTGTCGATGCGGGCGGGGTAGTCCTCGTTGTTGTGGCCCTCCATGCCCCACGCCTAGCGTCAGACCGCGACAAAGCGCGACAAAGCACTCACGGAACGGTATTCCCAGATACAGGTGGCCGCTGTGTTCGTGTACCAGTACAAGCTGAGGTCTGAGAGGATGAAGTGGAGCTTCTGGGCGCGGTCGGTGATGCGGATGCCCTCGAGCTTCTCGCCGATCCAGCAGAGCACGGCGACGGGGGACGAGTCGAGGATCGCGCCGATCGTCGCGGGCTTGGTCGAGTGCTCGATGCGGTAGCCCTCGCCCCACTGCCGCCACTTGAGGCCGCGGGCCATCGCGTGCGAGTCCGTCTCGTCGAGCTCGGCGAGCGATGCGCCCTTCGGCACGCCCATCGGCAAGAAGTTAAGGTGGATGCCTGGTGTCAGCAGGGACCGTGCTGTCAACGGATAGAGTAGCCGGCTGCGGCCCGGGCACTCGCACGTACCAATGCAGCTGTCGAACTTTGTGAGCTGGCGCGTAACAAAGCTCCCGATGTCGCCGCCCTGTGCGTAGTATCCGCCCTTGCCGGCCTGGCGCCCAAACCCAAGCCCTGCCATCATGGAGTCGAGGATGGCGGCGTTGTCGTAGCTCCCGAACGCGAGGTCGGTGGCCGGCGGCGAGCTGAAGCCGTACCCCACGAGCGAGGGGACGATGATGTGGTTCGGCAACGTCGCGGGCGAGTACTGCTGCTTGATGTGGTTGAGCATGGGCACGAACTCGAGGACGGAGCCTGGCGTCAGCGTCAACGACGTCGGCGGCGCGCACCCGGCCAGCCGTGCGAGAAGACGATGGGCGTGGCGTCGCGCTTGGCGCTGAACAGCGCCAAGAAGTGGATCTTGTACGCGTGGCCCTTGTACTGCACCGTGGCGTGGTACGAGGGAAACGACGATATCTCGGCCTCGACCGCGCGCCTGGCGTCAGTGACTTGTAACTTGTTACAGCCCGCCAGCCTCGGCACTCACCAGTCGAACGCGCGCCACTTCTCAATCATGTCCGAGACCCAGTCATGGCTCGTGCCGAGGTGGGCGGGCCCGTTCGTGTTGTCCCACGTGCGGGCGCGCGGCGCAGCGTACGCCAGGCGGTGCCGGAGGTCGGCGATCGCGGCGTCCGGGACATGCGGGTGGAACTCGACTACGGGGATGGTCGGCGCGTGCGGGAGGGTGTAAAACGACATGGCGATCAGTGGAGAGTGAGAGAACGGGGAGTGAGAATGGGGTTAAGAGCACAGAAGAGATGGGGAGAGCCAAGGTCTAGTGCATGTGCGCGTCGGGTATGCCCGTTACCGTACGACCGCGCCGCCGGCACCGTGGACATGGCCGCCGGTCACGTATCGACAGCGACTATCATACCTCCGAGCTTGACATCGATGCTGGCGACAAACGTGCATGGCCGCGCTGAATCTATTATCTACAGTGAACCGTGCGTTGGCTTAACATTCATACCCTACCACCCCAGCTGGCACGCACGCCTGAACTAGTCCGAGTCCGAGCCCGAGCCCGACGAGTGTTTCTTGCTCTTCGAGTGCTTCTTCTTGCCGCTCGAGTCCGAGTCCGAGCCCGAGCCCGAGGAGCCGTGCTTCTTCTTCTTCTCCTTTTTCTTCTTGTCCTTGTCCTCCTTCTTCTTGTGCTTGTCCTCCGACTTCTTGTCGTGCTTGTCGTGCTTGTCATGCTTGTCGTCCTTCTTCTGCGCATGCCCGCCGCCCATCACCGAGCTCGCGAGACCGCCGAGGCCGCCAAGCGCGCCGCCCGAGGCGTGGCCAGATCCGTGGCTCGACCCGTGGCCAGTGCAGTGGCCGCTACCGTGGCCCGAGAGAGCGCCCATAGCGGCGCCGGCGATGGCGCCAACTCCGAGGCCGCCGAGACCCATCCTAGCGGCGTCCTGGGGCGCATGCTGGGGGGTGTGCTGCGCGGGGGGAGCGTAGTCTGCTGTTAGCTGCTTCTCTGGTGTCTCCGCCCTCGTCCCCAATCCCATTCTCTCCGCCTTCCTTCCTCCTTTCCGCACTCTTAAGCTCACACCTCACACCTCTCTCACGCTCCACCCCACTGCACTCTCTGCACTCACGCTGCTGGCTCTGCTGGCCCTGTTGCGGGTACTGCTGGCCCTGCGGGTACTGTCCATACTCGCCGCCATACTGCTGCTGCTGCGGCTGGTGCTGCTGGTGCTGCTCCGTCTGGGGGTTGTAGTAGCTCGCAGCCTCGCCGGTCGGGGCGGGGTGGTTGCCGAACCCGGGGTGCTGGTACGAGCCTGGGGCGCCGTAGTTGGACATTGGGCGAGAGTGTGAATCGCAGAGGGTGGAGAGAGATAGAGAGTGTGGAAGAGACGAGGACGAGGACTGTGGAGTGAGAGCGAGTGGGTGGCGTGGACTAGCCAGATCCGCTCGGGCGCAGGGAAGCGACGAGGCGGTGCGTGCCCTCTCCTCCACATCGGCCATTGACGCGTCGCTATGCATGCTGCCGCATGCTGCGCTGCGCCTGCACCTCGCGCCAGCCGACCCTTGTACGCGTCGGCGACGAGGCGACGGAGAACAATGCATCGGCGAAGGGTCCTGACGTATCCGGAGCCGTTCCTGGCCTCTCTCTCGTTCTCCGCATCGTCGATCGCCGAGACTGGACTCACCCGCGACGACGAGTCGTGCTAGCCAGCTGTGCAAGCCCTTCACCTTTCACGTACTCGTGTATTGCGTATGTATCTCTCTAATATCTACAGATCCTCAAGAACCCAGCCATGTATGCTTCCTCTGCCCCTGCGCGCTCGGCCACTCGTCGCACGCTATCAAGGACGGCTCGACGCCTGCGAGTAGTAGCTCGCGGCCGCACCGTCTCCGTGCCCGCCCGGCTGGGTCTGGTACTGCTGCTGACCGTAGCCGTGGTCCTGTGCGCCATACGACTGGGCGTGGTGGTCGTGCTGGCCGTGCTGGTCATGCTGCTTCTCGCCAACGTCACGCTTGCCGCTCATGGCGCCCGCAGCACCTGCCAGCCCAGCGAGCGCACCGAGCTTACCGCCACCCCCGCTGCTGTGCTTTCCACCACCCACGGCGCCAGCAAGGCCGGCCAGAGCTCCGAGCTTGCCGCCGCTGCTGCTGTGCCCGCTGCTGCTGCTGCCGCCAGCCAGCCCCATCAGGCCGCTGGGCTTGCTGTGGCCCGAGCCGTGCGAACCGTGAGACCCACCCGCCATGCCCGCGGCCATGGAGAGAAGACCACCGCCACTGCTATGGCCGTGTCCGCCCGACGGCTTCGAGGGCTTGCCGGCGTATGCGGCGAGAGCGGGCCCCGCCATGGCTGCCAGACCGCCAAGGCCGCCGCCCGACGAGTGCTGCTGGGACTGTTGGTGCTGCTGCTGCTGGTGCTGGTGCTGTCCGTGCGGCTTAGATCCGCCGGCAAAAGAAGCAAGTGCGCCGAGACCAGAAGCAAGACCGCCCGAGGAATGAGCGCCCTGCTGCTGTCCAGGCTTGGAGGGCTTCGAGCCGAGAGCGCTGCCGATCAGCCCTCCCACGGCACCAAGACCGCCCGCCTGGGCCTGGGTCTGGTGGCCGCCCTGTTGGCTCGAGTACTGGCCCGATTGGGCGTTGTAGCCACCGCTTCCGCCGCCGCCACCGTACTGGCCGTGCTGCTGCGGAGCGCCGTACTGGCCACCTTGGCCGTACTGCCCGCCACCCTGCTGGGAGCCGCCGTACTGCTGGGGCCCGCCGTACTGCTGCTGGGGACCGCCGTACTGCTGCTGTCCGCCGTGCTGGGGTTGGCCACCATACTGCTGCTGCTGAGGGCCGCCATACTGCTGCTGTCCGCCATACTGTCCCTGCTGCTGGCCGTACGCGCCGCCACCATAATCTAGCATCAGCTCGGCCCGTGCTTTCACCCACTCTGCTGCCCGCCGCCGCCGGCATACGAGCCACCACCGCCCCCACCGCCGTAGGAACCATGCGACCCTGCGATCAGCTCCCCCCACTGCTCAGCGCTAACCCACCCTGTGCATTGGGGTTGTAGTACGCGTCCGCTGAGCCACCAGAAGTATAACCTTGGTTGTGGCTCTGGCCGTGGCTCTGGCCCTGCTGGCCCGGCTTGCCGGATGCATACTTCATGCCGGCCTCCATAAGCTTGGAGCCAAGGCCGCGGTCGCCGTCCTTCTTGGGCTCCTTCTTGTCGAGGCCGACTCTGTGCATCGCCGAGGAGAGGTCAGTGAATCCCATGTTGGGGATGGGGGTGGGCTTGGGGGAGATGGAGGGGTAGGAAGATGGGGAGAGGGGAGGAGAGAGACCGAGGAGAGAGATACAGAGACAGAGATGATAAAGAGGACAAGAAGGAGCGGATTGTGGATGTGACGATGTGGCAAGGCGGTGCCGAGGGAAGGTCCGTGGTGACTGTACTGCGCAACCGAAGAGGCGAGCGGGGCGCTTGGGCCGGCCATGACAGGGAGAGAGGATCGACGGCGCACTGCTTTCATTCATCAATTCATCAGTCATCACTCATCATCAGTCTCAAGCTGACGCACAGCGCGCATTCATCGACTTATTCATTCTTTACCTTGGCGACGCGTCCAAGTTGAGGTCGGTGCCAGGCCTGGCCGACTGCCGAGATCTGTACGGCTGTTGGTAGCGGCATTTCATCGCCTCACGCCTCGATCGCTCATAGTGAGTGTCGCTGCAGTGGCATTCCTCGAGTGCAAGTGGGTGGCATGGAGAGGAGGGTGCAGGAGAACATCTTGGCAGAGGCCAGTGAGTCGCCGCGAGCGAGACGCGTGCATGTCTGGGCAGGGCAGACGCTCAGGCGGTGCTGTGCGCGTCGCGCGGTGCAAGCGCGTAGGAGGGAAGGGCGTGGAGGGGAGCGCGACGCGTCGTTGAGCGGAAGACGCGTGCCAGGTGTGCGCATTCGAAAGAGACGCTGCTGACATGGAGCTCACAACCATGTTGCTTGGCGTAGCGAGCGTGGACGTGTCGCCAGTTCAGACTTTGACTGCGGCCCCCAAAGCACGGAATTACTGACCTTGACTCACTGCAGACCGAGACCGAACGAGGCCATCTTCCACAAGCCGCCCCTCCGCCCTTGTCAGCATCGAGCGCCGTTCATCGGTCCTCTGATTCTCGGATCTCGGAGATGTGCAACTGCTGACCTTCGCCGCTCGCTGCTTCCCTCACGTCGACCACAAGTCGGGAGGGGGATCAAATAATTACACGTGGCTGGGCAGACGTCAGGGTCGTCGATCGTTTCAGGGCGCGTGCCGCGTCTCTCGATCCGCCGATCGGCTGTCGCCAAGTGCCTTGGTGGCCTGGGTGGTGACGCGCATATCTCGTGGCGTGGCCATGGGAGACACTCGTCGCTTCACCCACTCTCTCATCATATACAATGGGCCTCATGACCATGTTCCACGCCTCGGGCTCCAGGGAGCTCGGGCATGTTTCGCCGCCCGTCGCGGTGTACGACGAGTTCGTGGCGCAGGTCCCTACGACGCTGTGTCTCAAGGAGAGCGCGTGGAGCTTGTCGGGGGTGAGTGCGAACAATCATTATGTAGTCAAGAGGAGGGAAAGTCTCTGCCGGGAATGCCGCGTCGAGTGCAGCTGGAAGGCAGATGATCCCAGCACACGCTGACGCCAGGACGACTTTGGCATCACGGACGCCAACACCCGCAAGACCATCCTCAAGTGCAAGGGCAAGTACATGAGCCTGCACGACCGGAAGAGTGAGACCCTTCTCGTGCGCGCTGACCCAGAAATTGAGTCGCCCGACGGAAAGCTCCTGTACAACATGGCGGACAAGATGCTCGCTATCCGCAAGACGACGGTCGCGGAGGACGACCACGGCCGCGAGGTGCTGCGCGTGACGAAGAAGTGGTCCCGTGAGTCTCTGCGCCGCACACCTGACACCAGCCGGCTCCAAGCTTAGTGCGACGGCTGTGGACAAGTCCGACCGCGAGCTCACCATCGTCCTCAATGGCGACATGTATGGTGTCAGCGCCAACATCGAGCTCAAGGACGGCACGCCGCTCGCGCACATCAGCCGCAAGCTCGTGACTGCGACGGACATGGTCGCGGACAAGCAGACGGTGAGTTGAGTGGGGAGGGCGGCGGCTTTGCTTTGAATAAGGCCATGTCATTGGAGGGTAGGGGAGCTGATGCCAGTACTACGTCACGGTCGCGCCCGGCGTCGACGTCTCGCTCATGGCGGCTGTGTGCATCTGCTTCGACGAAGCGATGAACGAGGAGAAGGAGGACAAGTAGGATGTGGCTGTTGGATGTAATGCATACACGTCTTGGATTGACTTGGCGATTTTACAAGGCTTCCTTGCGCACAAGGACTGTTGGTGAAAAGCGAAGACAGTACGAGCCAGTCATGGTCAGTCATTGCTGTCGTTGGACTGTAGTCGTGCGGGTAAACGTGCCTCTTTGGACGACCGTCTCCGGGATCTCCCACCACCACCAACCCATCCTGCTGTTTGAAGGAGACATCTCTGCTGGGCTCTTGAGCCCAAGTACACATCGTCGCGCTCTAACCAATCTAGCACCAGCACCCGTACAACCCGCGTCCGCGACTCGACGCGCGACGCAGTCCAGTCGGACACACCCTCACGCCGGCCTACCCGAATAAGCTCTTGAGCTTGCTCTTGACCTTGGCCTCAATCCCCTGCCGGAGCGGCGCGCTCGCATGCCACTGCTGCTGCAGCCCATGCAGCCCCTGCGCGCCATGCCCGTTCACGTCCCCCTGCGCAGCGCCCTGCAACACGGGCGCATTCTGCGCGCCGAGCGGCTCAAACTCGAACCCGATACCATGGCACCATGCGCCGACGTGCCCAAACACCCCGCTCCACCTATACCCGTGCGGCACGCGCGCCTCGCCCGGCCCGCCGCCGCGCGCGCCGAACCACGGCGACGCCCGCTGGTCCGTGACGAACTGGATGCCGTCGATCCACGCGCCGTGCTGCACGTGAATACGAGTGACGTACTCGCCGGGGCGCAGCGCCCAGTCGTGCGGCGACCCGCCGCGCGTGCCGAACAGCGCGCCGTCGAGCTCGAGCCCGTCCAGCGCCGCGCCGCAGTATACCCGGATATGCCGGAGGGCGGGGGGCACGCCGACGGCGTGCCGCGTGCCCGTGCGCGCGCCGAAGGGCGGGGAGCGGAGCGCGCCGCGCGCAGGCCAGATGTCGGCGAGCGGGAACTCGAGCTTGCCCCCGTCGCTCGCGAGCACCGTGACCCGGTCGAAGCCGTCGAGCGACGCGCGGGGGATGCCGAAGGACGCCACGCCCTGCCCCGACAGGTCGACGAACGGGTCCGCCGTCTCCTTCCCCGGCCGACGATATTCGATGGCGAGCACCGCGCTGTCCGGCGTCGAGACTTGCACGCCGTCCGCTGCGGCTGTGACGAGGATCGCGCCTTTGGTCGCGGGAAGTGACTTGTCCGAGGGAAGCGCGAACGAGGGGTGGGCGAGGAAGCGCAGCGCGTCGAGCCGGTGCCACATACACTCGTTCCTGTCGTCAGGTTGGAGAGCGATAAAGCTCTCCGCGAGGCGCACATAGTCGCGCAGCATCACGCCATGTGTCTCCCGTCAGCGACAGCGTGAGCATACAACCCACCTGGTGCGGACACGAGAGCATGTGCCCGACCTCGTGCATCATCGCGCCGATGCCGACCTGCGCCGCCATGCCGTAGTCCTTGCCCTCGGCGTCGATGCCGCAGGAGCGCGTGTCCACCGCATCGCGGCACGTGAAGGTTGGCACGACCTGGTCCAGCGTCTCGGGCCACGCAAAGCACGTGTGGCTCCCGAAGATCGCGAGGGGGAAGGGGTCGCCGTCGCCGCCGAGCGCCGCGTGCCCCACAATCAGGCCGTTGCGGTGCGTCGCGTCCAGAATCAACACGGCGGCCTGCAGGCCGGTGCGGCCCGCGAACTCGGGCGCGGCGGCTACTGCCTCCCGCATCATCCCGTACAGGTCCTGTTTGCCGCTTCCACTGCCCTGCTGCGCGCGGTTCTCGTCGCGGATTTCCGCGACGCTGTGGCGGCTCCGCACGAGCGTGACCTTTGGGATCTGCGCGTGCACGCCAGCCGCGGAGACGGTGTCCACGCCCCACTCCGTCTCGAACTGGAATGTGCGTGGGCCGAAGCCCGCGCGCATCATCTGCTCCCCGGTGTACGCCTGCCAGAGGTAGGCGGCCATGCGGAGGCGCCGCGCGGCCATCTCGACGTTGGTGGGGCGCACGTCGTCGAAGCAGAGCGGTGAGTCGCGGGCGGCGACTATGATCAGGGAGATCGGGCGTGTCTGCAGTGGCTGGTAGAAGACTGGATGCATGGTCGACGCGGCGCCGCACTCGATATACACTCCATTCTCGCCGGGGGTGAGGGGTGCCAGCGCTTTGAAGCGGCCGTTTGGGTGGACGGGGAAGCGGACGGGTGGGTGCGGGGCGGCGGTAACGGTCACGGACGAGCCGTGGGGCGGGGCTGGGCTGATATGGCCGATGATGAGGGTCAGATGCGAGTGCACGGGGGAGCTGGGAGAGGGAGTTTGGATTGTAATGCTGGTCATGTTGCTGCAAGTGAGAGAGGGAGTTGACGAGTCGAAGAGAGCGAGCAAGGAGGTGGCGGTGGAATGACGCCGCGCCGATAACCTGGGCCCTGGAGGCGTCTGTCGTCGGATCATCCTCGGCTGGGAGATTGCTCGCTCCTCTGTTCATGCTGTTTCTACGCATCCACTAGTCCACTCATCATCTATCTCGCAGTGAGGCAACTTGTTCTCGGTGCGCCGACGCGTGAAGAACGACGCACGCATCTCACGTCATCGTTGGGCTTCGTACTCCAGAGAATGTTCGAATCGTACCTGTAGAGTGGATATGCCGTAAAGACCACTCAGTCCGGAGACATGGCGGTTTGATGCCGAAATCGTAATGACCATGCTCTCCATTAGCCCAAGGGTGTGCTGAAACCTCAATGCTTTGCAATTTGCTGACTACAGCTAGTGGCATTCGCTGATGCATCACATATCTGGCCGGGGCGGCAAGCACATGGATGCTACAACAGACTAGGGCCATGTGGCAGGGCGCTGCTCGCGGGGACACGACCCCGCGTCGAGCTCGCGGGATCGCTTGCCGAGCTGTGCAGTGAGAAGAAGGCCTGGTTTAGCAGGTCGCTGGGAGGAAGTTTGGAAGAGAGGTTTCCACGTCAAAGTGAACGGAGAAGCGGGGGTCAAGCTGGATTGGGGGCAGGTGCCGTCGAAGCGGGAGGATGTGGAAGCGGGCGCCGCTGAAAGGGAAGACGCGGGAGAGGCCGCCACTTTAATACTCGCGGCTGGGCGGGCTCTGTCGGCTTTGGTGGCGGCGGCTCGGGCAAAGCTGAAGGGGTTGACGGAGCTGAGGCTGATGGTGGCGGCGCGGGTGACGGTAGTAGGCCGTTGCTGAGCCGGTGAATCGTCGCGTCCCACTGCGCTAGCGCCTGTTCATTCTCCGGGATGACCATTCGGCGCACCTCATCGAACGGACTCGGCTGTCGTGCGTTCGCCGCCTGGATCTTGCGGAGGATGATCTCCGTGCGCTGCCGCATGAACTCATCCGTGATCTCATCCGCGTGGTCTGGAAACTTTGTGAGCATGTCGGCGTAGACGACGTAGGGGTTGGAGTCGGGCATAGCTGAGGTCAGCTGAGCAAGGAGGACGTACACATGACTTGGACAGAGTACGAGGAAAGCGGAGAGGGAGCAGAGAGAAGAAGAAGATGAAGGTGGTATTTGGGAAGAGTGAGTAAGGCATGATAAGTAGCGAGGAAGGAGGCATGCTCGGGACCACTCGTTCCACACTAGTGACAATAGCTTAACCACTACGAGGCAAGACTAGAGGCTTTGGGGGATGTGGTAAGCGTAGAGTACGCGCTGAGTCAAAAAAAAAAATCACGACCCCCGAAAAAACGGCCCGGATGTGGTTAGCATGCGCTGCTCGTCTCTGCTGACGAAGAAGGCTTGCTCCGAGGTACTGTCACACTTTCGCCCATCCAGAGTAAATCTGACGCCACGAGAAGATAGCGGAGACGCTTAATGGCACGCGTTGTTGACAGTTTTGGCTAGATTGATTACGATTTAGCCCACTACTTTCCCTGTACCGTTGCTCAGCATGCTGCTTTCTGCAGGCAACGCCGTAGAGTCTTGGACGCCACCAGTGGTCCGAACAGGACGCCAGGGCTGTTCTTGAGAGATGAGATCAAGTTTGAAACGCAATGAGAGATACAAATACATTGAAAGCAAGCCGAAGACCATTAGGATGCCGCCACCCGACAGTCTGAAGTAGAGGATTGCTATAGTCATCATCGTAACGGCCTAGCGTTGACAGCCTAGCGTCGATGGCGCAATTCAACTCCTCTCAACTTGATGCGGCGGGAAGAAGACCTAGCCAGCGCATGGGACGGCTAGGCCTGGAACCGACCGCACTACGCACGCTTCCCCCCCACAGCCTCGACCTGGCGACGCACGGCGTCAAACGGATTCTCCCGCTTCTTCTCCGCCTCCTTCATCTTCGCACAGATGGCCTCCGTACGCTGCCTCAAGAAACGGCGGTCAATGGTCTCCGACCGGTGGGGGTACTTCGTAAGGGCGTAGGCGTAGACGAGGTAGGGGTTAGGGGCATCGGCTTGGGTCAGCAGCGCGACGGGGGCACGAACACATCGTTTGGGAGTAGATGTTGGCGGAGGATGGAGAAGCGAGCTGTTGGAGATAGAAGTTGGGTATGGTGGCAACTTATAAACCTCAAAGCTCGCACGCTGGCTGCCCAGCTGGCAAACCAGACAGAACTTGTCTCTTCATGGTGATGTGTCTCGCAAAGAGGTCGTCTGTGCCTGGGTGGGCCGTGAATGAAATGCACTAACGCCAGCAATCTGAAAACCTATTTCTGCGACACCCCGGCTTGAATTGTTTGGGGTCACTGAATTGAGTAGCTGAATTAACATGCGCGAAGCTTTCATGCCGATTCCCATGAGCTGTACTGCATGTCAGTGTTTTTCGACTCAAAGATGGCACACAGCATGGGCGGAGAACCTCCCACAGGCAAGAAGTCGCTCAACGCTTAGTGCATCTGCCTAGATGGACCCATGGGAGCTGCCACTCAGCGCAACCATGTTGAGCCCGTACAATTATCTGTGCATCCGTCCTCAGGTACTTCTCAGACTCCTTATTGGTCTACGCTTTGTATTACATCTAGAAACAGTGTCCATTGCCACACTTCCCTCACGCCGGAGGCATGTTCTCGACCGTGTAGACCGAGTAGATGGTCTGCACAAAAGTGCGCAGGCTGAGCGGGAGGCGCGCTGCTTGGGGGTAGATGCCGCCGTCCTTGCCGCACCCGCCGCCAGGCCACGAGCAGGGGTTGCTGCCCCAGGGGTTGACGATGTTGATGCGGGCCTCGTTCCACGCGCTCACCGAGTTCTGGAGCGGCCAGTCGGTCGACGCGGAGTGGTCGAAGGCGTACGCGTGCGTGCCCACCAGCGTGAGGGCCGTCGAGCGGTCGCGCCCGTCGACGACCACGACCTGGTCAAAGTCGATGACCGTGTACGTGCTGTTGCTCTTAGGCGAGTCCGAGGCGGTCATACCTGCCGTGTTGCCGGGCGCATAGCCCTCGGATCGGTCCGGGTTGAGCCAGATTGTCTGCGTGGTGTCTTTCATCCCGAGGCCCTCGAGCGTCGTCGCATTAGTCGTGCCGATAACACACGGGGCGTCGCCGATCATGCACGTCAAGACGGCCCCAAGGATGAAGGGGTCGAATCCGGCGCGTGTGCGGTACACCGGCTTGGGGGTGCCACCGGTGAGGGCTGCAAGCGCGAACGACGGGTTGATCCCCTCGAGACCAAGATACCCCATAACCTCCGGCGGTGTGCTCTTCCAGTCTGGATTGGCGTCCAGGAACTTTGCAAACGCCTTCTCGAGGAGTGGCATGAAGAAAATCGGCGTCTTCTTGTATCCGCGCGGGTCGGTCGCGTCGACGACAGCATCCTCGACCGGCTGATACCCGGGGTAGGGCCAGCAGTTGCTTGCGCTGCCTGCGGTGCGCACGGGGAGCTGGTCATCGATAGCGATGCGCTGCGTGACCCCGTCTCTCTTCAGGAGGACCTCGTAACTGCCCTCGCCAGTGCCGACACGCGTAAAGCTGTTCTTGAGGTATCGGGTCCACCCGCCGGCAGCGAGGGCCATGACGCTCGCGCCGAGCCCGCAGTCGCCGATGCCCCCCTGCTGCACGTCCGCAGCGACGAGGTCGACATATCCCTCAAGCGCCCAGAGCGAGCCCTTGGATGGGCTCCCGTCGCCGCCCAGGACATGCTCGGTGCGCTCGTACGCGCAGCGCTTATCGGGGTCGGGCTCTTCCGTCTCCGACTTCTGCGCGGGCGGCGCCGGCTGCGCGTTGACGGTCAGCTGCCGCTTGCGCGCGTCCAGCGCTTCGCGCTGGGCGGCGAGCGGCGAGCGGCGCACCATCATGCTCCTGCCCGTGTTCGAGTCGAAGGCGACATTGGCGCTCGTGCCCCGCCATACCCGGCGACGTGATGCCGCCGAATCCGATGGCGTCGCCGCCCGTCGACGAGTTCATCAGCGCCGGCATCATGCCGTCGTCGAGAACAGGATCGGTGATGTTCGTCGTTGGCACGACACCAGAGTCGACCAGGTCCGGGACGGTCGTGTTGTCCGCTACGACGGGGATCGGCTCGTTCACCGGCACGGTGGGGTTGTTGATGATCTCCTGGACGGTGCCGTCAACCGAGGTGTCGGCACACTCTTCCCCGTTGTTGGGGGGCTCGCCGTTGTGCTCGCCGTGGTGGTCTGAGTGGGGGTGGCCGTACTCATCCGTGTCGGAGCCATGGCCGTGGCCGTGACCATGGCCGTGGTCGTGGTCATGGTCGTGGTCGTGGTTGCGCGTGCCGTCCGGGTTGTACATGCGGTGGCCTGTGTCCCATCCGGGATAGTAGTTGTGGTTCATCCCAGGTGCGCCGAAGCGGCGGATAGGCTTGTGGCACTCATTGTTCGTCCGCCGCTCCGTGGAGGCGCTGGCTGCCACCAGGCCTAGCCATACAAGGGCGAGAGTCTTCATGCGTCAAGTTCGGGCGAGTAAATGGAGTACAGGTGTGCCAGATCGATGCGTGGTGATGCAGCTCCCACAGAACGGAGGCGCTCTTATAACCACAAATGCATCTGAGCGTGCACTTGCGCTCGGTGCTCGGTGCTGTGCTCAGGATACCATCCGCCAACGGGGATCGGGAAGTAGCCTCACGTCACCTTCAAATGCAGGCGCGATCCGCAGCGCCTTGATTGCTCGAGCTTGTTCGGCACCCACCTCCAAGCCCGAGCCTGACGGTAGTGCGGTAGAGAGATATGGGAAAGCCACAGTCTGAAAGCCTTAAAGCGCGGAATGGGGGCTCTTCCGAACGCGGACCGAGCAAGCCAATTGAGCGCCACCCGTGCAGGATCACCAGTTGACGCCTGGGCGTGGGAGCATGGGAGCTGCAAGGTCGGCGGTGCTCGTCCGGGGCTTATTGCTCATGAAGCCTGCATTGAGTGGCTCAGATCTATGCAATTAGCTGATTGTAGGTGTTCTGGAACGCTCGGCTTGCTCGGCAGGACTCTGTGCCTGACAAACATTAGCTCTTAATTAGGCTGGACGCCGTCCACCGACGTCACTTGCTGCGTTCTTGCTGCGTTGAGGGCATCACGAACATTGGTAAGCTCAGTAGTATGCTGCCAGTGCGTAGGGAGGGGAGTGTCTCTGGTGAGTCGGGACCAACGCATTGCCAGAGAGTAGCGGCACTCTTCCGCTCACATCGATCGGCGGCCCATCTGTCTCGCTCAACCCCCCCAAGCAGTGCCCGCCCGCAATCGACAAACAGTATTCAAACAACAACAGGCTACAACTTCGCCTCCGAAGGCCGCTCCGCCGCGGCAGCAGCAAGCACATCCTTGCGCCACATCATCTTGCCGCCGTCCCTCCCGCCCTTGCCGAGCATGCTCACAATCACGCGGTCCCAGTCGCCGCCGCGCTCGGTGCCGCGCAGCTCGGGTCCGGGGTCGTCGTTGCGGATCACGACCCGGCCGTCGGCAAACTGCACCCCCGGCAGCTGGGACGGAGACATGACCTTGTCCGCCCAGGGAATCTTGGCGGTCGGGTGGTCGGTGGGGCCGGTCGGCACTGTCTGCAGGAACTCGAGCAGCCTATGCCGCTGCGCCTCGTAGTCCTTTGCGCCAGTGAAGAACTGCCCCAGCATGTTGATGAGGTAGGCCTGTGGCGAAAAGAGGATGATCTCATTGTCCTGCGACTTCTTGATCCACGTTTGGACGTCGTCAAAGTCGGCGGCTGTGTGCTCGAGGCCGCCGTCGTGCGTCGCGACCTCGTTCACCCAGTTGAATGGGAGGAGGTAGATGTACATCTGCGCCGTGAATCGCTTCTTGAGGTGGGGCGCGGGCGGCGTAATCCAGCGTGTAAACGGCACGAGTCCGCCGGTGTCGGGCACGCCGCCGTGCTGCTTTACCCACTCTGGGAAGGGGATCTTGTTCGCGTGCACGGCTTTGCGGCCCTCGGCCCTCACCTCAGGCGACAGGGACAAGAGCTTGCCTGCAGCATCGCGCGCCAGCAAGATACCACTCTCCTCAAACGTCTCGCGGATCGCAGCGAGCTTGTACACGTCCCCGTCGAGGTGCCGCTTCGGGTCGTCGGGCGCGGGGATCGGCCCGTCGTGGAATGCATGGCAGTTGCCGCCGGGGAACACGTGTGCGGAAGCGAAGGAGGAGGACGTGTTGACGCGGTGCAGCAGCAGAAGCTGGTTCGTGGGCGAGAGCAGCATGATGCTGCCGTCAGCCGAGCCTTGGGGGGTACTCACCTCGCACTCGGGCTTGGCACTGGTGGTGCCTTCAGCGGCTTGCCGAGCTTTTGGGGCTTCATGGTGCGCAGAGTGAAGAGGCGCGAGAGTTCGATAAGTAGTAGACGGATTGTGAGGAGCGTAGGCTGAGGTAGGATTAGCTAGCTGGAGAGAAGAGGTGGAGATGAGGCTAGTGGTCGTACAAGTACATAGACGTAGTTGGACCGGCTATGCCGACACGCCGCTTTCGGAGGTAACCGATGCGACGGGTCCTCGGTATTCGCGGTGGGCAACGGTGCGTGCCGACAACTATGATACTGCTGCTTATTATTGTTTGGAAGGCCCGTTATGCTCCATCCAGCAGCCATCACGTGTTGCAGGCGCGGTCCGTTGCCGACGATGCTGCTGGGTGTCAGCTGCACTCTCGGCGTTCTGAAAATCAGCAGAAGAGTTGGACGGAGCTGATAAGAGTGGGAGGTGGAGGTGTCACGTGACAGTGCTTGGTCATCTCGACTGCGAGCTGTTTCCGCTCCATGCTCCAGTTGTATCCACCCGAGCGCTCCATCGACCCACTCTCTACACCACACCATGTCCTCCGTCGAGCCCCTCGCCTTCGACGAGCTCTCCTTCCCGGGGATCATCGAGCAGGTCTTCGCCTTCGCCTCTCGCGATGCCCTCCTCGTTATGCGCCAGGTCTCGCGCTCTTGGCGGGATCGCGCGGACGCACGCTTCGTCTCGCACGTGAGCATCGAGCACCGGTGCGAGGGCGGCAGGTCCGTCGTCGTGATGCACGGCCCGCTCGGCGTGATCCCTCGGCAGGACTGGTACGAGACAAGCGTGGGCGACGCAACGCGCGTCCTCGACCTCGGGTGCGGGGGCAGTGCGGCCGCTCTTGCAGGCCTCTGCCGGCTCCGCAAGCTCGAGCTTCTCCGTGACCACGGGTACGTGATGCGAGACCGGGCACCCCTCCCGCACGCTCGCGCATATCTCATGAACCGCGTCGGCGTCGACACCTTCTCCGCCTACTGGGACCACCTCATCATCTCGCTCCCCTACTTCCAGCCGACCTTTGTGCCGCTGGAGAACGCATTTGGCTCGCACGGGTGCTTCCCCAAGTCGCTAGCTGGCGCCGTCCAGAATGTGCGCGGCACAATTCGCCGCCCCTCCGTTCTCCCCTCCTCCCTTACGTTCGGCGACAACGGGCGCGCGTCCCACCTCGCCGCGCCCCACCCTCGCATCAGCGCCCTAGGTGCCGGGCAATACACGGGATTCGTGATTCCGCTCTCGCGACCTTCAAGGAGTTTCCACGTGCCCGGCGCGTTCACCGTCATCCTCGCCCGCCCGCCCCCAGGCTTTGCTCCGCGCCCACCAGGCGTCGCAGCTTCCCGCCGCGCACCGCGGCGTGCGGACGACTATGAGGGCACATTCCGCAACATGGCGCGGCGGATCGCCAAGATTCTCGCCGAGTGCGATCTCGTGCCCATCACCCTCGTCGGGTTTGATGGCTGGTTTGCTTTTCTCCCTCACAACCGCGTGTGCTCGTACGATACACTCATGGACGAAATTCAGTCCATCCTCGTTGATTTCCTCAAATGCGAGGATACAGCCGCAGAGCGCATGAAGGCCATCGCGTATCTTTCGTTAGACGACTACCGCCAGCGCGTTGGTGATGAGCGCTTTCACCTTGAAACCGAGTTTGCAGACACTATGGGGCCCGGACCGGAGAGCGAGGACGAAGGCCGGACGACTTGGACGTCGCCCGTAGGATGAGCCCTCGATGCGCTCATATCTCCCTTTGAGTCCTCGGGCCACATTCTCAGCAGCTTCATCTCGCAGCCTCAACCAGGGTCGGACGTTACCCACACATGGCAACCGCTGGCAAGTCTTCATTGAATGGCTACGACCGTGCAGACCTTCGCACACGTACCTGCAGCCTTCTTGAATCCTGAAGCCTGGTTGCACAGGCTGCTGCCGTCCAGAGATGGACTTCATCCTCGAGTGACGCTCCGCGGGGGGCAGCACATCTTGTCCGGAGCCATGTTGGCGACACATCTGGCGGCACCCATACGCTGCCCATTCAATGTTCATCTACCATTATTATAATGTGTACTACTACAGCCCCATGCAGTTGGCGTAGAAGGTGGTCGCGGCCGACCAGTCCGAGAAGACCTTGTCAACGCCGACGTTCTTAAGCGCGTCGAGGACGACAAACAGGTCGCCGTCGCGGGTGATAGCGCTGTCAAAGTTCTCGTAGTAGTAGTCGCCCTTGACCTTTGCAAGGGGGGGCGAGCGCTCTAGCGACCACGCAACGACTCCGAACCCAAGGCGCTTGGCCTCCTTGGCGTACTCGGACGCCTCGAGACGCCCGTCCACCGCCTTGAGGAGGTAGCTGGTGGGCGGTGCGATCCACTTGACACCGTCCTTTTTGCGGCCCTTGAGCGCGGCGGTCGCATTCGCCAGCTTGCCGTTATCGCCTGTCTCGTCGAGGAAGAGCGCCTGCTTGGCGAACTTGGGCTCCGCCTTGAGCCAGTAGAGGATGTCGTCGTAGAGGAAGCTCTGGGGCCAGACACGCGAAAAGTCGACCCCCATCTCGCGGTAGTCGTCGACGAGCTGCTGCGCGTACGCCTCCTGGCTGTATCCTTCGGGGATGGGGACCTCGGGGGTCTTGAGCTCGGGCGTGAAGTCGAGGCCGAGGGCGAGTGTCATTGCGATGTGGTCGCGGTGGCTGATGATCGTCCCGCACTGGTTGTACAGCGTCGTGCGCCACGGCGCCACGCCGCCGAGGTACTGCTCGGGGGTCGTGGCGTTGGCGTAGCTCGAGTCCATCTTGGCGCACAGCGTGCGCAGCTCGTCCATCGTAAAGTCGGCGGTGCAGCACTTGGCTCTGGCCGGCGCCGTGCCGTTCGCGGGCACGAACGGCTGCGTGCACTTGGCGTTCATCTCGGGGATGGCGACGACGTTGGTCGTCGTGTGCAAGTCGCACTGCGAGTGGCGGCACACGAGCTGCAAGTCCTTGGTGAAGGCGACGTCGCACTCGAGGATGCCGGCGCCCATGCGCGCGCCCGCCAGGTTCGACTCGACCGTGTGCTCGGGGAACTGGAGCGTGCCGCCGCCACGGTGCCCGATCGACCACTTGGACGTCTTCTGGGTATGCTCCTTGCACTGCGTCAGCTGGTCTTTGAGCGGCGACGGCGACATGTCGTCCACGAGGTAGTAGGGGCGCGGGCCGAGCGAGATCTGCGTGATGGGCGTAAAGTCGAAGTGGGCGAGGTCGTGGCGCAGCGACATCGGCGCGGGCGCCGGAGTCGTGTTGTCGCGCTTGAGCGGCACGGCAGCGATCACGGGCAGAAGGGCTAGGACGTGGGCGAGCATCGCAGCGAGTCTTTTTGGTGGATGAGGTGAGATGGCTTCCCCATCCACCGCTTTTTATGCTCCGCGGAAGCCGACGCCAAGAGAACCGTCGTGCTGCAGTCACTTGACTCGCACGTGTGAGGTCATCGCGGATGAACAGATGTCTCTCAATCAAGCGATCTGGGGTACCTGGGTTAAGACATTAGCGATATGAGCATCTCAGGGTAGCATGCCAGCTCGCAGAGAGAATCAGTAATAATTGAAGGATGCCGACCGCGGAAAGCAAGGCACGTGTGTCACTCGGCGATCGAATTCAGCATGCCACACGGCTTAGGATTGGAGCGTCAGCAGTTTACCAAGTTTCAGGTTAGCTGAGGTGAGCATGGACAATTGGATGGCCCGGAGAGCTGGGCGGACCGCATGAACCGGTGACCGCATGGGTCACGATCTGAGCTTGACCCCCCTTGAACATGCTTCGACAGGTGGGCAACGGTGCTCGGATGGAGACGCTCGTTGGTCACCACCATCGGATGGGGAACGTTCGTGCGTGCCGCGACGTCATCGATAAGGGCAGCGCTGTTGCAGTTGCTGATATAGAGCGAGATGTGTCAGTGTCAGCCGAGCAGAAGTAAGCACGTTGGCATCTGGCGTCCAGGACTAGCTACTATACATGTGGGTGATAATTGATACCAAAGACGCATCATCCGAAGTTGATATACGACTCGCTCTCCATCGCCTTGTACTCCTCAGCCATTTCCGCAACCACTCGTCTGCAAGTCAGCTTTGCCGTAATCTTGAACAAGCTCACCGAGAATCATCAAACTCTTCCAGAGAGTTGGCAAACATCTCCTCTTTCTTGTATTGTTCAAGGAAGGCATTGCGCTTGCGCAGCCGGTCATACTGGTCAAGCATGCGCTTGAAAAGCTGGTGTCAGCCCCTGCTTCCAACGGAAAGCGTGACTCACAGACGCCATGCTAGTATGGTTGGCCATCATGATACCCGATACGCGGTTCTGCGACGTTTTGCGCTTCGTGAGGGCCACTTGAATGCTGGCTGGGCCCCAAGGGATGAAATTGGCGAGCTGTCGCTCCCTGATGCGCAAAAGCGACTTGTGGACATCTGTTGGGTCGACGTCACCCGAAATGATATTCAAACACGACACGTAGCACGAGGTGCGCGTAGAAGTGGTCGAGACGAGCCGATTCTTGGGCTGTAGCAAGCGGCGCATAACGTCGAGCGTGGTCGTTTTCCGGATCGACTTGGCCTGCGCGTTAGCAAATGCCGATTATTGAGAGGTATCCACCTTGTCAATCTCGTCTCCTGTGAACGGGGTGTAGCTCGTCATGAGGAAGTGGCACCGCGGAGTGGGGATCAGGCTCGCAATGATACCGACGAGGTCATTGTTCATATACGAGGGGTAACGGAGGGTGGTGGTGCTGGCCGCCATGACGGTGGAGACGAGCTGATTCGTCTGAACAAAGCTGGGATCCTGCACATGCAGGCGATCAGCGGCGATGCGCGTCAGCGCGCCGTTGTCGAGCACGACGACAGAGTCGGCATTGTTGACCAGCCGCTTGGTGGCTAGAAGCGAGTTGTACGGCTGCACCACGACGTCAGACGCCTCTGGGAATACCGAGTATGTCTGAATGAGCTTCTTCGGGAACCGGTCGTTCAAGCGCTCCAAAAGAAAAGAGCCAAGCCCTGATCCTGTTCCGCCAGCGATAGAGTGAAGTAGCATGAAGCCCTGTGGATTAGCATGTCCGGGTGCGTCGGGCTGGAATTGAACATCGCAAGTCAAAAGACTTGCTCGCCACACAGTTTGCGGGCGCTTGTACTCACTTCCAAACTGTCACTTCCGTCCGCTTCTCGGTCGATCATCTCGATCACGTCGTCGTACACGCGCTCGCCCGCAGCATACCCCTGCGCCCAATTGTTCCCTGCGCCGCCGCCAGTCTTCGAGACATAGATGTTCTCAGGGTTATACAGCCCCTTGAACGGCGATGTCAGAATGTTGTTGATTACCTGAAGTAAGCTACTGCACCTGCAACACCACTCACTCGAGGTTCGAGGTCGATCATGATTGCGCGAGGGATGTAATGCTCATCATCGGCCTGGTAGAAGAAGACATCCTTACGATCGCCCTGGGTCTCGGCAGTGTCCTCGAGCATGCCCGTTGGTGAGATCCCATGTTCCGCGCATAGCTTCTGCCAAAACTGGGGTCAGCGACGTCGGAAGCGGAGCAGCGACAAATGACGGGGATCAGACGCACTTCTGATCCAACTGGTGTCAGTGATTGCCCCGAATCATTCAGCTACGTACTCTGGTTTCCAGCTTGACCAGCTTGGATAGAGATGATCTCGCGTCCCATAGTGAGCGGCGTTGCGACTTCACGAGACGGCGGAGTGTAGGAAAGAAGGTGGAGGTGATGGAAGGTCGGCGCCTATTGTTGACGCGTCCAAAGCCTTCGGCGGGCCGGATGAGGATGAGGACTGATGACAAGCACGGGACTTCCAATCTGGACTTGAGCAGCGCGGATGGCGATGGCGACAAGATGGAGTAGGAGTGTAGGCAAGAGGATGGCAAGAAGATTAGGATGGTGATGGATGATGTTGTCGACGAGCTCGACATCGAGAGATCCAGTCGCGTCGCGTGTTGACGCGTGAGCGGACACGCGCGACATCTCCGGCGTCCTCCGCCGCGGCACCAATTTACCTTCAACCTCCACCTGGGTCATTTCCGGGCTTATGCTGCTCAACGCCTCCTCTCCACCTCTCGACCTGCTTTCATCCATCCACGCGCCTCGCCATGCCTCTTCCGCGCGTGTTCATGGACTTTACGGTCGGTGACGCGCCTCTGGGTCGCGTAGTCGTGAGCTGCCGATAGGTTCTAAGCTTACTGCAGTTCGAGCTATTCTCCGACGTGTACGTTCCACTGCGTTGCGACAGCTGACATCAGGGTGCCCAAGACGGCTGAGAAGTAAGTTGACTGCTGGCTGGTCTTCTGGCGCACACCATGTTTGTCATGTTAATGCCAGCTTCCGAGCCTTGTGCACCGGCGAGAAGCGCAATGCTAAAGGGGAGCCACTCGCGTACAAAGGTTCGCCGGTCCACCGCATCATCGACGGTTTCATGCTGCAAGGTGGAGACTTCACCAAGCGGAACGGTTCTGGTGGCGAGTCTATCTACGGCGGCACGTTCGCGGACGAGCGCCTTACAGGAGATGGGACTGAGGTGGACCGCGAAGGGTGAGTGCCGGGCCGGGCAGGCAGCAGCTGGCCCCAAGCACACAATATTTCAACTCGGTTACCCAACCCTGTGGTAGTGACAGGATCTCCAGTGATTAGACCAGCTAACCTCAGTCTCCTCGTGATGGCGAACCGCGGCCCCGACACCAATGGCTCGCAGTGGTTCGTCACGCTGGCGCCAGCACCCCACCTCACGGGCAAGCATGTGTATGTCGGCTTCAGAACGATCTGCCGCTGACAACAGGGTGTTTGGTCGCGTGGTCTCCGGCATCGAACACATCCGCTCAATGGGCTCGTTGGCAACGGACGGGCGAGACCGGCCACTCTCGCCTGTGTTAGTCTCGCATGCTGGCGAGCTAGAGTTACGGCGTCCGGCTCGCGCTCCTTCTCCTTCCCGCTCCCTTTCGCGCTCACAGTCGCCCCCGCGTCGCAGGAGAAGCAAGTATTCAGATGACTCAGACTCCGACGAGGAGGAGCGGCGTCGCCGCCGCCGCGCCAGGAAAGAGAAGGAGCGCGAGGAACGGCGCCGGGATCGCCGGGAACGTCGGGACCGGCGCGAAGGCAGTGAGAAGAAGGACAAGAAGGAACGCCGCCGACGTTCCATTTCCGAAACGATCAGCGAGCTCGACGCCCGCCTCGAGGCGGAGGAGAAAGCGCGCCTCGAGGCCGAGCGCTTGGCGAAGGAGGAGGAGATGAAGGCGAAACGCGAGCGGGAGTTGGAGGCGACCCGCGAGTCAGGAGGCATTGTGTACAAGGGTGAGCATCTGAGATGTTCGGGTATTGGGCTGACCTCAGGCCGGGGCACTATGCGGTACCGCGACCCCGAGTCGCGTCCGTCCAATTACAATCCGCGCGGACAGGACACGCGCGCACGCTACCGCCGCGGCAATGGTGAGCAGCGATGGGAGCACGACGGTGGCCGCGGTGCGAGTCCGGGACGAGGTGGCCGTGAGGGCCGTGATCGCGGCGATGACCGGCCTGGCGGGCGGCGGTGGGATGCAGACCGGTGGGAGCGCGCGGCGCCGACATTTGAGCGCGCAACTGATCGGTGGGACGCTGGGCGGATGGGAGACGGAGCGTCGGTTGCGAAGCAGAATGATGCGGGAGCTTTGAGAGATCGAATCTCCGGCGAGGAAGATAAGCTGGACTACGAGGCGGACGAACGTCTGCGTGCAGCCGATATCGAGCGTGACATTGCCCGGGACGGAGGCCAAGGCCGTAACGCCCGTGCTGCTGCGTGGGCGGCGGCTCGACGTGAGTCGCCACGTCGTTCGCGCTCTCCTGTCAACTCTCCGGTGCGGGACGAGCGCTCGATGTCGCCTGGAAGCGATATGCAGCTCGATCAAGATTAGATAGACGTCTCGTCTGACCAGTAGAAATGCAATTCAGTATGCCGCGTTGTTTGGTCGGATCATCGGAGCGCCGCCTTGATATCCTCCGCGGTCTGGACTCCCGTCGTGTACGACATCCACGGCGTTGGTTCCCACAGCTGATTTTGCGTACCGTTCATATCAGCATCTGGAAGAGCGCATGTCGCCTGGGTGAGCGGCAAGGACGGAGAAACGGGAGCCTCCCTGAGATCTCAAGCAGGTAATAGCACGCGCGGTGTTCACAACCGGTCTCCGCCAGAACCACTTATTCCAATCACATGCGCGTTACAGCAACGGACAAACAGCGCTCATCCAACTTGGGCACCAGGCACAAGCCTCGCGAGGTCGGCACCGAGTCCGGACCACACAAAGCGTCTCACCATCAGCCATTCAGCAGCACTCCATGCGGAGCATATGCATTGAGCGGGGACGCCGAAACAGCTATCTAACGCCATTAATAGCTGGGCTGTTACGACGACATGAAAGCGCAGCTCGGTATCACGTGCACCCTCTGGCGGGGAACGCGGAATGCCAAATGAGCAGGTGCTATCTTTGGCCGCCACAGCATACCACGGCATTTTCCGCGTCCACGAGAGCAGAGAGTTTTACCGTTGTCCATTTGCGTCGCTCTCCCGTCATTGGGTTTCTGCAATGCGGCGTTCATGGGCTCCGCAGCATAAGGGTGGGCTTCGAAAGGGTAAGGCACTACGTCAGACGATCTCCCCGGTTTGGAAGAACAGCTGGCGAGCAGTGTGGCAGGCCTGAGGCAGTGGTGTCGGTGTGTGGCCGGGAGCCCGCTGACATTGGTGGGGATGTCGATACGAGGTGGTCCTTTCTTATATTACACGCTGTCTGGTCTCTCCCCGACCCGACCCCAATCGCGACAGCCTCCAAGAACCATGGACGAGCACGAGAAACAGAATCGTTCCAGCGACGAGAAGGGGCAGGAAGCCACGGTCCAGGTCCACCCCGCCGAGAATGTTCAAGATGAGCTCGAGAACACGCACATTGGCGAGCACGGCCTGCGCCGCGACCTACCTCCGCGCGTCGTGACAATGATTGCCATCGCAGGCACCATTGGCACAGGCCTGTTCGTTGGCTCGGGCGCCTCGCTCACTCGCGGCGGCCCCGTCGGTCTGTGGCTCGGATACACCCTTGTCGGCACCGGCGTCGGTACTATGATGGTGTCGCTCGGCGAGATGTGCGTTTTGATATGTATGTGGCTGACTGCAGGTCCTGCTTCGCACCCAGCGTCGGTGGATATATCGAGATGGCTACGCGATACGTCGACGACGCGCTCGGCTTTTGCATGGGCATCAACGCGTTCTTGTCCTGCGCCTTCGGTATCCCCACTGAGCTAACTGCTATTGTAAGCCTGCGCTACCATGGAGCTGACCCTAGGCCTCGCTCTTCACGTACTGGGACCACAACCTGAACCATGCGGCCGCGTACATCACTGCGTTCCTGGTCCTTACGGTGCTCATCAACATCCTGGGCGTGAGATACTACGGCGAAATCGAGTTCTTCTTCGCCTGCCTCAAAGTCGCCAGACTTGTCGGGCTGATGCTTTTCGCCCTCATCGCCAATCTTGGCGGTGTGCCCACCAATAGGACATTCATTGGCGGGAGGTACTGGCGCGAGGAGCCGTTCAACAACGATTACCTCGGGATTAAACCGCGTTCGCTGTCCAACTTCTGCGGTTTTTGGGCAGTTTTCACGGGTGCCGCTTTCGCATACTCGGCGATAGAGTCTGTTGCTGTAATGGGTGGCGAGGCACACAACCCCCGCCGCAGCATCGCCAAAGCCATCAAGACGACCTTTGTTCGCATTCTGTTCATCTACGTCATCGGTACACTGATGATTTCCCTCACGGTCAGCTTCAAGGACCCGCTCCTCCTCTCTGAGATTGAGAAGGACAGCGGAAACGCTGGCTCCTCGCCTTGGGTGATCATGTGCCGAAACGCGGGCGTCAGGGTGCTTCCTCACATTATCAACGGTGTGGTCATCACCTCGGCCCTCTCGAGTGGCAACGAGCAACTTTACGTCCTCTCCCGCTTGCTGATGGCCATGGCGCGCGAGAGGCAGCTTCCTCGCATTTTTATGCGCACATCCAGGAATGGTATCCCGTACATGGGCGTTGTGGTCGGCGCGCTCTTCTCGTGCCTCGCCTACCTATCGGTCTCCAACGGATCAAACCAGGCATTCATCTGGCTCTCCAACCTTTCCGCTCTCTCCGCCCTCATCACCTGGAGTGGCATCGCCCTCGCGTTCATCCGCTTCCGCAAAGCCTGCATTCGGCAGGGCATCGACCGCACAAAGTTCGCCTACCGCGGCTGGGGCCAGCCATTCTTCGCTTACTACACGATTGCGCTGTTCATGCTGGTGCTCATCACCAACGGCTTTGCTGCGTGGATCCCCAAGTTCGACGTGGCCTCATTCTTTGCCTCCTACGTCACCATCCCCGTCGTCGTCCTAGCATATGTGGGGTGGAAGATTGCCAAGCGCACCAAGCTCGTGCCGATCGATGAAATCGACCTCTCGAGGGGCCCAGTCGAAGCGCTCCGCGGCTCCCGCTATGACGACATGTCGCCAAACTATGCCCATCCCCGTTATGCTTAGTTTCAGTGTTTTGTACAGAGGAGTACTCTAGTGATTTGTAATGAACCCTGTGTGGAATAACAGCAGCGGGCGGGACGGAGCTTGATGGCGCGGAGGTGAGGGGGCTGTGCCCATGGTACCATTGTTCGTGATTCAGAGCGGTTAGGATGGTACATTGTGGCCGACTACCCGCCCATGAGTGGGAGTGAGGGAGCCAAGACAGAAAAGTGGAAGCGCAAGAGGGGGACGGAGGGGAGCCTGCGAACGGGACGGCGGTGCTCCCAGCATTAACAGTCACAGCTGGGAAGATACAGACTAGGCTCCTAGATCCCGCACAGTAATTCACATACACATAATCTTGGCACTAAGACACGAATATGCCGGAGCAATTTGGGTTGGGTCAAGATGAGGCCGCCAAATTGGGTTGCAACACCTCCCAGGTCGAGCAGGCGGATGTGGCGGCGCCGCGGCAGCACAGCTGTGAGCTCGCACACCACTCTATGCACACTAAGAAGCCGTCTCCCACTCCCATCCTGAGGGAGTGCACGATCTTCGAGAGCCCCGATAACATCTGTTCATTGAGGAGGTCATGGGCTAGGGCGTGGCGCATGAATGGTTGTTGCAAGACCCGCCGAGGAGCAGTGGCATGTGGATACTGCACAGAAAAGATGAGGCGGAGGCTTGCAGTTTTCGCGCTTCTCATTGAACTCACCTCCCACAGCTCAAGGAGCATAACACCAAGTATTCAGCTGCTGAGGGGTCCCGGGTAAAGAACGGACCGGCGGCCTAGCCACTCACTCCGCACCAATCGAGTCCCAATAGTGCCAGATCGTCTGCTCGGTGTTCAGCCACACGTGTGCGGCTTCCTGCGTGCGTTCCTTCCAGATGACCGTGTGTCCGCTCCCAGCTTATCTTTCATCGAGCAAAGATTAACCGCAACTTCTCGCCCTCAGTTTTGCTAGGTTGAGCCACCGTTCTCTGCGAAATTCGGCCATCACCTCCATCCAGGTCAATAATCCTTCATACAATTAACAGCATTATGACAATAACTAGGATGCAGCTTTTCGCGACACTCTTGCGCTGCTCATCTCGCGGCTGTGGACCCAGATCTGTCTGTCCCCTCCCTCCGTTTCCTCGTCTGCAGACGGACTGGGACAAGAATGTGGCGGCTGTCTGTTTCTCATGATGCTAACTGTCTGCGCGTGGCTTGGGTAGCACCTGTCTAACCTGTGCTTACCCACGCTCCCTCGTTCCCATTCTCTTGCGAAGCGTCTTCGTCCCATGGCCTTCTAGCAGACGCCAAAACGACATATAAAGCCTGCTCTCCGGCGCTTCATCCGCTACCCACTAGCTAACCAACTCCTCATCTCACAACCGCACCTTACAAAATACCCAGAATGTCTCGACCACCTCCAAGTCGACTACCGAGCGCCGCTCGGTCCGCGCTCGCTCCCGCTCGATACCTCCTGCTCCCCCCAACTCCCCGGCTCCCCCCAGCTCCCCGGATCAGCCTTCCCGCGCCGGCGATAACTGTCTCACGCTGCCCAAGACTCAGTCGCCCTACAAGGACGCCCTCATGGGCAGCTACAACCAAGTCCAGAACACCCCGCCTGTCCGCGGGGGTGCGGCGCTCCCCACGCCGCTTGCCACGCCTTCTGCGGGTCTCCCCGCCAACGGACAGACCGTCACCGACCACAAAACCCCCAACAGTATTTTCTGCAAGACCTACGCCTCCGCCGTCGCGGTGGGGTCCTCCATGATGCAAGTCACCCTGCTGCAGCAGCTTATCGCGCCTGCGGGAGCGACCAACCAGCACGCTCCCTACAAGGTGTCGGGCTCGCCTCAGCCCAAGGTATCGCCTCAACCCAAGGTATCGCCTCAGCCCAAGGTATCGCCTCAGCCCAAGGCGCCTCAGGCTGAGGCCTCGCCTCAGCCCAAGGAGCGGGCCACGGCCAAGGTGCGACCCGCTAAGGTTTCGCCCAAGGCCAAGACATCCCCCAAGCCCAAGGCTCAGCTGCGCCTCAAGGCCCCGCGCACGGTCCAGGATTCGTACCAGCCTGGCTCTTCGCGCGAGCCCGCGCCTGGGCCCTACTCGGGACCTCACCCGCACCGCAAGCCCTCGGCGCAGCCCAACTCTCCGCCCAAGCCCGAGACGACGCCCCACGTCGACTCGTCGGCCACTGACAAAGCCGAGACTGCGCTCGGCCCCGGTCCGCAGACTGGCCAGTCGCAAGTGGTCGCCGCCCCCAACGATTTCGCGGGGTGTGCACTCACGCTCCCTCAGGCTGGTGCTCAAGCGAACGTCGTCAAGCCCCCTTCGCGGCCTTGGGTTGCCCACGGTTACAACGAGCAGCCTACCGGTGGTTTCGCGCAGCCTACGCATGGCACGGTCCTGGGTCAGCCTGGTGAGTTTCCTGGTGAGTGTATCTTCGGGGTGGCTCAGCCCCGGTGATAAGCCACTCAACTTCATCTCAAGGCGCAAACGCTAACCCAAGCCGCTCAGCCGACCCCGATGCTCTCAAACACTGCGGCCGGAACGGGAGCGGCAATCCGCCGATTCCCCTTTGCCAGTGCGTACACCCTCCCACAAGCGCTTGCACACCCGTTGACCACTTCAGTCTACTCGCGCCTCACGATTGCGCAGTGCATGTCGGCTCCCCGCCGGCCCTACCCGGAGCTCGACGAGGAGCAGCTAACCCTGAAGATGCTGTCCTTCCAACGTACGTCTGCCGTGTTCAACGCTGACATTAGCGCCGGACATCCTACTGCCCCTCTACAACTTCAGCTACCCCGGCTGGAAGACACCGGGCATGTCGTCGGCTCTTTTGTCGGGACTCCTCCGCGAGGACCCGCCTCAGCTCGTGATCCTCGGGTCGTTCAAGAAGGCGCACATGAAGGCCACCATCAACATCACTCGAGACAACATCCGCAGCCTGTGCATGTGGCGATCCAACCCAAACGACGAGGTCACCCTGGCTATCAGAGTCCACGGGGTCGAGTTCCACACCTACGCCCTTGACAACCTTTGGGAAAGAGGGTGGCGGTGGCTGCCGAAGTTCCATCGTGCCCTCCCAACGGGGGGCCAACTGCGGCTGTATGGCCCACTTGATGTGAGTTCCAAGCGGGGCACGCTCACTCCAGGCCATGCGTGACCTCCACGCCTCGATTATCTGGATGTACCAACTCGACGTGGCTCCCCCGATGCAGATACTCCCAGTAACCGCACTCTGGGACTGGGGCTACTCTGAGCGTAGCATGCTCCCGACGCTGGACAACCGGAACAACGCCTGGACGCAGAACTCGCACACGAACGCCGTAAGTACTCAGCACGGCTCTCCTCCGTGGCCCGCGGGTGCTGGAGCGGGCCCCGCGCCGACCGCCAACATCATGGCGGCACAAGCGCATTATGCGCCTTCCTACCCCAGCACGCAGCCTGTGGGAGCGACCCCGCCCATCGACCAGAATACCATGGCGATGATGGCCTTACTGCACGCTAACCCTCTAACGGTGGCGGCGCAGCCTTCGCAACCTACGGCTAGTCTCCAGCCGATCAACGCAGCCAACCCCTTCCAGGCGCTCACCCCCGCGCAAATGATCGAGCTCGCTACCGCCGAAGGTGATGTTTTCCGCAGTGCCAACGCCCAGCCCACGCCCGCCCCAGTCGCCCCACCTCCCCCCGCCGCGCCCTATGCGCTTGTCCCCCCTATGCCTGCAATGAGCCTCAGCCCCACCGACCACTCAGCCTACCCGAACATCCTCGCCCATCCTCAGCCGTCCGGCATGACGTCTACCACACCGGCCGCTGCTCTCCACGCCCCCCAGATAATCGCCACACCCACTGTTGCTGCGCCCCCAGCTCCCGCCCCTACCCACTTCCAGAACCCCGTCGTCGCCACCACCACCGCCGTACTCGGTCCCATTGACACAGCCTACCATGGACACGCTGTCGCCACACCTCTTGTCAGTCGCTTCGGCCCCGCCATACACCACGCCCACCAGCAGTGACGCACGGCTCAACCCCCGGCGCCACCAAACAGACGAGGACGATGAGATGGGGGACACAGGTAAAGGCGAGTCCATGGTTCAACGCTCCAGTCTCGGAATATCAATCTGGTGAGTGTTTAGTGACGATCAGTGCGCTGACCCAGATTAGTACACTCTGTAAGATAGACGAAAGAGACAGAATAAAAGGCCAGGTAAGCATGCACGGACAGGTGCAGCGAGCCCAAATTTGTGTAGATCGACAGCCGAATGAATTTCTGTAGTGAGCGTGAGTTATTGACCTGGCTGTAAAGAACGATAGGTGCTGAGGTGTTTGGTCGAGAGGAGGGGGATTGTTTACGAGACGATGCTGTAATCCCGCGCCCTGGCCACTCGATGGACGGAGAGCGACACTAACGGGGGGCCCACACAAGGACCTTCTCTCCTCCACCGCCATCACCGTTTGCTCTCTGACCATCATCCTCGTCTCTCTCGCTCAACCAACTTCCACTCTCCGTCCCCCTCCCTCTCTCAGCTCGCTCCGCACGGCACTACCGCGGGGCATGTCAGCTGACACCTCCGACCCCGCCCTCCATGCTGCCGCCGCCGCGCTCCACGACCCCTCAGACCCCACATCATGGTGAGTTCCGAGCTGTGTTTTCGGGGGCCGCACCTTGTACCGCGTCCGCGCGCCTCCATTTGGCACAGCTTAGTGCTCGCGTTTTGCCCGGATTCGAGCGAGGAGGTGGCCAACAAAGTGCCGTCTGCAACAGCCGGGTGCGATAGCCGCCCATCGCAGCAGCGGCGGCGATGGGGAAGTCAGCGCGATGCCTCCACTCCGGTCTCGGCGATGAGACCGAATCCCCTGCTTGACCTCTACCCCTGCCCTCACCGCCTACGTTGTCACCCGCTCCTCGCCGCCACGTCCATGCGCGATGGCGCGCTGTTCGTCTCGCTCTGTCTCGGCTTGTGCGGGGCGCTCGGACCTCGGCGTCAACCCACGGGACGACGCCAGTCATTCTCCGTACTTCGGATTCTGGAACCGCGCACAGATCTCTCCTCAACACTACGGTTACTGACGCCAGGCTCGTAGCAGCGTATGCGCCGGGCACGACGGCCATCGTGTTGCGCGCGACGGGGTCCAGCCCGCGGTTTCCTGGTCTGCGCGATGCGATCGAAGCGACCAAGGAGGTGTCGTTTGCATATGTGATCGTGCGCGACAAAGGCCTCGTCGTGCTCGTGCTGAGCGGTGTTGGGTGAGTCCGTGCACGCCCTGGGTGCACGCCCGTCGCCCAGAGCGAGCAGAAGGAATATGCGCTGACAGCAGTGGCGTCAAGCGAGGTAGCGCGCACAGAGGATATCGCTGACGGCAGCCAAAGCAATCGTGCACGCCCGCGCGTTCGCTGCGATCTTTCCCAGGTATCTCGCGCTCGCGACGCTCACAACCGCTGCTGAGCTTACCGACAAGCTCATCGCCGAGCGGCTTGGGATGCTCGTCAGCGATGTTGTTGAGAGGGAGGGTGATGCGACACCGTCGCCTTCCGCATTTACCACCGCGCCATCCACCCAGCCAGCGTCTGCAGGTTCTTCCATCCCATCTTCTCCCGCACCACCACCTCCCTCAAAATCACCTGGTCCACCGGTTCCACCTCCCAGCGGTGCTGTCCTCGCGTCCGCGACAGCAGAATCGTCGAGTGCCGGATCGACGCCCGGGCCAGGGCCAAGCCACAGCGCTGTCTTCCGAGGGAGCGCGAACGCTCAACCACCGTCTCGGGAACGCGAGCTCCCCGATCTCCCAGATGATCCCACTACGCCACGAGCCGCCGTGCAACCAGCTACGACCTCGGGCTCTGTTGTCGCACCCATTCCACGGCGACCACGCAAGCGCTCGGCGTCTCCTCCGCCGTCGAGTGGGATCGAGAAGACGACACCTACACCGCACTCACAGTCCCAGCCGACCTCACCATCCGTTTCGTCCGCTCCCTCACTGCCAAGCATGATGTCGCATGCACACCCAGGATACCACTCATCTGCGGTTCCTCCCACTCCGACCACACCTATCACTCCCGTCACTCCCAAAGCGCCCATCGATCCGAACGCACCCCAGCACCTCTACCAGGCTCCCAAATCAGCCCGAGTGCAAGCATCGGCACCGAGTGCGGGGCAGAGGGAAGGGGCGGACCCCTCAAGCGCTTCTCGAGGTACCGCATTTCCGGCCGCTGGCGCCGCTGGCGGGCTTAATCGCGCCGTGGCAAGCTCACAAACGAGCCCCTTGCTGTCGAGCCCCAATGCAAGCTTTCGCTCTCCATCGTCGTCGGCCATCTCCAACTTATCGGACTCGCCACGTCAGCGGAGTGTGTCCAATTCGTCCGGGAGAATGGGCTCTGAGGCGAGTTCGACCCGCCCCCTTTCTCGCGACTCAGGCTACTGGGGTGGGCGTCCACCGTCGCGTGACGCCAGCGTTCCTACTTCGGTGACCTCGGACTCACGGCGCTCATCAAGAAGAGGTAGCGACCCATCCTTTTCTCCAAGCATGCTCGGCCGGATGTCGATGGGTGACGCACCGCCCGTACCGCCTCTTCCTCACGAACTCCGACGCGCTTCTCGCGAGCCGTTGCGCGGAGAGCCGGAACCGCTACGGGTCGCATCTGTGCCTCATTCGCCCGCGAGTAGTCCTCTCATTCACTCTCCACACTCTCGTCGTGGATCACCTGGAAGTCGACATGGCCATTTCATGCCTGCCCCGCTTCCTGTCCCCGATCACCCCCCTCCCGCTGTCCCTACCATCCCGAACCCTCTCCCCAACCCAGCTGGCATGCCTCTCGCTCCGTCCTCGGCCGTCGGCTCGCCGCCTGTCGGGATCGGTTCACCTCCCATTCCGCAACGCTCACGACAGCGGCTCGCTTCAGGTCATGGCGGGAGGCCGCTGCCTCCCCCGTCGCCTGTGCCTGATGGACCGCTGCCTCCTGTTCCAAACGTGCCGCCACGGTCATCGAAAACCCCCATTCGCCCGCCGCGTCGAGGTCTTTCATCCAGCACCGGACCGTCGCCTAACCCCAGCATGGGCGGATTCAGTCAAGCACCCTTTCCACCGGTTCCCACCTCTGTGCGCGAGGCATCACTCGCAGTCGCTGACAGCGGGTCGAGCTCACTCATGTCGTCACCCCTTGTGTCAAGCCCGCTTACGTCGCCGCGCATAAGCACGGAGCCTGTGAGCCCCTTGAGCCCAAACTCCAGAATAGGGTCGGGATCAGGTGCCTTCTTCTCGGCCCGCAGCAGCATGGCTGAGTGGCGTGACTCGAGCAGAATCGACTCGGTACGCAGCTCCATGAGGAACGAGACCAGCAGGCGCGAGTCCGACATGCGCGATTCCGACCAGCGCGATACCGACCGGCCCATCAGCACCATGCTGCCTTATGCCCGCTCTGAGACCTCGGATCCCTCGCCGCGTCCTTCTGAAGAGCGTGAGCCTGCTCCATCGCTTGCTCCCGCGGGGCTGGGTCTAGGTATTGTCTCGGTCGATCTCACGATGCCGCTACGTCAGCGCAGCCTCGATCGAGTCGAGGACAGTGGTGCGCGACCCCTGAGTACGTCGAGTTTCGCGAGCATCAAGAGCAATCGCGCGCCGCCTCCGCCTCCCGTTACCATTCCCGTTGCTGCTCGCACGCCCGGTGTCGTCGCTGCCCCAGACTCGGCTCCTGGTAGCGCTGCAAGCTCGATCCGCTCCACCGAGAAGAAGCATGGACACAAGAAGAGCAATTCGATTTCGAGAAAGCCTGTGCCCGCCATGGATCCAGACCTTCTTAGTGATTCCGAGCTTTTGACGCACACGCCGGCGAGAAAGAGCAGTTTACGTCGCGTCGTCGGTGCAGGTGTGTCGCCTCAGCCTGCGGCGTCGCAAAGCGTGGGAGGGGAGACTGAGCTGCTCGCGGCGCCTGAGGCCCTCATTGCACCCCCACCTCGAGACTCCTCGCGAACTTCGACGCCGCGCATCCCACCGTCGCCAGCGTTTGGTACACCCCCTAACCTTGCAGCCGCACTCGATATAGACGGGGGAATGCTGCAATCGGTCAGTCCAAGTCCGAAGGCGCGGTCGGTGGGCAGTCCATCCGGATCTTCCTCGTCGAGTCCGCTTGTCCGGGCCGCCAGCGTCCGAGAGAGTCCGCGCCTCGCCTCCCCTGCGCTTCTGGAACGCTCAAGAAGTCTCCGGGCCAGAGAGGTAGGAACGGAAGTTCTGGCCGGCCCGGGACGCTCCGTGCACGGTGTGGATCTCGCTGCAGTCGGAAGCGATGTGGTAGGAGTCGCGCCTGCCAGCCCTGCCCCCGCCAGTTCTGCACTCTCGCGGCGGCCCCAAACCCCGCAGAGCCAGATTCGCACGCTCGAGGACATTGCCTCACCTCGCAGTGTCCTTTCGTCTCCGCACTCTGGGGAGGGTCTAGATATCCTCGAAGCGTCAGCTGTTGCCTCGGCGCAAGCCGTCACTGCCACACCAGCACATGCCAGAGTTCTGTCCCTCTCCAACGGGCAGGTGCGGGCCATCACTCCGGAGTCCTCGAATTCTGGCCGGACCAGACCCACTTCCTCACCAGTAAGCCCATCCCGCCGGATACCCGGGCATGCCAAGTCCGCTTCGGAGTCGGGGACCTCGATGCCCAACAGGTCACCGGCACTGGAGAGTGGACACTCCAAATCCGCCTCGACTTCTGAGACACACACCCTGCAACGTGGGCTTGGCTTTGGCGTCCTTGGCCAAGATCGCGAAGACGAAGTAGAGCGGATCACAGTCGATGATGACGTGCCCATAGGCTCGCCCGAGGCGTCCTCCAAGGCCGCCTCGACTGCGAGCCCAGGGTCGAGACATGTTATTGACCTGGGCAGCGCGGGGAGCACTCCCGTTCAGGCGGTGACGGCCAACATGCCGATGCAGTCCTCGCCGCGCCGTCACCAGCACGAACTCCCGCCCCTGCCTCCGGCGGCGAGGGGACAGCTTGCCCCTCCCATGTCGTCCTCTTCGGCTGGCACTGCGCCAACGCCTCATGTCGTGCGGCACAAAACGTCTTCCAAGTTCCGCTTGCCATTCCGCTCACCGCGTCCACCTGCAGACGACGAGGACCTTAGCCCCCCGATGTCGCCTACCTCGGCGCGGCTCCGCACACACAGCATCACGAACGCGTTCCGCCGGCGGCGCAACACCAACTCGGGCACGCCTCCTGGCTCGCCACCCGTGCGCAGCTCGCTCGTGTCCTCCAATTCGACGTCCGAGGATCACTCGACTCTCCCTTACGAGTATGGCTTGCAGGGCTTGGGGCTGAGCAGCTTCGCGCTTGCACCGAGCGCCTACCGCACCCCGTCAGGCGGCATTGGCTACACTCCACCAAAGATGGAGCGCAAGCTCAGCCTTACCGCGCAGGAGGCATTCGCGTCCGCGCGAGAGCGACATGCCATCGAGCAGGCTCAGCAACTAGAGGCCTTCCGAAAATCTGAGAAGGCACGCACTATGTCTCACACGTCGTCTGCGAACCCGGCTTCTCGTGTGACCAGTGTGGCCATGAGCAGCGAGTTCATGTCCGATGACTCACACTACGACAACGCCAGCGACGAGCTTCCGCAGTCGTTGAGCCTTGCCATGGTCACGGCGGCGGGCAGTAACCCGGTTGCTTCGCCCGTGGAGCAACTCGCCGCCGCCGCCAGTGCCGCACGCCAGCACCGTCAAGAAGCACGGTACTCGCCGTCCTCTCCCACTGCTGGGGACGAGGGCGCCGCGGACCGCCAGCGTGCACGAGAGGCAGCTCTTGCGCAACAGCGCCGGCTGAGCGTTGGCGACAGGGAGGACGAGTTCCACGACGCCGTCTCGCAACTGGACGACGACCATGACTACAGCGACAGCAACAGCGATAGCGAGCTCGAGCTGAACGGCTTCGACGACGATGTTGAAGCAAACGAGGTCGCCGAGCGCGAAGCTGCGGAGCTTGCCGCTGCTGAACGTGCCGAGCTTGCTGAGCGTGAGCAACGCGAGGCGGCTCAGCGAGAGGAAGCCAGACGTCTTGACCTCGAGGTCGCCGAAGCTGCCAAGCGCGCGGCCGAAGAACAACGGCTCCAAGAGGAGCAAGAGTCGGCGCGAGCGGAAGAGCACCGCCTCCAGGAGGAGCAAGAGATGGCTCTTGCTGCCGAGACGCGCCGCCTTGAAAAAGAGCGCCTGCGCCTGGAAGCCGCACGCATGGAGCAAGAACGTCTTGCCGCAAAGGAAGAGGAAGACCATCTTGCCGCATTGCTTCGCGCTGAGGAAGAGGAGCGCCGCGTTGCCGCGGACGAGCAGCGCCGCCTCCAAGAGGAGCGGGAAGCAGAGGAAGCCCGCCTGGTGCAAGAGCGCCGCCTCGCCGAGATGGAGGAGCGCCTGGCCGCGCAGCAGGAGGAAGCGCGTCTCGCGGCTGAGCGCGAGGCCGAACGCGAGGCTGCGGAGCTTGCCGAAGCGGAGCGCCTCAAAGCTGAGCGTGTCGAGCAAGAACGCGCGGCTGCAGCCTCAGCCAAAGCGGAGCAGGAACGCATCGAGCGCGCCGCGCGCGAGCGCGACGAAGTGACGCGGCAGCTGCAGGGCGGCAAAGCTGAGGGCGGGATCATGCTGCGCGGCTGGGTGACGGTGCAGACGATGAACTCGCCAACGTGGCGCCGGCGGTACTTCCACTTGCTGGCGTCTGAGCTGCGGCTCTTCAAGTCGGACAGCGAGAACGACACCGCCAAGGCCCTCACGACTGTCGGCCTGTCGGGCGCCAAAATCTCCGAGGCGTACGAGGAGAGCGCGGTGCAAGGCAGCTGGAAGCTTGAGACGGGAGGCAAGGTGAGATCGACGAAGGCGACGGCTGACGATAGGAATACTACATGTTTGCGGATGGCGCAGAGGATCGCGCGACGGTGCTGCAGGGCTTGGCGATTGCGATCGCGTAATGGGGAAGATGTAGAGTCACGTTGATATGTTGGAGTTGTGCGAGGGGTCGTAGCTTGGGCTTATGTCTGGTGCTTTGGTTCGAAGAGATGGAACCAGCGCCACTCTCGTGTGAGAGGCTTGTTGAGTGGCTCAGGACAGCTGAGTGAGACCAGGATAGTTCACGTGAGGCGGCACAATTCACACCAGCCCTTGTTCACTTCACACCACACGAGGTCGTGATGGTTTAGTCGCGCGCAACTGCGAGACGCGGCGTGGTACATACAATTATGCATCTACACAGTGATTGGCCTAAGGCATATCGCGATGCGGACCAGGTATCGGCAGCGACACAAGCAGGGCTAAACACAGATCAAGGAGGCTATACAAGCATGAGGGGGCTATGCAAGGTTGAGGGAGCTATACACGCATGAAGGAGTCCAATTGTGAATGATTTGGACGGCCGGCTACGTCTCTCAAGGCCGCATGGAGGTTTTTGGCGGGTTTGTGGCTGCGGCCGGTGTGGAAATGGTGATCATGGAACAATTTGGAGACAGCGAGACGGGTACCGTGGAAGCTGCTTGAGAGCGTGTATCTTGGGAGCGTAGAGCATGCACACGGAAGTGTTCACAGGACGTAAGAACATGATGACTTTGGTCCCCGACCTTGTCGCGACAATGATTTATGCGCTGTAAGTTGGGCGGAGCGTCAACCACTTAGCCATCCATTCCTGTTCCTTGACGACTTTGCTTTCAAAGAGCTCGTGCGTATCCGGGTCCGGGTCATCACAAACCATCCGCGGTAACATCCCGTAGCACACCCCCTCGCCGCGAGGATAGATGAGGTAGATCTCGGGCGCGTTGTTCGCGCGCACAGCGCCTGCTGCATGGATGGTGTGGATTAATGCGGGGAGCGAGTTACTGTCGTCAGCCAATTCCTGCCCGTATCCCGAATAGGACTCACGCATAGCTTGACGGCGAGGCCAACCCGTTGTCGAACATGTACCCAAGGTTGTTGTCGAAGTCACCGAGGTCCTCCGTGAGGAGGATGCGGAGATTGCTGAGGTCGTCATCGCTGCTCGTCCACAGACCGTACAGGCGCGCGATCTCGCGGCCTTGAAGCGGCGCGAGGCGAGTGAAATCGTCGACGACGTTATGGAAGGTGCCGCCGGGTTTGTGCTGGGACGTCACGAGCGCAAAGACGGAGTACGAGCTGCAGGGGTTGTCTTTAAGGGTGGCGCGGTAGGTGTCACCGGTGGGCTGAACGTCAAGGAGCTCAGAGAGCGCTAAAGTCCACGTCCGAGGGATGGCGTCGCGCTGCGGACGCCCTGGCAGGTTGGGAGGGACGTCGCAAGTGAAGAAGAGCTCGCGGTCTTTTGGTAGCTGGTTGCTGGCTGTACCACGCCTACCGATGTATGGGCTGAGGCGGAGCGTCAATGGTGGGCCCAGCAACTTGCTGGCGGCAGTCGATGAATGTGGCGGTGATGAGGATGCGACGACAGTTGTTTTGGTGATGCCTTCCGGGAATGGAGGTACTGGAAGCTGCAGCTTGTACCGCGCATGCTCTTGAGCTGCCGCAAATGTCGGGCTCATAAGAAGCTCCCTCGCAAGCCCAGCGGGCAGAAATGTGTCTTTTGGGAAGGTCCGCTCAGCCAACGATGCAGCCAAAAACAGGGTGAGGGGGAATACCGAGATCTCTTCGTCCCGTGCGGAAATTTGGAGTGGCCTTCCCGAGTGGGGCACTACTTTGGAGAAGACGATCTCATCAGCCGAAGACAGGCTCAACAAGATCATCTCGTCTATTGCCGTAGAGAAGGACCGGCGTCTCGAGGAAGTGGAATTGTGCCACAATTTGCCCTAAGCACTCGATGGCCGCAGGCTGGTGTTAATTCTGGCCACGCCCGCCACCGCTATACTCACCGGCAGGCCGTTGCAGCTGAGCTTTCCTTGGGCTGAGGAAAGCTTCCACTCATCTGCGGAAGAGATAATGTCGTGGCGAGAGACTCACCCAGTGGGGTGAGGTACTCGAGTCCGGCAGCCGTCGACGATGCCGTCGACGAGGGCGAGTCTAAGAGACTGGAAGATACATACGTTGGTCGTTACTGGGTAACGACGGCGCTATATATACTATGGGCCTTACGGATGTATCGTATCGTGCGGAAGTACCGACGCCGAGTCACGTGAGGAGCTGGTTCCGCATGCACGTGACGTTGGGCGTAGACCACGTGTGGGTCACGTGGTCGATGTTGCTGGCGCCGAAGGTGGCGCCACGACA